AATTGTGCAAGTGAAGAAGCCAAGGTCGTCCATGAAAAAGTCGACAGCCGCCCTAGCCAGCTTCAGGGCCGAATCCATGTCAGGCACATCCGTATGCAAACACGAAAAGTGGGAGAATCTTAATCAAAAGAATAAATAGAATAAATTAATTTTCAAGTAGTTTTTTGCTACTCAAATGTACTAACTCAATGAGCTTTTTAAAGATTTCAGGCTCAACGTTCTTGATCCGGATGGGTCTTTTGAAAATTTCTTGGAAGTATTCGGGACTTGCAGCGAGAAGGTCAAATTTGATTCCGTGGATTTCCTATATAATCCAATAAAAAATAATATTTTCGTGATGATTTGAATTTTAAACAGCTTTTCCTTTAAGGATTTTTTTGTTAATTGTTACCAAGGAAAAAATCATTCTTTGCACAAAATAAAAGATCATTGCTTTTAAAGAATTTTTCACGGTTCCAAAAACAAATTTTTTTGAACTTAACCTTGGCTGATTCATCATCAGGGCCGACGAGAAAGGTGCAGTCGGTGGCTTGACCCAACTCAAGTGCCTTCAACGCCCTCTTGACCACTCCTGCATTCGCAGTAATTTCGCTTATGTCGCTTAAAGACATCTTGAATGTTGTATAAAGTATTATTTTTTTCTAAATAAGTACACAATCACTTTAAAAATAAGAACTTAATATTGATAAGAAAAACAGTCGCGCGACTTGCCTTGACAAGCGGCATTCACTGAATGCATAGTGAGTGCTGGAACGGTTGGAATACTGACCCATCCATGATTCATTGATTATTATTTTATTTGTCAGAAATTATGTAAATAAATCAAGCACTGAATCAGAGCATTTAATTGACTTCTAGCGTTATTTGACTATTTTAAGCAGTTTATTCCATTAATTGGTTTTTCAAAAGAGTGAATTAAATTCCCATTCTAATCCAATAAGCCATCCTGGGCCTTTGTTCATCCTGACGATACTTTTAATTATAATAAAAGGCTTGAACGAATAAAAGGAGAACTGAAAGGGTCTTAAGGGCGAGAAAGCGATGGTGTGGAAAATATTTAAATGGAAATCATAATAACAAAAATACAAACTTTAACAATTGATTAAAATTTTTAAGTTTTATTAAATTTAAAATATTTTCTCATTTTAAAAAAAATGGGACAGTTGTTTCATTAATTGTCACTCACTTGTGTTCATATAATTCATAGAAGATCATTTTGAGCAAAAAATCAAAAGTCGGTTTTTTTAAATTTGTATTTAAAAATTGATTTTATTTATATTTACATCAAATAAAATCCTTCATTATTTTATTCCAGTACTGAACCCAAATATAAATTTATTCTACTGCTTAAATCTTTTGTATTATTCAAACTTTGCAAAAAAATCAACGGCCATGGAATGTTATTATGAAGCTATTGCGACGCTTCTGTTTTGCTTTAATAATCTCTCACTTTCAGCAATTTGTGAATCACCGAGTCACCTCCGGTTGAAAAATAGCGCAATTTTCTTTTCAAAAACAAACTACGTCTCTCTGCTCGTTGCAATTTTCTCTGAAACGCTCATTTCCATTTCTGCAGCTGACGAAAGCAGCTCAAGTTGAGCTCCGCTCGGAACTGCGACGATGATGAAAGAAAAAGCGAAAAGTGAGGGCGGCGAGGCCTTGGCAATGTGGGTCATTTATCGCCGCTTTTCAGCACCAGACAATTTTGCAGTCCTTGGCATTCCCTAGAAGAAATAATAGTGCATGGCGCTGGCGTGGGAAATTTATGGCCAAGTCAGATGATAGCGTGCGCAGCTCTTTACAAAAATTATCATTCCACGCCGCGCTCACAGAGCTGGAGCACGTCCAGCCGCCGAAAGGTTATCTGCCAGTTTTTTCCGCCAACGCAGTCGGCGCCGGAAACAAACTTTGTCTGCGAAATTTAATATGAATTGCCAACCCTGGCGAGAGGTCGGAGCTGCGGGATAAATCTCTTAAACTGCAATATAAGAGCAGAAGAAATTTTTTTCCTTTTGCAATCGCAGAGTGAGTGGGCGATCGATTTTATCGGGTGCGGTTGCTCAATTCGAACACATGCATTTACACGAGACATGTAATCATATGGAAGGTCTGACTGAGCAAATAGCCCGCGGCCAACTGGCACAGATTTTGTCTTTGATCGGCGAACAATTTTGTTACAAATGCCTTTCGACGGCTGCAGTCATTCAAATCTGCTGATACTGAAGGCAAATAGCAAATAAATATGTGATTTGAAAGTGGGTTAAGCACGATATGCATCAAATGGATGCCGTTTGATATTTTGATCCTCGCAAAGGTCAATAAAAATGTAGTATTTATTTATGAAAGGGTGGGAAGATATTCCATAAAATACATTAATAGTAAATAATAAATACATAAAATAGTTATGTCTAGAAATAAATTCTTGATAATACATTTTGTCGAAATATGATTGTTTAAATTTTTTGAATAAGGAGAATTGAAAATGAATAAAATTCAATTGCGGCAATTCAAACAAATATATTAATATTGGCATACTTAAACCGACTTAAACAAATTGGAAACGATAGTCTTTCTTATATTTCTATCTAAATCATCCAATATTATCCTGGATTTTATAATATAATTACCTTAACAAGAAGCTGTGCATTTGGAAATTTGTTAAAAAAAAATATTTTATACAATTTTATATTATTAGCATTCATAAAATTTGTAATGAAAAGTGATTCAATTCTGAATTGCTTATCTATTATCAAAATTAGATTCAAAATTACTTAATTAGATTAGAAATTAATAATTTAACGATTAGGATAAGTTTGTATATAAAATTTAAAAAAAAAAAACGGCGTTAAGAGAATGTACATAAAAATTCAACAAATTAAAATGTATTTTATTATAATTATTATATTAATTCTATAGTATTTTCTTCTAGAAAAATTTATAATTCTCACTAAAAGTTGTCTAAATATAATGACTGGGATTTATTTGAAATTATATTTTTTAAACTTTCTGTCCCTCAAGGGCAGAAAATTGTTCCTCAGCAACAAAAAGCTGCATTATATTATTGCCCTAATTAAATCCCAGTTGCTTGCGTCACTGGTTTGATCCAAAAGCCGCTGCACTCCACAGCTGTTGTCGTCAAGAGTGCATTTCCTCATTGCAGGACAAAAGCTTCTGGAGCCTCGAAGCCCTTTTCTTCATTGGGCCGTTAATGGAGTGCCGAAGGTGCCTTTAGCGCTCATTAAAAGACTTTGACACGTCCAGCGCTGATTTCTCTCGCCAGACGAGAATGATGATTTTTTTATTGTCTTTTAATTGGGTTCACCTGCGACCTCTCGGATATTTTTTCTCCTTCGAAATTTCGGAGAGAAAAAAAATGTTTTTAGACCAAGAGAGGCGCGCGTGCCGAATCGCTGTTCGCGCCGGCTAATCTGATGCAGACCGTCTCTCATTTCACTCGAATAGGCCTTTGAGGAGGCGAGAGATCGTGACGGGATGACGCTCAACGCAGGCAGTGTCATCCGCCCTGCCTAGTTTCAACCACAACAATTGTCTCCGGTGACGCCACCGTGATGCCCTGCAATGAGCACCAGGAAAAATTGCCATTTGTTGGAGAATGAGACACAAAAATGAGTCATGTTGATTTAATTTGCCTTTTTAAATACAAATTTTGGTAATTTTTTTAAAAAATTTCTTTAATATTAAGCATTTTAATTATTTTGAATCTCACAAAGTTTGATGTTACAGACTTTTAAAATCACAAAATAAAAAGAAAAAAATGTGAATTTATAGAGGAAAAAATATTTTTGCTAGGATTTTTTATTATTATTTATTTCTAATGGTAACGTGATTGTATGAAACTAGAAAGAAAAATATCGCCTTAAAACGAAGTTAAATATCAAAATTTAAAACATTCAACCATACTATTCCAAAAACAGAAATAAATATTAGAAGACAAATTTTCATAACATTTTATTTTTGTAAATTTGAATTATTATTATTTTAATGCCTTATTTTGTTAAAAAAGTCACATTTTCATCCTGTCCTATTGTAAAACCACAAGAATTTTGGAGCCACCTAATAATTTCCAAGGAAAGTTCATTCTTTCGTCTTTCATCCAGATAAGGAAAATGCGCAAAAACAACTTTTTAATTGAGCGGTTGTCTCTGCCAGTATGAAAACGAGTCGCATAAGCGTGCGTGCAAAACGCTGTCCAGCCGCAGGTATCAAGTTTCGCCATTGGTCAGAAGTCAGGAACGCTGGTAGCGAAAAGGCACCTGACCGGATTGGCGAAAACTGCCAAAAGAACATAATTTAATAAATCTGCCCAGACCCTGTCACGTTAAATCTCCCGGCTGACTGGATTAGTTTGTCAGCCGCGCGACTTTTCTGCCGAGACCAACTTTGTTATTAGTATGCTAATCTCTCACACGTGTTTGGGCTTGAAAATGTAGATCATAGGACAGCCTCTGAAGATAAAACTAATGCAGCTGGCATAATAACGTTTTAAATTATCAAATTCAAGTTTAATCTTATTATTTGAAATTGTAAATTGGAAAAAACATTTTGATATTAATCCATTGAAATTCATTTTTTTATGTTATTTATTTTAATCTTTAATCATTGATGCTATTTTGAACAAATTAATTAAGACAAAAATTTAAATGATCAGCAGCAAACTCATTGCAGGAAGAATTCAGTACACTTATGTGTATTGTGTAAACGATCCATGAACAGACTCTTGCAGGTTTTAATGTAATATAATTTAATTTTTTTAACGCTACAATCATTACGTTTAAGCAGCAGTGATTCGTAATTTGCAAATAAACACTAAAATTAGTAATTTAAAATTTTAATGTATACAATTTTTTTTTAATTAAATATTTACAATTTACATAAAAATCTAAATTATACCCTATTAATTTATTTTATGTACATATTTAATAGTTATCAAAATTATATATTATGCAAATAAAAGCATTGTTAAATTGCTTGATTGACAGGAATGGAGGCTGTAGAAACGGCCATCAACTTTTGGGAGGACGCGCTGGAAGCGTACAGAAATTTGTCCAAGGAAAACAGGGGCGCCCTCGCGGTGACCACTGCCGAGGAGGCCGAATTCACGCGAGACCTGCAGAATTTACTCGACGCAGCTTACAAACTGCAGTCGGACTCGGAGCTGCTCTTCCTTGACCAAGTATGAGGATTGATCGCTAATGAACTCCAAAATTGTCTCATCGATTGATTTCAGAGATCGGTCTTGTTCCGAACGGACAGCTCGGTGGCCGACAGCAGGCGGACGAGGTCAAGGTCGAGCTGGTCCTCGAAGGACTCGTTTGTTTCTGCACAAGATGAGGTAATGTTGATTTTTTTTTTATTAAATTGGTCAAATAAATTGAAAAAATATTTCAAAGTTTACATTAACTATAGTTATATAAATTTTAAAATGGGCCTCTCCTTGATATATACTTTTTTTATCAATTACATCGTTTTGGTCAGCGTTAATTTTCATGAACCAAAAAATTAAATAAAAACGCAAAAAATATTTTATTTATGAAAACCGGTAAATTAAATTTAAAAAAAAAAAACCAATTCAAATACCCTAATATGTCTAAATTGTACGTAGTCAAATAAAATAATAAAAAAACGACACTCCAAGTTTGCGCTATTCATAACGGAAAAGGACGTGCATTTTTCACAATCAGAGTGAATAAATGTAATTTGTATGTAGTACATAAACGCAAAGAGGAGTTTCACTTAGAATCTTTAAACTAATTTAAAAGCCAGTTTGAAATCTAAATTTGAAATGTAATAAAATCGCCTAACTAAGAAATATTCTAGAAGCATTATTGGTTATAGAATGCATTGCAAACCTTAATAGTCAGTTAAGTCATCAATGAGACCAAAGGTGAATTCCATTTATTACAGAGGAAGCAGAAACTTCTTTTTCCAGTAAGCGCAATTTAGCCTCCGCTGGCGCCTAATTAAGATCACCCTGCTCTCCCCCAAATCAACACACACACACTCACTTTCAGTTCGCTCATTCTTGTATTAGTCAGGGAGCAGCGCGTTTGCTTGTGAAAAATTAAGTTACTAAAGGTTATTCATTCTAAAATAAAAAGTAATTTCTTGAGCGTGGACGTCTGTTTTTTTCGTCATGGTCGTCTCTACTGCCCACTTCCGCACTGTAAATTTATAATTTAATTTAAAACCTCTCCATTTTTATCGTAACCAAATTATTTTGAAAATTTAAATTTTTAATAATTCCCAGATTGCCGACCTACGAGATTTGGAGGAGTTCAACGACATCCCTGACCTGGACTCTATGCCACTTTATCAGTCAGCTTGGACACAATTTCAAGAAAATAATGGCATCCCTTACAGGTCTGAACTATTTCATTCACAAATTAAAATAAGTTTCGCTTTAAAGCAGAAACTTAACACGCTTGAAAATTTGAAAATGATTTTTTGTTATTTAAAATTATAAAAAAGAAATAATCCTTAATTTCTATTGATATTTCATGTTTGCCTTCGACTATTACTTCTTTTATGTGAAACTTAATAATTAATATTCTATTTTTAATTAATTTAATATTTTATCACTTTCAGACCCGCAAGTTTGATTATCCAAGAACAATTTCAGATTTATTTTGCGACAATTTTTTTTTTTTTTATTAAATTGCAATTATAATTATTTAAATATTATTAAGATTTCTCATTCCTTTTTAAAAATAAAATGCAATTTATTCTTTTTTAACAGATGTTTGAGGACGGACTTGGTGCGGTGTTTGTCGGCTGAGGAGTATCAATGCAAACTGCACTGCATCCGGCTTGCCTTCAAGTGGCTCCTCCAAGTGCCGGAAAACCAGCTCTGGCTGGTGGACACAGGTCGTCAAGTGCTGGCCGACCTCATGATTAACGCCGACAAAGACCCGAGGGACTTTTTAATAGCCTACGAGGACATGATCCAATACCTGGCCGAAGAATCCAACTGGAAAGACCTGGAGGTCGAAATGAACGAAAGGGACGTCAAGGCGCTGACCTTCTTTGATATAGCCCTCGACCTCATCCTGATGGACGCTTTCGATGACCTGGACGCTCCTCCGAGTTGTGTGTCCTCAGTGGTCGGAAACCGGTGGCTGTCCAATGGCTTTAAAGAAGCGGTAAGTTTCCATTTAGATTTTTATATAACTAAAAAGACATGTGTACTATTCCAGGCCCTATCAACTGCCCTTTACTCGCTGCTAAAAGCAAAGCGGCGGATGCTGCAAAATCCACACGGCTTCATGTCTCACTTTTACACAATCTCGGAGCACATTTCACCGTTGATGGCTTGGGGATTTTTGGGCACAAATGATGAACTCAAAGAGACCTGCAAGTACTTTAGGGTATGAAATGATTAACTAGATTAAATTATTTTCATATTCATGGTCTGTTTTTTTTTTTTATTCTTTCAGAATCAAGTTGTCGGTTTTCTGCAGGACATGTTCAGCTTTGAGAAAATGAGGTACTTCAGCGTCGACACTCTGGGCGAAGACATTTTTGCTAACATGAAAATCAGAGTGGACGAACTGAAAGTGAGATTGGCACCACAGCAGAAATAGTAGTTTATCCACAACCTGTCCGTCAAGTTTTTATTTACTGTTGGATATTTTTAGGAATTTTAGAAAAAATAAGTAAGACTTGATCAAAAAGTCACTTCTTGTAAATTGATGTGTGCGAAAAACACTTGCAATTAGCAACATAAAAAAATACAACAGCCTGTTGGATTGTGATATTGGAAGCATTAAACTGCATCACCCTATTTAACAATATCACAATAAATAAGTACTGCCTTTAAGAGTAACTTGTAAACTAGTCCGAGTGGTTGAATAGTTTGCGGATTGTTTGAATCCCTACACTTTGTACTCTTTAAGTCAACAATGTGCCACGTTAGCATTTTCTCAATTCATTCACACAGGCAACTATCATCAAACTTTAACGCACATTCCTGACTCAGAATCGACAAAATAGAATTGGAGATATTTAATCGATGTGCTTGTTTACGTGTAAGAAAATAAATTATATTCTGACTGAAGGCAATGCCATTATTTTCACCTGATTTAATTTACACCGAGTCAGCCAATTCGTTGTTATTGAGATTTAACTGCAGCGTAATAGTAGTTGTTGTGTCTGTTATAAAGTCGAAACGTGCAAAATATTCTCAGATATGCAACTGGCTTAACATCTGAGTAAGGCGAGTTGCACAAATTTAAAAAACAATTTCTTATTTTTTAAATTTTTTTATTTTTTTAGTGCAATTAGTCAAATTTATCTAATTTAAGTAAAAAATAATTCCAGATCGTTAAAAATAATAGAAATATATGTAAATGGGGGAAAAAACTGTTGACAACTTTAGATAATGATGGTACAAAAATACAAAATCACATAATGTATGAGAACCTATTCATATTTTCAGCGAGCAGATGTCACATAATTCTGTTATGCAAAAATTTGCTCAAGATGCCTTCCTCAAAATTTTTTAATTGATCCAGAGGGTCAAAGGAAGTGTGGATTGTTCTAACAAGCGGACACTGCAGTTGTTCATGAGGCTCAATCTGGCATATTTAAAAAAAGTCAAAGTGAGAAATTATTTCTCAAAATGAAAATTCATACCTTGGAAGTGACCACGTGAACTCCGAGACAGTGCTTTGGCAAAAAAGGGTCTTCGGCCCCGGCCGGAGGTCGGCACATCCAGGACGTGGCCTGTTCGACGACCTCGGCGGCCGACCCAGTGCTGCCCTTGCCCAGGGTGGTTAACAGGCCTTGCAAGGCGGGGTGGCACGGCTGCGGAAAGTGCAGCAGGGCACCCGCCGAGCGGTGAACGACCTCTTTTTCAAGCGGTTGGTCAAGGACAGGTCGTTTGAGGTCAACGCTGGCACCTCCGTGACGCCACAGCGCCAAAACGCGCGCTGCCAACTCAAGCAGGTCTGGCTCAACGTCCGTCTCGAACCCTTCGAGGGGCGAACTTTCAAAGTATTCGTCGACGTCAGGGTGCAGATGAGTCTTCAGATTGGGGTAGTGTTTTTCCAACAGGCTGACCAGGTTGTGCACCTAATTCAAAATTGATGTATTAGACGAAAATAATTGATACAAAAAATAGCAGATTTTATTTTGGATTATTTAATTTTTAGTAAAAATTGAAATATTTATTCAGATTACGCTTCTTTCAATATTATTCTCTTTCACTGGTTATACAAGTAAACCTAACACCAGTAAAGCAGAAAAAAACATGAACGCATGTAAAATATAATAATATTAAGATAATAATTTAAAGTGAAAAAATTTCCGTAGTATTAAATCAAATTTAATAAAATAATAGCAATTATATTTGCCGTGACAAAAGTTTTTTTTAATGACACGAAAATTATAAAAACTTTTGAATTGTGGACGTAAAGATATATATTATTTTGCTAATAAAAAATGCAAAAATTGATTAAACACAAGGTATATTTAAAATTTTTATCTGTTATTAAAATATGTGACTTTCAAAATTAATTAAAGTACCAAAATTTTATTCCTAAGGAAAAGAACTTGAATTTTATCTAAAAAAAATTGGGTTTCTAAATTATAAGAGAAAACAGGAATTGAAAAACCATTTAAATCCTGGCTATTTTTCAGTTGCAGTAGTTTCTCTGAACACGAAATTTCATTACCTTTGCAGGGTGTTGCTGGAGTAAGACCAGGTTGCAAGTGCGATTCGCGTGTTTGCTTGCCAGTGCTTCGATGGCGCACGCACCGCCGACGGTCAGGTTGGTCGTGACCATGTGCAAGTGGGCCCTTTTCGGAAGTCCTTCCGCCTCGTAAAGCCCCATCAGTCGCGGCAAAATGAGTCGGAGGAGCGAAGCGAGGGCGACACCGATCAGCGCCCCCGCCATCATCAGCAGCAGCACTTTGGTCACCAGACAGACCCCCGACGCCAGCACGTGGGCAGCCCCTTTTTGGGCAGCGGGGGCCTCGTCTTCCGCCTCCAAGACCTTCTCCTCATCATCCTGAGCACAAAAATATTGGTTAAGGGATAATAATTTTAGTTATGAATGAATTAATAAATTTTGGTTTCATTTTTATAATTATATTTTGCAAACCTGTTGGGGAGGCTTGACGGGGTTGGTGACACTAGTCGGTAGGACGCCCATGGTGCAACTGGTCGTCGTTGGCCTCGGAAGAATTTGATTCGCGATTGTTGATATTTTGACCCATTGTCACGGGCGCGTGCTGATTTTGTTCAAAACAATTTCAATCTAGAGACACTCTGTTTTTTGTTTGCACTTTTTGAAAGCGATGACTCTGCGCGGAGATATCATTAATTTTCAGAGACTAAAAAACACTAATAGACATGATTGAAACTAAAAGTGCGACAAAAACTTTTTGTGCAGACTAGGAGTAAAAAAATATATATATTTTAGAATTTTAATTATAATATTATTTATAAACAAAAACATTATTAATTATTAAAGCAGCCAAATATATAATCGCTTCAGTCATTACGATGAAATCCATTTGAGGGCTTGGAAAAGCTGGAAAGACACTCAATACTTTGTCACCAGGCAGAGGGATCAGTGGTTGAGGGTCACCCAGCAGCACAATTAGCGCGCTGAAATTAATTATAAAAATATCTTATCTTCCGATATAGAAAGTATGCAAATTTATTGAGTATACACAATCATATACTCCAATATTAATTTGAGCTTTCAAACCTAGAAAATTAAAAAAATTTATATATTTTATACTTTACATCCCTGTTGCATCTATAAATTTTGGCTTATATCATAGATAACAAAGTGCAGAATACAGTGGCCCTATTAATTATTAAATTCAAACCTGAAGTATTATTTGATTTAATTAAAATCTTTTCATTCTTTAAAGTTAACAAAATGAAATGAATAAAATGAAGTTGGATTTCTCTAAGTTTTATATTTTTTGGGGCAATGAAGTATCAATTAGATTAATAACTAAAGCATGGGGAATCTCGTGGTGTGATTAATTTTTTGATTCGAGCAACCCAGAGCAACCGTAGTTGAGCTATGAGCATAAATACGCGCCGGCCTCTGCTTGTCGCTTCTCTCTCTCACTCGACGACTCGACGGCTGAACAAGCGGCGGAGAGCGGCGCGCCGGATTCACCAGACTTTTGCGCGAATTTTATTTTTTATTAGTTAACGTTGAGATAAAACAATCAAATTTTCAGCATTGGTTGTAAATAAAGTTAACTATTTAAGAAAACCTCAAAAACTTTGCTAAAACTACTTTGTTGTATTTAAATTTTTTATTATATATGAACTTTGTAAAATAAATTTTTTTAACTCTAGAACTTTACCTAAAATTATATAATATAAAGAATAAAACTTCAATTGATATATTTAAAAAATTAAAAATTCCATACACTTCCAGTTCAACTCCAGAATTACTCATCTCTGAGTTTTAATGTTCCTGTAAAGGGTGGTGGAGTTAATGTGATTCCCTCAACCCACTGCAATTTTCCTTCGACAGTATTTGGGTCACGTTGAATAGTGAAATTCTGCAAAATATTTGCCATGAACAAGAACATGGTACGATAAGTGATGAAGTCCCCCGGGCAGCGTCTTTTTCCTAATTTGATTGTTTTCTACTAATTTAATTTGAATTAAAATCAAAGAAATTACCAAGACCAAACGCAATGTTAACCCTTTCGTCTGGAATGAATTCAGTTTTGTCGGCGTTGAGGAATCTCTCCGGTCGGAAGACGTGCGGGTCCTTCCAATAGCGTTCGTCCATCAGTGCTTGGTGCAGAACAGGCACAATAACCGTGTCCTTAGAATGGACAAATTTTTTTAATTAAGCAATTAATTGAATAATAACGTACTTTAGGAATGCGATACTGCATCAGAGTTGTGTCTTTTGTCGCCCTTCGAGCCACTGAAATCGGCCCAATTGTTGCAAAACGTAGAGTCTCCAAATTGAAGGCGCGCATCCAAACCATTCTGCATTATATTTTAGCATAAAAGATTTAAAAAATTTATTATTTTAATTACTCATTATAAGAATCCATGGTCGGTGCTACGTTTCTGCCTATGACGCGATCAATTTCCGCCTGAAGCTCTTTCTGCAACTCCTGATTTTGCGCCGCAAAGTGAAGCATGTCGACCATAGCGTCGCTTGTGGTGATCATTCCGGCCATAAGAAGGTCAATCAGACACGACACTAGCTGCTTTTCTGCAGTTTAAATCTTTTATAGAAAAATTCTTAAAAAGAATCTTGAAAATAACCATTAAAAATTTTGCTCGGCTCCTTTTGCTTGAAAATCTCTGCTAGAAACAAATCCACATAATTGTTGTGCTCTGCGTTGCAATTAAAGTTTTCCTTATGGTCGGAAATTATTTTCTGTGAAATATTTGGTGGAATAATTAGTATTTAATAACTATTTGAATATTTCTATAGATAAAATATATTTAACATAATTAAAAATTAGATGCTTTTTACTAATTCTCCATTGCGAATTCTTAAATGTCAAAAGCAATAAGCTTTTTCCAGACTTTCATCTATATAATAATTAATTTTATCACCCATAGGAAGTCTTGAAGAGGCTTGATAGCGTCGTTCAGTTTATTAAAACCGGATAATTCTGGCGCGACAAATCGGATCCAGGGCAGTCTGTTCACAAGTCCTCCAGCACCGTCGAAATTTTTTAAAAACCCCGTCACCAGATCAAGAAGGTGAATAAATTCTTTGTCGTCATAATCAAAGCGCTTTCCAGCAATCAAAAGCCACTGGCTGTTAAGAATGGTCAATTTAAACAGCTCGTCCAATTTTATTGTTTTTGAAGTCTTGAAAAATATTATAAATCATTGATTTAATTTATTTCTGATTGCCATTTTACTAGTATATGTACCTCATTGGTTTCCCCACAGCTCAATTTCAACATCTTGACAAATTCTGACGCCTCTTCTGTAATGTACCAATTCATTGTTTCCTTTCCAGCGCCAACGTCTCTCAAACATTTCATTGTAAAATTGCGCATGGCCATGCAAGTGGGTCCATCACCAAAAGCAATGCCTTTTGTGGAAAATCAGCAGCATATTTATTATTATTTTAATTTATTTCAAATATTTCTACCTAGCTTTTCTCCAAAAGTTCTCATTGTGAAAACGTATCCGTTAGGACGTCCCTGGAACTCCTCTCTAGTGAGGACGCTTTTCATTATCTCATAATCGGTGATAACGACGGTCACGTCTTGACCTAATTTCAGTCCATAAACAGGTCCGTATTTTTCAGCCAAACTCTCCAGTGCCAAAAATAGGTAACCCAGTTTTTGTTTCAGTGAGTAGACCAGGTACAAATTTCCAAACACCGGCAAAACCCATTTTGGTCCTTGAGTTTAAAAAATAAAATTATTTTAGAAAATTGTAAATGAAAACTAAATAGTTAAACGATTTATTACAGATAAACCGGCCGCAGTTTTAGTTACTCAATATTTACCTGGTGGAAAATTCTTTGGCCGCCTGCACTCTTTGTAAAGAATATGAGCGATGATCGCAAGAAAAGGAATCAGCACTAATTCCACCAACATTCTTGATCGCGAGCAAGACTTAACTGAGGTTGTTTTCAATAAAAGCGCGCTCGTGCCTCATGAACTATTTACATTTTTTATAATAGCTTATAATGCCTATTTGCTATCTTGCTTGAATCATTCCAGCATTTATATGAAGGTCGAGTGTAATTGGCTTTATTTATACGCACTTTAGAACCACACACAATTATCGTAGCACGTAGTTGCTCAAAGTGCCTTTTAGTTTTGCTACTTGTGAGTTGTGATTCTCAATTACAAGAAAAACTCTTGCTGCTATACAAATTTTGAAATTTTGTGATGCTTTTTAGTGTAGATGTGTCAGAATTTTTTACACTGGCAATCAGATCATCTTAATTTTCCAATTATCTAAATTTACGATTTGCGATAGGGAATAGAAATACAGAAACTGAGCGTGAGACGATGAAATTTTGCCCCAAACCATCGCACCTTTTGATTATTTAAACCTGGGTGATTTGATTTTTATCAATTTTTAACTAATTAGGAAACTAAAACCTCGTGCAATTGGGTGTTCAGTGCTGTGTAATTTAAAGTTAAAATAAATGGAGATAAAATTTCAACACAGTTTTGCCTCTATTGCTAATCTATAACTAATTTGTAAAAAATATTTATATTTTCGCATTTTAACTTACTTTCCACTTTTTATTAGTAAAAACAAATAATGTAATTTTCTATTATTAATTTACCTAAATTTACTCAAATATAAAGCTGGAATGGACAAATAATTTAATTTCTGATGCAATTACAATTTTTATCACAGATTCAAAATTATTCAATTTTTATTAACAGCAATTTTTTGCTGGTAAATATAATAAAATTAATTGAACATCATAAACACAACATATCAATTTTTTCCTAAACATCTTATGAATACATCATGCACTCTGATTAATCTCTCAATTTAAATGTGCCAGTGAACGGCGGTGGCGTTAAAGTAATTCCTTCATCCCACAGCAATTTTGTGTCGGCATTTGGGTCAGCTTCGACAGTGAAATTCTGCAAAATATTTGCCATGAACAAGAACATGGTGCGGTAAGCGATGAAGTCTCCTGGACAGTGTCTCTTTCCTAATTTGAATGTTTTCTATTAATTTAATTTGGATTTAAGTCAACGAAATTACCAAGACCAAACGCAACGTTAACCCTTTCATCGGGAATGAATTTTGTCCTACTTGCGTCGAGGAATCTTTCGGGCCGAAAAACCTGAGGATCTTTCCAGTATCCTTCATCCATTAGCACTTTATGAACAACAGGAACAATTATCGCATCCTAAAAATAGATGTTAAATTTTAAAAAGAAACAAGTAAAAACGTTAATATGTACATAATATATTAAAAATATTGGAAATATTAATTAAAAAATTTAAAGTAACACTTAAAAACATTTGCTAAAGCGCTTGAATTTTTACCTTAGGAATGCGATACTGCATCAGAGTTGTATCCTTTGTTGCCCTTCGAGCCACTGAAATCGGTGCAATTGTCCCAAAGCGCAAAGTTTCTAAATTGAAGGCGCGCATCCAAACCATTCTGAATAATTTTTTATTTTACATAAAGTATTTATTCTGTTATATTTTTAATTTGAAATCACTCATTGTAGGAATCCATGGTAGGTGCTACGTTTCTGCCTACGACGCGATCAATTTCCTCATGGAGCTCTTTCTGCAACTCAGGGTTTTGCGCTGCAAAATGCAGCATGTCGACCATGGCGTCGCTCGTGGTGATCATGCCAGCCAACAGAAGGTCAATAAGGCAAGAAATAAGTTCCTTATCTGAAAAGTTTAATTGTTGGTTTCACTCAGAAAAAAAAAACAAAATTTTCCAGCGTACAATTAAAAACTATACTGGGCTCCTTTTGCTTAAAAATCTCTGCCAGAAACAAATCCACAAAATTGTTGTGCTCAGCATTGGCATCAAAGTTCTCCTTGTGCTCTCCTATTAATTTCTGTAATATCATCACGATGATAATTAATATATAATTATGTTTTATATATTTGGGATAACACTCTAAAATATAAGAAAAGAGCTTTTGATTTTGATAAGTTGATTGTTGTTTAAAATCTTCGATTATTATATTCTAAAAATGTTGTTATTTTCACAACGTAAATTAAAACAATTAAGATTTTTAATATGTTATAATAATATTACATGGTTATTTAATTTGTTTACCCATAGAAAATTATGCAAAGGTTGCATTGCGTTGTTCAGTTTATTAAAACCAGATAATTCTGGCGCCACAAATCTGATCCAAGGCAGTCTTTCCACAATTCCCCCTGCACCATCAAAGTTTTTCAAAAATATCGTCACCAAATCTAGGAGATAAATGAACTCTTTATCGTCGTAATCGAACCGCTTCCCAGCAATTAGCAGCCATTGGCTGTTCAGAATGGTCAGTTTGAATAACTGGTCAAGTTTAAGCGATTTTGACGTCTATAAATTGAAATAATTATTTAGAACTGAAGCAATTGAGCTGATTATATATTATAATTTTACTTCGTTGGTGTCCCCACAGCTCGTTTTCAACATTTTGACAAATTCCGACGCTTCTTCTGTAATGTACCAATTCATTGTTGCCTTTCCAGCGCCTACGTCTCGTAAACACTTCATTGTAAAATTGCGCACGTGCGTGTAAGCGGGTCCATCGCCCACGACAATGCCTTTTGTTGAAAATAAGTATTTTTTTTCTAATTTTGTATAATACATTATACCTATACTCTCTCCAAACGTTCTCATAGTAAAAACGTATCCATGAGGTCGTCCCTGGAACTCCTCTCTGTTAAGGACGCTTTTCATTATTTCATAATCGGTGATAACGACAGTCACATCCTGGCCTAATTTTAATCCGTAAACTGGTCCATATTTTTCTGCCAAATTTTCCAGGGCCAAGAATAAGTAGCCAAGTTTTTGTATAAGGGAGTATGCCAGGTTCAAATTTCCAAACACAGGGACAAGCCATTTCGGACCTCAAAAGTAATTTACCAAAGTAATAATCTTATGAGCCGTGTAAAAAAAATGTAAACTAATTACCTGGTGGAAAATTTGGAGGTCGTATGCACTCCTTGTAAATGTAATGAGCGAAGAGCGCAAGAAGAGGAATGATCACCAGTTCGATCAACATTTTAGATCTCAAGTAAGGTAATTTTTGTACGCATATTTATATCATTTAATATCAATGTGATAATGATTATTGTTTATTGCGTATTGTTTATTTGTTTGTTTGTTTTTTTATCTTAATTGCATGTTGCCTTGAATATTTGCATGTCATGACGATATGTATGAAAACCAGCTTCAAGATTACAAGCACGTCTAACTTAATTTGTGGCAATCTTTCTTAATTATTTTTGTCAAGGAGAATCTAATAGTATTTAATAAATCGGCATTAAATTGTTTTTAAATTCATTTTGTATCAAGATCGAAAATTTAATTTTCTTGGTAGATTGACGAATTTGAAATGTTTTGCAAATTTCAACAACGCCAACCTTGGATGCGATATTTTTGCAGCAAAAAAAAATAAAGCAAAAAAAAAACTTTCATTCAAATTTTTTAGAACGAGGGTTTAAGAATCCAAATGGCCAAATAAAATTTGTATGGATTATTTCTTATTGGCAATAGAACGCAATATAAAGTGCTCTTTTATTTGAAGGGCAACACTCATATACTATAATATATGCCACTTATTATTAGTTTAATCTCATCTTATCTGAAATTTTAGACGATTCAATACTTTCTGCTCTTATAATTTTTCCTTTTGTTAAATAATGTTGCCTCAATTATAATACCGCGCTTTAATATTAATGTTTGCGATAAAAAGATTTGCAATGACAAGCATGTGCTTGTACACGTGACTTATTATCTTGAATTGCGCATCGATATTTATATTGGCGGTGTCAATCACACGTAATATTATTACTGTTGTAGACGCATATTAATAATCATAAATAAACTCGAAAAGTAGCTTACAATCGCCCTTCATTTATTTGTAACTACTTAATTAAGTAATATTTAGAAATTATTTTAATAATTATAAATAAATAAATAAATTAACGGTTTCATTATAAAAAAAATCATGCATCTGATCTCCAGGCTTAAATTTGCTGAACATTTGATACAGCCTTACAAAATTAAAAATTTTCGATAATGTTTAATCCTAAAAAACACACAAAATGTCATTAATCATTTGATTTGGTCGCGTTAAATCTAGGTTAAACACAGTAGATATTTTTTTATTGATTGGAGCCCTCAAAAACAAGATATTGTAAGATTAGATTAATTTGTGTTTAACCCCGAATGGCCCGACGAGGCTGATGGCTCCTCGCCCTTTGCCTAAACTTCGCCAGTAATAAATTTTTCGCATTCCGCTAACTATAACAATTAATTGTCAAAATTTTCAATTTTTAATACAGTGTGTAATACAGAAATAAAATCTTTAAGGTGAAAAATCGGCCCTGGCACACATTACTCTTTCGTTTGTATAAATGTGTGTATTAACACTATTAACTAGCTATTATTTTTAACAATATGATTTGTTTGCAAGTTGAAACTAATTTGCAATCAAGTGTTGAGCACCGTGTGATTTTAGCCATAAGGTGAAATTATTAAGAAAATTGAAAAACTGTGGATGCATTAATTTAAAAAAAAAATCGTATTCTTAAAGCCTTCATTATTTCCTATTCCTGTCATAAGTATTAAGTAATAAATTTATTTTTATGTTAATAATCTCCACTAAAAAGTGAAACAGCCCCACATCATTTTCAGATTTACTTTAATTTTTTTTTATAGTTGAAAGTATGGCAGGCTGAAAAAAAATACAATTCGTCTGTATATAAATTATATTTAAATAGTTGAAAACACGGTATATGTTTTACAAAAATGTGTTTATTAAAAAAAACTAGATGCAAAATACATATGATACAGTCATCATTCTGAAACTTATCAATACATCGTTAATTGCCAATGGTTGCCAATAATAATTCTATTCTCTCAATTTAAATGTGCCAGTGAACGGTGGTGGCGTTAAAGTAATTCCCTCATCCCACAGCAATTTTGTGTCGGCATTTGGGTCAGCTTCGACAGTGAAATTCTGCAAAATATTTGCCATGAACAAGAACATGGTGCGGTAAGCGATGAAGTCTCCTGGGCAGTGTCTCTTTCCTAGATTAAAAAGTAGCAGAATGTACAGAATAATTTGAGTTGTCACTTGTCGGTAGAACTTACCATATCCAAACGCAACGTTAACCCTTTCATCCGGAATGAACTTTGTCTTACTTGCGTCGAGGAATCTTTCGGGCCGAAAAACCTGGGGGTCTTTCCAGTATCCTTCGTCCATTAATACTTTGTGAACAACAGGCACAATTACCGCGTCCTATATACAAATGTAAATTAATCTTATGCATTGTATAATGTATAATTTAAAAATAAAATGTTAAACAAAGAAAAATAACAGTTTAAAAAGAAACTAGTAAAAAAATTCATTTAATGAATTGCTATAAAACAGTTTTACTTTAGGAATGCGATACTGCAACAGATTTGTATCCTTGGTTGCCCTTCGAGCCACTGAAATCGGCGCAATTGTCGCAAAGCGCAAAGTTTCCAAATTGAAGGCGCGCATCCAAATCATCCTGGATAATTATTTATACAGAATTTATTTTATTGGATATTTTTTTTCCCGAATTACTCATTGTAGAAGTCCATGGTAGGAGCTACGTTTCTACCTATGACGCGATCAATTTCCACATGGAGCTCTCTCTGCAAATTAGGGTCTTGCGCCACAAAGTGCAGCATGTCGACCATGGCGTCGCTTGTTGTGATCATGCCGGCCAGCAAAAGGTCCATTAGGCACGATATAAGTTCTTTTTCTGCAAACGTTTGATGATTATGGAAAAAAGAAAATCATATCACAATTTCAAGTAAAATCACCATTAAAAACTTTGCTTGGCTTGTTTTGCTTAAAAATCTCCGCCAGAAACAAATCCACATAATTGTTGTGCTCAGCATTGGCATCAAAATTTTCCTTGCGTTCTCCAATTAATTTCTGTTATTTATATCATCAATAAAATAATTAAATTAAAAAAATAATCAGAAAAACATTCTCATTATATTATTTAGATTTTTTCTCTCTTTGTAATAATGCCCCTATAATATATACAATTGTATTGATAAATTTTTTAAATCAGTGATGATTTGTTTGAATTTATTTAACTTTACCCCGCTTTTACCCATAAAAACTCTTGCAGCGGCTTGATGGCATTGTTGAGTTTGTTAAAGCCAGATAATTCTGGTGCCACAAATCTAATCCACGGCAGTCTGCTCACGAGTCCTCCTGCGCCATCAAAATTTTTCAAAAAATCCGTCAGCAATTCAAGAAGGTGAATAAATTCTTTGTCGTCATAATCAAAACGCTTTCCAGCAATCAAAAGCCACTGGCTGTTCAGAATTGTCAATTTGAATAATTGGTCTAGTTTAAGCGATTTCGACGTCTATAAAAAAGATTTTTTGTAAATATTTGTATTCAGCTAAATATTAAAATATTACTTCTTTGGTGTTTCCACAACTCGTTTTTAACATTTTGACAAATTCCGAGGCCTCGTCCGTAATGTACCAATTCATTGTTTGCTTTCCAGCACCAACGTCTCGCAAGCATTTCATGGTAAAATTGCGCACCGCAGTACAAGTGGGTCCATCAGAAAAACCAATACCTTTATTTTGTTAGAAAACATAATTATTATAATAGTTATATCAAAATTTTCCACCTAATTTTTCCCCAAAAGTTCTCATTGTGAAAACGTATCCATTAGGGCGTCCCTGGAACTCCTCTCTGGTGAGAACGTCTTTCATAATCTCATAATCGGTGATGACGACGGTCACGTCCTGGCCTAATTTTAACCCGTAAACTGGTCCGTATTTTTCCGCCAAATTTTCCAGCGCCAAGAAAAGGTAGCCGAGTTTCTCTTTAAGAGAGTAGGTCAGGTTCAAATTTCCAAACACGGGGACAAACCATTGCGGACCTGAAAGGGGAGAATATCAAAGAATTTAATGAGCCGGTTATTTAAAATTAAAATATATTAATATTTGCCTGGTGGAAAATTCTTTGGCCTGCTGCACTCTTTGTAAATGAAATGGGCGATGAGCGCGAGAAGAGGAATCAGCACCAATTCGACCAACATTGTGCCTCCAACTGTCCAACTGAAATTTAGCTGAGGTTTCTTCCATTATAAAGGAACGCATATATATGTACCATCTAATAGTGTTTTGATAAAAAATTCTTGTCAATTTTTTTTTATCTTTATCCTTTTACGTCTGGTGTATGACCTTCAAGAAGTTCAATGGCTTTAACAAATTCTATATTAATTTTATAATCGGTTTCCATGTCAAAGTGTATCTTGTTCTTGCTAGTGCTCTTCAACACTTTTTCTTTAATATTTTCAAACTTTGATTTAAACTTGAAACTTAACATATAATTGTAATAAACCATAATATTGAATTGGTATTCAAACTAGAATGTAAAATTTTATGTTCATATACTTCAATTAAAAAATTATAAATAGGCACGCAATTATACCAACCATTTTAAATATTTTTGATCTGATATTTATTATCACCAATTTTTTTTTTATCTCTAATTGCCTTCTTCAATCTGAAATATGAAATATAAGTATAACCTTATCATGCAACCGCGCAGATTTCACATTTCATTATACTAAAAAAAAGCACGTCTAAACATAATTGTCGGCAGATCCAATCGTAGCAGTGAACGCTTATAAATTATTGCAAGAAAATATAAAAAAATCTTTATATTTTGAAACAATGGTTGTGAGTGAATTTTATTCTGCGCATTGATATCTGACTGAAATTCAATTATTAAATTTCTTATTGGATGAATTATGTGGATATATATTATGTCAAAGTCCCGTTTATCCAATAACTTATTGATTTCTTTTTGTTAAAAATTTCTTGTTATAAAATTAATGGTAAATTTTCAACGCAATGATGTAAGCCTTCGTGTGCCACTTACAACTCCACATTTAATGTATTTAATTAAATTAATTTTTCAACTTAAGTTACACTACTTTTAGTTATAATGTTTGCTCTCACTTTTTGCCATACTGATAATTACTTTTTGTTTTAAACTTTGAGCCACAATAGATTTGCAGCAAAAAGCGTGTTTTATTACAGTGCCTTATCTTGAGATCGCCGATTGATCCTTACATTGGTCTATATCTGGGTACGCGCAACATTGAGGGCGGTGTTAATTGTTATATAACAAATTCTACATAATGCGAAAGAAGTTCAAAATCACCATTTTTTGTTATAATCAACTATTTAATCCACACATGTTGTCTCTATTCAAAGTTTCTTTACTGAAAAATCGTATAAAGCATCTCTTTTTGCCGGTATTGCAGAAAATTTCCAAATATAACGTAGCTTAAAAAACAAGATATCTCACCCACAGGATTAAATTATAATCCTAAGAAACAGCCGTAAATCATTTAATTTGGTGACTTCTAGGTTCGAAAGAGCGTAAATCAATTTTGTTTTTCGGGGCTCTTGAGCCAGATTGAGATAAGATTTGGCTTTTGGTTTAAAAACGCGTGGTCCGGCAATTGCAAAGTCACTTGTCCACACCAACTCCCAGGATGGTTCGATCTGTGCTGGTTCTCGCCCTCTGCCTGGCCGTTGCCAATGGTAAATTTTTTGCTTGAAAATGAGTTTTTTTTTTCTTTTAAAATGTGAAATTTTTCTAGGCCAAGGCGCCTTCCGCCTGGCAAACTACTACCAAAACGATATGGTTCTGCAAATGGAGCCAAAGAGCGCCGTCGTTTGGGGATTCGGCGACGTTGGTGCGTCGATCGAAGTCAATTACGACAACAACCAGGTCGTTACAAGTGTCGCCGGTATATAATCAGTCTTATCTCTAAATTGAATTTAGTTTTTAACATATTTTTAAATATTAGCCGATGGTACTTGGAAAGCCAAGCTTTTGCCTCACGCTGCTGGAGGTCCTTTTGATTTCCAAGTCATCCAGGTAAAGAAAAGCAAATAAAAAAAATCTAGTTGAAAGTTAATTTTTTTATTAGAATGGCGTGGACACTATCAATTTTTCTGCGTGGTTTGGAGATGTGTGGGTTTGCAGTGGTCAAAGCAACATGGAAATGCCCATCATCCAAGTAATGTATTTTTTATTCTTTAATTGTCATTTATAATAAATCGAAATTAGATCTACAATGCTACTGAAGAGACCAACAACGCCCTCAGGTACCAGAACATCCGCCTGCTGCAGCTCGGAAAGTCCTTCTCCATTGACACTGAATTGAGTGAGGTCACCAGCTTTAACGTCGGCTGGAGTGCGCCTACCGCCAGTAAATAAATTTATATTTTTTTTATATTATATGAAAATTAAATTAAATTTTGCGCGCAGGCAATGTTCCTGGCTTCTCTGCCCTTTGCCTTTTGTACGGCGAGCGCATTTCTGAAGCTCTCGGAAACACTCGGCCCATCGGCCTGATCGACTCCACCTGGGGTGGAACTCGCATTGAGGCCTGGTTCTCCAAGAGAGTGCCCGTGTATTGCCTCACTCCTGCCAATGATGGGTAAAATTATTACCCATTTATTATTATTATTATTAATAAAAAAAAACAATGGTTTGAATTAAATTAATTTGTTGAAATTATCAACGCAGCTTTCACCTTTTTCAGTGTGAAATGTAAATGAAATCTACACTAATACACTCACTTGCAGCCTTTTGTTACACAAATGGCAGATATTTTAAATGAAATTTTAACCATTTTTTTCTGATTTAGCGTTGACCAAAACTCTGAATCTGCTCTCTGGAACGCCATGATTGCTCCTTTGACGAAGACCTCTGTCCGTGGAGCAATTTGGTACCAGGGCGAGAACAATGTCGGCAACAACCCCACATACTACTCTTGCCACATTGCGGCTTTGGTCAGAGACTGGAAGCTAACTTTTGTTGATGGACAAGTTGGAGCTGAAAATGACGTAGCTTTTCCCTTTGGCGTTGTCCAGGTATTTCTTAAATTTTAATTACTCAGTCTATTTATTTTTATTTATCTTCCATTATTCATAGCAACATTACATATTGCAAAAAAAGTACATTCTTTTTTCTAAATGAACATTTTTAAGCATTTATATTTATTGAATGTAATATCATTTTAATAATTTATAATTTTTATTGTATGTTATCAAAATTGCTTTTTTAATGAATTTCAATGCAATCATAAAATAGCAATAAAATTTATCATGAAAGTGAATAATAAAATAAATTAAAACTTTTATTTTCTATATTAATAATTTTGGAAATGCGGTACTTGTATTACTGTACACGTGTGAGTATTTCTTCAGTTATTAAAGCTAAAAATAAACAATATATTTTGATAATTGATAATATCCAATCAGGCCATCAGCAAATATACTATTAAAAACAAGTTTTCATTAATAACAGATTGGGCCTTATGAAGCAGGAGATAACTATGATTGGGGCAAACTTCGTTTCCACCAGACTGCTGACCAAGGCGTTTTGCCCAACCCTTTGCTGGCCGACGCTTTCTTTGCTGCCGCTTATGATCTGACTGACCGCAATGCGCCCACAGGAGAGTAAGCAATTTTTTTTTCAAATAAAAAATAATAATTTATTTTTAATTTCCCTATTTAGCATCCACCCCAGAGACAAACAGACCGTCGCTGACCGTTTGTCCAATGCTGCTCGCAAACTCATTTACGGTGAAGATTTGCAGGCTTACGGACCTAGGGTAAAATTAGTTTATAAATACAAATAAAATTACCGAAAAAATTAATGCAGCCCATTGATTCTGCTGTGAGCGCGCCTGGGGAGATCACCATCACTTTTGATAGGAACATCAGGGTTTCAGGCACCACTGGATTTGCTGTGAGCATTTCTTTGTTTAAATGTTAAAATTTATTAAAAATATTTTTTTTCTTTATTTTTTTTGTAGACCCAAAATTCTGCTGGAGCTTGGGTGCCGACTAGCATCGTCGCCAGCACTGGAAACACTGTGACTGTTGCTGTCGCTGCTGATGACGTCCTTTTGACCTACGCCTACAGGTCAACTGTATGCGAGTACAAGCAGTGCTCAATTTACTCTGACGACGCCGCGGATCTGCCAGCACAACCCTGGCAGTGGGATCTGGCTTAAAAGTTTTATGAATAGTAACGCTCTCTGTATAACTATCATCTACTGTACGCAAAAATAAATGAAGTGTTTTTGAGACTGGTATGAATAAATTTTGTAGTGTCTTTCATCTGTTAATGAAACGTATTGTGTTTTGGGCCACTGCTTTGATGCTATTTTTTTTAAGAACGCATAAAAGAAAAGAATCATAATAAATTGAGCGAATTTGAGTATATAAAGAATAATAAAAAGCGCTTCTAGCTTTTTTTCAACAATTCCAATAATTGAAAATGAACAATATAAAAGAAGTAATATTTTAAAATCAATTTAAGAATAAATACAGACCGAGAAGAATAAATAATAATAATATAAATAATAATTGTCTCGTGAATTATTAACCTTTTATCTTATTCTTATGCAAAAAATGCATTTATAATTTTTTTAACTGTCAAACTTGCGAGAGAACTGTGGATGGGTCCAAGCAAGTTCAATGATTTCATTTATTGGACCACACTTGAGCGTGATTGAGATTAGATTAATCCATTGTTTTAAAATGTGAAGTCCGACGTTCATCAAACAGAAACTGAAAAGATATGGCTCGATCTGTTCTGATCCTTGCCCTATGCCTGGCCGTCGCCAGCGGTTGGAATATTTTTAATTGAAATTTTATAATTCACATTAAACTATAATTATTATTTCAGGCCAGGGCGCCTTCCGCCTAGCAAACTACTACCAGAATGATATGGTCCTGCAAATGGAGCCAAAGCGCGCCGTAATCTGGGGATTTGGCGAAGTCGGTGCGCGAATTGAAGTGAATTTTGAAAATTCCCAGATCGTGTCTGGTGTTAATGGTAATTAAATACAATATTTACTTTTAAAGTTATAGAACTTTCAATATATTAATTAAAATTATTTCAGCCGATGGTACTTGGAAAGTAACTCTTTTGCCTCACGCAGCGGGAGGTCCAATTGATTTTGAAATTATACACGTAGGAAAAGGAAAGAAACGTTTGAAATTTGAAATTAATGTGCTACTTATTACACTAGAACAACGTAGACAGAACTGTGTTAACGGCTTGGTTTGGAGACGTTTGGGTCTGCAGTGGTCAAAGCAATATGGCAATGCCCGTCAGTCAGGTATATAAAATTATTGAAGAATAATAACCATAGAACCTAGTAACTCTGATAAAAAATAAAATAGATTTACAACTCGACTGAAGAAGTGAACAATGCTCTCCTGTATCCAAATATTCGTATTTTAAAAGTTGAAAGGAAATTTTCCATAGACGCAGAACTTGACGAAGTCAACAGCTTTAACGTTGGCTGGAGTGCACTTACCGCCAGTAAAATAAAATGATTAGATTATTATGCAGCATAACAAATTATTTCAAATTAAATAATGCCTGCAGGCAATGTTCCTGGCTTCTCTGCCCTTTGCCTTTTGTACGGCGAGCGCATTTCTGAAGCTCTCGGAAACACTCGGCCCATCGGCCTGATTGACTCCACTTGGGGTGGAACTCGTATTGAGGCCTGGTTCTCCAAGAGAGTGCCCGTCTACTGCCTCACTCCTGCCAACGATGGGTAAAAGCAAAAGACGTTTTTATTAAAAAAAATTTTTTTTATATATAATAAAAAAATTCAAAATAAAAAAAAATAAGAATAATTAATCGAAACTGAATAGCGTTGACCAAAACTCTGAATCTGCTCTCTGGAACGCCATGATTGCTCCTTTGACCAAGACCTCTGTCCGTGGAGCAATTTGGTACCAGGGTGAGGCAAACGTAGGCAACAATCCCACATACTACGCTTGCCACATTGCAGCTTTGGTCAGAGACTGGAAGCTAACTTTTGTTGATGGACAAGTTGGAGCTGAAAATGACGTAGCTTTTCCCTTTGGGGTTGTCCAGGTATTTATAGAATTTCAATTAAATATAAGCTTTTGATCATTTATTTTCTGCGTGGGATTAATTGAAAATTTGTTCAAATTAAATCTTAGTTCCTCACTTAAATTCTTCAATAAATAAATGCAAATAATAAAATAACTTTCAATAAATAAAACTAGAATCAATTGTTTCTGCATTAAGATATAAATTTTATTCATATTTACTTTTGCCAAGCATTTTCACAAATAAAAAATTCATCAATAATAAAAAAATAAAATGAAGCAAAGTCAGCATTGTCAGCAATTTTCTAAAAATATAATTTTTATTGAAATTTATAGGTTGGACCTACTGAAAGAGGAGATAACTACAATTGGGGCAAACTTCGTTTCCACCAGACTGCCGACCAAGGCGTTTTGCCCAACCCTTTGATGGCAGACGCTTTCTTTGCTGCCGCTTACGATCTGACTGACCGTGATGCGCCCACAGGAGAGTAAGTTATTTTTATGAAAAAAATAATTAGTGAATTATTAATTTAATGAACCAATGTATTTAGCATTCACCCCAGGGACAAACAGACCGTTGCTGACCGTTTGTCCAATGCTGCTCGCAAACTCATTTACGGAGAGGATTTTCAGGCTTACGGACCTAGGGTAAAAATAATTATTGTGAAGAAAATAAAATTAAAAAAGTAATGCAGCCCATCGATTCTACGGTGAGCGCGCCTGGGGAGATCACCATCACTTTCGATAGAAACATCAGAGTTTCTGGCACCGAAGGATTTGCTGTGGGCACTTTCCTTATCGTGGTAAAATGGATTTAAACTTAATTTTTTAGACCCAAAATTCTGCTGGAGCTTGGGTGCCGACTAGCATCGTCGCCAGCACTGGAAACACTGTGACTGTTGCTGTCGCTGCTGATGACGTCCTTTTGACCTACGCCTACAGGTCAACTGTATGCGAGTACAAGCAGTGCTCAATTTACTCTGACGACGCCGCGGATCTGCCAGCACAACCCTGGCAGTGGGATCTGCCAGTTTAATAAAAATATAATAAATAATAACCCTCTTTGTGTAACTAACATCCACTAGTAAAAAAATAAATAAAAATAAATAAATAAATAACGATTAAAGACGTATTTCTGGTATTTCCTGCCTTTCTCTTCTTATGATTATGTTTTGTAATTTTTATTCCGGCTAAAATTCGGCCAGCGAGAAATTCATAAAGCTTAGAATTTTTCATATCTTATGGAAAAATCACCAATAATATGAAAACTAATAATATGAAAGTCACGCATGCAAAATATATACATTTTTCAATTTTATAAAATGTTATATATATGTTGATGCCCAGCAGATGCCTTAATTGTTTTTGTCTAACAAAGTGCCTCTCTCGAATTTGATTTTTCTCTTTATGTTAATTCATCAACAATTAGCAACAAAATTATATTAAATTAAAAAAAAACTGCGCATTGTCGCATTGTAATAATTCTTTTATTAAACGCGTTTGCGTACAACATGTTTAAGTGCCACACGCGGTTACGACATCTCTCGCGCCTTTGCAGGTTTTGCTGCTTGGCGGAAAACAATCGAGCATCGCCCGCCCGAACCCGAATCATAAACATACGGCCGCCATGATGTCAACTAGGCTGTGAGAGTCGTGATTTCGAGTAGAATTTCGATTCCTCGAAGGTAATTGTGTGGAGAACCCACTGAAATCCTATTTGAATACTTCTTGAATCATTTTCTGGCCGTGTTCGTATGATTTTCTCAAGTCGAACTCTTTTGCTCGTCTTACAATTTCGGTCGCCTTTCACGGCCTGTACAAGCTTCCCATGTCTTTGTGGTCGAGGATAAAGTCCAGTTTTCTCGACACATCAGCCACACTGTCGAAACTTTCAATTTGTATTTGAAACAATCAGAAATTTAAACGATTTATTAAACTGAAAAACTAATGTTTCGTGCGAATGGCGTGAGTCTGAATTTCGGAATTTTTTTTGCAGTTTCGGAAATGGAGGATCAACGCCAAAGTGCGGGTCCTCAGAAGAGGTCCATTGACGACCTGATCGAGAACCTGTCGGCCGACCGAGTGGACAGCGAAGGGCAGTACAATCAGCTGGGGTTCTCGCCCATTGCCTCTCAATGGCCTCCCTACCTGCAGCAGCAACAGCCGCAGCCCTTTGTGCCCCACGAGGCGGACCATCTGCACCGTTTCCAACTCGGCAACCCAAGGCCCAGTTCACAGCCCATCATTGGGGCCCACAACGAAGACCTTGTTGGTTTCTACAACTACAGCAGCCCACCGGTCAACTCACTGTTTCCTCTTCAAGATACGTCGGCCATGAGGTTGATCTTTAAGACCTGAATCTATATAATTTTACGATGTTAATAGCAAACCTGGCCTTTTTAGATTCAACAACTTTGCCGGCTACTGCGAAAGTGATGAGTTTGGACTGTTTAGGAGACCCGTCCCTGAACAGCCTCCGCTGCCTCCGCAGCCGATGCAGGAGAGAAACTACATTGACAATCTGATGTGCAACTGGTCCTCTCAAGGAGGCGGCACCTACAATCCTTTTGGTATAGTGAGTTCTCCAGAGAGATTGCCAGAGCCTCAACCGCAACCCCCGCCACCACTGGAAGAAAAGATTGTCCCTAAAAAGCGAATGGTCGCTGAGGTGATAATTTAGTTTTTTTTTTCACTTGAATCGGTTGATAATTTTTTCCACAGGTGAAACCAATGCGACCTTCGTACTCGGACATAGTGAGCAAATCACCACCAACAAAACCTCGCAATTTGAGTCCCAACATCTCTAACAAAACCGATTCCATGGCTGCCCTCAAGTCGTCTAAGACGACCCTGAAAAGTGGCAAAATTTCCAACGGAAAGAAAGGCAGTGTGAATGGATCAGGTTTGAAACGACAGCTGTCAGGTGACGAGCCCTGCCCTCAGAAAGTCGGTCTTGAAGCTCGAACTTCATCTCCTGTGCCAATTTTGTACCAGAGGAGGGCGTCTGTTGAGGACGGCTCGATCGGAGGAGACGAAGATGAAGACCGGTCTGCCCATGACAGTTCCTCGCAGTCGGGAGACTCGTCCGCTAAGAATTCAGACTCTTTCAAGGTCCGCGCTGTCAAGAGTGATTGCCGTAATGTGGAGGGAGGCGTGCCATTGAACAACCACAAAGCCTCCAAGCCTGGAGTGGCCAAACGCCCGTTGCACATTAACAACAATCTCAACTTGCCACCTCGGGCTGCTGAGAAGAATTTGGTCAAGGGTGGAGGAAAACCCTGCAAGAATTGTGGTGAAGACCGCAGAGGTAAATTTTTTTCATTGGAACTTTAAAAGATTCAATTTATTTAAAATAAGGAGTGACTAATTCAACCTCGTCCGGTGGAAAGAGCGAAGGGAAAAACAACAAAACTAGAAGTTCTAGCCAAGGGCAAGACAAGTCCGCCAATGGCAGCCGCAAAGGAAAAGGCAAGAAGAAGGACTGCCCCTATTCATTCAGTACGTAGTTAAGCCTAAAATGGTTGAATTTTTCTAATAATTGTGTTAGGTGCCGTTTGGCCAATTGTGTACCGCCACTTGATCCAGTGGTGCGCTGTGGCCTGGCTGGCCATTTCTTGGTTCCTGCACCTTCTTTCTGACGTCCTTGGCATGAGCTCAAAACTAGGATGGCACCTGTAAGAGTCTAAAGAATCAAAACTTAAAATTTCTAAACGTCCAGCATCAAATTACAACCAGTCTCTCAAGGACAGGTTGTGTCGCGCTCGGACTAAATTAAATTTGCTGTGAAGCGATGCGATTTGGATTTTCCAGATTGCAGACTGAACGGCTTAACATTTTTTTAATACATTCAATTTTCCGTCAGACTTTTGTTGAGTATAATTAATCTTAATTTTTATATGAACCATTTTCTACTTGCTTTTTGGGTTAATTAATATGTTATTTTAATGTTTCAGAATTTTTGATGCTTTATTATGTTTTAGTTGTGGATCTGCCTGTGGCAAAGTGAAACAATTGGCGAGTGATAGTTGGGGCTACGTGAAGAATTCTCTGCCGTTTTTGTCCTCTCAGCAACAGCAGCGTCGATCTCGGCACCGTCACCAGGCCTCACCGCCTCGCTGGTGGAACAAGTGGATTCCCAAGTGGCTCAAGTGGGGCAGCAAGAAGCCATGGGAGCACAATGAGCCGTCCAAACTGGAGGCAAATTTGCCGTTGCCCGCTACAGGAGATGAGGCAATGAAGAGACTGCTCTCTTGTAGAGGAAAAGACCCCTATAGGTCAGTGGATCTCATTTTTTAATACGAATCATCTAATGCTGTGTTCAAAATTGCAGCATTCTTGGCGTAGCACCTTCTTGCACGGACGATGACATCAAGAGATATTACAAGCGCCAGGCGTTTCTTGTCCACCCTGACAAAAACAGCCAACCCGGTGCTGAAGAAGCATTCAAAATTCTTGTCCACGCTTTCGACCTTATCGGCGAACCTGTAATATTTAATATTTGTTGAGATACTTGTTCATCCTCTAAATTAATTTTGTTATTCAGGGAAAGCGTCAGCTTTATGACACTGAGCTTGCTCGCTCCCACCTAGAGGAAGCCGCTTACAGCGAGCTGAGTGATTTGCTGAACCAATTGCACCAGAAGATGGAGGAGGCGGCCAACACGATCAGATGCACTAACTGCGGCAAGAGGCACAGAAGAATCCCCGTCGACAGACCTTGCTATGCGGCCCGAATGTGTTCGCAGTGCAAAATCCACCATTCTGCTAGAGAGGTAACAATAAAACCATATTACAAGTTACGTCCATCCAAAATTACATTTTTGGTCACCTGTCAAAAATGTGTCGCTGACGGACAACAGCAAAACTATTGAAATATTGAACTTATATTGTGCTTGCTTTTTTGAAGCAAGCAAGATATGACAATTTCTAACATATAATTATGTTAGTAAAATTAAAAAAACAAAACAACAACGTTTTTGTTGAAGAATTTCCAAATTAATTCCTCTTTGTCTAGGGTGACATTTGGGCTGAGAGCAGTGTAATGGGCTTTCTCTGGTACTACTACGCCTGCATGGAGGGATCTGTCTATGACATTACTGAGTGGGCAGCCTGCCAAGCAGACAACCTGCGCCACCTGAAGGCCAACAGCCACGCTGTTCAATACCGCATAGTCTTGGGCAAGAGGAACAACAACCAGTCAAGCAAGAACAGTGCTGACGGCAGAAAGACGGACCAGCCGAGGTAGGTTAGAGTTGGAAATAACTCAACCTTCAAGTAAACAAGTAATGCTCCTTCACAGTGAGCCAGATTTGGAGGACTTTCTGAACAGTCTGTACAGCCAGAGCAACGGACGCAAGGAAAACGACAGTCCCCATCACCAAAATGAGCAAGCTCGAAAACGAAAGGCCCGCCGCAAAAAGTAAACTTCTTCCCTCATAAAACACATTTGGAATTCTGTTTTTAAAGATACTTGTAATTTGCCACATCATCTCCGCCATGCAACACCTGTTTTACTTTCACTGATGTAAGGTTTGTGCAATTTTGTTGTGGCAGCAAAATCAAAGAGGTACTCCCAAAATTCTGCATTCAGTTCTTAAAATTTGTCGACAGTGGATTTTTTCTTAAAAAATAATTTGAATCTCCATTAACAACCATTTCCTAGAGCCAAATTCTGTCATTTTGCACCCAATAATGAATTAATCGGAAATAATCACTAAAATTTGAAACCAAAGTTCAGGAATTATTTTAATCCACTTCAGGTGTCAGAGCTGGCTCACTTGAGTCAATGAAATGAAATTTTGTTCTTTTGGATTTCCTGATATTTGAATCATGAATAATCTTTTAATCAAGAAGTAGTAGTAAGTAGTACTTGAGAGAGTTTCCCACGATTTCCACCTAAACAAAAGTCCCCTCACGTCATAATATAACATTTGAATTGTTACCAAAAGCTTCGATTGGATTCAACTTGTCTTGTGCCCAATTGATGGGTTTTAGCAACAATCAAATAGTGTTTCATTGTTGTGATGGGTGGATCTCGACCTAAATCATGCTTAATTTGTACAGCAAAAAGAGAAACGGTCACCTCTGCCGTATTAAAACAGCGATCAAGGTATTTTATGGAATGAATTTTTTTTGCCCAGAAAGACTTGTGATATAAAAATCGTAACACTTTGAAGGCAGAATGAAAACTAAAAAAAAAGCATTTTGACTTGCATACCTGTGTGTGCAAAAAAAGTTCAATAACTGATATGTTTGTAATTTTAAAAATCATTTAACTGCTGATAATTGCGCTTGAGTAAATAACATGATGAATACAGTAATTTTCAAAAATTATTTGTGTAATTTATAAATATTCCCTAGGATATAATTACAAAAATGAGAGTTCTAGAACTTCACAACTGCTCGAGGAAGCAACCTTCAAGAAATTGCATGCACATGACCTCATCAATGCAAGTATTGATGTCTCGCAGTTGAACAGTCTTTTTCTTTGACCTGGCAGTCACTTTGTACACCTCCTTTGCGAAACTCTGGATGAATAGTTCCTGAAAAGACACACATCAATAGAAGCATAAATTTATTTTCAATTACATATATATTTAATTCTTACAGCTGCTTTGGCCACCAAAAATGCTGCTTCTCCATTGACTCTATCTACATCCTCGTCCAGTTTTATAATTTGCTTGATCCTTGATAGAGGCAACTGTAAATAACATATCGATAAAAAGAAAATGCAATTAAATTAATTAAGAAGACATACTCGGACAATTTTATCCGTCGTCAAACCGGACTTTTCACTTTGCTTGTTTGACGCATTTCCGTCACCTTCGACGGCCATGGCATCCTCCTGAACGTCTTCGACATCACCCTCTTCATCACTGTCTGCATTTAAGAGCTCCTCTAGCATGTCATCGTCCAAATCTTCGTCGTCCTCTTCATCCTCCTCATTAAATTCTCCTTTGGCTCTGTTTTCTTCGGCAGCGGGCTCCGAACTTTCTACTTCGACTTCAGCGACGTCGGAATCAAAAAGTGTGCTTGGCTCGGTTTCGGCAGAGTCCATTTGCATAGTGTCTGGAGTGTCCGACTCCATGATCTGTAGATAAAAATTGCAGGACAGAAGAAAAGAAAAACGAAAATTATCTGCAGACCTACGGCAGCTCGGGCAGCTGTGTTTTTTGGCGCTTTTGGTTGGGCTCAGAAATCAGTTTAGCCAACGTAAGGCAATAAAGCCTGCTGACAAAATCTTTTTATTTCTTGCCTAATTAAATTACACAATTTATGCTAAATTTTCATTCAAATTAAATTTAAAATATAAATAAAAAATAATTGATAAACGTTATCCTTATTATCAAAAAACAAAGCAACATTTTTAAAGTGGATCATTGTGATGTTGCCCATTTATTATGGTCATAATGACGTTTCAGTCCATGTGGGACCTGTCCAACAGGAGTCCATGTGGTTGTTATTTTCTTGATGAAAATGAGACGATCAGACAAGTGAATTTTAATTCTGGAATCCATAATATAGCGTCATAATTTTTGAGAGAATATATTTATTTTCATAGTTTATCAATAACCTTAAAATTATACTTATTATTTTCTTATTATTTTCAGATTTTGTGTGTAGAAATCGCAGTTGAGAGAGCTTGAGAGCTCATCATGGCAACAATGAATTTGCGGATCACAGGCAGCAAGTCGAAAAAGATTGCAGTGAAGTCTATGAATCCATCACAATTTCCAAACCACTGCTTCGATTTTTGTGAGCAACTGCACTCAGGTCTGGAAAGATTTTTTTTTCTTTTCAAATTTTCGTACACAGAATTTTTTTTTGTAAATTATTATGCATCAAAATTAAATTATTCCCTTCTAGTTTTATTGGGGGAAATTTAAAAAAAAAATGATTCATGTATTGTTTCAGGATTGATCCATGAATTTTCCTCTATCACGAAAAAAGTGCGACTCTTTCAGCTAGTATGCTCTGCAGCTCCTCCAGAGGAAATTCTCCAGGAAGTCAAAGAAATTTCAAGCCAGGTAAAAAATGAGCAATAAACTAAAATTAACCTGCACTATAATGGTTTGATAATTTAAAATTATTATTTGTCTTTTACAGGGCTGGCCAAATAATTTGGATAGTGCTGAGAAAACACAATTCCTGCAGTGTTTGGTTGTCCTGTACCTTCTGGCTGATTACCAGGGTCATGTCAAAAATGCATTTTTTAAGTATGTAATTTTATATAAACCTAGTTTCGCTTATATAAGACTTTCTCTAATATTTCAGAATTTTGGATCAAAGTGTTAAATGTGAGCATTCTTGGGACAAAGTTGCAGAGCTCTTTTCTCAATATTTACGCAGCGCTGTCAAAAAGACATCAGACCAGTCTTCTGCTGCAGGCACCATAACTCATTTGACAAAAAGTCTGGCTCTTGCAGAAAAATTTATCATTCCTTGCTGGAAAGACACCCTCGAGTTCCTCAAATGCGGAGTTAAAACACATTCAGAGTTGAAAGAGTGAGACGATCATTATTATTATTTTTTTTAAGTGAAGGCAATAACAATTGTTTAAATTTTATTCCTCTTAGTCTCTCCGAGATGGTTGCGGTTGAACAGCAAATCATCTTTCGAGGTCTGCATATTCTGTCTCAGGCAGCATCCACAGTTTTGCAAGTTGCAAACAAAACTTTGAGCTTTGGATTAGGAGCTACTGACCAACTGAGCAACTTGCTAGGGACATTCACCGAACTTCTTGCCGAACCACCACCACAGCTTCCATTTGACACCTTGAGCTCCTGTGCCATGAGTGCAATTTTGTGTGCCGACAGGCTTCAGGAAAATTTGTCGAATGCAGTTTGTTTTTAAAATTTTTTATTTGTAAATTTTTTTAACAATAAATAACAATTTTTATTTTTTCAGACAAAAATTTTACAAGTGTTAGCTGTGATAATGGTTGAAAAAGAACAAGTGGAAACCTCAAACTGGATTGCGCTCAAGGATTGCAGCACACCGGTGAAACTCAGTCTATGTTCTGCCTTGCTTGGAATTTATAAAGTCGAAGAATTGGCAAGAATCAATTTAAAAAATGAGCATCTATTGCTGAAAGTCTTTGAATTTTTGGCCGACAAGTCTGCCAGGTAAATTTTTTTTTTAGTATTCGACAAAAAATTATATTCATTTTTAGGAGCTCGGAGTCAAACATAATTTTGGGCAGCTGTCGATCAATTGCAGCTCTTGGCAAACTTTTGCCCCAAGCAGCAATTCTTTGCCCTGACCTCATTCGTTCTCTGCTGCCAAAAGCTACAGAGCACTGCATAGTTTACTTAGAGCATCACATGGACAGTGTTCGACACGCCACTAAAGCGTTTTTGGCCTCATTTCTAGCTGCTTGTCAAAATGGTATATTATTTTTATTAAAAATTTACTTTTTTTCCAAAACACAAACTTTTATCTCCAGATGAAACTTCAACATCATACGTAATAAACAGCTTTAAAAAGCTTCCATCAGACTCAAAAGCAAAATTTTTTGGTGTTGCTGCTTTGGGCAGCAGCTTGGGATCTTCCACAGTTTTAATGCATTTCTCTGGCTTAGTCGACTGGCTTCTTAATTCTCTAAAAAATACAACGCTTGCTCCTCATGTAAGAAATCTATAATATGGACAGAATCAAAATTAGTCAGCAAATTTTAAACTCTAGGCTAGCAGCACTTTGGAAGTTTTGATGAAAAGCCATATTAATATCGAAGTCCCAGTTGAGCTTTGGTATAATACTTGGATCATGCCTGTAGTCCTTATGATGCCGTGTCCAGCGCTGGAGCCTGTTTTGTCCAAGGCGGTGGAGCTTCGACCTCAAACGCTTAACTTCATAATTGAAGTGTGTTCAAATGAGGTAACACAATCAATATGCTCCAAAACTTATCTATAATTTGAATAATTTCCAGTTATCAAAGTCCTCAGCATCCAAAGATTCTGCAAACCACTTAAAAGTTCTCCTGAGCTGCCTCATGATGGCAAAAAAGCATGCAAAGTGGTATTATCTCAACTTTTGATCACATTGCCGGCTTCGACATATTAAATGTTAATTTCAGTGATAAGAAGGATTGGATGGAAGTTGTGGGTTTGCAGCGACTTATGCTCGCCTTGTGCCACTCGGACGACGAAGTTCGACTGGCTGCTCTTTCTTTTCTCACAGAAACCAGAAAAAGAACGGAACCCCTGAATGCTATTGAGCTAATGTCTCTACTGACAGGATTCAAATATTGTGGAGATTCTGATTCCCCATCGTCGTGTCACACTGCTTATGGGATATTAAAGAAGGCAAAACATGCTGATTCGTTTGGTATAATTCTGATTTGAGATGAATGTTTAGCTATTGTCACGAGTTGCTGACAGCTATCGCGCCGCCAAAAACAAGGAACATATCCACGAAGGATATGTCAATTTTGTGTCTCATTTGTGCGCCAACGCATTTTCCGACCTTTTCCCTGGCTCGAGTTTGTGTAGAAGAAGTTTTTCTTTGCAAGCACTTTGCTTATTTAGAGACTTGATGGCTTCAGAAGAGCCATGGAGTGGAGTTTGGCGTCAGCAGACGACCACCGATCATGCTGAAATTTTGCTAAGCTGTTTGACGGACACTTACGAGGTCAACAAGAAGATGGCCTTGGAGTTGCTGAAAGCCTTTCCTACACCAACTTTGGGACTCGATGTATGTTTTTTTTATATCGGATTTGATCACAATACGTATTCATACTGTAGAAGCAAGAGTGCCTGGAAGAACTGCTGCAGAAATGTTTGCTGATGTCCGAAAGTCACAAACCACCTGAATGTACCAATGCGGCCTGCGTCCTCTCTTTGATTGTCAGTTGCATAGACGTAGAACCCATACTGCATAAGTTAAACAACTCAAAGTGAGAAACTTCTTAATTTAGGGAAAATAGTTTAATTTTTAAACTTGACAGATCAAGCTCTTGTTTAATAATCTGCGAGAAACTACTTCAGCGACTGGAACTCCAACTGAATGTGGCTAAGAAAAGTATTTTGAAAGCGTCTGCTCAAGGGCCGATGTATGGAACTCTCTATTGCCTGCGTTACCTGATCATTGAGCAGGATTTAAGGTAAGGCAAAACTATGCCATCTTTTCACATCAACTATAAATTTTATCTTTTCTGCAGATCTCTTTCCACAGGAAGTGAAACAAATTCTTGGAGATTTTTGATCAACCAGCTTGTGACTTTCTGCTTTGAAATGAACGCAACGGTCGCTCCAATAGTAAACAGTTCTTCACCAGAGGGACACTTGCCAATGGATTTTGAAACTGGTTTGTTGCAATATTCCTTTCAGACATATTTGACTTCAATTAATATTTTATCAAGACATTAATCTGCCAGAAGAGATTGATAGTTTGACGATGGAAGAAGCACAGGGCTTTCCGAAAGTAACGGCTCAAATGGTTTTACTTTGTGCATGGCGCACAGTCAAAGAAGTGTCGTTAACCCTGGGAGATTTGGCCGCCAAAGCTCCAGCGTCTGAGGCTGAACAGTATCTGCTAAGCAATCAACAACTCTTGCTTATAGGAGAACATTTCACAAGTTTACTTTGTGAAACCAAGCACAGAGGAGCTTTTGAGCAGGCTTATGTTGGCTTCTGCAAATTGTGCTCGTGGCTTTGGAAGTAAGTACCTCTTTTAGTTTGAACTTATTTATTTCTTTATTTCAATTTTAGGGTACCAAGTGGAGTGTTGCCACAGCTCCCTGCAAAATGGCTAGACGAGCTCATGTTAGGAATTTGTGGAAGAGACCAAGAGAAAAATTCAAGTTCGATCAAACTGACGAAACTCTGCACTACTCGTCGCAGTGCAGGCGTACCATTCATAGTTCAAGCTCTCATCACCACGGAGCTTGAAGTGCGAGCCAAACCAGAATGCTTCCACAAAACTGTGTCTACCCTTTTAAGGCTAGCGAAAGTTTCTGGATCGGAAGGACAACTTCACGCACTCAATATTTTAAGAGCCCTTTTCCGAAGTGCCCACCTTGGGGAGCACGTTGCTCCGTACATCTCGGAGGGCTTTGTTGTTGCAGTTCAAGCTTTCAAAAGTGCCAACTGGGCTGTAAGCTAAAATATTGTCGCACATTTAAAATTTTGATCAAATTATTTTTTTAAGGAACGAAATGCTGCAACTTTGATGTTCAGCGCACTTATGAGCAGAGTTTTTGGAGTGAAACATACCCCAGGTCATGACGACCTGCCCAGGAAGAATCGAATGACCGGCAGAATTTTCTTCAAGCTCTATCCAGACCTCTTTGGCCTTCTGGCTGATGAGTTGGAAAGTGTTTCTGCTTCCATCAGAGAAGACAAAGTTGTGGCGGGCAGTTTGTACCCTGTACTACTTTTACTGGCAAGGCTGTACCCCTCATCTCTGGAAGGCACAGATAGTGCTTTAAATGTATGAATTTTATTTGAAACTTTTGACAATAATTTAACAAACAAAAACCAGCTCCTTTCACTTCTTGATTACGTCAGTGTCTGCACAGCAAGTCCAGTGATGCACACTCGCTACCTTGCTGCCAAAGCGTTGGTTCCTTTGGTGGAGCCTCAGCAGGCTCCTGCATACATTTATTCCTTGAATTTTCAACCTCAGCCACAAAATACTCTGCATGGCATTCTTCTCCAGGTATTTGGTTTTCTTGTTAAAGATATAAAATGTACTATTTTATTAATGGTATAGGTTGGAAAACTAGCTAAAGACCTGCCCGTGACTGATGAGTTGGTCATAGTCTACACAGACAAAATATCTCAGGGCAGCTATTTGCTCAAACCTGAGCACAAGTGTGCAGTGACAAAAGGTGCTTTCCTTGATTTTTTGTTGGAAGTAGCAGCTAAGTTCAGTGAACTGAACTTGAAGTTGATGAGCAATTCCATCAATAACCAACTACTGGACGTACTGCACTGCGAAGGTATATTTTATAATTTGATTTATCTCTTTATTAAATTGACCTTCTGCAGATCAATTTGGTTTTGCCGTAATGAAGCAAAAAGCAGCCCGCTTGTTGCTGCAAATGACGATTGCAATTAAGAATTTCGAACAGAAGGAGCAAGTCATCGTTGACGTTTTAAGCCACCAACTTCCATTGGTTGTTCACGAAGCTTGTGTCTTTATTTTAAGGCACACAGAGCTATCTGACCAGGAAATAAATGGAGGTTGTCATAAGTTTGTGGGCTTGGATCTTGGCAAGAGAGAAGGAAAGTTGTTGGATACACAAATCAAGAGTTCCAATAGTATTGCACAAGCTTTAGTACAAAAAGCTCTTGAGTGGACCCCGTAAGTTTTCCTGATTTATTTTTACCCTTAAATAAAACATATTTATATTTTGTAGGAAAAATGGGCAAATGGTTCAGTATGAAACGAGGATAATAATATACCTTGCAACTATTCGCCTTGGCAAAAGTGCATTGCTGTCAGAGTGGACTTTTGGGAACAACCACATTACCAATTTAGAGTCCAAAGTGGAAACCTTACTAAATTTCTACCAAGAGCAACGATTGGGTCCTGCCAGTTTTATTACTTTAGCCTGTGCTGGTGAGTTGCTGCACAACACAATCAAGGAGCCTTCAAAGAACTTGGTAAAATATTGTACCTTTTTCCAAACTATTTTAATTTATTATTTAACATGCAGCTTCTAAAATACACGTCTTGCCTGTTGGATTGTGCCCAAGGAGATTTCAGCTTTGAGAGCAACATGGTTGTTGCTCAATCTCTTTATTCTAATAAAGATATAATCTTTGGCCTATTTGGTAATCGAGCTTAATTGTTTTCTGTTGGTAAATTTTGTGACACTTGATTTTTAGATACCGTCACCGCGACCTCGTTCTGTACTGTGATGGAAATTCTACAGCAGAGTTCTCCAAGTGGTCAAGATATTGTACTTCGACTGAACCCTAGTACCGTCAATGTAACCCGTAGTAGAGCATTAGAAGCAGTTGCGCAGCAGTTTGCTGTTGATGAAAAAGTCTCCTTAGAGGTAAGATATAATCAAGTTTAAATATGCAATTAACTTTTTGCGAATCATTATTATTTAGCTCAAGTTGGCTATTCTTATTGTATGGACGTTTGGAGAGAATGTTTTGAACGATTTTGGGTGCGACAAAAATTCTATCCAATTTGATGATGAGGTGAGAATTGTCCTTCATATTATAATAGTTAATGAACATTCAACATTTCACCAGGACCATAGAAAAGTTTTTGAGCAAGGAGATGTTGATGTCACCTCTGAGGAACTAAAGCTTTCAGAGGCTGCATCCTCAGCCCTTAAAACACTTGTAACCAAGAATGGTAAAGAGACTATCAATTCCGCTATGAATACCCCAATAGAATGGACACCATATGGCTCATTTACTTGCCGTGACATCCTATTTAAAGTTAAAAAATTCAGCACATCAACTTCCCATTTTCTCGACATCCAGCATCAACTTTGCATACTTCGAAAGATGCAGTATCATGAATTTGAGAAGTCTTTGATGCTAGACAATTCTTGATAAAATGATATATATGTAATTCAATAAGAATATATTTTAATCATTTTAATAATAAAAGTTTTTAATCTCTTCACAAAAAAATTATTTTCTACTTCTGAGGAATTGCAAAGCCAGCTCCTCTTCTTCTTCCAAAGATAAAACACTTTTCTTACTTGGCTTTTTCCTGAAAAAAAAAAATAAAAAATTAATTTACAAGTCAATTGGTTATATGAGATTTCTTACTTCTTAGACGGAGGCTCCTCGTCTTCATCCAAATCCATCTGTTCAGATTCATTCTCACTATCATCATCAAATTTAGATTCTTCTTCCTGACTTTCCTCGTCTCCACTCTCCCTGTCCTTACCATAAATCTTGTCTGGATCAGGTAGCCACGACAAGTCTGGGCCTTCTTCGTCACTATCTTCTCCTTCATCAAAGAGGGCAGCTTCCCTCTCTTCTGCCTTTTTCTGTTTAAGCTTCTGCTTTGCCTCTCTGTATTATATCACAAAATTAAATAACCATTGAAAAATCCAATTATTCAATTACCTCTTCTTAGCTTTGAGTCGCTCTCGGAATCTCTGTTTGTCGAACTTGTCCTCCTCCTGCATAGTCTGCTTGGCCTCTTCAATGTTGATGCCGCCACCCTCAGTGTTCTTCTCATACTGCTGGCCAGCCTCTGATACCTTCTCTTTAGTGCCATCTCTCACAGCCTGTTAAAATTTTCAGATTAACTAAAATTCTTAATAAAAATTCAAATTAGAAAGCACCTCTCCCTCCTCATCAAATGTCATCTTTTTGTTTGCGACAATTTTCTTCTTTAAAATCTTTTTGGCTACAGCTGCTTTTGTGACTTTTCTTTTGCCCAACTTGTCTTCATTTAAATCAATTAGATCGTCGGCATCGTCATCTGCGCCTTCCAGGGCGTGGTTCTTCCTTTTGATTGTCAGCACATCATCGTCCGAATCACTTAAATCTACATAAAACAATAAGTTAGCTTTGAAGCAAAACAAAATTTGCATCTCCTTACTCGATTTGAAGTCATAAGCATCTTGTGCAGGAATTTTAGCTTGATTTTGATGCGAAAGTTCTTCCTCAGCATATTGTGCCTCATCTTTCTGTGCATCTACATTCTTCTTGTTTTCTGCCTTAATTTTCCTTTCCAAGAATCTTATTCTTGGAGGAAGAGCTAAGCCGAGTGATCTTACAATTATTTTGTTAGATAAATTTTGCAAGTTAATTTTTAAATTAATACCTGGCATACGCTTCAGAGTCCAGGGCTTTGACATCAAAGACATCTTTGTCCTTCATTAGGTACACGGCTTTGAAATAAGAAATAAATGCTCGCTGAGCTGATTCTTTGAGAAGCGAGTCCCTTGCTAAGCACGCCTCCAGCGCTCTCTGAGGATTATTCAGCTTTCTCGGATTTACCCTGAAAAAAAAAATTATAATAAAAATAAAAAAATTAAAAAAAAAATTCAACTTACTGAATTTTTTCTATCGGAACTCGTCTCTTTGTCAAGTTCTCTATCATGGCCTGCTCTTCACTTGGCAAAAGAACAAGCAGGGCTTCTCCGATACTTGTAAACCTTGCAGTTCTGCCAGCTCGATGGACGTAGGTGTCTACGTCCTCTGGACAGTCAAGCTGCAGGACCCAGTCAACAGCAGGAAAGTCTGCAATTTAATTTATTATGTAAAAGATTCCCAAATTTTTTGTTTCAAGTACCTAATCCTCTAGCAGCAATGTCAGTGGCAAAAAGGACAGCGTGTTTCTTTTTACAAAAATCCTCATACACTGTCATTCTCCTCATCTGGTGGAGAGAACCATACAAAGCCATCAAACTGATTCCAGGCCGAAGACGACATAGGGCTTCGTAAATGTATTTGACCTTAAAAAATATTTTTGAAGGGTTTGAAATTATTTTGTGGTCATTTCATACCTGTTTGCAGCTGGAAAGGAAGACGAGGATCTTGCTCCTCTTGTGGTGCTTGACGAATGACCAAAGCATGGCCAGTTTTTCATGCAGCTCACAAACCATGTAGCTCTGCTTCAGTCCTTCAGGAGTTACGTGCTTGGCATTTTCGTGGACCGACACGTACATGGGATTTTTCAAACTCAGACGAGCAAGGTCTTTTACAGATTTGGTCTGGGTGGCTGAAAAAAGCAGCGTTTGCCTCTCTGGTGGCAGATTTTCAATAATGCTGTTCATGGTTTTCTCGAAGCCCATGTCGAGGCAGCGATCAGCTTCGTCTAGAACCAGCATCTATTTTAAACAAATTTAATAAAAGTTTAAAATTACTGGGTAAAGTATTACTTTCATGGTGACGCAGTCGAAGAGTGGATTTTCATCCATGTGTTGCAAAATCCTGCCGGGGGTGCCAATTACAATATTGCATTGGTCCATTCGCTTTGTCTCAAATTTCAAATCTTTTCCACCTTTGAAGAAAAATGGACATAATATTATGCAATATTTATTCAATCATATATTTAATACCAATAATTAAGCCAGCAGAAAAGTCGTGATGATGGCCAACCTTCCTCAAGGTTTCAAAAATTTGGAAAGCTAATTCTCTAGTTGGCGTAATAATCAGAGCTCCCAGACCATCCAACCTTGTCCATCGTAGGCAGTAAAGCCTTTCAATGACCTGTTCATAATTTACATGAGTAAAATCATTAATTAAAAAAAAAATCATTCTTACGGGAATAAGGAATGCTAATGTTTTTCCACTGCCCGTCTTTGCAGCACCGAGAATATCATTTCCTTGCATACTGTACAGGAGGCTTGCCCTTTGAATTTCAGTCGGACTGGTGTATTCATTTTCACTGAGACCCTTCACGGTTTTCCAAGACAAAGGGAGATCCGAAAATTTGCTCACTTTTGAGAGATCAATCTAAAAAAAAAGCAACAAAAATTCATAAGAAAAATTTGAGTCAAAATATTTTAAGTGCTAACCTGTTTGTAGCTCTCCTGGAGACTCTTGATACTGTCCAGCTCTGCAACGTAAGGTCTCTTCTTTGGTTCCCATCGCTTTTCTTTCACTTTTCCAAATTTCTTGCCGTTTTTATAGCGATATTTCTGCTTATTTTGATCTGACACGTGAGTATCGGACGCCATGCTTGTCTCATGCTGTCTTGGAAAATGGGGGCGTGGCGCAAGAAATAGTTTCGCGCGCCAGAAACTGGGTTGTCCACAAACAGTAAAACTTCTTGCCCTTTGCAGCCGATTTTTCGACTATTTCAATCTTGTTTTCTGTTTTACAATTGTATACCGACTTCAGCAATGTCGGCCGAAGAGGTTTTGCATAGAGACACGTGTGAATACAAAAATCTAAGCTCAAAATTTGTTCTCCCTAACACCGATGACTTCAACCGGCAATTTGCTCCCATGTACATGATGCGTCTGAAGACCATTCGTGAATCTTTGAAGGCACTTGCCAGGAAGAAATGGGGTACGTTATTCATAAGATTATGCGCAAAACAAACTGAAGCATTGAATATTTACTTTTAGGCCAAGATGTTCCCATTATCGAACTCTACCAGCTGCAGGATGGTAACGAAGACCCCAAGAAGTGCATCATTGTGGGAACATTGTACAAAAATCAATCCTTGAAGCCAAATATTTTGAAGGAAGTCAGTGAAGAGGTAATGAAACAAATAATCTGAAATGAAATTAATTTATTTAACCAGGTTTTAACTGTTTACTAAATTTTAGCACCAGCTCGAAGCAACGTCAACACTCACATTTTTTGCTGACGATTCGGACAGTTTGGTGCTAGAAGATGAGCTGCAGAGAATTGCTCTCTGTGGGAACATAAACGTACAACAATTGGTCACCGGTAAAATCGCTTTCAAAAACCATCTCATTAGTCACTATAATTTAATTTTACAGGAATTGTAATAGCTGTTCTTGGAACGGACGATAGGCAAGGAAATTTTACTGTTGAGGACTGTTGCTTTCCGACACCAAAAGAACGAGTGCACAAACCATTGGCAGGCCCTGACAAGTAAATTTTCTCTAGAGCAAAGGATTGGCGTGCAATGATTATTTTTTTTTTTAAGATATGTACTTCTTGTGAGTGGTTTGAGCATCGGCAATCCCAATTCCGGGGACGGTGTAATGTGTGCGGAAATTCTTCTCGAGTTTCTCCGGGGACAGGCAGGCAGTCCCGAAGACCAGGAGCGCATGTCTCACGTTGTGAGAGCAATTTTTGCTGGTAAATTTAAATGATAATTAATTTTTTACAACTTTAAAAAAAATCAAAACAGGTAACAGTTTGCAAGATCACCCGCAAGCTAATATGGGCACCAGGCAGCTGCGAAATGTGGACGCTCAAACTCAAGAAATGTTGATGAGCAGTGCTAGACGTCTAGATGATTACTTTGCAGAGATGCTCGTAAGTATTAATAGAATTCTAATTTTAAATAATTTATTAAAAATTTAATCATCAGACTTCCATCGATGTGGACATCCTGCCTGGTGAATTTGATCCCTGCAGCCAAATGTTGCCGCAACAGCCGTTCCATCCATGTATTTTCCCAAAGGTATTTTTGAACATTTTTTTTACCTTTGTTTGTTTTATATCTTAATATTCCTTCCAGTCGACCATGTTTAACACATTGCACTTGGTTACAAACCCATACAAATGTGAGGTCGGCAACTGTCTCATCTTGGGATCTTCTGGACAGCCAGTTTCTGACATTCACTCATTCTGCAAAGTTGATAACAGGCTGGACGTGCTCGAAAATTGCATCCGGTGGGGTCACATGGCTCCAACCTGTCCAGACACCCTTTGTAAGTTGTTGTAAAAGTCTGATAAAAAAATAAATAAAATCGTGTTTAACATTTGCAGATTCTTACCCCTGCTTCCACAATGACCCATTCATGATTGAGGACTGCCCTGACATTTTCTTTGCAGGAAACCAACCAGAGTTCCAAACCAGAACCATAACAAGTGGGGAAATTGAAATTTTTAAAATGAAACTTAATTTATTGATTATATTTGTTATTTTGCAGCTGAGAAAGGACAGAGAGTTTGTCTTGTGTGCATTCCTTCTTTTTCGAAGACCCAGACAGCAGTAATGGTCAACATCAACACTCTCGACTGCCACCCTCTCAGCTTTTCGATTGACCTGCCAAAAGCTATTGCTGAGAGATGATAATCAAAGAACAGGAGGTATGTCGATTCAAATTTCATCAATAAGAGTTGGTACAAGCTTGACAACTCTTCTGTAATAAATTGAAAGAAGATATTTCATTGAAGTGAAAAATTTCAAACCATACTTTTTTTAGAGTTCTTATAAATAAAACATTATTTTTGCAGAAATAAAAATTTACGTTACTTTTCTGTGCCTAAAATTATAATTGGAACATTTTTTGCTGGATCGCAACTTGGTTGAACTTGAAAATTTGGTTCCCGCGTGTGCCTCTGCACGTCACACAGTCCATGTGAAAGCAGCTGCAGATCATATATTGGCACTCTCCAACTTGAATCTGGACCATTATGCTAAATACGAAAAATTCAGGGTCAAGGCGCGCTCGCCGGCCGTAATCAAAAGGCAAACACGCTAAAAAGTAGGGTCGCGCGCGATCGACGAGGAAGTTTCTCTCCGCCGGCGTCTCGCTAGTGAGTTTAATACCGTTACCCCTTTATAATGTTCAGTGCACCTTTCTTTAATACTTTTTTATGATGAGCGATCGACAAAACCGATATTTATGCACAAGAAGCGAGTCCATGTGTTGGATGCGTTTTTACTTTCAATGCAAGATGATTTGCAGTTATTGCTTTTAACAAAGCGAATGCGTGTCACTCACACCGTGATCATAAAAGAAAATGACTTGCCTTAACTTGTAAATAGAAGAGAAAAATTTAAGAAATCTACTAAAAAAATGTGCAAGATTTTTTCTTCACTTCTCGACCGTTGCGTAAATTTTAATCTTCGTTTTTATTATTTAATGCAATCGTTGATGCCTATAATTTTAATGAAGCCGCGCCTCTCTCTGATACACTGTAAAGCAGCCGAGCTGATTTGTTTCCCGTTTCGCCTGGGATAGAACGGCTCCTCTGGTTATGACATCAGCCGTTGGTTGCTCCGATCGGCAGCTTGCGGCATAGTGACCTACTGAAGGTATGCTGCGCCAAGACTGCCGGTAAACAAATATATATCTGAATCTCGCGCCGCGTGTGCTCATCTTCGCATCGTGTCCGCGTGCACTTTACGATGAGAGGCGAAAAGAGAAAAGAATTTCATTCAAGCGCACCCTCTTATATTGCAGTTTTATTATAGTAACTTGGAAATGGACCAGCTGCAGAAGAATCTTCATTAAAAGCATAAGAATTGTAATTTGTGTCAGATTTTCTTATAAATATTTGATATTTTTATCCCAAAAGCTAATTTTTTACATGTAATAAATCATAAATTTTTGGAATCATAATTTAATTATTTTATTTAAATATTTTGAATTTTAATTGCATTATTAGTGTAAACTGTTAACTTAGATTTAAAGAAATATTATATTATAGAAAAAAATTATAATAGTTAAATAAGAGGAAATACTTGAATGAATTGTAAATTCATTTTGACTAAATAATTCTCAATAACAAAAATTCCAAACCATGTTATTGTGGAGTAGCCTCATATAACTTAGTAACATAATTTTTGAATTTTATTTTTCAAAATAAAATTCATTGTCATGAAAAATACAAATTATATTGTATTAAAAAAATCACTATTTTGAACTTCACTCTTCTTAATCATATTTTTGAGCCTCGATTTTATATTAATGCATTTTTTGAGAAAGCTGCTGGAATCATGAAGGATGACACAATTTTCGCGAAAATCAGACGAGTCAAAAGAGTGTAACCTTCTTCATACTTGAGCAGAAGAGAAAACAAAACTCGTTATTCGGGTGCCCATCCGCCGGCAAAAGAGTTCCTGACTGAATCTCGCATGGATATGGATGCTGGAGCGACAGCAAGGTTAAGGCACCAGGCTGCGTCAGGTGGATGGATATCGGCGCGCTTGAGTTGGAAGGGGTTCTGCCGCGAGAAGGAGCTCGGCTGCGTCAGTGTGCGTTAGACTGGTGATTTGGAAAGTCGGTGCCGACGGCGGATACAAACGAGTGCATTTATGCGCTGCTTTTCGCATTAGCCCTGGTCGTGTGTGAATTACCGCAATGGCGCGTGCCCATTTCAGTTTCGCCTGTGTGATGCTTGCAGTTTGCATAGGTGAGATTTTTTTCGCAAATTTGTGTGTGTTTTATTTTGCGGAAAAGATGCTACTTTTTTATGGTTTTCGGCGCGAGTGACCTTCTTGTAATGATTTTGCTCCATTTTCTGTGCGTATACCCAGCACACCTTCGCGCACTCACGAGAGCGAGAAAAGCCCTGGGCTGAAAAATAGAGGCGATTATACACGCGCGTCGTCCATCGACCAACCTTTGCCGATTCCATGTAAAGGCCGCGTTTTCTCATAATATTTCACACAATCACTTCTGGGCCGCAAGAACGCGGATCTTTATTTCTCCAATTCCGCCTTCAACCTTGCGCTTATTTAATCAAATGAAGGAAAGCTTGCTTGCAATAATCAGATTATCTCTTTTGAAATTTGCAGCTGCAGAGTATATTACTGCATTTTGATTTCTAATGTAAGAAATAAACATCCTTCATAATTACTCTTTATTAAAAATTATTCATAAAATTATAAATTCTTGACTAAAGCTGTAAAATCCTCTGCATTTTATATAAATGATAATAATTATTCACACTTAAATTAGAAAGAGGAGAATTCTAAGCTAAGCGTGAAATTAAAAGATTAGATCAATCAGATCTCGAGAACTCTAATATTTGAAGGGAGCAAATTAACTGTGAAAAATTCTTGCCTATTATGATTTGATTAAATATTCAGACGGAAACTAGGGAACGTAAATGTTCTTATTTAGAAAATTATTCACATCATAAAAAATGGAGATATAGATATTTATAGATTTTTTTTATTCTTAATGAAATATAAATCCTACAAATTTTCAAGGAGGAAAAAGCCAAAGTTTTAATCTTGAAATTGGAAAAAGAATTTGTTTTCTGTTATAAGTAGTCAGCAGGATAATCCAGCGCGCCATAAATAATTAGACCATGCAACCTCTGAAACCAAAATTGAAGAAATTATCTTTTATAATTAAGTTGCTGCTCAATCTGAAAAAATATTTTTTTTTTGTAATTTATACTGCTCTGTTAATTAAAAATAATTTATAATTTTTTCAGATTAAAATATTAGTTTTACCACCCTTTGTTTTTGAGCACAGAAAGATTCAAAATAATGAAGATTTTTATTTTTTGTTTGACAGAAGTCAGTGTGATTGTAAATGAGAATAACATACCGCACTCAATTGCTTTTTGCGCTCTTCAATTACTCAGTTGCTATGCTATTAAATTGAAGCTATTTATCCATCACCTCTGATTAAATCACGTGTACCGCATAACTAGTTGCATCATAAGAGCAAATAAAAACCAGTTGCTCTTGACTGTTGAGTGCTCAGGGGGAAAGCTGGGAAATTCTCTTTTTGAAATATTAAGAGGAAACGCAAACACATGCACCAAGCGTACTTCTTTAACGTTTAATAAAGAGCTCAAATGCCAAGACGCGCACCAAATTATGTGTTGAATCAACGTGACAGGATTTCATAAAATTAGTCCTCCTATTATTTCTTGAGCCTCATCAGGAATTAGGGCCATAGAAAATAAAAACATCCGCTCTTCACACATCGAAAGGTTTATTATGAAAGTTTCAAGATTTATGCTTCGGAATGTTTGTAAATTTGGTTTGGATTTTTTAACGAAATGCTCTGGATGTTATTTTGCAGCGGTGACCTCCAATATTAGGCCGGTGGTGTCCACATGCGTGTTTGATCAGGATTTTGGTTTCAAGCTCAACTGCGCCTTCAAACAGTCCGGTATCTTCCGAGTTCGAAACCTCGGAGGTGTCAAGGGCTTCATTGGGTTGGGTGAGTCCCTCATTTTGGTAAATTTCCTTCAAACACTGTCTCACGACCTCTTTTATTCCACACTTCTTATGCTTTTTAAATTTGCTATTTCAGTATAATCACAAGTTGCAACCCATTAATTAAAACAAAATTACATTCATTTATCTTTTTTTAAATTTTCTTCCAAACCTTTTGAAGATTGTTTTCAGGTCAATTCACCCTTCTCTGTCTTCTATCTTACATAATACAAATTTGTCCAGAACTTCCTAACGTGTGGTTCATTTTTAAAATTTAACATGCAAAATGTAATCTTTCAAAGAACTATTCTAATCAGGTTCTCCAGTGATTTGTTATTTTTTATTTAAATTAACATTTAGAAGAAGAGGAATATGACCTGAATTCAACGGTGTGATGTGATCTAAAATTTTAAAACTATAAAATCACAAATTGAATTTTAGAGTTGAGCGTGTTGCGTATTTGTTCACATAGCAAATAGCAATAATGCTGCTTTTTTAATGATTCACTTCCCGTGTTATAGATTCCTTGTATCCACCAAATTACACAATAAATCAAAATAATTAATTAACTCTGATGCACGTTGTAGTTGTTAAAATATATCATTGTTTAGTTCTGCTGTAGCGTGATTTAGAATTTTGTTCCGCACGATTTATTTAATTATCTTCTTTTGCACTTAATTTAATCATTTTTATATATCCTTCACCTGGTTGTACGTGACTGGTCAGCGCCGCGACAAAAATAATGATTGTTTTTTTTTCTCCATTACACCGCCACAAATACCACAAATTTCATGCTCTGCAAAAACCCTTGAAAATCCTTTAAGAAGTCACTTTTGTATATTTCCCACGTCCATTGTGCTTTTTTATTATTCTTTCAAGTAACACGTCTGGCCGGCTACGTTTGTGTCTTTCTTGTGAATCGCACACGCGACGGTGACACACTAAAATCCTCTGCTCTTTCTCTTATTCCATACACCTCCGATGCATGCACTAGAAAATTGGCTGCCTGGAAAGAAAGTTTAGACGGCCGACTACACGCGTTGAATTAACTTGCATGACAAACGCAAAAGTGATGCGCGCACTTAAGAATGACAACAATGCAAAATCCACTCTGCGCTGAAATGAGACCTGAGTTCGGTTCTTTCATTTTTTTTAGACGAAAATACAGAGACTGCAAAATGACATCTCGACATTATTGGGCACGCATTTTTTTACATCGACTCTCTCTTCAAATTTTATTATTGAAAAGCAATGTGCATTTTATTTTTAAAATTAATATTTAGAAATTCAATTGCTAATTATCTCAATAATGCGTTCAAGGTGTGAGCGTAGGAGACGAGTTGGGTTTCCCGCAATCGCTGTCGAACGTCGAGGGCAGCAAGAGAAGGTCCGTCTCCGGATCGTATTGGGAAGCTGCAGCTGCTTCAGTAAGAAAATTTCAGCTTTCTTTTGATAATAATTATATTTTTTTTGCTCTCTTGAACTCGTTCAGGCACAAAAGAGAGCCGACGAAGCGAACGACGCTCCGGCCTTTAAGAAAATCCCGCAAAGAATGCCGATGCTGAAATCCGCGGCCCCGGCCTCCTCTGCGGCACCCATGTATCAGCAGAGCATTTCGAGATCTGCTGTGGTCGGAAAACCAAACGACGGCAGAGAGATGACCGCGTTCAGGAATGCAATTAGGAAGACAGTTAACACAGTGCGCCCGGTCCCGCAGGTGAGAGAGCCTAACTGGACCGCCAAAAACGGATCCATGAATAGAACGTTATTCTTAAATAATGAAATAATTTTTTTTTTAAATCAATTTTCTTTTTCATTGCGTTATTTTTGTAACTTAATGGAATTTTGGAAATTTTTATCACAGATGGCGATCCTGGTTAATGTAAATAATTATGCAATTGTAATGGCTGACTAAATTACCTTAAGTGTTGTTAAACATTTGAAGCTCTTGATAAATTTAGATCAAAAATTTATTTTTATTTTATTAAAAAATTACTTGTAAGGGCAGTAAAGAGTAAAGACACAAGAAAGAAAGAAAGAAATATTTTTAATTTTTTTTTTAATTATCTAATTTACATTTACACCGAGTGATTTTTCATTTTAATTATATGACTTTATCTGAATTAGTATTTATGTCATAAAAAAATAAATTTGTGTTATATAATAACACTCAGATCATCAAAAAATGTTTACTTATATTAAAATAAATATACACAGCCTTGGCCCACCAGCAATATTCTTTTGATTATTTTGTAAAATTGCAAATCATTTTGTTCTTTAACCAAGGTGGTTGTTGAGCGTGCCAGTGTCCCAACCATCACTGTAGACACGAGGACGGCCGAGTCGGATGAGCAAAAGCTGGCCCTGATTGATGCAGAGCTGGAGCAAAATATTGAGGCGCTGGCGCAGGCGGCCAACGTCAGCGTGGACACCATCAAAGCGGCCCTCGGGGACAAAAACAACCGCGAGCAGCTGCAGCAGGCCGTGGCCGCCGTGGCTCTCCTGAATGGCGAGCCGGCCGTCACCACGTCGACCACCACCAACAGGCCCCTTCCGGTGTACAAACCAGAACCTGTGTACAACACTATCAATGTGGACCAGAAGGTGGGCACCAAGTATGTGATGAACGCGCCCAAGGAGTACTATCCGGCCAATTACGACAAAAACTACGACGACGGCTTCAAGACCAAGGTGGAGATGCCGCCAACGTCCTTCCAGTGTGGAAATCAGAAGCACTTCCCTGGACTCTACGCAGATGTTGACCTTGGATGCATGGTGAGTTTTTGCTATTTTTTTTTTTTAGTTTTGCTATTAAAATATATAATATTTAATAATTATTTAATTTTTTCGAAATGGATAGGCTCAAATTTTAATGGGAACTTAAATATATTGGTCTTGTTCTTTTTTGAATGAGAAAGTTTGTAGAAATAGGAACAAACATTTTAATAAATTTTTGTTTTGAGCTGGCAACCAAGGTCAGTAGTTTTGTAGTTTGAGTTTGATGCAAAAGGAAATGTGTGTTTGTGGGTTCATTGTTGCAAGTGACATGCAAATTGAGAATACTGTCACGTACACGCATACAAAACGCGTCTTCTCTCTCTTTCCACACCTTTTACTTTTTCTTTTCAATATTGTTTCTTTGAATATAAATATTTCAATGCGAGTTTTTAATTTTTAATTTTGCAAATTGGCCCTTCCATAAAATTTAACTTTCAATTGCACATATACAAAATGCGGGGTAGAGTCGCCATTAAATTAAATCATGCGCGAAGGTTTTTATGCAATTTTCTGCACGGCCGCTTTAACGACTGCGAGTCGGATTTCACACTGGCTCGCGAGTTTAATTGTCTTTGTGTCTATCTGAAAAGAATCTGCTCATCCAGCGTGACTGTCGCATACTTTTGTTGATCCACGCGAAAATAAAGAATGCCTGATTATTTAGCACTTAGCGCACAAATCAGGCTCGATTTGACATATACAAAAAGGTGCGGCGAGAGTTGAATGTTTACCTGACTAAACAAAGCGCGAGAGACGGTGGGCAAATCTAGGACATGATTCAGTAACACGTTGCTCGCGCCTTGCATATAAAATATAAAGTATATACAAGTCTTTATATATAATTACAAAGCGGAAAGTGCATTTTGCTCTGATACAGAGCGAAAGGAGATTTATAATAATAAAAAAAATGAGCTCTCAAAATTCCCAATAGGATAAAAATATCAAAAATAAATTAAATTTTTGTATAAATAATTTTTATTTATTTGCTAAGCTAATTTATACTATTTTTTTGTATTATATATCAATATAATTGTAGTATAAATTTCAAAATTGCAGTAGGCTTATTTAATTTTTATTTTTCTAGAGATTTTGATTAATATTTTTTCTAAACAACCTTTCATCAACAAGTTGAATTTATGTTCAATTTCCTTTTTTTAATTTTGTTAATCAAAATAATAAATCGTGACGTTAGAGTATACATAACCTTAATAAACTGGTTCGAAGTAAATTTATTTATTGCAGTCTTTGCAAAGGAACGATATTATCTCTGCAGTTTCTTGCATTAATCGCATCTTCATGAAAACACACAAGTGGCCTTCAAACATTAGACGGACAGAACCGATCGTGTTCCTTTGTTCCACATTTTTTTCTGTAGATGATCCTCTCACTCACTATATGATACAAGCTAGAGTGGAAGTAGATTATTGATCAAGTTACATAACCAACTCCACCTTTACATACCTCTGGAAGATAATTAAGTATTCATTCTGGCCTTGCTCGGCCGCAGAATCTGACATTGAAACTTTTCTTGCTGTGGTCCAGCAGGTTGTGCAGCACTGAATGAAACGAGACGTACTGAATTAAGTAGAAAAATCAATTTCTTTTTTCTATTAAAATAAAATAAAAAACATCAACATTTAATATTATTTTAAACTATGTATAATAAATAAATATAAAATTAAAAAAATAATAATCAAAATTCATATATGTCGAAATAATAGAAATACTGATAATGGAGTTAAATCTATCTCTATATTTGCTTTAAAAAGAAGAATAAATATTTAGAATAAATATTGCGTGCCAATACCTATCTTGGCACGAATTTTGAGAGTTCCGGTCCCTTTGTCAATCAAATGCAGCAACCGGTGTTGAGCTTATGAAAGACCCGAATACCCTTTTCAAGTGCCTCTCTCTATTTTTCATTTGTCATGATTGAATTTATTTTATCTTCACCATTGAATCTCTATCCTCTATCGCTAGCACAATAATCAAGCTAACAAAACTTTATAGGCCTTTAGAAAAAAGAGGCTCAATTGTCATTTCCTGGAGAATGTAGGCTAATGCGGCACTGCACGGAGCTTAGTTAGCAGTGCGTTATTAGTAAATTGCGACCGACGTATGATGATAAGATGACCATACTCTTTGCTTGCGCAAAACAGACGCACACTTCCAGAGCCGTGATTAATATAAATAAAGGGAAAACCTTATAGTTGTTAGAAACCAAGAGTCTCAATCGCGTCGACGTGCCAAGGACTTTTTTGAAAGGCAACACGTATCAATTCCATTTTCTTTGTCTTGTAAAATTTTCGCTTTTGATGAGATGACCTCTGATGACAACGGTCCTCGTTAACTTGACACGGAGAGCCAAAGATTTCCCGCAATTTAATGACTGTGCACCACTTTTTAGTTAGTCTAATGTTTTCGAAATGTTCGCTGCTTTTGCTTTTTTGTTATCGTAATTACGAGTTCTCCTTGGCAAAAGTTAATGTGCAAGCAGGTTCCGTGAAAAAGAGGCAGAAGGAATTAAGACCAGAAAAAAGTTACGGCTTGTTGATAATTGTTCATATACGCGCGGGAATTTTTTTACATTTTATTTATATGAAATTTCGAGGTCACTCAAGATGTGCTCGCAGACCTTGATCGTCAAAATAAATTGCCGCGTGCAATCAATGTCTGCCGAAAAAGTGGCTGATCCAAATTCCATGTAAAAATTGCCCTGGTTTTAAGGTTCAAATTCGGCGAGAGTATGCAAATTATTTCACGGAGAATAAAAAAAATTCATTACTTTATTATATGGCCTGCAACACTAAAGCAACATTCAAGGAGTAATATTATTATTGGGAAAATTTATTTGAAGAAACCTTTCCAAAACCCATGTTAAATTTACTTTAAGTGACTAAATATAATATGGTAATATAAAGTGTAATCTGTAAATGATAGAATTGGATAGAAGAAGAAAACACGCAGTATATTTTGTAAATAGTTTTCAAATCATGTAATTTTGTTTAAAAAATTTAAAAAACAAAAATACTATTGATGCTCACTGCCGTGGATCGGTGGATAGTGTTTTATTAATTTTGGAAGTTTTAGCAAAATTCTGTATTTGTGTGGTCGTGCTGTTTTGTCCGACAAATATAAAAACGAAATTTATTTTTACAGGTTTATCATGTGTGCGCCCTTACGGACGATGGCCTAGTGCAAAAGAGTTTCCTTTGTCCTGAGAACACCCTTTTCGATCAAAGCGTGCTGAAGTGCAACTGGTCTGTTTACGTCGATTGCGCCCAGTCGGAAAAACTGTACGACTCGAACATTCCCGTTTCCAAGAGCTACCAGCTCATGAAAGCATTGGCATTCTTCTCCGCCTACAAGAACGCCAATCCCGGAGCCACGACGACAGCATAAAATATCGTTTTTTGTGTGTGAAAACGTTTCCAATGGACGCAGTTTGACTATATTATTTTGCTTTTTGAGAAGAGACAATTGAGAGCATTATTTTTGTTCAAAACTCACGAAACTTTCACTCATCGCAACCTGTATTATGTTAAATATTATAAATCATACTGTTTGCCATAATTTATTTATTTCACCATACACAATACATGTATAATTGCTAATTGCGCGGCTATAAATAGAATATAGTTTTGGTAACTAAACTTTGTAAAGAGATCGACAGCTAATAATTTTCTCATACAATAATTTTGTTGAAATAATAATGAAAAACTTATTCCTTCATTCGATGCTTTTTTATTCCTCATAGCAATATAATAAATTTTTCAAAATATTTCACATTATTCTTTATCGGCAAATCAAAATGCCAATTTAAATATAAGAAAAATTGGAGATGAGCATTAACTAAAATTTTCTTATAAATGATGCTGCTACAATTAAAATGACAAAAAAAGGTACAACCCTGCAAAGATCCACTGGGAAGTGGTGATCCAGAATGCAAACAAGTAGATGGCAATAATCCTTGTCATTGAAATCGCAGCTCGGCTTGTAAAGTCTGTAGATCCAAATCGAGCCGAGCACAAACCAAATAATCACAAATGCAAATTCGAGCATTTCCATTAGTGGGCCATTCCATTTTTCGCCGACCAGCCTATCTAAAAACACTGTTAAACCTATATGAAGACACATTAGTTGAATTAATTATTTGCAAGTTAATATGTCAAAATTCAGACCTCCGACGATCAGGTAAAACGGAATTTTGGGTGCTGCTGGACACTCGCCGTAATAGATGGACCCCATTACAATCATAGCAATCGGGAAAACTTCAGCCAAAATAAAATACGACAAGCAGAAGACTATAATAAAAAAAACTTGAATTGTATAATTTGATAATAAAATTTTCCTTTAGTACCAGTTAAAGAGATTGCAAGGAAACAACCAGTGATAATTTCTTTCAGTATACCAGACTTTTGTTGGAAGGTCTGCAGGTCTTCGTGTTCCAAAAGACAATTATTACTTGAACGCAAGGCTGCTACTTTTGCAAAAGAAATTAAGGAAAATATTTTTTAATACATAAAGATTCAGATCATACCATCAGTTTCATGATGAAGTACCCTTCCATGCATTACTGGTTCAGGCAAATTTGGGTTTTCTAATTCTGACGCTTCATCATTCATCATCAGTATAGAGCAAATTTGGCCAGAATTGGCGTTTTCGATAATTTCATTTAATACCGTATTGAACGTGTCGTCATTATTGTCATTAATCTGACAATGAGCAGGGACTGTGTTCAGTGTCTGCTGGAACGTTGAAACAGTAAGAAGCACCGAGTCCTGGGTCTCCTACAAAAATTTTAGTAGAATATTTTAAATTAAGCTTAAAAACTTTAATTCTTTTAAACTTAACAACCTTTCCATGAAATAAATAGTATTTAAATGAATTTTTCGAATATTTTAATATAATTAAATTATACACATGAAATAAGAGTCATGCCGTTTTCCCGCCATATCAACTCAAAACAAGTAATGTAGACAAAGACGCATCGACTCTGCGCATTCGCAGTTGAGCGTTGAGCAAAAGAAAAAAAAATCAAGAAATGGTCAAAACTTTGTTTTGTTTTCGAAAGGCGTACCGAATTTCTCTTCTGAAAGGCAGACGGGTGCCAAAATTAATGTGTGTGTAGCACCACTGTACGGCCAAGACTTTTGTCTCTCTTCTGCAACTGCACATTCAAAATTCAAAAGCGGAATGTCGTGGAAGGAAGTGCTGAAGCCGTCGATAGCCGAGTACGAGCGGCAGACCGTGGGCTTGTCCGTTTGCTCGGACGGACAGGACAGCAACGAGGGCTTCGGCGAGGACAAGATGTGTTGCGGAATGGAGATGCTGCCCGAGTCTTCCGCGTCCACCTATGAGCTGGTCTGCGTGGACGAGTGGCTGAAGAGCCGCACCGAGTCAATGTCCAGTATGGACATGGACGTGTCCATGACTGACGCCGCGGCCAAGGAAAACACAAATCTGTCCGAGTTGGATCAGTTCTTGACGCCGAAGGGAGCCGTCGACCTGTGCATGGCCAACGAGAATCAGAATTTAAGCGAGGATGCGTCCAGTCTGCTTCTCTCGGATGATTTGCTTTGCAAGCCGGACAAACCCAGAAAAACCACTCTGGAGGTGCGAAAAATAATGAAATATGTAAGATTTGTTATTAAAAATTAAAATTTAACCTTTTTACAGACACCCTTGTTTTTGGTTGAGGAGGAGTCTCGGCTGAAGGATGAAGATGGTCTGGTCGGACGAAGGGGTAGTTGGACGGAACACCTGGAAAAGGACAAGTCGAATTGGGACCTGATGTCGAACACAAGCCAGAAGAGCCACGAGTTAGTCAAGGAGGTCGACTTTCCGGAGTTCAATCTGGTGCCTCCGTTCGACCAGATATGTTCGATTGAAATGCCGGACAGCAAAGAGCTTATTGAAGATCCGCTAATGGACAAAGTTGTCGAAGTTTTGCCGAAAGACTTACAAAAGGAGCAGAACAGAGATCCCCTTATGACCAGCGTCCAGGATGAAGATAATGCCACCGAGACAGTTTTAATCAAGTATATTATTTGTTAAGTTTGTTGACATTGTGAGTAATGATTATTTTAGTTCGGTTTTGGACACGAGTGATTCTATGAAAAATGAGGAGGATTTGGCGATTATTGCCATATCGGCAAATTCGGATGAAAATACAGCACAAATAATCATCAGCACTGGTCCGACAGTTTTCCAGGCAGAGGAGAGCGTTAAGAAGCAAGATGCTATCAACGTTGAAATTGTTCAGGACCAAAATGAGGAGCTTGGAAATGCTGATGAAATTATGTCTGACGAAGAAGAAGAAGAAGAGGAGGATGAGGATAATGAAAATTCTCTAATGATTGCTAAGTCAGACGAAGAGGAGGATGAAGTGAATGAAGGTAAAGAATTCACTGAAAAATATATAAAAAATATTTTTTCAAATTAATTATTGCAGAAGATGAGCAGCCGCTGATTGAAGCCCTGGCTGCAATTGGCATCAAAGTCGAATCGCTCATGTATGTTAAAACGGACAGTCAACATCGAATGTGGATGTGTCCGGTTAAAGACTGCAGGAAAATGTATTCAAAGCAAAGCGCCCTAAAGGTCCACATTCTCAGTCATTATGGTCTAAGACCATTCAAGGCAAATTTTTATAAAATTTTAAAATTCAAATTCAACCTCGATTTAATCCGCAGTGTGACTACGAAGGCTGTTTTTGGTCGTTCTACACACATTTTAGACTGAAAAGACACAAAGCAACCCACTTAAAGAAAAAGGACTTTCTGGTATTTTTTTATTAATTTCTTTTAATCTCAAAATCAAATTTTATTTATTTCAGTGCACATACGAGGGGTGTGGTAGGAAATTTACCACGATCTACAACTTGCACACTCATCAGAAGCTGCACGAAAGGCCAGCGGAGAACGTGTGCACAGTAGCTGGTTGTGAAGCGAGTTTCCAGACAAAACGGAAACTGGAGCTGCACCTGAAGGAGCACGACTCGAGTCATGCCCCTTACAAGTGTCATTACTGCAAGCGAGGCTATTACTCGATCAATTCGCTCAACATGCATATCAGGGGCCACGAGCACAAGGAGGAGGAGGTCATTTGCCAGTGGGCTGGCTGTGGAAAAAGGTTCGACAAGCCTTGCAGACTGAGGGCACACATGCGATCTCACACCGGAGACAGGCCCTACATTTGCACATTTGAAGTGAGTTTTGGTCACTCTCAGTATGTGTAAAACTAAAATGATCTTGTCAGGGCTGCAAGTGGTCGTTTTCGACTGCCAGCAAGCTGAGGAGACACTCGCAGAAACACACGGATGAACGCAATTTTAAGTGTCCCATGGATGGATGTCCTAAGGCCTTTTTACGGCCAGAACACCTGCGCGAACACATTCTCACTCACCAAGGCACCAAAAACTGGGAATGTCCAGTTGCAGGTACGAATTGTTAATTTCATTCGGGATTTTGTTTCAACAATTTCTTTTCTAGGCTGTGAGGCTAGGTTTACTGCCAAGAGTAGTTTGTATGTGCATGTGAAGAAACACAAATCCCCCACAACCAAGGACATGTTCGTTTGTCCTTTCGAAAACTGCAATCACAAGTACCTACGGAAAGCAAGCTTGAGGCACCATGTTGTGAAAAATCATCAGGTGCAGCTTGTGGATGGTACAATTAAGATCTAAATTTTTTTTGTATACGTTGATTATTTTTTTTCCATATCAAATCTAGATTCTTCAACTGAGAGTCCAGCAGTCTCAAACAATTTCTTGGCTTTTCCCATTGACGGACAGGAGATTCTTATAGGTCAGCTTTGTTCAGAATAAAATGTCTCTTTGTTATAAAATTATTGTTTTCAGGCCAAACATTCTCAGTGTCCGATCCCATTGAAAATGCCGTTGTTCTTTCTACAATCAACCCAGCTGACATAATGCTTTCCAGCGACCCAGAGTTGCCAACTTTGGTTCAAGCAGACGACTCCCACACAAACCTGAATAGCATCAATGTGACCAGTAATCTCTCTAATTTAGTAAGTGCCTTTGTTTGAACAAAGAAATTTAGAATTTTCTGGTTATTTTTGTTCCGATCCTGATAAAATTTCCTTCTTTTAGTTGGCAGAAGAGTCTGAAGATGACAGCCATGTTGGATGTGCCCGCACAAATCTCCCTTTGCCCCTGGTTCCCCGAAAAGCCAACCGCACCACAAATGTTCTACCGGCACCTGCTTTGCTACCCGAAGACATCTTCAACGATTCACTCCTGGTGACACCGCAGGGAATCGAGTTCCAAATCATGCTGGACACCAGACAGAGGGAATTTGCAGAGTCGACCATCAATCTGCGAGACCTTGAGTGAGTGGTGCATTTGTTATTTGTTCCCCGGTTGTTTGGAGTTCGAACAAACAAACTGACTGCAATTTACTTTTCTTTCCTTTTTTTTTTTGGCATAATTTGTGATTCATCGTGGCATTTACGATCAAAAGCTTCTACTAATAATCATCCTAATTTATTTTATTGGTATGAGAAGCTTTACGTTTTTACAATTCTCTATCTCGCGCTCGTTTTATTATCTTGTTAGTGTTTCTTCTTTTGCAAAATGTGATATCGACGAGCCAATAATATAAACCTAGGCAAAAGTATGAAAGTGATTCCATTTTATTTGATTATTATGTCCTTGCTCACAATTTCAAACAGCAATTTGTGTGTTCCCTTCTGCTGCATCACTCGTTTCAGTCATTTCATATTCATCTTGTTCGTCTCTGACAAAACATCTTTTTGTATTAAAGTAAAGAAACCACATTGCAAAGAACACAAATCCTTCAAATAGAATTGCTGCTGCTGCTACAATCAGCACTTTGGTGGGATTCCCCCAGTCCATTGTTTCGTATATGTATTTTTTGCCATTTCGATTCACCCCATGGAACATGTAATGATAAATGGCTGTGAATGCCGGGTACACGAGGCCAAGCAGCATTGGCTGGTAAATGTGCAAAAGGCGGATGGGGTGGGCGCACACCAGAAGGTCAACTAACACAATGACGGTGTTGAGTATGTGGTCCCTGACGTTGGAAAAATCCAGAGGATGCACTTCTAAACATGAAATTTTATTTTGGGATTTTCTTTTTGAGAAATTTAAATTTCACCTGGTTTGTACTCCAACGTCCAGTACATGAGAGAAACCAGTGGCGACAATCCGATTGATAGATTTTTAAGAACCCAATAGAATTTCTCGATGCAGCTTACTTGCATGTTATCTTAAAATTTGTAGTGACTTTAAAAATAATATATATACTTTGAAACGATTTGATTTTACCTGCTCTTTGGTCCTTCAAAACCAGCATGGCTGCCAGGGAAGTGTTCATGGCCAAAATCAGAGTGTTCCAGTTTGTTAAATAAATGGGCCACATTGCTCGGCAAAGGCCTATTGGAACTTTACACTTTTTGTCTGCAATTCCAATCAAGTCCCATAAAATGCCTGCAATCAAGAAAATCGGCACTGCCAGCCTGTAGCTTAAGTAGATCTTGCTAATACGAATACGTCTGGTGTTGGATCGTGATAACTGGAATATTTTGAAGATTTTAATATTGTCTGTTAATTTATTTTTAATATTAAATACGAGTTAACTGTGTGATAGTAAGTGACATTTTTAGAAATAATACACACCCGACATTGGGCAAAATTCGCTGCATTGTTGTGCGCCAGCAAAGCGTTCTCCAATTTGAATTCGCGGTGAAAGTCAATGCAAAATGACCCCATCCTTTCAAAAGTCTTTTTTTGCAAAATTCTGCAAAATTTAATTTACTTGTAGACTGTAATAATTGAATTTATCCCTGCAATTATTTAGAAAAGCTATATTTAGTGGAAGCTCACCGGTGTAGAAATGAATCTATTGAAGGTTTGAATATTGCTTCGGCAACAGTTTTGCATCCTGCTATGCGATCTGCATAACAATATAGGCAAAGCGCCTGTCAGAAAATCATGATTTAAATATCCACTTTCGCCAGTCCGTAGGAGATGGAATATAATTAGGAAATAGTAGGTCAGCTCACCCCAACAGTAATCGCGCGTTTTGATTTAATTCTCTGCAAGAAATAGGGAGTTTAAACACTTCTAACCATAAGACTGTCCAGGGATGCTTCTTTGTGCATGATCTGCGCCAAACAGATGAACCAAGTCAAAATCATTTGAGCATAATTTGGAGGTGGGATCCGGTTTAAGGTACGGTGCTCATTTTGAGGTCAGTTGAAGCATAATGGTTATCACGATGAAAATGCGTTAAGCTCCTCCTCAGGCCGTGATGAAAAAAGCATTAAAAAAAACTACGTAGTTTGAAAGCAATCGCTGGGAGCAAATGCTGCAAAATTATATCTTCTCCCGTTACAATTTTGGTAACTAGTGAGTGGAAGAGAGAGCACTCGAATGAATGACCCAACAAAAGCTTAGCAGCGCTAAAATATTTTTTGGTATATATTTTGGTCTCATAATTATGATCAAGCTGTTGTTTTGCGAGAGGCAGTTGGCAGCCACGGGTGCACCAACATTTTTTTGTCCGGCTCCACCAAACTCCTGGAAGTCTTCACAGATTAGTGGGATTAGTGGTGCATCTTGAATGAATCAAAACAAAAGCCATTTTACTTTTAGTGTTATTTGAAGCCAGGCGATGCGGCAAAATCAACTTGAGATTGAAGTATTTTGAGGAAAATAATTTTTTATAACTGTAATCCCTCTGACATCCTTAAAAAGTTAATCCCACAAAATATATGAAATTTACTATAAAAATTGAAAATTCCAGCAAGAAAATTAATTTAATCCAAATTAAGTTAGGAATTTATTTCCGAAAAAATTATTGATAATTTTACTTTCGTACAGCTTCCGTCTGCTGATACAGAACTTTCTAATAAAAAAAATATAGGTTGTTTCTTACTCTTGGCTGTAACCATTACATGATAGACATCTTTGTAATTAAAGAAGATTCATTACGGCTCAGTCCACAACTTTAAAAACATCGACATTTGAATTTGCAGTTACAACATGGCAGAAGTAAGGATATTTCAGATCTTCGTACGGTTTGCACAAATTGAAGGCAGGCAGAAAAATATTAAAAATATATTAATTTCGAAAAGGAAAATGTCATTAAACGAAATATAAATATAAAATTGATTCTGGAGAAAGAACTATTGATAAAAAAGTAAGTACCATGTGAGGTGCTTTAAAACAATGATTTAATGAAAACTCCAGAGAAGACAACGATTGCGGATCAAACTCTTGGCCAGATGAGTCCGAGAAGCCTGGCAACCAGTCCCTGGCCATCTTGATGATTCTCCTTGGCCGCAGCTTCATCTTCTTCTCGGCGCTCACGATATTTGATTTTCAGTTGGTTCCTATAGCAATCAATGATCCACAGGACCTGTATTGAAAAGGAAGAAGTTCATTTTAGTCAAATCTGGGAATAGCAATGTTTACTCACAAACACACCTGCCAAGGCTAATGCAGTTTGCAATGCAAAAGGTCACAAGCGTGGAGAGACGTGCTTTCTTTGGGTTTGCTTCGAGCTGCTGCCGCTCGGAAATGGAGAACTGGCTGTAGTCCAGACGTACCGCCAACCTCTGCTGCTGCTCCACTCGCTCAAGTACACTCCATCTGCTTGCACCAGACACTCATAGAGAATTGGAGGCAGGGTATCAATTCCTAAGAAAAAGTAAAATTTACAATAATTTAATGTAACTAAAAACACAAAATAAATTATGTTTCTTTTGCTTACGAGTGTGAGCATTCAGAGTCAACTTGTTGGCAATAGCAGCAGACACCTGGGAACCAAACGGCATCGTCTCCCGAATCAGAGCGGCGCCTTGAAGGGGGCCAAGAAGAGAGGCTTCAGTAAAAATTTCTTCATCTCGCTCTGGGAAATCATCGGGGATGTTCATTTTTAGCTGTCGGCGCAGAATGTTTCAATATTGAGAATGAATTTTAAAAACAGCAACGGTTAATTTTAATTAGGCGTGCAAAAAAAAGGAAAGACAATAAGGCCATAATTTCAGGCGGACTAACTGGCCGTCAGCGTCCAGTCCGCATCCACAAGGCAGGCGTGCAGTTGAGATGACAACGCGTTGCGGCCTAAGCAAAATTAATCCAACAATAATTTAATGTACTAAATACTCAAAATTAAATGTTTTTTTTTCTTTGCTTACGAGTGTGGCTGTCCACGCGTATCTCGTTTGCCACAGCAGCGGACACCGCAGAGAGCCTAACGGAATTATTTTCTCTGATGGCTGCGGTGGCTTCCAGTGGGCCCAGACTGATGGCCACTCTGATGATCTCCTCGTCCTCTTCGGGAAAATCGAACGGAAGGTTCATCTTGGCAGCGAGTGGAAGTAAAAATTCAAATTTTGCAAATGAATTTAAATTAAAACGAAGAGCAACGGATAATTTGAATTGTTTGTGCGTGAAAAGAGGAAAGGCAATAATCAGAATTTTGCAACAATGAACTATGATTCACGTCACTATAGAAACGATACAATGACAGCAAGTCAATGTATGGACAAATGGAGATGCATAAATTCTTCCTGCCAAAGCTGTAATTTCCGAAACAAATAAACCAACTATTTTTTTTAAATTTAAGAATGCATATTTATGACAAACTGCAAAACAAAATGATTCTAAATTCAATTTTAGATTATATTTCAATAATGACCAATAACAAAAAAAAAACTAAACTTACCAACTGAAATAAGGAAAAGCCTTAAATAATCAATCGCAAACATTTTTAGACACATTTGAACACAATCATAGTAATTTAACCATAATTTAACTCGGCTCAAAGACGAAAAAATGTCTTTTGGCTGCAGCCATGTTTGTTGTTTTAAATCTAGTTTTACAATTCGGCACCAGGTGGTGCTCGCGTCAGATTTAATTACTTTTATTCGTTTTGTTCTGCTTTGGTTCTGATCAGCGGGAAGAGTGGAATTGCCAAGCATGTATGCAGTGGCTAAGTGGAGTATGCTCTTGACCCTAGACCTCGGATGTTGTGAGTTCGTTTCCCACTCCAGACGGATTTTTCTCGGGGGAAACCTGATTGATTTCTCATGCTGGAAATGCGAGTGATGGATTGAAAATCGGCCGGGGGCCGAAAGATTTCGTTTTTTCAAGGGTGTTTGCATTGCACCCTAGTTGTATGCAATGCAAAAGCGTTTAATTCAAAATCTTTTTTTTTTGTAAGAAGTATAAAATGTGACATTTTATACTTCTTGCTGCCAAGCAAGTTTATTTGTACGCAAACGCGTTATATTAAGTTATGAAGTAGATAATGTCTGTATGGCCGTATCGCCGTATCTTACGAACGGAAGATTATGTACGAATCAACAAATCCATGGTGGGTGGTGGGTGCTACGTTTGTTGTTGTTGTTGTTGTGTTTGTATTTTTTGGCTTTGGTGGTGACCATTCAGCCAGATCTAATTACGTTTCTGCTTATGATGACACGGGACACGCGATTAATTTCCGCCTGATGCTCTTTCTGCAACTAAGTAAGGGTTTTTATACACAGCATAGAAGTTTTGTTGTTATTAAAGAGCTAGTATGAGTATATCAATAATTAAATCTATCATTTATGTTGAGCTACGTTTGATTAAAAAAAACCACTTATAATTTTTTTTTAAATCTATTTTATTCCTTTTTTATACAAATCAGATTGTCAGAAAATGAAAATTTTGCTTGCAGTTATTCTTGTATTAAAAAGTTTCCTCTGCCTCTAATATAGAGAAGTAGAACTTATTATGTATAACAAATATTTTGTTTCTTACAATTTTTTTTCAAGCATCGCCAAACTCGTGCGCGCTATTTTTCTCGCAGCCGTTCTGCAGAGCATTAGACCTGAGGCACTTTTCTGCCAGCAACCGCCTGATTAAATGCACAGTCCACACGCAGAAAAACACAACGCACTCGAAAAGGATAGTAATAATCGAAATCGCTGCTGCTCGGTCAGGAACGTCCCAATCCATGATTGCGTAAATGTACGGGCGGCCGAGTCGGTTCACTCCGCCGAAGAAATAGTACAGGGCCGAAAAGGCGACGTAGCTCAGGCCGAGGGCCACCGGCTGATAAACGTGCATCAGATGGATCGGGTGCGCGCATATGAGCAGGTCAAGCAGGACGATGACCGTGAAGACCGCGTGCTCTCTCACGTTGGCATAATCCACAATGTGGATTTCTGAAAAGTAGAAATTTTACTATGAATTTCGATTAGATTATTTAAAATGCATTTAAATATTAAGGTGAAAAAGAATTGCGTTATTATTATCTTACAAAAAAAAAATGTTGGATTTAATTTTTGCTTTCTTATTGTGTGTAATTTATGTTATTTGATTATTTATAATTTATCATTTATAAAGCCCTATTTATTATAAAATTATGCTCAATAAATTGGCTTACGTACTAATTTTGATGACCATACCACAAAAAATTCCTTGAAATGTTGATGGTGGAAAAATTCTATTAAATTATATTTCTCTTAAGTTGAATAAATTATTTCTTTTAAAATTTTTGTTTATAGCCATGTCCATCTTGGAATCACATAATTTCCAATACTTATTTTTAATCTAAGTGAATCGAAGTTATTATATAATGTATTCATATTTTTGAAAATACTATTTTCTATACTCTTGGAAAAACAACAATAAAAGAAGAGCAGTAAATAATTCAAGTCACGCGGAGAAACAAAAACCATCAAACAGTGTACTGTTATTGAAATGAAAATTAACATTATTTTTTTTTCAATAAAAGTTGTTTTATAGTGAGCGTGACTGGTGCAGATATATTTTACATAATCACACAAGAAAGACTCTAAAAGAAGTGTAATTCCTGCTGTTTCGATATAATTTTTCTGTAATGTTAAACAGTTTTAAGAGATCAATTGTCAATTTTTAGATGAACGACAAAATAATATTAAAGAGAAACATTTTGGATAAATTTTCATCACAACTGAAATCAGGGCAAGGGCCTCCTGTGTTCTTTCTTATCTACTGCAACTGCGTGTCGGTGTTATCGAGGCCTTGGGTTTCTGCAGGTGCGTTACTTGGGCCACTCATTCCCTTTTATTCTTATAGTTGTATATATAATGGAATTTAAAATTACAAAATTAAACCAAAAACGAAAAATTTAAAATAAATGAAAAGGTTTCAGATGAAGTTGCTCCTAAATTAATTAATAAAGTACAAAATACATATTTAATTAAAACGATCTTGAAATTGAAATTTTTTCAATTAAAACGCCAATTCATGCCAAAAATGGAAGCTCAAGTGGAAATAATACAATATTGTATTTACCTGAATCATGCACGAAGCCCCAGTACATTATGGTAACGATTGGAGCAACGCCCGTGGACATATTGTAGACGGCCCAGTACGCTCTATGAATAATCTGCATTCTTTTGCCTTTAAACAATGTCTCGTTATTATAATAATTATTTTCGGACTAATTTATTGACCTGATTTTATTGGCAAAAAATGATGTCTTGTTACCAGAAAAGTAGCCATTCCAGTTTGAAGCAAAAGGAGGAAGGTGTTCCAGTTGGTCAAGTAAATGAACCAAATCGATTTGCAGTGCAGCTCGGACGTCCGACACTTTTTTTCGCCGAGGGTGTGTAGCATGTCATAGGCGATTCCGCCGAACAGGACGAAGAGGAAAACACACCATCTGTAGGCCACATACGCGCGTGCACTCCAGCTCGCTTGACCTCCGTTGACCTTATGTTGCCACTAAAATTGGAAAACAGTTATAAATTATGAAAACTTTGAAATGTACTGCTTAATCTTTATTGGTCAATTTAAAAAAAAATATTAATTCAAAATTAAAAATTAAATTTAAATAATGAGGTGATAACCCATAACTCAGGGTCCTTCAAAGTTGCTCCCAACGAATAAGGGTGTGGCCGGCAAAGTCACTTGCAAATTCGAAAAGCTAACTTATTGTTAGCATCTGAGCAGAATATCCCTCACTGTTTGTAAAATGCGGAATGAAAAAACACGCAAAACAACAGTATGTTAGATTTTTTATTATAAAATGAACCTAAAAAATAATTATTTTATTTAAAAAAGCCTAATATTCATCATAATTGATATAATCAAAATAATATAAAAACTAATATTTTCAATGATATTATATTGACTGGTTTGGAGAGAAGAAAAATTTTAATTGAATTAATGTCGCACTTGTAATGGTAATTGTGTCAATTCGATGTTGTGATTTACTTTTTTACATTTTTTAATTTTGCTTCGACATTTGAATTGCTAGGAAAAGATGAGATCATCTTGCTAAATACTGGGGAATTGAGAAATTATACTTCTCCATAAACAGATTGGAGAAAGGATGCCAAACAAAACTTTGTGTCAACTTTGTTTTAACCTACTAATTCCAACCAAAAGATGTAGAAAAAAGAGGTCAAGCTGGTTTTTATTTATTTAATTTCAAATGTAGCCAAATGTTGATTACACAAATAACATTAACAAAGCTCACATAATATTGAATAAAAATTTAATTTATCAAAATTATTTGAAATACATTTATGAAAAAAAACTTCAACAAAAATAAAATTTAACAATTTCATAGCTTGACTCTATAAACACTATACAACAAGAAAGTTTGCAATCAAATATTGCTCTCTTTCCATCTTATGACCATTTAATGATTTTTGTGAAATATTAATTTCTTTTAAACGTGTGTAAGTGAAGAGTGAATATTATTTAGTTTGGTCACACCGTCGTTAAGGTTACAAAAAAGACAGCGATTAACACAAACCTGACTCCTGCAAAAGTCGGTCGCATCGTGGTGTCGCAATTTTCGCTTCTCCAAACTGAACTCTTCGCGAAAAAACTTCAAGTTGCACACTGAGTTCAACATTTTTCAAATTCACTTGTCGCCTAAAAAGTTAAAAAAAAAACGCCCGAACGACGTATGGGAAAAAGCGCGCTTGGCAAACGCGTGGTGCTCACTCGGTGCTCATTTGGCTTTTTGTGAGAGTTGGTGCGCGCCAGCGAAACACGCGAGGAAAATAACACTGCGCGCGCCGTCGTCTATGTTTATTAAAAAAATCGCTTGTATATGAATAGAGCAGGTCGACCAACTCAGCTGGAGCAGCGCAACTTTCCATTATGGCCATTATCTCATGGAGGCGAAAGCGTTGCGCAACGAAGAAAAGTTGCATCTGTATAAGACAGCATGTGCTGGTGCAGCAACCTATTTTCAAACAGCATGCTCTTTATAGAATGTAGAAACAAAGTGTCGAAAATTATGCAATTTATTTTTATGAAATGCACCGTGAACGCAAAAAATCAAATATAATTATTTTGCCATACACAGTTGTGTTGAAGTGAGTATTTCAGTAATTGTACGCGAAGGGAGAGTAAGTTTAATGCATTTGGTGAAAAAAGATGGTAAAACAGTTCAAGAAAGCATAACATTATAATGTAGTTATTAAATTGACTCTTACAAAATATTTTCGAGTTGCTCATTTCATTAAATGACAAATAGCAAATATTTATTTTTGATTGATTTTATAGGAAAAAATTGCATCATAATAATATTTTTAATCGATAGCTGACAAAAAGGTTGATTTATTTTCAGATTCTGATCTACTTTTTTAACTAGTTTGATCCAAATGTGTAGCAATAATAATTGTAAAAATGATTTACAAGAAATTTGTAATTGCAATTGCTAAAATAATAATAATAAACGTTTATTGAATTATTTTTCCTCAAAGGATTTTTGAGTCAGTTTGTTAATGATTTTTAAGAAATTTTTCTAAAAACAATTTAAATATTTACTTACTTTTGTCACAATAGTATGATTATCGTCGCAATAAATTCAAAATCTCAACTTTTAAGTACAAAGCGCATTAAAATCAAATAATTTATTTTATAATTATTTTTATTAAAAAACTGTTCATTTTTAATCGTTTTTATTACACAATATATTGTGAGCAAATTTTAACTCAATTTCGAAGGGTCGTACATTCATCAAAACATTTTATTCTATAATATGATCTATATATATATTAAGTAAGTCAATATCTATATTCTTGGTCACGTGGAAATTGCTTCTCTTGAAAATTTATTCATTTCAAATCAGGAAATCCCATAATTTTCATTATCTCTCATACAATGTCCTCGTTTTCGTCACTGCCGTTTTTCCTGATTACGAGCGCAGCAGTTTTTCGTCGCGCCAAAAACACGCACCAAACCAACACATGCATCAGCAGAATGCCGGCCTCGCAGCAGGCGCCCACAAAGGCGGCCGTCGGCGGCCAGCGCCAGTTGAAGTGCGGGTAAATGGCCTCCTCGAGCTGCCTGTTGGTGCCGCCCATGTAGAAAAAAACCACCGTGAAGGAGGCGTAAACCAGGCCCACAGTCATCGGCAGGACGGCGTGCAGAAGTCGCACCGGCTGCGCCACCACCATCAAGTCCAACAGCACCAACAAGCTGTTGGTCACATGGCCCTTGACGTTGCTGAAGTCAATAGGTTTATCTAAAAATTTAAAAAGCAATTTACATCAATGTGGACAAATAAACGTCAGTAATAAATTTTTTGGCAAAAAAATTTGCATAAATTCGGTAAAGCGTGACTAGACCCCCTTCAATTAAGAGTGATCAGGTAACTGCTTATCTATCTAAAAAAGGTAGTTTTAAAGATAAAATACTATGTAGAGCCAAAAAGTTTTTGTATTGGAAAACCTTATAAGAATATAAAACACAAGTAAATAAAGACATGCTACAAATTTTATGTTTGTAATATTTTGTATTATTTTAATCATTGTAAGTTTGATATGTTTAATTAAATAAAGCTTTGTTGGCTTACGTGCCATTTAAAATATTATATAAATTGGATAATTTTTATCAAAAAATATTATCTAGTTCTGAAACAAAATACAATAATATATATACAATTTTATTAATTCTAATGAATAATGACAGTTAAATGCACGGTTGGATTGGCCATCTGAATTAATCTATTTCTACATTCTAAATGATTTATTGTGAAATAGATTAACAATGACGAAGTTTGGCAATGTTCTTGCATCATTGCACTTTGCATTAACCAAGGATTTCCTCCAAATACCCAAAACAGTAATTTTAATGTATAGAACTTCTTCCAACTCTCGCATATTCTATTTCTGCTCTTTGTTATGCTTTTCAAATACAAACACACGCAGTAGAGAGCAACCCCATACCATATTGTCCCCCTCTCTTATCAGCCACCGCAAGTAGGAATTCACTTCCAATTTTGCAACATCTCATCACTTCCTCTCCGCGTCAGTCTATAACTGACCTTCGGAGTGTAACGTGTGTGCTAACATGTAACCCTCTCTCGTGCAAAGATAATCGTAGAAAACGTTCGCAATATTGTGAATAGTGATTATTTAAACAATTGCATGTGGTATGTGGTGACAATTGACTTAGTGACGAGACGCCAACCTTGAATCGGTTTTCGGACAACAACAAAAGGTAAACATAAACAGCTAAAATTTTCTCTTCTGCAGCGGCCGTTTATTTGAATGGGAAATCATGTGCGCTTGCCCAAGAAGAGCGTAATATTTTGAAATGACATGTGCCATGTTTACGCATTAGAAACATTCGTCAGATGAGATAATTATGAATGAGCAGCGATTAGTAGATGAAAGACTAATTAGCTCGTCAATGTTAATCGTATCTTACCTGGCGAATACACCAACGTCCAGTAGACAAGAGTAACGTTCAAGGAAACGGCGCTGGCCATATTATTTACCATCCAGTATATTTTGTGGAATGTTGAAAACGGACTTCCTTCAAACAACAGAAATTAATATTAAGATTATTTATTTATTTTTTCTTAAATACTAAAGGTAATTCGAGACAGAAATATTAAAGTGTAAACTTGTTTATTTACATCAGCCGAGTTTAAAATTATTTATTTAAATCAGCCGAAGTAAACTTATTTATTTACATTAGTTTACATCGTTTTTAATTATTTTTATCCGACTATTTAGCATCACTGAATAACACGAGTTTATGCAACTTGCTGGAACGGAGTGTCATGCACGGTTGCCTAAGCGTTAGGCACTCACTTGCAGAGGCTGCAGGCTGAGTCGTGGCTAGGTAGGCGGCCATCAGAGCCTGGCAGGTGAGCAAAAGATAGGCCCAACTGGTGCAATAGACGAACCACTTGAGCCGGCACTCAATCTTGCTGCCCTTGCAATTGGTCTCATTGAACTCATAAAGGGTCCAGTCGAAAATGAGCCCATAGAGGAGATAAATGCACACCAGCCATTTGTAGCAAACGTACCAAGTCCTCCTGCGCCCATCGTTTTGCCACTAACAAAGAAATTATCCCAAGAATTAAATTAACACTTGAATATTTTAATTTTTAATTGATCTTAAAATTGATTGATTAGTTTTAATCTGATATAACAATATATTGTATAAATCAAGAAGGTAATAAATTTTATTATTACACAAAAAGTAATGAAAAATTTAATGAAACACCTAAAAAATGTCAGAGGTTCTTCAAACATTTAACGTTCCTTTTATATAATATAGCTTTTGCTGCATTTATAACAACTAATTATTCAGGAACATTGAAAAATTATAAAAAGAAACGTTCAATGCAATCTGTCTTATCTTATCATCTTTTATGTAATTATTAAATTTAATTATTAGAGAATAATTTCCCTTGTAAGTGATTCTGAATAGCTCTAAATATTTTTCCTAGTCATAAAAAAACTGACCTGGCTTTGCTGAAACAGAGTTGGGTCTGCACAATTGAAGCTCCTATACTCTTTGCTGAACTCTTTCTTGAGAGTTTTGTACGCCAAGAGCAACATCCCTCTGTTTGTTTTCACCGGAGCTGCTCATTAACCATTCATCTCTTGCGAGTGACGAAAGGAAAGGAAAATTTGCCCCTCGCGTAATAACGTGCCGGCGTAAAAGTGAAAACGAACTTGGTTAAAGAGCTCGCAGAAATACAACAAAGTAGCGCGGCTTCTGCACCGAGACTGCTGCTGGTTCAGCGCTGCTGGTGGCGCACCGAGCCAGCAAGGCGTCTAAATAGAACCCACTGAAATAGACCCCCGGCAGGTGCATCAGGTGCCAATTTTCTTGCTAATATTCGGCCGTGACCGAGGATTGGATTAATAATAGCTGCAATCTCACGTCATTTATTTTATTCAAAGAAGGAAAAAAATACTGCTATAGTAGAAAATAACTAACCAAAAATTTCAAATTTCATGGGTTAAAAATGCAAAAAAATTTAAAAAATTAATTTAAATCTGGTTCAAATTCCTTTACAAAACAATTTTCCCAAATCTAATAAATTAATTTTTTTATCTAGAGCAAATATTTTTTGTGCGAAACAAAGTTTTTTAATAAATTTAGTGTATAAAAAAATCTAACATTAATTTCATACTGTTATAAATTTTATAAATATTCCCAAGTTATTTCTGCGGTTGGTGATAGAAGGTCAAACGGAAACTTTGAGCTGAATTGATATTCCTCAAGCTCGTCGCTCTGTTCAGTTGGACCAATTGCGCTTTAATAGAATTCAAATAGGCAGTAACAAGTTAAAATGGATCACAGCAGCTGCGTGTTTGCCGTCGTCTGGGAACCAAATGAACAAAATCGATATAGTTCGAGTAGTTGCGAAAAAAAAATCAGTCACATTTCAAGCCGTTTGCGGAGTCTCGGTCATTTGGAGGTCCGTCTGCGTCGAGAAAATCAGTTTCGCCAGCCGCACCCTGGCCAAGTGAATGACCCACAAAAGGGTGTGAATCACCACCAGGAGGGCACAGGCGCCCGCCGACGCCAGAATACCTACGTGCGGCGTTTCCCAGTCGAGGACGGGGTAGATTTTGGTCTGGTTTTCGCGATTAGTGCCGCCGCATAAATAGTAGATCCACGCGAAGGCGCCGTATGAGGCGCCAAGAATCACCGGTTGATACACGTGGAGGATGCGAATGGGGTGGCTGTTGACCAGCAAGTCCACCACTATGATTATCGTGTTCAAAAGGTGTTTGTGGATGTTGAACAGGTTGATTTGGTGCATATCTGTGGAACATATTAGGCTCTTTATTTCATTTTTACTTTAATATGAAAAAGTTTAATTTCAATTTATGTTAACTTAACATAAATTGTTTTCTTTTTTCCTTTTGTAAAGCAATGTTCAGCCGTCATGCCGCACGAGTAAATTTTATTAGAGAAATTATTTTTAATTATGAAGTTGAGTGAAACTTTATCACATATTCTACAAAATATAAGTTCTGCACACAATAACCTAGTTGTAGTAAATTTTGTTGAATCGTATAATTTTTTGAATGTTGAGCGAATAATCTGGATCAAAATGATTCCAACAACCATAATTTATAAAATAAATGATTTTTCATTACTTACAGAATTCCAATATGGCGCAATATGGATAATTAAATTATTGCACTTTAATCCAAAGAAAATATTGAAGATAGTTATTAAAATGTTTTAGTTCTACGTATATAAATATATATCAAATTGAGAGAAAAAATGAATACAAATTACCTGATTTGTAGACAGCGGCCCAGTAGAGAAGAGAGACTGCAGGTGAGAGCGCGTTGGCAATGTTGTGCACCACCCAGTAGGTCTTGTGCAGCCGCGTCATTTCGGAGCACGAGGCTGAAATTATTAATAACTTTGAAATTTTGAATTCACCCAATTTCACGGCAAGCACTTGCGCGCAAACGAGACAAACAATTACCAAAGTTAGTGAGGCTGAGATGAAATTTCGAGACGAGAATAGCGGAGAGCACCGCTTGGAGGGTGAGCACCGCCGAATTCCAACTGGTCAGATGCACGGGCCACTTGGCAATGCGCGCCGTCCTGTCTGCCGATCCGATAGAACCCAAGTCCATCAGGTCTAGCACAAGCATGCTGACCAAGTAGACGGCGATGAAGCATTTGTAGAGCAAGTAGGTGCAAATGCAGTGCTTCGATCCCTTGCCCTGCCACTGTATTTTAAACCGAGAAATTTAATAATAATGTTTAGTTTAAACCAAGTTTAAACTGACTGATCCACATAATATTTATTGATACAAACATTAAAAAAAAATGTAAAAAAAATACAGATGATGAAGGATTTATAGATTATAGTTTATAATATCATGTACCTGCTACTTGAACATGGAATTTGCTTTCGTTGAAAATTAATTTTCTTGAAAAACAAAGGATCCATTGGATAAAAATCAATGTAATTTAACCAGGGCAGAGTCCGTTTTTCACTCCTCATAAGTTCTCTCGAGAAATATGTATGGATGAGCTTTGCTATCTTTTTTCTCTCCAGAATTTCAATTTTCGTGAATTGTGTTTTTAACGCTCCTTATGGAAGATCACATAATATTATCACAATATATTACTTTATCCGTCGAGACTGTTTTTCAATTGAATATCAATGATATTTTAATGAATTTCTCGATTAAAACTACCAGCAGTAGCAACAGGTATAAAATGAAAATGATCACTCTTTATTCATGACAAAAGACTGGCAAATCATTGAAAATTTCAACAACATTTTACAAAGATGAAAATACCAACAATATTTCAATTTTTCCCTCTCTTCAATTGCTTTCCTCTGAACATGAATTTTTTTACCAATTGTATCAATTAAAAGACACTAAAAAGAACTGTAAGTATTATAGAATAATAAATTATGAATACCAGCTGACGTTTTTAATATTTCTTTGGGGAGACTAAAAAAATTTAAGGTTGAATGTAAAATTTAATAATTTTGATATATACGACTGTTTAAAATATTTAATTACTAAATTGGCAAATTATTGCCTTGATCCCTGTAAAAAAAATTACAAAAAATTTGCAAAGTTTTCCTATTAATTTTCTGATCTAATTTGAACTCAATTTTCATTGCATAATTAAAATAAAAACTAAACATAAAAAAGAATGAAATTCAACAAATATTCACTTTCAAAATTAAATTTGTGCAAATTTGCATACCTGACTAGTGACAAAATCCTGAGGCCGGTCGTGTTGCAGACTGCGATAGTGGGCGCTGAACTCCCTCTTGAAGGTGAATCCCACCGACGGAAACATCATGGACGGGTTTCGTAGCAAAAGAAAACTCTTGGAAGTCAAAGGACTCTGTGGTCCAATCTCGCCCTGGAGACGCTGTCTGCGAAATAGCTGCGGAGGAGCGGCGCTCGGGCCCTTTCAATTCGCTCGCCCTGCCCCTCTCCATCGTGCTAATTTGCTTTGTCCGTCGCCTCCGCGACATTTGTCTTAATAAAAAAGAGATCAGAGGTGCTGCATTTAATATTATTGACCTCTTGAGTGTCGTGCTAATGGCTCTCGCTCCCAGCCTCCAAATCCATTTTGCCACCAGGTATACTTTAGTTTTCCCTATAATTCAAAGGGAAATAAAATATGATAAGCCAATAATTATGTATTTTGGTTTTTTTTATAATTCTAAAGCTAAGCCACATTTTATTTTAAAATGCTTATTAAGATTTATCTAAAAAAAATAATGAAATTCACTGAAATATTTTGATTATTATTAATATTTTATTATTTTTTTTTAAATATTTAAAAATTAATTTTTGGTTCAGTCGGCCCGATAGAGTTTACAGAAAACAAGCTCTTGCTCTATAAGGAATGTTTTTTTTTTTTTAAATTTTATTATATATAATTTTGACTGAAAAAAGATGTCATAGTTAAAAATTATCTTTTTATCGCAAATTTTAGAGCCATATAATTCAATTTTTTATTTTAAACTAAAATTGATTTGTAACAATGGTCAATGTGAAAAAATTGTTTAAAAAACTTTTCAACGTAAATTTGTGTACACAAGCCATTTTTATTTTAAAACTTAATTTAAAAAGCGTTTGCAGCTGAACTAGAAGCTGTTGAAACATTGTGGCTGCATGACATTTGTACGCCTTTAAAAATAAACATGCCAATTGCCGCTTTTAAATGAAGTATCTATATTAAAGTAACGAAGTGCGTCAACAGATGAATTGTAATGTGTGTCTCTTTTAAAAGAAAGAAAAGATGGATTTTTTTTTATTTAAATCACTAAAATCCTTTGCTTCAAAAATTATTAAAAGGTGAACTAATACAGTTTTCTTTATGAATTATGTACATATTATGTATCGAAGAAGAAAAGACCAGTATTTTTGTTTTTTCATATTTTAATTACAAGTTTTCTTGTTCATAGAGAGAGCTGTGGGTTTTAAATGCTTCCAAACCTAAAACACGCTACAAATTGTGTCATCCAGGACTAGTTTGCTTCTACTTACATTACAAACACAATAGATATATATCAATAAATTACAATATAATTTAATAAATAGCACACAATTGCTTTCCCGGCATTCCAAAGTCAATGATTTCCTTTCTTACAATTTTAAGTAAGGTGTCCTGCGTCCTTTACAATCACAGCTAAGCCCTGTTAAACATACAATACACAAATTCATCTTTGGTCAAGTAGGAAATATTCACAAACACACATCATTTTTAAATGTTGGTATGGGTTAAGAGAGATCAACTCTCAGTATTGTTTAGATCGTGTATAAAATTAGATAATTACCTTTTTGCGAAAACCATCAGTTAAATATTGAGTTGAAGTGGAGCAAGAAAATCGTCATTTTTAATAGAACTTAAAAACAAATTTTGCGTTGGTCCTCATAAAAATTAAATCAATATAATGAGCATGGAACAGGTTGAGATACAAAAAGAGTTACAATGCAATTGACTGCAAGTTTACACTACAATTATTCCCTAAAAATTGTGTTGACCTAATTGTTTTATTTTCGAGTTGATCTAGAAATATTTTTTTTTTGTTCATGGAATGGAAAAAAATATTGAGACTTTCAGGAACATGCGACTTATTTTCATTTTTAGAAAAAATGGGTGGAAAAATTTCTGCTTTTTCTTATAAATTTGAAAGTTCCAAATGGGTGCAAAAAAATTATTGGTCCCCCTTTGACCGAAAAATTAATTAAATATTATATTAATGATTCCAAACTTTAGGGCTGGGAAAAAACGTCTATCAACCTTTCGACTTGCATAAAAGATTTGAAGGAGGTGGAATAACCAAGATTATCATTCATTATCATATAAGTCAGGATAATAGAGATTAATATTATTATTTAATTTTAGCAATTTTTGATAGTTTTGTGTTGCATAAAGCCAATTATTTATTAGTTCAAGTTTAAAATCTTTTCCATATTTTGAGCCAAGTATTATGAAAAATATAATTTTCTTAATGTATAAAATTTCCCCTCACGCTTTTTTAATTTTTATAAAGATGCAATTTTTATGGAAAATAAATTTCAACTCCTCAGGCTTTATAACAAGTCGTGATTAAAATTTATGTTAAACTTAAATTGAGCTCATCTTCATCAAGAAATCATTCTTTTTAATCAAAGCATGTCTATATAAAAGAATAATAGTTTCAAAAATGAAACAAAACGTTAAAAAAATTGTCCATTTTTTCCCCGCCCTAAATGAACTTAATGAATGCAAAACCTTGATCACTCCTCAAATTTCAACAAGAGGTCGGGGTCGCACGGCAATTAGCAGAGCTGAATCTGTTCGCGAACAGAGGGCGGGACGTCTTGAGTGGGTTGGACGGCGTATTGTCCGCCGCTGGGCGACGCCACGAGGAACAACGCGATTTTCCTCCTCAGCAAGTAGAAGAGCCAGACGAGCGCGTGTAGGACGACGAGCAGCAGGCAGGCGGCCACGACGGCCGCGACGGCCAGGCCGGGCTTCTGCCAGTTGAGCAGCGGGTAGATTTTCGAGTTGTGGTCGCGATTGGTGCCGCCGAACAGGAAGTACACGGCCGAAAAGGTGCCGTAGCCCATCGCGAACAGCACCGGCTGGTACACGTGCAGCAGCCGAACGGGGTGCGCGGCCAACGCCAGGTCGGCCGCCACCACCACCGAGTTCATGATGTGGTTGTGCGCATTCACAAAGTCCAGCCTGTGCATTTCTGCAAACAAATTTTTATTGGGAAAATTAAAAATAGAAAAATTCATTTTTTAGCTGACAATGAGCTATCAATGATTGCTTTAAAATTCCGAAAAATTATATTTTTGATAGCAAGAAATCTCAATTTTCTCCAAACAGAATAAATTTTGTCTTAATTTCTCTAGGAAATTAACGGAGAAAAACAAGGAAGAAAACCTACTATATTTGATGTAAAAACTATTTAATTTTCCGACTAAATTAAATATAAATCAACTAAATTGATGGTGCTATTGTCAGGTTAAATTAACAATTAAAAAATAAGAAAAGGTAACAAAAATTTAATTAGCGTTTTGCGTTTATGTGTTTCTTACAATTAGTTAACAGAATAATATCTTAATTTAAAATAAAATTAATCTAATGTTTTGCAACAATTAATTATTGTATGACCAAAAAATACTTGAAATGTTCGCTTATTTTGCTGCAAAAATACCATTCCCATTTTCTAATCTTCTCAGACTTTGCCTCTTGGAAATCTTTTAGGTAATAAAACTTTGTCAGTATTGCCACAAAACTAGTTCCTTACAATATATCAAACAAAGCCATTGTTCTAATATTTTGTAAAATAATTAAATATAAATTCCTCACAAATTTGTGATGAAGAAGCTGTTTTCTTAATTCAATTTTGTTTTGCCTTATTGTATGCAAGCAATTATTTAATTTTAAAAGTAAATCTTACTGGAATTGTAGACAGTTGTCCAGTATAAAAGGGTGACGGCCGGGGCGAGAACGTTTCCCATGTTATTAAGCAGCCAGTAACTCTTGTGCAGCTTGGTCATTTGGCGATCTGGAATCACGTGTCAAGTTAGGACCGTTTGTATTTATATTATTAGAAAAGTGGGTCAGTTTGACGCACCTGATTGACCGGAGGTCAAGTGATGTTTGGTGGCGAGGACGGCGGCCATGACGGCCTGGGCGAAAACGATGACGGCCGACCAATTAGTGACGTAGACGGCCCATTTGAGTCTGAAAAAGACGTTTTCTGGCCACGACAGTTGACCCAGGGTGCGAATGTCCACTATGGTAATGATGAGCCCAACAAAGAGGTACGCGGCGATCAACCACTTGTAGCACAGGTAGATGGACGTGCATTTTTGCGATTCGGAACGGACCCACTGAAAGAGAAAAAATGTGAATGATAATTAGAAGATTGATTAAAACCGATTAAAACTACTATTTGATGCAATTTTCAAAAGTTTCCTCAACGGTGAAAACCTTTTTTACAGGCAATTGGCAATTGGGCAACATACAAAAGACTATTGTAGATATTTGTGTTAAATTAAGAATGCGTGAATCTGTTCAAAACGACAGAATTATTTTCGCAATATAAATTTTGCTTTTAAAAAAACTTTATTTTTCTATTACTTATTTTTCTTACTCTTTTATTTGATTTAAAAAAAAATTGAGTAGAATGATTGAATGGTTAATTAATCTTCACGTTGTTAAGTGGCTGCACGACAATTGAGCTTTCATTGATAAAGAGCGCCGCGCACGTCCAGCGTTGCATAGTACGCCACCGCAGCTATTCATGAATAAGAAGCCGCACAGTAATTGGCGTGAGGCGTGAGTATTTGTCTTTGAATTTACCACCAGAGAGTAAAAGCGAAAGTAACGGTCATTATCAAGAACGTGGTGGCGACCAGGATTTTTTTTTTTATTTAAAGACATCGCGGGAGATCTCAATTGTTTTCATCATATATCGGATAATATCGGAAATTGCACAAGGAAGAAATGACTGGTGCAACCCACAATAATAGGAAAGCATATTACATTTCTCTAGTCTGATGAAGGCGCACTTGCAATTAGTTAGATAAGTAGTGTATTTTTGCAATTTTTGCTTGCACTGCGAATTGAATGTGGCGTGATGCAGAAAGCGCAATAATAATGCTTTCTTTAATGTCTTTTCTGCGACGAAACAGTTGGAAGCAACAGAAATGACTATTGAATAATAAATGTTATTGAATTGTTGATTTAATTTAAGGAAAATTAGCTAACCTGCTTGAAATTTTATAATTTAAAATTAGACTTGTAATTGAACAAAATTTAGTCTTCTGTAGAGTTGATTAAAATACAAATTTCTATATTTATTAATATACATATTTGCAGTTAGTTCAAATGTAGATAATTTCATTTATTATAGAGGACTGTAGAGGACCAAATTTAATTTTTATGACTATTTAAAATTCACATGGGAACACTTAGAAAATTTGATTTAAAAACAATTATTGGAAAATATTCTAATATATTCAAATAAAAGATCCATAAAAAAATTAGCTGTTGCTTACCTGGCTTTTGCTAAATCTGTCCGGCTTGTCGTGCGTGAGGTTTCGAGATTGCGCCTTGAACTCGCGCTTGATCGTGTAAATGATCGCGGTGATCATCCTTTTCAGAGTGCTGCTTCCTGGGAACATGTTTCGAGGACTTCAAAGTGTGCAAATTGAATTGAAGGAGATCGGCCAATAAACTCAAGTGAGTGCAACACCACGACAGACACTGGGCCTGACCACCGTCAAGCGCGCCGTTTAAATTATATTAGTCCCCACCGCGAGACGCGAAAAGCTCTCCAACTTTGTATGGCATAAAACAACGTGTACCGGCCTCCAAGTTCCCCACTGACGCTCACAAATGGCAATACACGCCATCAGGTGATTTTCTCAAGAGATTCGCCTGGATGCTATTTAAATTGGTGTGGTGGGGAAAATTAAAAATTTTGCGACAATTTGTTATTATTGAGCAATAATTTTTACTTTTTTTGTCTTAATTAAATGGCTAAAAGTAATCAATGAATAATTTGAAATATAAAATTGCAGGTAAAAATGTCAGTAATTGAGAAAAAACTATTTTTCCCTTTACAAATCATTATTTTTAATTTAAATATTGTAATTTCATTTTAATCATTTACTTTCAATAAATTTACGCTTTCATAATTAACAGTAGCAATTGGAAAAATAAACAACAAGAATAAAATGTTCAGTGGCTACTAATCAAATGAAAACTGATCAAAACCAAAATAAAAGTGCATGCTTATTTATTTGACAATAATTATATTCTCCTTTAAAAATAATATAATAATTTTTTTGTATTCCTGTTGCCAGCCTTTTTTTATGTGAATCATTCGTAGAATGACAATTTAGAGCCACATTTAACCTTTGATTTATCAAGGCCATCATGAGGAGAGAAAAAAATCAAAGCAATTTTAAATTCAACTAGTTGCACAATTTTTTAAAGGAAAACTCGCAGAAATCAGATTATACCTTGTAAACTAATAATGTGTCAGGCGATGGCCTTTCCTCAATTAAAAGGGTTAATACGCCAAGCATGTCCTGCGTCTTTGCGAGTCAGCGTGACCTGTGTGATAAAATAACATGACCTCCGGTCAAATAATAATTGTAACAAACATCTGCGCTGCAACGTTGTTAGTTGTTTTCACTTTCCTTGTTCAGATCTTCAGATTTCGCACGCTATTAATTTTGTGCAGAGGAAATTGTTGGGGGAATTCTCTTCATCAAAAAATTTTGGAGCATTAATTTCCTCGAATGATATCAACGTCATTTTAACAGAACGAATAGTAGCTGGCAAAAGCCACCATGCCACTTTCCCATCTGCACAAAGTAATTCAACAAGAGTTGCTTTTTACGCTCTGCTGTTTATAATGTGAACAAATGTACAAATGGGTCTACGAGAAAAATAATCGCAAACTGTCTCTAAAAAGGTTTTGAAAATTTTACCAATATATCGTAATTTTTCATTAAAATTAACATCCCTCTCAGCTAAAATTAAACAACAAAATTTAATGAAAAGGTAAGATAATGTAAATTAAATATAAATTTTGAACCCCAATTCATGGGGATTCTACATTATTATGTTGATAACAGTTGTAATTGTACTGTTATGAATGACTTATAATTTGCGTCAATTGTGATACAATGCGAAAGGAAAGCAGAGTCGGCGTGCCTGTGGCGTGGGGAATCGCGGTGGTCTGATGTTCGCTGCGATCTCGCCACCGCTTACGTCACGGCAGACCGCGAGTAAGGAAAGAGGAATTCCCTTTTCTGCAGACTGCATGCAGGTCATGCCACTCTCCGACAACAATGGAGCAAAAAAAAAAAAAAAAACGCAAGCGACCCTAGGAGGAGCGTCGGCCGCCACCGCAGCACCCATTTCGGTCCCAAGAGGAAAAACTGCTTGGTGAGAGAGGAAGAGTTGGATTTAATTAAATTTTATAGAGTCAAAGTAAAAAATGTTCTGACGCAATGAGTGAAAAATTAAAGCACAGTGATTAGTTCGTCTCGAGGGGCGCGTCTCTCTGTTTACTTTGTGACGCACTCAATGATGCGTTATTGAGCAATTAACATAATTAAACAAGCAACATATAAATATTACCATACAACTATAATTTTTATAATTATCTTTATCACTAGTTGATGAAAAAGAAAAACCCTCATTGGATATAAACTTCTTTTTTCCCTAATTGAAATTAAATAGATTTTCAATAATTTAACATAAGAAAAGTTGAACGTAAATATACAAATAAAAATCACTGTGCTTTGCAATTTCTTTATTCGCTTTAATTTTACTTGCATGATATATCCTTAAATTTAGGTGGATAAAAAATGTAATTTGCAATGATTTTACCTGTTAAAAGACATTTTTTTTTTTATTTAAAATTCTGACCCAATTTGTGTCAAATAAATTAAATTTAAACTACTGCCATGTCAATTTCTCTCATTATATTCCTATCAGTATTATTGGAGCTTTTTTAGGAGTTAAATAAAATTTAAATTCAATATAACATTTTCTCACACGTCCACTCTTTTAAATTAAATATAGGGAATAAGCAAATATGCTGTGAAAAAAGATTTGGGTTCCTCACTACTACGGCTTCCGTAACAGGCATAAAACTAGGAGAGAACATTGAGCTTTGCGGTTTTGCTGACAGGAACAGTTCGAATAGTTTTTCAGCGTCTGCGGTTGTAATTAATATATTCAAAACGCAAACCACTATCCAAAAGCCAGTTCACGATAGTTGAAAATTTTATTTTTTAATGCAAAAATTCAGGGCCAAAAACCATTCATTCCAATGTTTAAATTGTATTGGGTCAATTATTTCATTGAAAAAGCTGAGAAGTGAGGAAGTCCCATCGGGCCAAGGGTCGGGTCAAGTGACTGTTGACCCGCGCGGGACTGGTGCGAGAGCCACGCACGCACACGTGAAAAAGGATCAATCAGTGATGCGCGCTCAGCCAGAGATGGAGGTCCATCCGAGCCTGGCCGAGAGAGCATTTTTTTTTTCATTTGCATCGCAAAGAGATCGATTCCCGCGCCAGTCATCCCACGACCTCGGCCACCCATCAGTCGATCGAATTTCTGTCACGCGCGACCCAAGACCAGCCGCGAGATGTGGGCAGTGCATTTGCATGCATTTAGTTGCATAAAAGCGTAAAACAGTCGCGGAAATTCAGATGCTATTCTGTGAAACTGGAAAAAAGACGTGAAAAAAGTGTTCAGACTGTTGAATTATTTTGAATCCCCCGAGGTTCAAGCATAAACATTTACATTTTATTTTCTACTTTTTAATACAACACTTATTTGAATAAAAAAAAAAAATCTCACTTTTATTCCTCTGATTTTATTTTGTTTACTTTCGAATTTATGAATGATGCATTATAATAAAATTACTTAAGGAATGCAGTTAACTTTTAAAAGAGAAATTGCAATATTTACTTGACGTTAATTTACTATTCTTTTTTACATTAAGCATGTTTTGCTTAATTGTAAATTTATTTCAAACTTCTTTGTTGATAAAATAATATTTTCCATCACATTTTATAAATTTAAGAATAAGATAGACTTTCAATGTGTACTATAAATAACTCAAATAAAATGAAATATTATATTTAATTAAATTATTTATTAATTTTTAATAAACGATTTACAAAACCAAATCGCATCTGTCACAATAATTATTTTTATATTCTTAATTGTTCTTAATTAAATTATATATAATATAAGTCACTCTGCAATTGTCTGTACTTTCACTTGCTGTGCGGAATTTAAGTTTAGTGTTCACCTGGTTCTTGCTCTAATATATTATACTGTAAATTATTCAATATGCAAATTCATTTATGGTTTATACACATATACCCTTGAAAACCTTGGGGTAATGTTAAGGTCTGATAATGCTAATGATGAAGAGGATATTACATGTGGATAAGCAAAGTTCACAGCAGCTAGTTTAAAGGGAAAATTTCTTTTAAAATTATAAATTTTGTTAAAATATCAATAATATTTCTTGTTATTAGAAATGTTTAAAAATATGTTTATTATAAATTTTGTTATGTCTAGAAACAAAATAATAGAATCTAAATATATCGATTCTTTAAAATCAGTATTTTAATTAAACGTTTGTGCTTCTTCAATTCTTGCACATTGCATTTTTTGTTACTTAAAGTAGTCCTACTCAAAGTAGCTCCTGAGTCTATTGGATTTCTGACGTTTGACACAGACACGGGTCATACATTTGTAATCGTGTTTTCCCTTTCACTTAATTACACCGATCGATTCTTAGCCTGTAACGTGTTTCGTGAATTCTGTGACTGACCCAGTTACCAAATATTGGCTTTTCCTAGAATTTCATATGTTTTATTTAGACCTTAAAAATCAAATACCTCTTAAGGCATAAATTATCCTATCCTAGAAAGTGATAATAAAATTATCTAAATTTTATTTTATGAATAAAAATAATCGTGGTATTTTCAATAAATTATTATGTTGACGAAAATAAAAATAATTCTCTAAACGTTTTTGAGGTTAACAATCAATTTTATTTTTATTTTTAATAAATAAATTCACTCTTGAAATGAGTTATTGTGTTGGAATGGTAATTTTTTAGATCATATTTATTTCCCTTCTAAAATCAAAATTCTTAAGCGCACATTTTTAATGCAGATCAAGAAAAAAAAACGAGCTTTTTGCCTTTTTGCCAAATAAGAAATTCAAACCGTCAGTGTGCAAAAAAATACGTTTTTTTAAAAATACCTCTGGCGGAAGTGCCACAAAGTTTTGCCTTCTTCTACCCATGTGCAAGGGTACGGCGGTAGGGCCGTGCGGAAAAGGACCTTTCGCAGGAAAGTGACTCACATGCAATGTAGCCGGAGGTACGTCGGCCAAACCCTTCGTGTCCAACGTGTTTTGCTCACCTGGTGGCACCTGCCAGCCGACATCAGCTGATGTTCCTCGACCAATACGGCGGCAGTTCTGCAGGACGAAGCGACGAGTCGGATGAATGGGTCGATAGACCGGCGGCCGCAATCGCGCGCCATAACGTGTAAAAAGCAACAAAGCAGCGACCGACGCGAATCGACCCAGACCCACTCAAAGTGGAAACAACTCAAAGGCTTTGTTTTATATTATGTATAAAACATAATTAGTTTGTACATATATCTGATTTGCACCAGCTTTTAGTTGGATTCCTGACCAGCTTGCAGAATTAGGTCCCAGTTCATTTCTACCATTTCCAACATCAAAATTAGATAAAGATGGTTTGAGTACATTTTTATTTCGATTGAGAAAAAAATAGCACTGTCAGTTTGGGTCACAGTTTAAGAAGCTATATTACAAGAAAATTTAATAAAATAAAAATATGAAAAATTATAGTAAAAAATGTATTAAAAAAAAATGAACAAATGAAAAATAACAAAATTTTTCACTGTCTTACAAAAAATACATAGAGTTGACATTTAATTTTATAAATTTATAGTTATGCTCCTTTCATTGTTATTTTTTCGGTTAAAAACTAATTAAAACTCCAAGTTAGAAATGGAATGGAACGGTCTTAAAAGAATTTATTAAAATTGATAATCATTAATCATACTGTTCTTGCTACGTTTTATCATTTAAACAATGACAGAAGTTAATTTTTGTATAAACAATTGCTTAAAGCCTAATTAAAAGCAGTTTTTGAGGTAGATTTTGGCGATTCTCATCCCCGTATTTGGCAAGTGAGAAATTGCACTGCTCATGGTTGTTGACGTTCACTCACGTATTATTATTTTCCATTCACGGCTGCGCCACTGTCACCTGCATGTTTTCTTTCATCTGCTCCTCCATTGTGAATACGACCGTGACCTTTTCAGTTTTGGAATCTGTGTAGTCCAGGGTTCCGAGCTGAAGGGCGATGAACCTTCTGAGTTGGTAGAACATCCACATGACCACGTGTATGAGCATCAAAAGGACGCAGCCACTCAGAATGTACGTCAAAGCAACCTGAAAAATTATCGAATTATATATTTCAACAATTTTTTTTCTTGAAAAATTGAAAGTAAAATGAAATGACGATTACAAAAAATTTGAATTTTTTTTATTCAAATTCTCATTTCATTTCTTTAAAATAATAAAAAATGTATAAATTTTAAATTTAACAACACACAATTTTTCCCTCTTTCTAACTAATTTTGATTAATTTAAATTTTTCTTACGTCAGGTTTGTGCCAATTGAGGAAGGGGTATATTTTGGAGTTTCCTTGCTTGTTGGTGCCGCCCAGAAAGAAATACACAATAGAAAAGAGCGAGTAGGTGGAGGCCAAGATCATGGGCTGGTAGAAGTGGAGAAGTCGAACTGGATGCGCGGTCACCATCAGGTCGACCACCACCAAGACGGTGTTCATCACGTGACCGTGAATGTTGCCGAAGTCGAGTCGATGGATGTCTGATTGGAATAAAATTATTAAATTTTGAACGAAACAAATTGAAAATCTGAAAGACACCGAAAAATACCTTTATTGTAGACGCTGGTCCAGAAGAGCAAAGTTATTGCAGGCGATCCCACATTGCAAAGATTATTTAGGAACCAGTACCATTTGTGCAGATTGGTCATTTTTCCTAAAACAATTAAATAAACTTTTGTTCTGTTTTTCAAATAATATTTTGCTTAGAAAGTAAAGCCCGTCGGTTCAAAATGTTGAGATAATTTCTGACAATTTTCTTTTTTGATTCACATTCAATAAATTTGGAAGTCATAATGTTTTTCTAGCTTATTTGACAAAATCACAAGGGCTAAACTTGTTTGATTTTTTAGCGCATGGTTGTCAAAATTTTAAGCGCGTTTGAGATATCTGAAGAAAATTTAAAAAGTTTCACTCTCATTTTAGTTTTATTCCTGATGCCCGGCAAAAATGCACTAAAAGTAGTTGGCGAAAATGATGAACTGTTCTTGGTTTATCTCTAAGCTTGCCGTCATTTTTGGGGAAGTTGTAATAATTATTGATAAAATTATTATTTCTATGTTTTTCAGTATTGATTTAAATTTTTATGAAAATGTTACTTTCGATTTAAAAAAATGTGTTTAAAAAAAATATGTAAGGCCTGTTGTCTAGCGGCCACATACTTATTTTGTTGTCAATTTAAAACATTTCAAATGCAAAAAATTTTTAAGTTATTGAAGAAAAGAATAAAAAATTATTCCAAACATCTGTAAGCATCAGAATACATTTATTTATAACAGATGACTTCCACATGTCCAGCCATTATTGGTATTCTTTGTATTCTTATTCTTCATTGATAATTTTCATCCTTAGTCTCAATTAAGACACATTTGATTCAGGATAAAACAAGAGTTTGTTATTGAATATTGATTTATTGAATTGTGGGTTTGGACTTTTCACAGGCTCTGTATTTTTATAAGATTACTTAAAAAAATTAAAATATTTCGAATAATGTTTATTTATAAAATAAAAACAATGAAATTAATAAATTAATTAAAATATAATAATTTTTTAATATTAAAAACAATTTTTATGGCCTACGCGCCATTTAAGACTCTATCAAGCATATCGAGGAGCGCTGGATCGGTCCGCTGATAAATATTTGTGCAAATCTGACAGGCGGAGTGCAAACTAAATCGTGTGTGTGCGTCTTGCCAAGCTAACTGTTGCTGCTCAAACACAAACACCGTTCCCTCAATAAGCACCATAAGCATTCTTCTTTTATTTCCAGCTGTCCAAAAAAAAAAAAAATAATGTACCTGCTGATTTCCCTTGTGGTGGGAAAAGTTGGTGTTCGACGGCGAGGACGGCCGCGATCAGGGCTTGAGCGGTCAAAATCATCAGGGTCCAGTTGGTCAGGTAGATGAACCACTTGGCGCGGTGAATCAGACTTTGCGGCCACTCGAGGCCTCTCTCCAGGGCGTGCAGGTCAATGATGTTGAGCATCACGCCAGTTAATAGATAAACGGCCACTGCCACTTTGAACACCAGGTACGTTGACAGGCAACTCACTGAATCGGCGCAATGCCACTTAAATGATACAAAGCCATGTGGAATATATTAATTATTAAAATTCACTTAGTTGGTATGGATGGATATGATTGTTTAAAAATTTGACAATATCTTAATAAAAAAAACATTTTACTGTAAATATTACTTAACTTAAAATTTAATTATTAAATTATATATTATTTATCATTTATTAAAAAATAATCTAGATATTTTTTTATTAAATTTTTTTAAAGAATAAAATATAAAAGTTAATAATATTAAAATTTGTATTAATATTAAATTTTCAATTTCGATACTTAAATTTTATAAAGTTCTGTAGTTTTACGTTTAAATTGAATTTCTATAAATCTGCTATAAATATTTTATGCACCCCTTCCTTCTTTCGGAAATGGAGATGCAGAAGCGATACATCCCCTGCTCAGCACCAAATTTATTGATTATTCATGATTCCACCGCAGTATTTTTCTTGATTCCCTCCGTTTTTATAATAAACCTCCCACAGTAAACGTAATACATAAAAGCTGCAAGACGTGAATTTGCACATTGGGAAAATAATAATAAAAAAAATTATAGAAGATTGAAATTCCAATTAAACAGAATATAAAAATCAATCAAAATTGCCTAAATTTACCTGACTTTTGCAAAATCTATTCGGCCTGGCGTACTCCAGCCCCAGAGAGCTCCACTGCATCTCCCTGCGGATGGACGCGAAAAAAATCTGCCACTTTTTCGGTCGCATCGTGAGGAATTCCTCTGAAATCCCAGTTTTTTTCCGATCCTTCTGGAAGAGAGCGTGGAAAAACAGGGAACAGCTGAGAGCTGGATGCACGCACCCTCGTGGCTGGCCAGCGACTGTGCAGCAAATGCAATTCGCCCTCGCCAACGCACCCCCCTGCGCTCGATCGGCACTGAATAGGCGCGCGCTTTCAGGTGTTTCGCTGCACACGTAGTCGCTTGAAAAACACATTCCCTCGCCGATTTGCTCAATTGAAACTACTTTCCACCGCCGCGATCACACTACTTGTTCCTTCCTATTCACCTGAAGTGCCGAACACGTTTGCCTTGGTGGTTCATCAATGGCTTACGGAGAGGGGCAAAGTAAAGGCGCACTATTGCATACCTCCAAGAATATATGACACTTCCTATTGTTGGAGATAATTACTCACCGCCGCATGTAAAGCAATTTTCACATTTTTAGGCAGTTATCGCATCATCCGTACTAATTCATAATACAACTTTAAATCATTTAAAATTAATTAAAAAAAAAATTACATATATTAGTTTTTTCAAATAATCAGCCCTGCAGATGCATCATGATTAAAATTTTTCAATGAAATTATTCTGCATTGTTTATTTTCTTTTCTGTTGCAAATATTACGTGTTTTTTGGCATCACAAAATAATTTGTATATTTTGAGTTGAATTTTTTTGAAACTGAAATTTTCACGCAACAAAGCACAATATTTTATTTTTATCATTCTGAGAACAAAGCTCATTTTCATCTCACTTCAAGAATATCTAGATCAATTGCTTCAATCATAATTTTAGTGACAAAAATTTCCTTGATTGTTTAAAAAAAAAAACTGATTATAAATTTTCTTTAAACAAATCAATTTAAAAGAAAATAATATTTTCCTGCACCAAAATTTACAAATTAACAACAAGAAAAAAAAAATTATTGAAGGATTAAAAGTTTTTCCCCCTAAAAATAAATCCCCATGTGAATATCAACAAATAGCACATCAGCATATCTCTGTGGTCAAGAAGCTTCTGTTTTTATATCTTTCTCTCTCTCCCCTCGAGCCAGAAGATTTTTTTTCAACTCCTTCTTCTCATCATCATCATTTGGCCGAGTTGATGACGGGTCGAATAATTTTCTAGACTTGGGCTTTCATTCAGCTCAAATTTTGCTTAAACCACTTGACCGCTGATGAAAGAGGAGCAAGTAGATTAAAAGTCAAGTTGTTGTGTCACTAGTGCAGACTCATTGAAAGGGAAACCCTCCATATTATAGCGTGTATCCCTTTTCGCCATCTGGCCGCACGCATGCAAATTCGCAGAATTTGATCCGTCGCAGCACTTTTGAATAGGCTTAATTGGATTATCTGACCTTCCAGTCCGCGACTGAATGGACTCTTCGCAAATTGGATTTTGCAACCCAAATTATATATTGCAGAACCTCAGTGGGAGTTAATTAAATTGCATCACAGTGTTTTTCGGTGTTTATAAACGCGCTTATTTTATTTATAGGGTTGGGAATGATAGACTCCTAATACGAGAGTATTTGATATTTTTTATAATATCTGTTTCACTTTTTAATACCTAATTTAATTAGTACAAGCCTCAATAGACCGCGTGTTTTCGCCAATATAAACTTGTACACAATGCTATCTTATAATTATATTTTTGGTTAATTTTTTGTCCTTATTTAATTTTAGTTCAGATCACTGATGTGACTGATGTAGGCCATATCATATTATTTTTATTTTAAGTGAGAATTTTTTAATTTAAGTGAATCTCATAATTATTAATGGCAACTACGAGTGGACAGACACACAACATTTCTTCAAACTAAAGTATTTTGTCCTTACTTTGGACTTTTTTATATACAATTTGAATATTTATTTACCCTCAAAAATATTAGAGGGGTAAAGTAATTAACTTTTAAAAAATAATAAAATTAAAATTAACATCTTTAATTATTAAAAATAAAAAATTTATAATAACATAATAAGTATAATAAGAAAATAAAAATATAAAAATATAAATAAACATAAAATATAGTATAAACGTTAAATTTTTATTTTTTTATTTAAATGCATAATTTTTACAATTTACAATATGCGTTCAAAATATTAACTGCAAACGGAAAAAACAGATTGGACGAGGGTCCGAAAATGCGGCCAAAAAGGACCGAAAGGGGCAGGACACGCGGCCGTGGTCTAAAAATAGCGCTAATGCGGTCCGGGCCCGCTCGCGTCGCGCCGCACACTGGGCCAGCGCAGGCGAGCATGAGCAGGCAGGGTGATCCGTCGCCGCCGCCACCCAAACATCCCCTCGTGGGGTAGTCGAGAGGCGCATCTGGCATGGTGCACATCCGCAAGGGCGGGTGGCGCACCCCGCTCCTGCTGCTCGGGGCCCTTGTCGTCTGCCAGCAGGTCGTCCTGCCCTCGGAGGCTGCGTGGCTCGACCAGGCCAGTCCTGATGTGTGAGTGTGTCTTACAATTTTCTGTCCATGCGCTCCTCCGCAGTCTCCATTCATTCCATCTGCAGACCAGCTATTAAATAAGATTTAAATATCGCACTTCCTGTTGTTTCGTAACTCAACTATTTTTTGAAAAGTGCTAAATTTAGATACAGAGTGATATTCTAAAATAAACATGAACCTTTTGTTGAGATTGTGAAGACTACAAACTTTAACCTGCTTGGCACTAAAAAAGTTTTAATATAACATTCAATTTATTATTAAATAATTAATTAAAAAAAGGTTTCATGTCTCTTGGCTTGTGATTATATAAATGAATTACTTATTTTTTTACATGAGGAGGTATATCGTTTGTGTTTTGGAGAATATGCGCTTCTTAAATAAAGAATACATGTTACATGCCACATGGTATTAAAAAAAAAAGACACAATTTCATTAAATGAAACTCGCCGAACTGCTTTTTACACTTTTAACAATCATTAAGAAATTACAATTCACACTGCTTTATCTCTGCCTCAAAACAAATGACCATTTAAATAAGTTAACATATTTAAAGTTTTTGCCAAATTTATTTGCAAAATAATTCAAATAACCAATTTAAAAAAATACGTTGCTATTTTAGTCCACTTTTAGATCCTATACGAAAACCCTCTGGATTAACCATGACCTTACGATTTTCATGTTTATAATTATGAGTTGTGATATAAATAGATCACTGAAAGTGATAAATATAAATGCGCGGCATCCGCGTTTCATTCTGAACTGAGGCGTTTATGTATATAAATTACTAGTGCAGAGGGCTATTCATTATTTACCATATCCACGAATCCATTCTTTCTCCATTATTTGTCCACTAGTGCATGCCCAAGACTGCACTGAGCGGTCTTCATTCAAGACTGCCGCGATCCAGCTCATTAAGTTGAAAATAACTTTCGCGTCATATCTTACACGAGCACACAGCAACAACGGGAAAATTGAGGGAATTTTTTATAACAATGTCAAGGGCAGATAAATCAGATAATATATATCATTGTAAATGCAGCAAATTACTATAATTTTTTTAATTAAAGGAGTTAAATATGATTCAGCTAAAGAAAATTAATAAAAACGTCATAATGTATTTACTCCTAAAAAAAGGAAATTTATTACAAATTAGTTTCTGACCATAGAAAGGTGAATACTAAAATTTGTGACATCTACTGCCAAAAATTCTTGGTTTTGATGATGTTTCACTTTGCTTGTTGCGCCTTGAATATTTTTTATAGCATCTCGTCGTTACAAATCTGACATCTTCATCCTTGCTGAAAAAATGACCAAAATGTTGTGGTTTTTCGTTCATTCCATCTTTCCCTGTTCCCACATCGATTTTTATTTCTATACAATTCCGCAAAAACCATCGTGTGCGCGTGATAAAATTCAAGGCCTTGATTTAAAAAAAAGGAAAAAGTAATTTGAGGTTGAAAGGAAAACAAACAGGCCTGCAAATTGGAAAAAAATGTTTAAAAGTAAAAAAAAACCGCAAACCACATGTTGCTGCCGAATTTAGTAGGAGTTTGCAAACTTTGGAACCGCGTGTACGTGGGCTGAGCTCAAAAATGAGACCCGGCAAAATGAATTCGCAAAACTGCTTCAGGCTGTTCCAGAGAGAGTCGGCTGTGCATGTCATTTGGCATTGTTTTGCCAATAAACAGAGCGCGCGAGAGAGGAGAGAGGTGCGATATCGACGTGAACGTTTTCCGGCGGCCGCCGTGTTTAATATTTAATATCGCGCATGTGTTCAGTCGCGCATTTGGCAAAAGCGGAGAGCTAACCCATCACGGACTGCTTTGACCCAGACACGAAATTTCGCTCTCTCTCAAAACTTTGTTTGCTCTCTTATATTTATTATTATTATTATGTAACGTGCAGTCTTTCATCTGCACCCCACGGATGACCCACTTTCGATGGGGACGATTGAAATTTTAATGCATCTCTCGGCGTCGCCGACACTGCACCATGCAAATGCAGTGTTGAGATGGCAGCTGAATGCAAAACGTGGATGCATTCAAACACTCTTTGCTGAGCTCGACTATGCCAAACATAACTCTTTCTTATTGTGGCGAGGGAACGAGGCCCTCGGGGAGCAGATTTGCAGATTATCCGGTTTAGCCTGATTGAAATTTAAATACAATTCCTGTTGGATGTTTGCAAACATAAAGATTTCAAAAGATTTCATTATTTATTACAAGGAGTCCCTGAATGATTTTTTCGTGATACTTTTTCTTGCCGTTCTTCCTTTTGCCGACATCTGAATTTTTGCTCTATAGCACTGTATATAAATAAAAAATTTTGACCTGATATATTATTTTAAAGACTACATTTGATACTTTTTTCCAACAAAATAGAAATGAAAAGTTTAATCTAATTGATATGAATGAAGTGAAACGGTATATTTGATCTATAATTTTTTGATCAGCACCCGCGTCTTTATATAATCATTGATATCGATTTCTTCGTAGAAGCCATTTTGATCCCTTTCAAGCTGGACATTATCAATTATAAAATTCTTTAGTAGTTTTAAATTTATTCATTGAATTTTGAGCAATAATCATTTTATTAAAAAAAGGTTGAAATTAATAAAAAACAAATATCTGAAGTAAAAAAACCCCATGATACACAAATTCCAATTCATCTTTTCAATTTGTATAAAATTGTGTCGAGTTATAAATATGAAATTTCTCTCATAGGGTCTCCCGTCCTTCCACTATGACATCTGAATAAATGTCTAATGATTTCTTTTGGGAAAACGGCCAGATCGTTCCACTTTTCCAGCGGCCGGGGCGAGGAAATGCAGCAGACTGCGCACAAAACACACACATAACTCGGCAGACGTCCGGAGGTTCTCAGCGCTCTCGGTGGTGGTATGGTGGTGTGTGTGTGTGTGTGTGTGTGACACACACAACGAGAGAGTAACCAGAGTGAAAATACTCAAAACACCGCCAACAGATTCTGACTCGGTGCCAAAAGGCGGGGAAGCGCGAGAAAATGCCATTAGACCTAATACAAAGGCTCTGCACTGCTGGCCCTAATGTTTGGCGGGGGAAAGGGTTGAGCACAAAAGCCGGCAGAAAAAATTCGCACTCCATTTCCACTCGCGCAAAAGTTGTCAAAGAGACAAACTTGGATGGATAATTTATATCAAATTTTCCAGAACGTTGGGTAAAAACTAAAGAAAGTAAGATAAAAAAAAAAAAAAAACTAGGAAAATGTTTTGCTTCTCGACATTTAATTTCCCCTCTGGCTGCTGCTTTTACTTTTTTTTATAATTCCTGCCGAGAGTGATTTGATCAATAAATTGGTCCAATCCGGCGGAAAGTGCGGAAAAGTGCGTGCCGGAAGCTCAAGAGGGAACGATGTTTGCTCTTGAGTCTCCGAGCGCGTAAGAGCCAATTTGAAAATAAAAAACTAACTTTCTGCTTGTGTGTGTGTGTGTTCGCAGAGTCAAACAATGGGCCGAGCGGTTGGGCAAAACCCTGTCCGACATGGGCCGCAAGGTGACCAGGGTGAACGACATCAAGAAGGTAAATGAGTGCAAACATGCGGAGAACGCAATCCTTGTGGAGCAAATATTTGAGAGCCACGTTTTTGTTGCAGATGTACAAACAAATCGGCGCGACCATCAAAAAGAGGGACGGCGACACGCTCATCAAGGAGATCCGACAGGACATCGAGGAAATGGTCCAGCAGAAGATGGATGCTGTCAAGGTTAGTTCGTCAAGTTTATTCTGCGCAAGCAAACTATGAAAATAAAGCGAAATAACAATATACTGAAAATTTAAATTTTCACGTTTTTTTCTTTGAAACAGCAAAAATAAACCAGTATTAGTTGCAAATTGGGGTAATTGATCAACAAAGAGACAATTGCTGTCCTTAACGGGATATATCACTATTTACTTATTATTTGATATTGTTTTGCTAAATATTAAATAAATATTAAAATTAATTAATTTGAATTTTGTTATTTTCACCTTCAATTTACTTTCAAGATTTTAAAATTTGGATTTTATTTAAATTATTTATATTTTTAATTTTCTTTCCATTCCGTGCATAATTCTTAGTCTATTCAAATGTTTCCAAGAAAGATTTTTTTTTTTAAAACAAACTAAAAAGTTACCAATATGCTGAGTAAATTATTTTAATCTTTAAAACTAAAGATAAAATCTTTCATGTGGGGTTCCAGATTATGCGCATTTAGTCTGTCAGATTAGGCAAGGTGCGTCCGAAATTCACGTTTTGCCTGAGAATTAACTTTTGAGGCAAACAAAGGAATGGCAGCTCTCGTCCTTTGAGGCTCTCTGGTGTTTGGGAAAGAGGGATGCCCCTCTCATTTCAGCCGGGGATAATGTTCATGCGTGTGTGTGTGTCTCGCTCGAGTCAAAGTAAACCCGTGGGGCTCTAAAAGCTGGAAAAGCGCGGCCGGGAAGCTTCCTCGCGTAAATTTTTTATCGCCCATTTTATATAGAATATAAACGTGCTCGTATGTTTTTCGCGTGTGCGGCTCATCCTTTGAAAATTCGCCCATTATCCTGCGCTGCTCGGCTGGCACGCACTTCGGTGCTGCTGCTTTTTGCCCGTTCCGACGGCTTTAATCACGAAATTATTTTGCCGCAGAAAAACCGTGGGCCTGCGCGTAAAAGGCCCTTTTGCTTTTTCCTCCAAAAAGAGGCTCTCCATTATTTCCCAGCTGAAGCTAATGGAATTTCTGATGTATATGCCGCACCAAGCATTTTCTAAACGCTGAAATTTTCTCTTACTTGGGCAGGAGTTTTTAATGGACAATAAACCGAAACAAGGGGAAAATGAAAAATGCTCATATGAAGTAAAACGAAACTTTTTTAACCAAAATTTTCCATTGCCAGAGATGTTTTCATCCAACTTGTTACAAAAAAAATTGGAAGGGAGACTTTTTTCAAAGAACCAATTAGAGGAAAATTTTGTTTACAAAAATTAAATGTCATTTTTACTCTCTGTTAATTTTGTTCTTCACGAAGATAATAATCACTAAAATTACTATATCATATTTATTTAAACTCTCTTGGCAGATATAAAAAAATGATTTAATATTTTTGATCAAACATTAAAAATTAAAAACTCAAAGTATTATGTTTTTTTGTAATATTTTCACCATATCTTGAACCACAAACTTTACTATTGTAAATTAATTTATTTTAGCAAAGCATGAGCAGCTCAAATCATAATAAAATAAACTTAATGCATCTTTTATTAACTGCATAATCTGCTGAATACTCTATTGATGAGAGATGACAGATGAGAGAAACATATCATTTTTTAGTACTGTTTCATATTTAAGAGTTTCTCACCTTCGTGGTTCTGAACTTTGGTGAATTCAAAATATACAAAAATCCCTATTTTATCACAAAAACATACGAAACTATGACTAAATTAATAATTTACAAACTATTTAGTCTTTTTAAATTGCAAAGAAAAAAAGATTTCCTCATTATCTTATCTAATCGCTGAAATCTAGAGAATTTTCACATGTCAAAAAATTGGCAAAAATATGATGAATTTTCATACTTTTCTTTTGGGATATGTTTTTTAATCAGTGCATCATGGAGTGGGCTGAGGAGGAATCATACGTGCCTCACGTGAGGTGGGAAGACCTGCTGCGGGAGGAGGACGAAGACGGCGGCATGTTCGCCTACCGCAGCGCAAAATTTTCGCCACTGGGCACCGCCGAAGATTACCCCCAACCGACTCCTGAACCCCCGTTGAACTACACAACAGGCATTGCCCATTATCGCAAAAAGGTGCCCCCGGTCTACTACCAGCCAATAGAACTGGAGCCTGATCCGCACTTTTTCAACATCCCTGTCAACACTAGCTTCAGCACGGTCCACGTGCCAACCAACGTGTTTGACAGAGGTAATAAAAATTCACTTCATTTATCCAGCAGAGAATAAAACAAAAATTGATTGCAAGACCAAGATTAAGTTAATCCTATTAAAAAATGAATACAAATTATTTCCAATTTGTTTTAAACATAGTAGGTTATTATACGAAATAATGACCATAAAAAAAGGAGAAATGTAGTAAATTGGCATTGTATTCTAACAACAAGGAAAATTTTTCGCAAAACGTAATGATTTGGAAATTTTTATTAACGAAGACCAAAGACATGATTGTAAAAATGCGGAGAAATAAACGACAACAATAATAAATATTTAAATTTATAAAATGGTGTAAATTTTTTCAGCTCCGGAGGTAATAGAGGCGATCCAGTGGTCGCGAAAGATTGACCCTGTTTTCGAGGCCAACTTTGCGGCCGACCCGACGCTGACCTGGCAGTATTTCGGCAGCGCCAAGGGATTTATGCGCACCTATCCAGGTGAGTAATCGCCCTAATGGACTCGGCAAACTTGTGAGTGTGTGTTGCGCTCCCAGGCTTTTGTATTGCAATTTATACCCCACGCAAAAGCGGCAGCATCCATTAAAGCCGTCTGCTCAGTGCTTTGCGGCGCTCGAAATTATTAATTTCGCATCAAATTAATTTCCATTATGCAAGCACCATTTAGTAACCATGAGGATAAAATTCCAATACGTAATAAACGTTGAAAAACTGCCAGTTTAGTAAAGTTGCAATTATATATTTATTGCACATTCAAATTTAAAAAAAATCATTTTCTTAATATTAAATAAAATGTAATTTTTTAACAAAGAATTTTAACTGAATATACTTATTTTAATTTTTTTTATTTATAATATTTTTAATAATAATTGAAAATTTTTTAATGCGACAATTAATAAAATAAAATTTATACAATACATATTTTTTATTACATTTATTTATTCCAACAAAGATCATTACTGATGTAAAATGTTTCTGCATTATTAAAGTATAATTTTAATCTGCCCAAAAACTGGTCTATTAAATAGGAATATTTAAAATATTTTAATTCAAATAAACTTGCAATGTTTGCCCAAATGTTATTTATTAGGAATGAAGTGGAAATCGGACGGGGTGGATCTTTACGACTGCCGAATGCAGCCGTGGTACATTTCGGCCGTGACCTGCAGCAAGGAGGTGGTCATCCTGGTCGACACCTCTGGCTCCATGACGGGCATGAGGTTCAGCATCGCCCGATTGGTCGCTCATTCTCTTCTGGACACTTTCACCAGCAACGACTTTGTCTCCGTCCTGGCTTTCTCAGACACGGTCAAAACGCCAATCGAGTGCTTTGAAAACATGCTTGTCCAGGTAAGACCACTTTCCTTTATTTTTTACTTTTTCCCCAATATAATTGAACTGAAATCCAAAGCACATGATTCATCCCAATAAAAATAAAAATTATTTGTCATTACATCAAATTTGGAACTGGCAATCATTTAACTAAATATGTAGCAAATTTTCGATCAATTTTAAACCAAAGTTTTTTTACAATTAAAATTTACTGGTGAGGCAACACCTTCTTGAACCCAAACTTTAAAATACGCTCATTGCAATAATAAGTGCAATCTAGGCAATCTGGGTTTTCTCTTTTTGAAATTTAAGAATTTTGAATTAAGTAAAGAAAATCTGAAAAGAAAGCATGAATGTTAGAAAACAAATTATTTCGCTCCATTTTTTTATATTTTTTGAAACCAAGTTTTAAGAGTGTTTATTTTTAATTTGAAACCAAAACTTTTCTTGCTTTTTAGGCCACCAAGGAAAACGTGCAGGCGCTTAAGGAAGCTTTGGACAATGTAACCATCGAGGGCTATGGGAACTTCACCATCGCCTTTTCCGCAGCGTTCGAGCTCCTCGAGTCGGTGAGTGCTGAACATTCAAATATTTGCTGAGCCCGCGGCTGTTGAGAACAGATTTCGTGCTCGTCACTTACGCACTATTGTCTCCGGGCTTGAAAATGAAAATTATTCTTGGAAGCAGCGAAGTGAAAAAAATCCGCAAACCTTGGCGTTACATATCTATAGGACTGGTTAAAGAAGCATTTTTGCTGAAAAAAGCAATTTTAAATGTCATGAAATAGGTCGTTTTAAAAACTAGAATCTGAAAAAAAAAACTTGTTTTAGCAGGTTTGTTAATCGATGGAACCAAAATAAATGTAAATATAATTTATAATTTGTATATTTTTTTAGATCTAGAATCTAGAACAGAACACAGAAATTATTTTCAAAGCTTTGAAAATTCATTGTTTTTTTCTATTTAAAAATTATTTACACCGTGAATTGGTTAAAACTTTGATTAAACAGTAAACAATAAAAATATGAGATTAAAAATTAACTTTTGACAAAAATAAACTATTTAAAAAAAAATTGAAGTAGCTCATAAAAATAAAAGCATGGTTTGGGAAACGTTTAAAAAAGATCATTTTACTATTACGAATAGATAAACTCAATTCGTAGAGATCCATCGTTCTGAATAAATTTAGGAGCGAAATTGCAAAAAAAGTCCTTCTTACCAGTGTAGTTATCAAATAAATTATTACACACAAGACCCATGATAGTCACTCGCGCAGCGCATTTATCTGCAAATTGAATTAGAGTTGCGTCTGGAGTGATCGAAGGGAGGCGAGGCGAAAGAGCAAGCGAGACTCTGATTACATCTCTCGCCGGCGAGAGATCACTTGAAGCATCTCTCTCTTATTATTATTATTATTGGGCAACGAGGAGCCTTTGACAAACTCGAGAGTTCATAAAAATCGATGCTCTTGTGTGTGAGCTCTCTGAAACTGTCACCCCTAATTTCAGAATGCGGCGTGTGTAATATTGATTCGATTTTTCTGCACAAGTCAGGGGAAAAGAAAAGCACCCTCGAAATCAGCATGCCCTCGAGTTCCACCGCCGAGTTTAAAGTGGATGGGACGCTATGTATAGGAGACCAAGATTTTTTTGCCCTGGCTTTGTCTGTCGCGGTTAATTAGCAAAGCCACTTTAAATTCACCGCACGACAAGTTCTATTTTCCTGTCTAAAGGTCACAACTAGACTTGCAAATTTAAGTCGGGTTCCCCTGAAAAAATTGCAATTTTAATCGCTTTTATAGATTCCTTTAGCTATATATTTATTTTAAAATTAGAAGTTAATGAAGTTGTGGGGAAGAGAAAGAAAAATTTTCCTTTGTTTTAACAGGTAACATTATTGAGTCGATTTTGCTCATTGAAAAAAGCAAAATATTCAAAACGTTAGTAGAAAATTTAATTAAGATAATCACAAATAACTTTTCGGTATATATTTTTATTGGATCAAATTATTATTATTATTTTTTTTTTGGTTTATTAGAACCTTGTGTTACACAAGAAAAAAAATTTGTGTTAAATATACATTTGTTATACAATAAATTTGTTTTAAATACAAACTTTAAAAATTTTCCCTTATTTAATTATTTTTTTCATTCATTTAATAAATGAATAGATTTTAATATTTTAAATATTTTTTTATAATTTTAACATTATTACATTAAAAAATAATTGCAACTACTTTTTAACATTATTACCAAATAAAATTAAGTTGTTTATTTTACATTTAATTTATTTATAAATTCAACTAGCCAGAGTTATTATAATTTCCATTACAAATTAACTTTTAATAGTTGTTTCTCCTTCATAGTTTATATTCTATGGATGACTGATTAATAGAATGTTCTTTTTATTTTCAAAATTATTACAAAACCTTTTGATTCTGATAAAGATTTTCTTAAATCTATAATTTAGGGGTATAAATTTGAATTAAAAAATTAGATTAATATGTATATGAATAAATTTTAGTTTGCAACAAATTTTTTTAATTGGATATGATAATCTTATTCAGTACAGAGATGGCAGAGATCGAGAGGGTTGCGACAGTTGCAACCAGGCAATCATGCTGATCACGGACGGCGTCCCTAGCAACCTGACCGAGGTGTTCGAGACCTACAACCGATTCAACGAGACCGGCGAGATGCAGATTCCAGTGCGGGTGTTCACGTATTTGTTAGGCAAGGAGGTCACCAACGTGCGCGAAATCCAGTGGATGGCTTGTCTGAATAGGGGTACGTGCAATCGGAGCGAAGAGAAAAAAGAGGATTTTGTTTCTAAACCCTGCTCACAGGATGGTACACGCACATGCAGTCGTTGGAAGAGGTGCGCGAGGAAGCGTTGAGGTACCTGAACGTAATCGCGCGACCCATGGTGCTCCAGGGGGATCAGCACCCTGTTGTTTGGAGCCACGCTTACGTCGATTTCCAGGTAGGACCTGACACAAAATTAACTTTATTTAGAGTGAAACAAAACAGCAATCGCGACTCACTATTTTATAACTCATTTATTATTATTAATTTTAATTTCCCTTCAACCCTTAAAAAAATGACTTTTATTTGGAAAAAAATCATTTTATTTTCCTAAATTCTCTATTTGAGACCGAGTAATAATAATTAAATATAAATTGGATATATTAATATTTCTTGCGACGACCATTCTATGTTTTTCAATTTCATTTTACCCTCAAACCCATTGAAGTATATTTTTAGAGTTCTGAGCACAAATGGTGCTTGTGTGATTGTTGTTTGTAGGAGGGTGATATTTTCAGCTAATTGTGGTTGTAAATTTTAAAAATTTGGTTTTTAATGCTTCAAACAATTTTGTTAGCTTTTGCTGAAATTCGCCAAGTTTTTACGACTTGATGATCGCCAAAAAGTTTGCCAATTTATATTAAATTTTTTGTGAACGGTCCCATTCTTCTCGTCCCTTAATGATTTTTCACATTAAAAATCACTCACGCTTTGGCAGTGAGAGTATCGATAGATTTATCTTTGTGTGGAGTTTTCGCAGCCTCTCTCTGTATTATTTGGCGCGCTGCTCCTTTCTCTCTCTCTCTGTTGCGCAATCACAGAATAATCCCTCTATCTGCAGTTAGTAGTTAGCCTCATAAAAAGTGTGCCTTTTGTTCCTTTTAACGCTGCAACCACAGGACAGAAAAGTGTCTCAGTGGCTCAAAGATCTTATGGGCCAACACATGGACAGAGAAAATGAGTTAGCCTATACGCAGGCTGAGGAGGACCGGCGCTTTGTCATCAAATCGGTGAGACCCAAAATTAATCAAAACGATCGATCAGACCATCACCACCAACAAAAAAACACGTAAAGAAACTCACTCAAGTCAGTTTTTCATCCAATAACCTCGAGATTTAACCAACGCTAATTGGAAAAGTTTTGTCGACTTTGGCTCTTCAGCTGCTTTTTCTCAGAATTTTGAACTAACTTGCAAAACTTTTTTATATATTATTCCAACAGCACATGAATAAAAAAAAAACACAATGCTTCAGAAATATTACAAAAAGCACCACTTGAACTTTCGCCAAAATGATTCCAACACAATATTTGTTGAGTTACTGAAAACTCGGTGATGAGCTATGAGGATTTTACTGTTTTTGTTTCTCCTCGTGTATAAAAAAATCCTCTTCTGCAAGTTGAGATTTGTGAACTGAAGTTACTGAAGCTGTAAATAATTTCGCTGGTTAATTAAATTTTGAATTGAAAAAAGATTTCAAACCATTGGAAACATTATTTAATTTTTCAAATCATCACTCAGAACAGATTGCCTAAACTGAAAAATTTTGAACAGAATATTTTTTATTTGAGAAAAAAAAGGTTGAGTGGTGCTTTAAATTCTGATTAACCAAATTTATTATAGTAATTTTATTACTTAGGACGATGAGAGTATTAAGTCGAGAAAGGTGCAGCAATTTCAGTTGCTGACGTCCGTGTCCATCCCGGTATTTGATAAGCATGGGAATCTGAGAGACAACGCGGTAATTTGCCATTGATTAAGCGGGATCGTGCGAAACTGATTAAAATTCCAGAGCGTCTCCGCCGAGCTGCTGGGCGTCGCGGGTGTCGACGTGCCGATTAAATTGTTCCACGAGAGGACCAGACCATACAAGGTACTTCAATTCATCAGGGGAATATAATAAATTGTGTAACAATCTTTGAAACAGATCGGCGTGAACGGTTACGCGTTTCTGGTCACCAACAATGGCTACATTTTGATGCACCCGGAGCTAAAGGCCGTGGTGAGTGACCTCAGCAAAATTTCATACCTTGTCTCTGTGACAAGGAAGCTATTTAATAAGTTTATAACTGTATAAATGCCAAATGGAGATCTCTAAACCTCAGAATTTTTCAGGTTCAAGGTTTTGCTCGCGACAATTTCAACAGCGTTGATTTGACTGAAATAGAAATGGTTGATGACGGAACTGTTGAACCCCGAGAGAAAAACAACGACACTTTATTGGTATGGATTATGGATAAAAATTTAAAACATCTTTTATATATTGCTATAAAGTTCCTGAAAATTTCAAAATTGGTTTTTCTCTCTTCAAAATTTATATTTAATATTACTATTATTACAATTATTATTCTATTATTTACATTTATGTCAATAAAAGTATACAAATCATTATATTCAGATTTATAAGTTATTCCAAAACAAATTTTTTTTTAAATATTCAGACAATTTTAATATTATTTAAATTAAAATTTTAAACTCGATATTTTTATATTTTATGAAAAATTCATTTTGTCTTAAATATTAAATATTAATAAAATAAAATATTTTATTAAATATTTTTGTCTCAACAGAAAAAAGGATTTAAAAAAACCGTTCAACACAAAATGTAGAGTGGCCTCAAACTTAATTTGCACTTAATTATGTTTTCCATCTTTGAGCACTAATCATGCATAATATATTTTAGTTGCGGAACAGCATGGTGGCCCACGAAGAGGGCAACCTTTTGGATATAAAAATAAAGGTTGCTTTGGATGATCAAGTAAAATATATATTTTTTTTCCTTTCAAATATAAATCACTAATTTTTTTGCTTAGCGACGCTTGACGGTGGAGACCCGCGACTTTTTCTACTCTCCAGTGAGTGGCACGCCATTCTCACTTGGAGTCAGTTTGCCGCCTAATTATGGTACCTTCAGCATAGAAATCGGTGACAAATTCCGGAAAATGGAAAAAGGTTTTTACCCAATAATTTGATTTCTTTTTAATTTTTATTGATCCAAATATACAATTTTATATCAGCTGGGATCACTTCGGCAAATTATTTCCACGGCAACAACTGGCGCGTCCACCCTGATTGGTTAGCTGAGTTTAATTTAAAACTGATTTACTATAGTAAATTATGCTTCTGTGTACCTTTTAGGGTTTACTGCAGGTATGCACATGATAACATCAAGAATTTCACCACTCCTGAGGAGCGGATGATGCACTTTTTCAAAAAGAAGGATAAGGAAGAGGACAAATGGAAGTGGATTTCTGACCCTATCGCACCGTTCAGTATGTGTTTGATTTTTTAAAAATATTTTTAAATATTGATTTAACAAAATATAGGTCCAGAGTGGGGTGAACCTGATTACTCTTGTGGAAGGGGTCCTATTCCTGAGGACCACTATTATTGTAAGCTAATGTAAAATTTATTTAGAAAAATTTCAATAAAAAAAAATATTATAGGCGATGAAGAGCTGATTTTGGGACTGTTGCTTGAGGCAAAGGCTGTTAATAACTGGTATGGTACCGATAACTGGGATCTCAGGGATAAAAATGAGTGAGAATTTTTTTTTTATCTGTTAGAAAATGTACATTTTATGTTTTCACCAGACGCGAACCAGTGGAATATTTTAACATTTCCATGCGTTTCATTGCAACACATACGGGTCTGACACGGTGGCAACACGCCGCTGAAACTGGTGCAATCGAAAGGTTCGTCAAATCAAATAAATCTCCGTTGATTATTCTAATTAATTGTCTAACAGTCACTTCGGTGACTTCAATAATCGCGCCATCGACGAGGACTGGTACAAGGCCACTGTTTTGCTCCACGAAGAAAGTCCGGATTCGCTTTTGTTGAATGTACCTTTTGAAGCCGGTAAGACCTAGGCTAAATTATTTTTTAAAAAAATATGATGATAAAAATTTATATTCTTAGGAAGTGACCCTGACCTTGCCGTTACTGCTTTCACCGCCATTTACCATCAGGACGGCGGCCACGAGGTTCCGGCCGCGGTCGCCGGCTTCAAACTTCCCATTCACAAACTTCACCAACATCTGTATGCAATTACGGAGAATCTCGCTTCCCCCTCTGTAAGTCTTAAATTTGATTCAGAGATAATAAAAATTAATGGTGCAATAAATTTATTTTACGTAATAATTGTCTAATGAAATTAAAAAAGGATACTTTAAAACATGTTTCATGCATTTTGCACGTTTAAAATTGCTTTTTTGCTTTTATTATTGCATCTGATAGTTTCAAAAATTTCATATAAAAGATTAATAAATTACCACATACGTTAATTTAATAAGCTGTAAAAAATGTATTTAACTTGCCGAATAAATTAAATAAATTTTTCCCTTCAGTGTGTCAATAGAACCGGAAGCACCGAATTGTGTGGTTGCGCGTCTGAAGAAATCACCTGCTACCTTTTGGACACAAACGGATATGTTGTTGTGTCCGACGAGTACAACGACACGGGTAGATTCTTCGGAGACGTCGCTCCCGACGCAATGGTGGCGCTCAAGAAAATCGGAGCCTACAGACAGATGGTCCTCTACGACTATCAGGCCACTTGCATCAACCAAACCATTGTCACTTCTGGTGCCGCTGAAATTTTCTTGGCGGTAATTCAATCCTCTAATTTATCATTATTTTCTAACTGAATTTTAAATTTCAGCCTGTTCGTTGGGTCCAAGGTCTTTTGAGCTACATGGTGGGCCAGTTTTTGCAAATAGCAGTCAACAATTACATGTGGACCCCCGTTGAAGCTCAAAATAGTAAATGTTTTATTTGTCACAATTTATCATTTTAAACTTTTTTAAATTTTTTTTCAGCGTTTTACGAGGATTACGACGAGGATCTGTCTCAAGAGGAGAAGGCCGAGGAGGATGAACGCAGACCTGTTTACACATACGCAAAAGTGGACAGCAAACCTTGCGACAAAATGCGTCTCTTGGCGTTGCTCAATATGACCGCCAAAGAAGAGCCCCTGGTTTACGAAGATCCCAAGCCGGAAATTCTCCTGAATTCAACAGATTTAGTTGATCTGGATTACGCCGAAGCGCCTCAAAATGATCAGCCGGAGCCAAAGGAAGTTGAAGAAATCGATGGGGTCGGTGAAGGAGAAGTGAAGTACGAAACCGAAAACACTGACACTGAGAACAACGAAGAAGAGGAGGAGGAAGCAACAGAGGAAGCAACAGAGGCTCCGTTTGTTTTCCAAAGCAGGTTAATATTGCATTTTTTTTTCACAAAATTAGAAGTTACAAAAATTAAACATATCATTTTAAAAAATTGGGTGTGTTTTATTTTTATTTTATTTTATTTAGTTGCCATTTAATGTTTTATTATATATAATAAATACTTTGAATTTTTTTAATCAAGTACTTGTTACTGGACATCAAATTTTTTAATGATGAGACTGTGAAAAATAATATACATATAAAACTATTTCCTATTTAATATTTACTCCATTGCCTTAGTTTCTATGGTAAAGCGTCTAAGAGATAATTAAATGTTTATGGGTATTGGTTAATTGTTATCCTTTTGTAACCATAAAATTAATTTGTTTTTATATTTAAATGCAAATGAAAACTTAGATAAATAATTGTAAAATTAATATGCAATTTGCTCAAAATTTCATCCAAGATTTCAATGAAAGTTATTTGTTTTTAATTTTTTTTCCAGATCTGTCATTGCTAAGCGAGTTCCAAACACAAACCTGCTGCTAGTTGTGGTGGACAACCTCAGTCCAGAGATGGACCCGGGACCTGAGCGCTGGTCGGCCAGTCCTGAGGTCGTCGACTACCAAAACCAGAGCTTCCCGTGCTACAAATTGCAATACAACGACTTGCGGCGGCGCCCGCTCGAAGGATGTCTCTCTTCGCACAAACTAGAGTCGGAAATCGACAAGTGCGGACGCGCCACTCCCTCGGGAGCCTCACTCGGCCTTGGCCTTTTGGCGATTTCCTTGGTCATCTCCATGCTCAGAGTGGAATCCTTGCTCTTTTAAAACGAACTCTCTATCTATCTCTCTCACCTCTAAGGACTGTTTTTATATAAAATATTTAAAAATGATTGTGAGAAGAAAATTCGGCCCCAACTCAAGACGAGCTAGGTGGCTCTGGAAAGTAGCCTAATCAAATTCTACAAATCCGCTTCCATCGATCGTTATAGACATTATAATTATATGAAGTTTCATTGATTATTTATTGTATTTTGGGTGTTGAATGAGAAAGAAAAATGAGCGACGAGTATTTTGAACCAATTGATCTTCCTGTTATATTCTTAATGTTCAATTTTGACTAATAAAGCGTAAAATGCACAAAAACTAATGGCTGCGGGGTTCTTTTTCAGGAAACCAAACTTAAAAATTAAAATCCATTATGAGTTTAGAGCCATACCTAATAATGCTGAAATTTCATTTCAAATGGTACTGAATGTAATAAAATAATGTACAACTTGCAGAGTACGAACAAATTTTCCTAAAGAAATTTCATATTTGTGAATTCATTCATGTTTCACAAATCTTAAATGTTAATCTCTTATCATTTAAGATTCTATAAAAATAAATAGCGTTTAAAATTCGACGTTAAATATTTCAAGTATATTTAACAACATAAAACATAACTTTAATTAATTTTCATTGTTTACCTTTTCAATGCTCCCTGGTGCAGAAGATGGCATTTCATTTTAATGGATTAAATTATATATTTTACAATTATTGCTAATGCCATGAACCATTCTTTTGTTTTTTTCTTTAGTCAATTAAATAAATAAAAAAAAAAAAAAATTGGTGCAGCAATAAAAATAATTATTGTTCATCATTTTACAGAACATTTTATTGTTTGTAATTATGTTTTACAGCAAAAAGAGGTAGATAAGATAATAGTGCAGTCGTTTTGGCGCTGTTCGAGGAGGGTTGGTCGACTGTCGGGGGTGCGAAGAGCGAGTGCGTGGGGGTGCTGCGCGATGGCGTTGGCGCCGGGGTGGTGTGTTCGGGGCGCGGTATCGATCGGACTGCGCTCTGCTGTATGGCACCGACACTGGGCACCACACTCAGGGCTAGTGCATCTGGTGCCAATGGAAGAGGAAGAGACGAGGAGATGCGGGTCGGTGCCGAGGATGCACCTGCTGCTGCTGTTGCTGCTCGTCTCCGCCCAGCCAGGCAACCCTGAGCTCATCAGTTCACACAGGTACGGCCGCCCACCCCTCCCGCGCCCTTTTATTTACCCCCGGACATGTGGGAAATCTGCAGGAAATCGATACATCCGTCACCGCACTCTGCATCGCGGATCATAATTGTGGTGTGGCCTCTTTTTTTATCTGACTTTTTACCTAGATTTCCACTTTCCTTCCTCGACCAGAGATCGCTTGGCCTCCATTCAAGTTTTGAGCTCAGGATAGAACGGAAAACCTTGAAATCAAAAGATTTCTAGTTCCCAGGCTTGGTTCAATTTTGAAATTTATCGTACCAAAAAGTAAATTATGCTAAATGAATCAAATGAATATTAAAGTATTCTTAAGTTTCCATCAACATTTACAGTAATAATAAAAAAATTGCCTTTTAAATTTTTAATTAACTTTAATAAAGGGCATGAAATCAGTAATTAATTACATGGTTTTAAATTTTGCTTTTCCTCCGATTTTTAATTTCCTTGCAAGTAAAAACTCTCAACATTTGATCCTGATTGAATTATGGAAGTGCTAAATTGACTTTATCCATCGTCGTTACACGCATTCCTAGTCAATTGGTCGAGCGGTCGCCAGTCGCTCTCGCAACCACTCAAAATAGACCATGTGTATTGATCCTGATTATGGATATTTTATATGGCTTCATCTCTTCTTCTTACCAGCGGTCAGTTGACACTCTCAGTCTCCGTTTCAATTTGCGATCCGTGACCCAGACTAAACGACGGAAAATCGCAGCAAGACTCGCGTCTCAGATTTGTGCGAACACCGCGCGCGTGTCACTTCTTTTTACTTTTCTTATTTACTTCACTGGGTCGACGCAATGCGCCTGCAGAGAACGTGGGTATGCAATCCGCTCCACACAAGGCGCGCACCAGTTGCATAATCAACACGGGCGCCACTCACGTCGCCAACTTTTTTTTATGGATGGATCGCTGCTGGAATATTATTTCCTCTCCCCAACTGGTGCCGGCCTTTTTTTATGTCTTGCACGGCCTGGAGTAAAATTGCAAAAAGAAAAGTTTAGGAGAAAGCAAAAGAAATAAATTTTAGAATTGATATAAGGTGTTGCTTTTAGTCGGTTGAATATTCCGAATACATTTTCTGGTTCATTGTCAGGATTTTAGGAATTTTAAATTCTTTATTATTTAATTAAACCATGAAAAGTTTTGTTTCTGCCATCATTCTGAAAATGTAACTTTGTGAAATGGTTTCAAAAATTTTCTTATTGAGCTGAAAAGTGATTGCCATGTAATTCAAACTTTTTCACAAAGTAAAATCGTTAATCATAAGAATTGAGATTGTCTTTCAATTGCGAATTACAGCGTTCGTTTACATTTAAAACTCCGCTAATAACTAAATATTGAGTATAGTCCTATTTCTGTAGAGCTAGTTACGCGATCTATAATGAAAATTTACCATGTTTTAGATTCATTTTTTATTCTTTTTTTAATGGCACTCGCATAGTTTTTCAACTTTGGGTTTTGTCTCTGCCACGGTACAGGAGCTGTTTGGTTTCGGGCTTTTTTATCGTACCACTTCTCAAAGGCTTATCTCTGATTGATTAAAAATTTTATATAAAATTATTAACTTCTAGACTAAAAATAAAAAATCGAATCAAAATATTTTACTAGTAATTTTAAAATTCAATCGTCAGAAATTTTCTCTATCTTTTTATAATTTAAGCGTTCAACAATGGGCCAAGATGCTCGGCATGGAGCTGTGGACGTACGGCAAGTACGTGACGAGGAGGGACGAACTGCTCCACAGGTACAAAGAACACGCGACTGTGATGGAGAGGTCAGGCTCAGGCATCGTGCAGGACATGGCCAGAGACGTCAAGGACATGATGGACCTCAAAATCAGCGCCGTCAAGGTAGGCGACCTGCTCTGAATGAAGCTGCGCACATTGATTTTCTTATCTCGCCACTACATCTCTTGCAACAAAAACACACCCTCCCTTGTCACTTTCTCCGTTTCCTTTGTCACCGAATAATAATAAAAAAAAAACTCTTTGAAGCATATATTTTTCGTGCCATAATAATTAGGTCAAGAATGTGGTAAAAAATCTGAAATGAGAAAATTTTGGTTTTTTTAGAGAATAATGGACGCTGCGGAAAACACGGCCATGTCCCATCACGACGAGTTGGTCCTCGAGCACGATTACTTGAACGCAAAGCTGATGGTGCCCGAGGGTGAGCAGGTTCCAAAGGGAGGCCGCGAAATGGTTCTCACCCCAAACTCGCACTTTTACAACATCCCAGTAAACACGTCCGTCTCTTCAGTGCATGTGCCAACTAACGTGTTTGATGGCGGTGAGTGAATCAAATAAATCATGCACTCTAAATATATTTATTTCAATAAATTGAATTGCAGCGCCTGACGTCATGCGCGCCATCAAGTGGTCCGAAAACTTGGACAGCATTTTCACCAACAATTACAGAATGGACCCGTCTTTGTCTTGGCAGTACTTTGGTAGCTCTTTTGGGTTCATGAGACAATATCCAGGTATAAAAATCATAATTATAATCAGGATAATAAAATTATAAGGTAATTAGTAAAAAAAATATAGTTCAAACATAAAATCAGAAAAAATCAGGAGCTTATTTTGTATTTTTAATAATTTAAATTAAACACCAACAAAGAGTTGCTTTTTAGAACATATTTTAAATGCGAACAATATAAAATTTTTAATAACAAATAAAAATTGATTCTTTATTTACAGATAATAATTTTGTCACAATTCTCTAAAAGTACGTGTTTTCATCTTCTTGATTTTTTCATTGTAATTTCCACGTTTTCTGAATAATTTTCTAACCTTTAATTAATCTGAAAAATCCTAAAAATTTAAAAAAGGTATTTACAAATTTTCATTTTGAAATAATTCTGTAGATACAATATAAACTTTCTAATCGTGAAAAAAAATCAGCTTTGCAGTGGAAACAGGAGCCCGTGGACTTGTACGACTGCAGGACGCGAGGGTGGTACATTGAAGCGGCAACTAGTGCCAAGGACGTCATAATCCTGGTCGACTTTTCTGGCTCAATGACTGGGATGCGCAAGGAAATCGCTCGGCACGCGGTCACAAACATCTTAGATACGCTGAGCAACAACGACTTCGTCAACATTTTCACCTTCTCGGAGGAAACGCAAGAGCTCATTCCGTGCTTCAGAGACACGCTTGTTCAAGTGAGTTTAAAATATTTATTATAATGTAATATAAGAAGATGGCAAGTAAAAAATAATTGAAAAAATTGGTGAATTCTGTAAACTTAAAGCAAATTGTGAAGAAAAATTTCAAGATTTGAATGATGAATTAATTAATTTTCTTTTCAAGGCAACTTTGGCCAATGTGAGGGAGTTGAAAGGAGCCCTTGAAGAACTTGAGACGAAAGACATCGCCAACTTTACCACTGCCCTAAGTAGAGCGTTTGAACTTCTGCAATGGGTACAAAAATCAATAGATGAAGTGTTTTAAAATAAATTTGAAAAATTCACAGGCTCGCGAGGAACGATACGGAGCCAATTGCAACCAGGCAATCATGTTGGTCACCGACGAGGTGCCTGCCATGTACGAAGAGCTCTTCCAAGAGTACAACTGGAAAGATTTGCCAAAGATGCCGGTCAGGATGTTCACGTACTTGATTGGAAGGGAGGTGCCTGACGTTGAGCGCATCAAGTGGGTCGCTTGTGCAAATCAAGGTGCGTTCAAGTTCAAAGGAAGTGGGCAAAATTCATGATCAAAAAAAATTTGTTAGGGTACTATGTCCATTTAAGTACGTTGGCGGAAGTAAGGGAGCAGGTTCTGCAGTACATTTCGGTAATGGCGAGACCAATGGTGCTCCATCGGACAGAGCATCCGGTCGTCTGGACTCCTGTTTACGCTGACGTCACCGTAAGTGTTGGAAAATTTTATAAGAATTATGCCCTTACTTTTAACAAATGCTAAATAAATATAGAAAATTTCATTTTATGTTTAAAAAATTGGCTTTTCATTTTTAAATTTATTTATTATTTCAATCAAATTATTTCCCAATTAAATTAGTCCCCGTCTTAATGTTGAAAAATTTTAGGATCCAAAAATGACGGATTGGTTGTGGGAGATGAAAGAATGCGCCGAGCAAAAGGAGCGATTTGAGAGCTACAGGCGGGACAAGGAAAAGTTTGACTCAAAGGAGGAGCAAGACCGACGCTTTGCCAAAAAGCTCAGAAGGGTAAATAAGATTTCAAAATCTCTGGCACAAAAGACTTAAAAAATTTATCTCAACAGACTCAAGATCAAACGAGCGGCGACTTGATCAAATATCAACTAATGACCTCCGTGTCCATGCCGGTGTTTGACAGACGCGAAAACGCAGTAAGTGTTGAAAACATTTGTTAAGTGTAAATTTTTACATAAGGAATCACGCTTTATACATAAAGCGCAGAATCCGCCAAAATTTTTGATGTGAAATAATCTGGTGGATTCAAGATGTGCTTTTGATGTTTGATCTAAATGATTCAAGCGACTAATGCCGTTGTCTGTCTCTTTCCCGCTTCTTGGTTGTTTTTAACAGAACATTACAGAGAGAATTCTAATTAACGAGGCGTACTGGGTAAAGCGCACACGAGAGGTATAACTAATTCCACTTTACATGAAGGTAGCCCAACATGCTGTAGCGCAGCCGTGCTGTTATTATTTTGGACTGCTGTAGAACCTCATCCCCCATAGAGTAGTTTCTCTCGACATATTATATATATATTATACTGTCTCTCAAAACTAATTTTTAAACAGGTGTATACAAAGAAATTTTAGCCACAAACTTACTTCTTTGGTATACACACATAAATGTTGTCCTTGAATAGTATTTTTCCAACTTTGGGGAGAACACCTCGTGACGCGTGCTGCGCGCGTTCAAGGCTTTCTCCCTTTCAGTTAATTTAATATCGACTGATATAAACATACTTAACTAGTGTCTCTTATGCTACTTACTTAAGTCGGTGTATTATGGAGTTTCATTACTACTTGTTGGTTTAAACTTCCCACTATAAATTTTGTTTAGGATTTATTCGAGGTGGCGAAAAATAGAAATCGTCCGTAGTTTGTAGTTTTTAAAACAAACGGATAATTTTAAAAGCAATCAATTAAATTGATAAAAAAATAAACAAGATCTCATTTAATTAAATCATCATCAATCAATCGCTAAAACACGCTCTGCATATAATCACGCTGATATAATTAAAAATTTTAACCTCTGCTTATCGCTGACGTATCTAAATTTTAAATCTCAATTTTTTGTTATTTTTGAGCTACGACTGTTTGGCTAAATCTATTTTCCACCACCAATCTGGTACTACTATATATTAATGTATTTTTCTAATTTTTATTTTCTATTTTCCATGCGCAAAAGACCACTAGGCGCCTGTTATTTTTCATTGTTTTGTGACGTGTGTCATTAATCGATAGTTTTAAGTAGTTAACATACTAATAAATTTAAATAAACTTATTGTTAGAACGGAATAAAAGAAGCTTTCTGAAAGAAGTTTTTATTATGCCGTTCTGACAAAACTAAGTAACACTTGAGCGAAAACTCCGCAGTATTGATACCATGCATTTTGCTGCGTACTTCTCTATGTAAATATATATACAATTTATCGTGCTGCAGAAAAGTAAAAAGCGGTAAAAAGATTCGCTGCTATTCTGCCATGATTACAATCCGTACTGCTAGTGTTACTTTAACGATTCCATATATATATTTAATTTAGGTGCTACCAATTATTGCAAAACATTCTCGATTTCGATTAGTACCCCTTAACAGAAATTATTATTATGAAGCAGATTATTGATTGAACCCTAGATCATTAGTTTGACATAGTAATCTATAGTGTTATGGCTATATTTTATGATAAAAAAATGCCCTCAGTTTTCATTGGTATTGTATTGACAACTTGTTGAGCAAGTCAATCGGAAAATTCATATATTGCTCGCCTGATTGAGGCTGTTAAAAAATTGCTGCTCAACAAGTTGGTTTAAATGGTACTCTCATTATTATTATTATCTAACCATATTGCGTTTGCCAGCGTGTGTTTCAATTAATTAGCGATCAGATTATAATCCAGCAACTCGCCACCCCTAAAAAAGAAACCGACTAACTCGATTCGTTTTCGCAGACCAGGGTAGCAAACTTGCTCGGTGTAGCGGGCACGGACGTCCCCATCCAGGACATTTTGAAGCTGTTGTCACCACACGTGGTAATGAAAAGTCAAAGTTGGGCATGTTCGCCGTCACTCATTCTCCTTTGTTCAGCTTGGTGTCAACGGCTACGCCTTCATTATAACCAACAACGGCTTCATCCTGACCCACCCTGACCTCAGACCGGTGGTACGTAGGTCAATTTTTATTTTTAATCAAAATTGTTTAATTACGATTTGCAGTTCCAAGATATCCTCAAGCCCAGCTATAATAGCGTGGACATGAGTGAGGTCGAATTGATGGACACTGAGAATGAGGCCCGCGATCTCACCGACGCCATGAAAGCGGTATTATTGTTGATGTTGTCATTACAATTTTCATCAAATTTTTTTCTGTAGTTTCGTGATGCCGTGATTAATCAATCTACTGGCACCGTCACGCTGGACACGAGATACCACTTTGACGGAATGGTAATGATTAAATGTTATTTATCTTCTGTTCCCGATTCATGATCATTTTATAGCGACGGTCAGCTCGCATGCGGCGGCATTATTATTACACGGCCATACCTTCGACGCCCTTCACCCTGGTTGTCTCGCTGCCCGACAAGTACGGCGCCAGCAGAGTGCACGGGGTTGAGGAAATTAGAAGGAGTTTGGCCGAAGGTAAATTGTTATTTTGCAATTTAATATTTAATTTTAGTTACATTTTCAGCTTTTCTAAGTTCAAACATATAAATACAAAATTAAGTTTACTGATTATTTTTAAGAAAATCAAAATGGGATTATGAGTAAATGATCATAGTGCTTCAGCATCCCTTTTAAGAATTTCAAGGAGTTATGAAATAATGATTTAAGTTGTGTTGAGATTAAATTTAATTTAATTATTGAGGAGAGTATCATCAATATTTATCGAAAACTTAAATGTATTAAAAAAGTTAAATGTTATCAGTGACAAATTACTTTCATTTTACTTCATCACTCAGAGAGTTTAATTACAATTTTTATATCTTAATCATTATACTTTACAAGTTGCCTGCTTGGTTTACTTTATTTATATATTAATTTTCATTTACAAAACTAAATTATAAATTTATCAGTAAAATACTAGTATGATTTGATGCCAAAATTTGTAATGTAAATTTAGTAAATGATTAATTTAATATGAAAAAAAATTTATAAAGTTATTTATTTAAATAAACATGAAGGCCACCTAAAAATATTAAATTTATTTTTAAAGTATTTTTAGACATTTTGATAAAACTGCAATTTCTTTCTAGGTCAAAATATAATGTCGTATTTCAAAGGCAAAAACTGGAGGGTCCACCCTGACTGGTGCGTTGAATAAACTTCCATCAATTTGAACCTGACTTTAATGATAATAATTTTGAATTATATTCAGGATCTTCTGCAAATACCACTACGACACGGAACACCCGTTCGATTCCGCGGAACACGAGCTGCTGCACTTTTTGGAGCGCGCCCAGCGGCCAGGGTGGCACTGGCCCCTGCGGAGACTCTTCACCCCACCCGAACGCCAGCAGGGTGAGACGGCCGGTAGAGGTGGCAGCGGCAGGGCGCGCACGCGGCCCCCTCCCCCCTCCAGTCAGTAGGCCTAGTCTGCACTTTGGGGGTCCCACCACGACCAGCAGTTGCCACAAAACTCGAAAATCAATTTTAATTAATCGTATTCAGTTTCATTTTTGAAAAACATATGAAAACACTCACTCGTTCATTTCAAAACATTTCACACAGAAAGTATTTGTATTTTTTGATGTGAGCAGAGATAAAATTAAGTGTTTGAGTGTAGATAAACGCTAGCTTTAGTCGGCTCGACCTATAAAATGCTGAACCTAAACTGTCGAAAGACATATTATATATAGAGAAGGATTGAACTAAAATGTGTACATAAATAATCGCGTGGCGCACGTGGTGAAATCCCTGTCAACTTCTTGCACTCACTGTTAGTCTAGCTAGAAAACCCTTTGGTGTTAAATGTTCTTTTCAGTGTTTTTTATTTTTATTTTTCTAAAAGAGAAAATTATAGCCGAACCAAGTCTAACTTGTTCTTTTTTGCAAACACGCAGACATTTCACCGGGTGGGAAAAACGGAAAAGTTGACAAGGACTCGTATTACTGTAAGTTCAAATTTCTAGTTGTTCATAGATTTTTATGGTAAATTTTCTATGCAATATAGGCGATAGGACTCTGTTCCTTTCACTCCTATTTGACGCAAAAATGACAGAAGGATTTTCGCAAAATTTCACAACAAATACTCAAGACGACTCAGAGTAAGTTCAGAAAAATACAAATTTAATATCTATAGTCATTTAGCAGCAGGACCCACTCGGTAATGCATGAACAAAATCACTCTACAAATTTAAAAATGTTTCACAACCTTGGCACTAACTGTTTTGAAATTTTCCACTTTTTCTCACAAACGTAGACCAATGGCAATGTTCATGGTTTTACTCACAAGGTAAAGTATAACAAGCACCGCATCAGTGATCACTTTGCTACTGTATAGAAAAGTCGAGTTAGTCTATGAATGTTGGCCGTCACTGTCAATAAAAATCAAATAAACGTCTCTGAATTTAAATCAATGCATGCTAGAATAGTGAAATCGTCTTTTGTTTGATAAAACAACATACAAATAATGCTGGAGGAAGGAGCGTGAGCAGAGATCGTTGGAAAATAACTAATTTGTAACTTCTTTTTTCCACGGTGGAGCAATAAAAAATTCTTTTCAAGCTAACGAGGATTTGTGTTTGTAAATGAATAGCATGCCTATGTATATCGCGTTTTCAGAGCAGAGATTGCCGATCGAGGATTAATTTCTGTATAAAATGTTTAATATTGATGGATCAAAATAGAATGAATGAATTCGTTCTGATTTTAAATTAATTTCAGAAAGGGACTGAAGGAGCATTTTGGAATTACGGTCTCTTTCATCGCCACGCACACCGGTCTCACCAGGTGGCACGATTTTCCACTCGGACTCGACCCGGAGGACGCCACAGTCGAAGGGTAGAATATTTTTAATGAAATTTGAAATGCTTCAATTAAGAAAATTACCAAAGAATTTTGAACTTCAATTTTCTGAAAGACAATACGGTTTCGTTTTCATTAATTAATTTTATAATAAATAATCCGAAATTCATGATTAATTTATTAAATTATTTGAACTACTGTTTTTCAAGAGAATTGAATTTTAATTGTCCAGGCAATTCAGCTCGCACCACAATAGAGCCACAGACGAGTTGTGGTACCGCAGGGCTGTGGAGCAGCACATGACCCAGCCGGACAGTTTCGTGTACTCGGTGCCCCACGAGATAGGCCACCATAATGACACCCTGATCACCGCCAGCCACGCTCTCTTCCTCTACAAGAACGAGCGAAAGGCTCCGGTCGCGGTCGTTGGATTTCAGTTTCTGCAGTCGGCCCTCTTCAACCGATTCATGAACATCACTTCATACAAAGTACATAAATTTTAAAATAATTTTTAATGCTTTATTACTGGAAATTTTTTAGTGCACCGGTCCAAATTGCAAGAGATCGTGTTCCTCTCTGAATGTGGCGTGCTATCTTCTGGACAATCACGGATACATAATTATTTCAAAGAACCTTCAAGAGACGGGACACTTTTTCGGAGAAATTCAAGGATACGTCATGCAGACTATGATTGACGAGGGAATTTTCCAAAGGATTCGGATTTACGACTACCAAGCTGTTTGTTTCAAAGGAGACGGAGTTACAAGTGACGCAACTCCGGCCAGAGTGGTGAGAAAATTTATCTTACAAATGCTAAAGAAACTAAACAAAAAACATTTTTGTTTCAGAAGCAGCACATTTTAGGATGGTTCTTTGATTGGTTGGTCAGCCGCTTTTTCTGGTTTTATGTGCAGTCGAGTTTGCAAGATATTTGGCACATGTCATGGGCCTTTGTTACTGAGGAAGGTAAGCAAATTTGATTTGAAAATTATTAAAAAGAAAAGTATTTTTAGCAGGAAAGTACCGTACCTTAAGTTTAAGATTTGTTTCCTTTTATTACTTTAATTTAAAAAAAAAAAAAATATATCAAATAATTTGAAATAATCTAATTAATTTTTCAAAGAAAAAAAAGTTAAATTAGTTTAATTCATTTTAACTCAAAATTGTCAGCTATAGAGCAGCTGTGCAGATGTAAAAAGAGAAAATCATTTTATTTTTTAATGTAAGTCATTCCTAAGGCTTAAAAATGCGCCAAACTTGCGATTCATGTTAATTTTCTTGATTTCATTTTCAATTTAATTAAAATTAATGTTTTCGATTGAAAATTTTAGCCTATGACGCGTACGAAGAGGACACCACCGAGTCTGGCAAGCCGGGAGACCGCCACAAACGCAACGAGGGCAAAGTCCTCATCAACAGGACCAGGCCGCAGGCGTGCGACCAGTATGTGGACCTGTACCAATTGAGTGCGCGTCTCCGGACGGCCAGCGACAAGCCGTCCAGAGTGACGAGCGACAAAAAGGGCAAATCGCCCACCAACAATAATAGATATGACGCTAAATGCAACAGGTATAATAATAAATTTACAACGAAAAATTTTGAAATTAATTTTCGACTTTGCAGGCCGTTTTTGATAGAGCCTGTGGACGCTAGCAATATGTTATTAGTGGTCGTTGACCTCGAGTGCGAAATTCCTTTCGCAGAAATGAGCGTGATTCCTAGCGAAGTTTCGTATAATGAGTCGTTGCCGTGCCACCGCATTCGGGGGAACATTCTGCCTCGCAAAACACTTGGCACTTGCATCAACCACCACCCACGGGTAAGCTACAATTTTAACAGCATTTAAAAAAGATTCTGCCTTTCGATTTATTTTTTTTCCCACCACTTTTCATTTAAATTGAAATTTAGTCTGATTTTCTTTTAAGTTGTAAATTTGTAATAAAAAAAATGGGTAGATAAAGGTAGATAGAAACCAAGATTTGATTTAGGGCTAAATGAATACAAAATAATCTTGTATCAAAGTCAGAAATATATATTTTTTTTTAACTTAAAAACTAGGGAAATTAATTTGAAACAAATGAAGAAGGATGAAAAATTTAATTATATTAGAGAAGAAAAGTTATGATTTTTTTTTAAATCATATTTTTGACCATCAATAATTTTCGTTTTTTCTTGTCAGGAGAAAGAAATTGAGCTTTGTGGTCGAGCCAACCGGCCACTTCACGCGTGGAGCGGCCTGATCCTGGCATTGCTCGTTTGGCTTTCGGCCACAGGATAATCTCCAATCAATTTTCCCTACACTGTGATATAACCAAATGACGCGTTTTGCCGCCACACCGAGGCATCGACGTGAATCGGCGCCCGAGCCGGCGCGAATCGACCAAGAAAGTATCGCTCCTTGCAAAATTTGGGCCACACCGACGCGAGATTGTGGCATACTGTGTATATTGATTGTGCGCCGTCAACTGCTCTACTGTGCATGAATTGTTGAATATAAAACGCATATAAAATGCCTTGTTCATATTTATATTGCCATGATTTGCAGCCACCGACGGAAATGTTGGGTGCACAGAATATTATAGGACGAGTTGTTTTATATTTCTACTTGTGACATCACATGACGTGCTTCTACCATTTGTTAAGTATTGTGTCTAAAGTTTCCACTTCTATGTACATATTGAAATGACGTGAGCGGAGGAAGAAGGATTACTGTAAATCAAATTTAACGATAACGGTTATGGAACATGGATACTAAATTTTCCTATTACGATGCTCTCTTATCATCACCAATTATGTGAAATTTATCAAAAGAATGTATTTCTACCGAAATAAAATGTTGAGAAAGAATGCAAACAGAATCTTTTTATCTTTAAGCTTGTTTTGCCTTTGTTTAATAATGCAGCACAAATTAATAACGCTTATTTCTTATAAATGAACATTGATGAATTGGATGGGTAAATACCTTGCTGGTGAAGAGATCAAACGCCAAATCTGGATTTCAAATCTGCGGCTTCTTTCTCTGTGATATGCTGAGCTTCCAAACTTCTCCGGATCAACTCTAGCACAGCTAAAAAAAATTTATTTATTAAGATTTGAAAGAGAATCCTTAAAATAATTTTTAATTACTTGATCTGTCGCTGGAGCTCATGAAGAGGGAAAGAGTTCCAAATCTCTTGGTTTCAGAAAGACCAAATAAATATTCGGCAATAGGATCATCTTCTTCTGCCAATTTCAGAGCTCTCAAAACATCAGTGAAAATTTCACTTTCCATAGAATCCCCAAACACTTGCGGCAGAGAAGATCCAGGAATTTTCTAAATTTAAAAAAAAAAGTACAATTTTGACACAGTAAAGAATGAACGATCTTACGGAGATGTATTTGTATCGGTCTTCAGGTCTCAGTTGGCTCCAAGTAAGTGTGAGTTGGACAGAGTTTATAGGTGCTTCTGGAATTTCCGTAAGGTATACAGGTGTGGTACTTAGTGGAGTTATAGGTGTCCTAGGTATTGATCTTGGAGTGGTAGTTCTGGAAGATGAGCAGGGCGTATTTGGTTTATTCAATTCTAGGCTGCTTGGTCTTTCTTTGGACTCGGAAGTTTCTGTTTCCTTTTTCTTGACAAGAGGTTCGGTGCAACTGCCAACCTCTGTAATACTGATTCTCTTCAGGGGAGCCTGAAATTTTAAAGAAGGTAAAATAGGCGAATTAATAGGAAAGGTCCAAGAAGGTACTTTAGATCTCTCATGATGGGCCTTGCTGATGGCTACGACCATGGAATTATCACTTGCGTCTAATTTTGTCTTGAGCGTTTTGGCTTCCAACAGGCACTTCCTTGCTTCTTTATTGGCAGGTTCTAGTTTGACAGCCATGGTCAGGTCTTTGATTGCCAACTCTGGTTCGTTCAAGCTGGTAAATGCAGAGCCTCTTCGGAGGTAGGCTTTCACATAATTAGAGTCAAGTTCAAGTGCCTTTGAACAATCTTCAACGGCTCCTTCAAATCTATTAAGAACAATTTTATCATCAAATGCAAGAGACGGAAAATAATTACTTTTCAATCTTGAGGTAGCAAAGGGCTCTGTTAGCAAAGAAAATTGGATTTGTAGCATCGTAGGCAATAGCCCTAGTGTAACAACCTATAGCCTCCTTCCACTTCTTGTTTTTGACGTTGGTGTTGCCCTGAAACATTTCCAAATAATAGGTTGCAAAGCATTTTTTTTCAGAGTATGTAATTTACATTTTCTTTCTCATAATTGGCTTCCTCCAGCCGTTTTTGCTTTTCAGCGTCTGAAATTGTGTCCGCCAAGGGTTTTCCACCCCTCTCATCGTTGTAAGCACTGGTCGCCTTTGCCTACATTCAAAATTGTTTAAACCTAAATTATAAAAATTATTTATCTTACAAAGTCGTAGCTGATGAACTCTGAACCAGACGCTTGGCCATTAGGGGTTGATTTCTCTTCGGGCACTTTTGGAGCCTCCGAAGGGGAAGGTTCGACTTCGTCACTATTAATGGCTGTTTTGCCTTTGTTTTTCTTGCTTCGGACAGGAGGAATTTGATTCTAAATACGAAATTCAAGGATTAAATGATGATTAAAAATTAACTCGGCACGCGTCGAGGACATGTGTCCAACCTTGTTGTCATTGCGGCTTTTCTCCAGTTCCTTCTCCTTCTGCTTAATGTCTTCCTGCCAGGAGTTCAGGTCGCCCAGGAACCTGGTCAGGTCCTCAGAGTTGTCCTTGATTTGCTTCTGAAGGGCCACAGGGTCCATGTTAGCCGGCAATCGTGCGAATTATTCCATCAAAGGCGACTTATTTACAAATAATTCACCCCGTTGACAAGCAATGGCAAAACAAAAGACGATCGAGCGAATCGGCGCGCTCTGATTGGTTGCTTTCCTAGGCCCAGCTGGTGCGACTTTGATGGCGTCGGCGAAGGAGCCCTGAAGACCTGCCGGAGGAACTCCACCTTTGAACTTTGCCCGTTCTCCATACCCCACGGGACCGAACGACCTGTCAAAATGTAAGTCGAAAACTTGTTTCTCTTGGCCTTTGAAATTCGGGCGCGAAAACTCAAAAGTTTGCGAAAACCGAGTGCGGGAACTTTTGTTGGCCGCCGTTGCCGGGAATGCGAGTGAAAAGTAAACAATGCGGCGGCGGCCTGATGGGTTTCAATCGAGCGTGATCGAGGTTAAATTTAGCCCTAGATTTCGTGCTAAATTTGCTCCCGTAATCAAGAAGAATCAATCCGAACGAAAGCTTAAATCTTGGACCTTAGTGGCGAGTGTCATGTCACCACCTCTGTTTCTCGCGGTCAGATCAGATTGATTGTCAATGCGCAAGCAAAGCCGAGCAGTGCTCAACCCCTTCTTCCGCGGCCACTGCTCTTCTTCGGCGTGAAACCGACTTCTGACTAACTGACCGGCACACACACCTCTGCAATGCAGTAGCGAAAAGTGAATGGCGAATTGTCCTGCACTGGCCAAGTGTGATTTCTACTGCTTCGTAGGTACGTCGCGAAATATATAATTATATTTTTATCCCTGCATTTTCGCGGTTTCAGCCCATTTACTTTTTATTACGTTCGAGCTCATTAATATTCAAGCGCCTGATAATTTATTTGGATTTTTTCGTGACGGTTTTTTTGGGCGCTAATTGGCGTCTGCTCGTTAAGTCGCGTTCGTCGTCAACCCTTTTTCTCCGAACAATATATTATGCAATTAAGAGGCAAAAGGTAATTAGTGGAAATGACAAACCATTAGGGACAGGTTAAAAATAAATAATGAGCGCGCCAGAAAATGGACCGACAAGAACACGGTGCTCTGCTGCTTTTGGTACGCTTCGGAAACCTTTCTTTCAGAGACTTGATTAATCAAAATTAATTAATTCGGTCAGCAGCTACTTTTCTTGAACCCAAGTAGCTTGTTTTGTAAAGTTCCATCTAAGATTAAATCACTTAAAAACGATGCCTTTAGGGGATATAGATATATTTCTGAAACTTTCTATACTTGCTCCTCTCATAAATTAAAGCTTGTCAATCAATTGCGAGGCCAAAAAGTATATAAATAATAAAAATAAAATTTTCACGCAGGATTTAAAAAAAAAAATAATAATAATAATAATATCGGCATCACAAAATTTCCATTTCTGGTTGTACTATACTCCACATCATCATACAATCTTCTTTGATGAAATTTTTTTCATCTTTCAACAGACAATAATATTCCAATTTGAAATCGGCAATTTTTTTGAACCTATATGGAGAGCAGTCATTGATAATCAAGAAATTTTTTAAATTATTATTGTAATTAATTTTTGTTTGTCTTGCTTCAAAGCAAATTGAAAAGAAAATTGGGAAGTAATTACACTAACTGTCAAATAAAACTTGGTAGATTAAAAAACTTTGAAAGTTGCAAACGTTTGCGGTCTCATCAGAAACCAAAAGGAAATGCCCTCCAGCAACAAACTAAAAAATATCCGGCCAGCGTTAATTTTTTAATGTTTCCTATATTTGTTGCAAAATGAGTGAGGTTTTAGTAGTTTGAAGAGCACACATGGCATTCAATTTCTCCCAAATCTCAGACAGATTAAAACCATTGTCCTATAAAATTTCTGATTTTCAAAATTTTTAATGCGTAGGTTATCGCTTCATTACCTTGCAGAAAGTTCATATTTTTTTCCATTTTAAGAATAATTACACTTTTCTCCATTCAACATAACTTATTTCCTATTGTTGTGATAATGATTAGAACCTTTTTTGTTCTTATTTTTAGAAACTTTTAACTACGGCAGTCCAGAAAATTAAAACTGTCTATGTTCACAACGTTCACAATTCAAAATTTAAAGATGTGATTAAATTGTTGAAAATTTTTTCTTCCAACTTCGAGGACGAAAAGAAATATTTCTGTGAACAAGAATTATTATTTGGAGCGAAGATTAATTAAAATTTGTATACAAGAACTGTTGCTGAAGAAAGAGCTTTGTTTAGGCAAGTGTTTGTCGGGCGCACGCGATTTGGAGCGGTGCAGCATCGGTCGGTCGGTATTTATTTATTTTCTGGGCACGCGGCGCACGGGCCGATTTGGCAGGGTTTGCTCTTGTTGGTTCGCGGCCGCGCCGTCCGACGACCGACCAGTGTCAGACATGACATTTACCAATATGCCACACTAAGTTAGGCATTATTCCAAATTAGTCCGCCGCTTTTGTGGTTACATCAGAGGGACGTGTCAGTCCGTCAATCGGACTCGGACGCTGCAAGGGTCGGAAACTCGTCGTCGCTGCCCCATGCAGACTGCGGACGGCCCTTCGCACTCGCCGCCGGTAAGATTGATTCGACCGCGTTTAATTGGGCCTGCCCGCGCGCAATTTGGCACCACGCGTTTCGACCATCATTTATTTATCCGTCGCCGCGCGCGCCCACCACGATTTACTGCCCCCTTTGTTTCCCTTTTCGCGCAGCCTTTCAAACACACTCCTCACCATTGCAGTTCAAACAAACTCGTGCGAGGAAATGTGTTTCCCTTTCGCGAAAGAGCATTACTTGCGGTTAGTATAAGTTTAGTTGAAACTTCTTATTTCCCACTTGCAATCACAGCAAGTCTTGAAATTCCGATCGTAATAATTATTTTTTTACTCCAAATCACTTTTGATCTTTCGCCAAAGATTGATAGATTTTTTGTCGCAGAAGGAACCTTGGTGACTAAAAGTTTCACAGTTATTTTTAATCAAGGCAATGCAATTTTTTTTCCTGCAAATATTTATTAGAGAAAAAATCTGCTGTGTCCGAATATTAATTTTGTGAATTATAATAAAATGGAAAACAATAGATTTTTCATTTCATTAAATTATCAACGCATGAAAACTTTGCTCATTCAAACTAGCCTATAATTTTTCTTTGATTCTTGTATTTTTTAATCGTCTGGTCAAAAATATAATTAATCTTTATTCCATAATTTTATCATAATTAGCTATTTCAAGTTTTTCTTATAATTTGCGTCGATTTTTTTATGTCTAAGTTTTTATTTCAACTGTAGTCCAATCAAATTAAACAGTATTGTTAATTTTGGTTAAATCTTATTTTAAATTTTCGTCTTTCAGTTAACAGTCCACAGATTAAAATTGAGGGAAATTCTTTTGAGAAACCCTCATTTATTATTTTTATTTGCCCACTTATCCGATAATACCAAAGGATAACATTAAAATATTCACTAATTTGAATCTTCATTTTTTTTATTGAATTTAGTTAATAAGTTTCCTAGCTGTCAGAAAAGAAAATCATGAAATTACTAAAACAAAAAATACTAATAATTACTCAAAATCGATCAAGCTTATCCCTTAATGCTTCTTTTAATAATTGTTAGCCTTTTTTGTGGAAAAAAGCTTCATGAAATTCGGTCTTCATTGCCTTGAAGATGTCTTATTGTCACTTTAATTGCCAGGCAATTATCCAATAATTTTCATGGCTAGTAATTTTATGCTCATGACAAATAAAACAAAATATCCAAAATAGGTATTTCAATTATAGACTCTAGTGGCCAGGCAAACGCGGTTATGGGAAACCGCGTTTCGCGATAGAACGCCATAAATTTAAGAAGCCAGCAACAACAAAAAACAGCTATAAAACTTTCTAATCTTTTTTTTTCGATTTCTCGTACAAGTTTATAGCTGGAATTTTTTATTAAAGATTTCAAATCTTAAGTCTAGGCAAGACGAATCTTTAAAGTAAAACTTCAATTAGATTTTTTTTCTTCTAAGGTCGGATTTTTGCACGCAAATATCTTTTGTGGTGAGTTTGCAGCTAACACAACAATAGTTCGCACAGTTTATTATTTTCTTTATAGCCGGATGCATAAAATCTTTCTTATGCGACGGCGTTGAAATTTTTAAGCCGGCCATTGATGAGGACAAGCGCCTTTATCGCCAGATTAGCGCCATAAAGGTCTATTTCTGTCCGGCTTTGAGGTTATTCAATACCCTTGTGTGTTTATCGCGCACACCGGCTAAAAAATAAGCGGGGCTTCCCTTTGTTTAAAAAAATCTTGTCTCGCCCGTGTGTATTTCTCGGAACAAAATTTCAACTGAAAGTACAAATTTAACGTGGAAATCGATGTGAGAGCGATGGACTCGAAAGATAAATTCGCTCCCCACAAGCGCAATTTCAGCTGATTTGAGATAAGTTCGGGTGGTTGCATGTGTGATTTCGCTCTCTTTTGTCCCCGCTATTCAAAACTAACAATAAAAGCCCTTTGAAGTTTCTTTTTTGGTCTCATTGCATTTTCATTTATCAAGTTCAGTGCAACTTCAAAAGGCGCCTCTCGTGCATCAAATTATATGCTCGTTCCAATTTTCCGATTTGTGTTTTGTGCGCCTCACGTGCCGGCCAATTCACGGGATTGTATTGGAAACGCCGGCTTTTCCACACATAAATATTTTGCCCTTCTCATATCGCCGCCCGCACGCGATCCCGACGTTTTTCGGTGGCCGCTCGATGCGCGATTAACATGATGTATATTATTATGCGCGGTCTGAGCATCAATCATTTCACAACAGGACGCACGAAAGTCGAGGAAAATGCCATCAGTTCTTGAAATACATGGGAACTTTCAGGCGCAGCGAGATTAACTTGTCACATAATGTTTTATATGCAATCGTTTCCATAAAAGCTGAAATAAACATTCACCACGACATTCCAATTTTAACAAATTTATCTCATATAATTATCCGTAACAAATAATGCATTATCTTAGAATTATGTATTCTGTCAGTTTGTTACTAACATATATTTTTGCTGCCAAAGTTAGTAATCTTGTTTCTGTAATTTTGAGGTCAGTTTTTTTTAACATTAAAAAATGAAAAGTGTTTTGTCAAAATCATTTCTAGAAAAATTTTAACTTTCTAATTTAGTTTATTATGGGTATAAATATTTTATACTGCAATTCACTAGCTTGATTATCTAAGTTATCTATTTATTAGCTAAATTCTGAAAAAATTTTGCTTTATAAAAAAACTCCAATGATGTTTTTAAAAAGGCATTTTCAGGTGTACAAAGTATTATAATTTCTCTAATAATTCCTCAAAATTTGACATTCGTCATTCTTTTTTTTTGCCATATAATTTACCGTTGTTTGCTTTTATGATTTGTGATTACCAAATTAATGGACGGAGCAAACTAAGCAGATCAATTGAAAAGGGGGTAGTTTTATCAAATTCCTACAATAGGGGGTAGTTCAGACAATTTAATTTTTAATTTTACATGAAACAAATTTATTTTCCATTCACTACAAAAAAAATGCCGGATGAAAAATGACAGATTCCGATCGAAAATGGCTGGGAAATATATTTTTTCCTTGAATATTAAATTAACAGTCAATGTTATCCTAGAATATTAATTTAATTCCAATGAGCAAGAGAAAAAGATTCAATGCATGACCGCTTTGATATAAATTGAAAAATTGCTTTAGCCAATCAATTGTCAATCAGGATTTGCCCAAAGCGAATTCGCAGTTTCCTTATTGTGTCGTCGCTGCCAGTGAGCGAGTTGTTTGTGCAAAGTTGGCTCGTTTCAGGTGCTAAGCATGTCCGGATCGCTGGTCGCCCTGGGCACCGACGACATCGGCCAGGCGCGCCACGAGGCGGCCCGCCAGCGGTGGCGGCTCCTGGCTGAGGCGCTCAAGCGCGGCGCCTCTCACGACGGCGCCGACTCCTGCATGGGGGTCTCTTTCGGGCTGGTGCGGTGCTCGCCCACCCCTGAGGACGGCTGGTTCTTGTACTCCGCGCAGGGCTTCGAGGTGCTCGTCTGCCACGTCAGCGAGGCCGTCTCCCCAAAGGTGCGCTTTCAAGCTCGTTTTCATGTCGTTGCTTTCGTCCGTTCTTTGGAAAAGAAAAGATATTATTTTTATGCTTTTCATGTGCCGCATCAAACCAATGATTTGTTTTGTATTTTGCAAGGAATTCAGACAAAATATTTAATTTTTAGCCCAATCCTGAAAATAATTCTACAGTGTTTTTTTTTAACTAAATTTTTGATATTATTTTATGTGTTTTCTGTGTTTTTATAATTTTTAAATATATTGGTTTTTCCCTTTTGCATTCAATAGTCTTAAAAAAAACGATTTCTCCTGCTCTGTACAGAACTTGTCTGCATGATCCAGATTTTCATTCCTTTACATTTCCTCCAATTTCTACATTGTTAATCAACTTCGTTCACATGCACCTTCATTAATATGTTTCCTTCATCTGATGGTTTTTCTTCCACAAAAGAATTCTTCAAGTGCTACAAAATTTCGAAATGTAATTTAGTATAAAAATTTGCTTAATTTTGAACTTACTGCTTGATAAAAATTATTTTCTTGATACAAGTATTAATTTAATTTATTTTTCAATTTAATATTTTATGATTTGTGTCAAATACCTTTCAAAATATGAGAAGAGAAGAAATATTTCCTGGAAAAAATCTAATATGATCTTTATTTTGTTTGCACTTTATTAAATTACGGAGAAGCAGAGACGTAATTTCTGCAATAGCTCAATTTTGTAAGCGCAAAACTACGAGTCAATTGTGGTCATTCAACTACGATTAAATAACCCCCAAGCCGAGTTCTAAAAAAATATGAGCCATTAAAAACGATATAAAAAATCAATAAATGAAATTGAAACATAAATAATCAATTAACTTAAACTTATAAAAATGAGATTGCACACAATACTGTTAAAAATAATAATATCAAAACTAATCAATTTGAAAAAAAAAAAACTGAAGAACAAAAATCCAGAGAAGAAAATTTTTAATTAATTGAAAAAAGGTTTTATTCTCGTTCAAAACAATAAAAAAAAAAACGGTCTGGATTGTTAAGTTTTAATAAATGTTTCAGTGGATTTGGATTTGATGAGCAAGAAAACAATTTGAATAAAAAGAACTCGTGTTGTTTTCAAGCTGATTTTGAATTTTTTTTTCTTTGCATTTCAGTAAACGTTTAATATTTCTGATAGAATACATTTTTCAACAAGGTTAGAACCCTTTTTTCATTTCATCATAAATTTTGGTTTAATGACGAGATGGATTGTGCTTTGTGGTCCCGCAGGCACTTGCTGGGTTCAACAACACGGGCAACGTGCGCGTGTGGTCGTCGGAGGAGGTGCTGACACACTACTGCCTGCGCCAGGGTCCGGCCCTTTTCGCAGGGCGCCGCGTCATCGAGCTGGGCGGCGGCATGACGTGTCTGGCGGGGCTGATGGTGGCCAAGGCGGTCGCGCCGGCGCACGTGCACCTGACGGACGGCAACACTGCGGCCATGGCCAACGTCAAGCGCATCGTGGCGCAGAACGAGCTGCGCACCGACGTGGCGTGCAGCGTGCTCAGGTGGCACGAGGTCAAGGTCACCGCGGCGGCGGCGACCTACGACTTTGTGCTGTGCGCCGACTGCCTCTTCTTCGACGAAGCGCGACCCGCGCTGGCGCAGGCCATCGACCTCCTGCTCAAGCCTGGCGGCTCGGCCCTGGTGATGGCGCCGGCCAGGGGCGGCACCTTCAACCTTTTCGTGCAGGAGGCCGCGCGCAAAGGGCTCAGGTACTCTATCGCCAGGCGCTACGACGACGCCGTCTGGGCCAGTCACGAGGCCCTGGCACAGGCCCACCTTCAGGGAGGCCCCTTTTACGACGAGGACCTCCACTACCCGCTGCTGCTGGTGCTCACGAAACCCAGCTGAATGGCCCCCTCTTTAAAGGATGGAATTCAAATTTTGGCAGGTGTTCCAAAAATCTAAAATTTTCCAATTTTTCTACTCGGAAAGGACCTATAGAATTAAAGAAGAACCATTTAACAATAAACTATTTAAAATCAAAACAATTTACTAGTTACTAGTATTAAATTATTAATTGATTAAAATATTTTCTTTATTAATTATATTTTGCTTGAAACATTGAAACCTACAGTGACCAATTTTAATCAAATTTTCATGCAGATAATGAGAAACTGTTGGTAAAATCCACTACCAAAAACTTAAAAGTCATTTGAAAACTGCTGGGAGGAACAATGCAAAAAGTAAAAGGGTTGGATTGTAAATTCATTTTTTCTTCTGAAAGAAAATCAACAAATAAGGCCTTAACCCTCTCCCTTAAATATGATAGAGGATTTTAGCTCAATTCCCTTGAATATTATCAAAGTTGATAGTTGATACTGAAACAAGTTTTTTTCTCGGATAATTGTTATAAAAGTTTTTTTTCTTATAAGGTGTTTATTGTATCTTTTAAGCGAATTTCATCCTTTAAACTGGGAGGGCAATCTTTGCGCTTCTCTCCTGTTCTTATTTGAACAAAGGCCATAGCTATCATAGTAAACGGGCAAAAGCAAATTTTCACACAAATGTTCTCAAATAATTTCCAAATAACGTGAAAATGTTGTCAAAATATGGTGTTCAATTTACTATTTATAATTCTATTTTAAACTGCTTTGATGTTTCTAGCGTACACATCTTGATGAATCTCATAATTATACACTTGATTTTTCTCAATATATATATTTTAAAATTTTTACATGCTTAGGTTAAAACGATTCCTCAATTCCTGTAAAAGCGACCAGTATTTATGTCTCTCCCCTGTATTAAGTATTATATTTGTCAATTCCATGTAATGTCATTCCTTCATACTCTGCCTCTTTCGGTGTAGTTTTTTATCGATTCTCATTCAATTATTGTCTTGCTCGGTGTAATTTTCTCGTCGATGACTTGAAATTCCTAATAATCTGTCGTCTCTTCCGCCACAAATATTTATAAAAATGCTTCCTTCAAATTAGCTTTTAACTTATATCAGCGGATTACGTTTTTTTGTTTTTTAATACAGCTATCACGCTTTTGCTAATTCTCTTTGCCAACGTCGCATCTCAACTCAAAAAAAGCCTATTTGAAAATCAACATTTCTTTTTGTAAACCATGGATTTAGTTAATTCACTTGGCTTTGTTTCTCTTCAGTTTTGGAGTGTTAGATTTTTTTATGCCCCACTTTTAATGTTCTTGTTTATGAAATCTTATTTAATTATTTTGTACTCAAAAAAGTGGCCACTTAAATTGAGTAAAATAATGTGTTCCCTAAAAAAAATTGCCAAGGTCTCAGACCATTTTTTTCCAAAGTAAATTTCTTATTCATTTTGCATGATTTTGCAATACCTTTCTCTCTCTCCCAAGTCCTTTTCTATATCTATACTCTACTCAGTATGAATTAGTTCTTGTTAGATTCGTATATTAGTCCTCCAAGAGGCAAAAATTGCACTTGAAATCGCTTTGAAGTATAGTTGGTTAGAGATTTCGTCGAATCGGAAGGGTTGAGCGCCGGACGACGGCGGAAGGCGAGATTATACTTAATTCTATTTTAGTAGAATGCTGAGTGCTGTATTATATGGCTGTGATGTTTTACAAACACTCGACGCGTATATACATGAGGCAGACAGACATTTTTGTTCAAGTTAGCGCGTAAACAGTGCCCCCGAAATGCCATAATATTTGAAACGCCGAGAGCGGGGCTGAATCTCATTCGGACACATTCGCTGTTTAGCATCCCAGCTTCGATTCCTCGACAATTGTTTGTCTGCGCAAAAGACACGCTTAGGCTTTGCTTAAAAACATGCGCAACTCCGTGTTTAGGTTAAAAATAAATTATTAAATTGCACACGGAGGAAAGTTGTATAAAAAAATTGCTCATTTAATTTTACAGAGGTAGAGATTCTAGCGGACCGACTGATCCTAGATCAATAAATTTGTATACTGCGTGCCTTTGGATGCGTAAGTGTTGTCGGCGGCACATAAATTTAGACGCATTGTAAATTATCGCCATTCGACTAATATCTGCGTTTTTGGGGAAATGCACAATGCAGGTGAAATTAAATTTCTGTTGAAGAAAATGCCAAAAATAAAATTGTTAAGCATTTTTATAAATGCTCATCGAATTTATAAGAATATAAATGAAATCAAGAAGGCATGCCGTCCTGCAGGTTTAAGATTGTTAGTCGGAATGGAACAATAACATAATGCAAAACGCACTCTTGATCACATGAACATTTATGTGTATTTTTCTCTTGACGTTGGATAAAAAAAATTTAGAAAGCTAGACACGTTGTACTCAAATAAGAATATTATGTATGCTGAATAAAATTATTGTACTCATGCCTCCTCAATTGTATCAATTTACATAAGGTGTTACTGTGCCTGTTATACTGTATTTAGAACAATACATACTAGGTTGTTGTTACTGATGAACCCTTGTTTTATGAATTCTGACCCATTCTAAAATTAAGAAAGAAAGAAAAATGAACAATCTTTTCATAAGGCCAAGAGAAAGAATATAAAAATAGATTTGAGCTTTCAAGATTGATGAGGTGAGGGGACTTGTTTTGTTTTCTTTGGCAAAGCGCATCTTTCTTCATCCTAATTTTGTTTTCAGGGCTGATTATTGGAAATCGACCGAGAAGAAGTTCTGCGACTTCTGCAAATGCTGGATCGCGAATAACAGAGCTGTAAGTATTTTTAGACTTTTTTCTAAACAACGAACAATTTTTTTTTAATATGTGTTGAAGACTAAGCTAAAAAAAATTATTAATTTTCATTATTTCTTATTCGTTGTGAGATAAAATAATGTAAATTTGATATATTTGGGAAATTTGATTTTTTTTAAGTTAGAATAGACTAAATTGCATAATAAAAACACCAAATAAATCACCTTCTAAAAACTTGATCTATAGGAAAATTTTCACAAAATTATTTGCTTTAAGAAAAAGACTAAAACTCACTCAGAATTAAAAAAATTCATTTCTGGGGATCGTTTTGAAAACTTGAGAAATATTTCAGAGCATCGATTTTCATGAAAAAGGTAAAAGACACATTGGAAATGTGGAGAAGAAAATCAAGGACATTGGCAGGAAGAGCCAAAAGGACCAAAAAGCCAAAGACTATGAGGCGCGTCAGGTTAAGATGATGGAGCAGAATGCGATGAAGTCGTACATGAACGACGTTTACCTGAAAGCCGACTACTCTTCGCAGTTTGTGGAGTTGCCAGAGGACTATGCGCCGGCCGAAGGGGTTGCTGGACCGTCTGCAATGCCCACTGTGCAGACCCAGGCCGACCTCCAGGCGGAGGCCAAAAAGAAAATAAAAGAACAGGTTTGATCATAAAATCATACATACTTTGCTTTTTAATAAAATTTTCATCAGGCTGAAATGAAAAAAATGCAAATTCAAGCTGAAAAAGATGCCATGGAGGCTGCGGCCAAAAGGGCCGAGTCTTACAAACCACTGGTCAAACTGGGTCCAGGAGCAACGTCGACCGAAGTTCTTGGCACAGAGAAACTTCGTCCAAAGAATTACAGGTTCCAAAAGAAACTTCCAAACTGGTATGAAGCAAAAACTGAGGAGGGAGTTTCTTATTACTGGAACATCATCACAAAAGGTTAAATTCGTTGCTCCTTTTTTTCATTAATCTTAATAAATTTATTTCAATTTCAGCCACAACCTATGAAAAACCAGAGGACGGATTTGTCTCTCTGGAACTGCAGGAGAGAAACAAGAAAGAGGACGAGGAGAAGCTGAAGAAAAAAGAGCAGCAGTGGCAAATTATGAAAAATCCGCTTAAAAATCCACTACCTGAATGTGAAAAACCTAATCCTTACGGTGCTTGGACAGAGGTCAAGTCAGCGGAAGAGACGTAATTCATCAAAATCTTTAAAATTTATTTAAAAGAAGTAAATTTTCTTCTTGAGCAGAGAACAAGTGGACCTGCAGCTGCCGCACAACAACCGATTTCAGCCTGTGTTGCCTGTTTTTACTGAAGAGGAAATTCCCGAAATCAAGTTCAAGGAGAAAGTTGTCAAATCAACTGCAACTGCTGGGTCAAGTTCAGAGCCAGTTGCATTCAAGAAAAGAAAAATTCAAAATTTTAGGGGTCGACAAAGAAATGATGATGATGATGATTAGGTTACTTTTATATAATAAAACTAACGATAAGCTCAATGTGAAAATATTTTAATGATTTTGTTTGTTAAAAATTGCAGCAATATCATAGCAAAACCTAATCATCCGAGGGGGGTGATGGATTTTCGAGATTTGTCTGGGCACTTTTGGGTGCAGCGGCAAAATCGATATTGGTGTCGCTGTCATTGTCAACATCTCGCAAAAACTCGTCCAGTGCAGATTCGTCTGCATCAAGATCAACCTCTTCCAATGATACTTCTTTTTCAAATTGACCTCGGACTTCTAATTCTAAAAGAAAATAAAATTTTAACTGTTAAAAAATATAGAATTCCTTTGAAAAAACATATATTAATTGCTAAGTACATTTAACTTACTTGGAATGTGCCCAGATTTCTTAAACTCGGTCATATCTTCTGAGAAAACCTTTTGAAACGCTGCTTGTCTTTCCATCAAAACCTTTTTTTGTTGCTCATCATGTTGCTTTAACTTTTCCGAGTAATCTTGTTCGAGTTTTTCTGAGAGAAAAATTTAAGACTCACGATTTAGAGTAAAATATAAAATCCTACTTCTACAGTCTTCGAGCTCAGCTAATTTCTTTTCTTTGTACATAGCAAGCTGAAATCTGTGTTCTAGTTGCTCTTCTTGCAAAGCTTGGGTCTCAACCAAGTCTTCAAACGCTAGTAGAGAGTGCTCAACGTCCTCAAAAGTGTGTTTCAGATTGTCTGATAAAAGAAATATTTTAAGTATGATTTATGGAATGCTACTTAAATATGCAACACTTACTAACGTCATCCATGAGATCTTGAACTCTAATAATTAAATTAGGAACCTCATTCAAAACTTTGCAGAGATTGCCTATGTCCGTCCATTGCTTAGAAACACTTTTGTGGAGGCCTTCGATGAGTTGGTCCACCACCTAGCAAGTATCATTTTAATTTTAAATAACAGTTTTAAAATGATTTTATATTATTGACCTCTGCGTTTTTAGCATTTTCTTCAGAAATCTCATGAAGCTCTTTCCAGTCTGTTTGGTATTTGTCTAATAACTCGGCGCCAGCATTTAAGTTAATCTTATTTCGGCTTGGAGAGCTCTTACTTTTCCGGGGCACCTCACTCACAGTCAGCAAACGGAAACTGAAAAGGCAGGCATATATTATTTTCACCTCTGTTTCCAGAAAAGCATTTGAAAATTTAATAAATAGAGATTTTACAAAGTATTGATAAAATTGCCACATTGACATTATTTTTTGAAATGTCAAATTTTGGGAGGCTGTTATACTTCAAAACTGGACAAACCTAGCCGATATTCCTTCTTGCACGTTTTGGAGTTTGTCTCTGATGCTGCCAAACATGACTACTTCTTTTTTAATTGAATTAATCAACCCAAAATATTGTAAATTTTGGAGCTGGAAAATTAAAATGTCACAAAGTTGGTTCCATGTTTTCACAACTCACAACATGCCACGCCCCCTTTTCTCAGCTGCTGTGACTGGCTGCTGACCGGCAACCCTGCTCAACTTTTTTTAACATTTTTAAGGCAGGCGTCAGTCGCCTGGGGCCTAACGGGTTAATTCCACCCCTCGAAATTCCAATCAGCTTCAAAAATGCTGGAATTGTGTTTGGTCAGATGCTCCAGAGTTCCGAAAGGACTCGCAGGGCAATTCCGAGCATTCACCGTCGCTGTCGATCAACAAGAAAGCATCGAAGTTTGCGGCAGAAAGTTTGCGCGCGACCAATGGACCAACGCCACCCCGAAAATTCTGTCGCACGTCGGTCGCAACCTCCACCTGCAGGAGAAGCACCCTCTTGGCCTGCTGAAGACTAGAATCGTGAACCACTTTTACTCGCAGTACATTAGCCGCACGGGGAATCCAATTTTCTCCGTTTTTGATCGGCTAAGTCCAGTTGTAACTGTGGAACAGAATTTCGACAGCCTTCTGGTGCCGAAGGACCACATCAGTCGGTCGAAGAGCGACTGCTACTACCTGGACGCGGGACACTTGCTCAGGGGACACACGACTGCTCACCAGGCCGACCTCATCAAATCGGGACTTGATGCTTACCTGACTGTCGGAGACGTTTATCGAAGGGACGAGATCGACTCCAGCCACTACCCTGTTTTCCACCAGTTGGACGCAGCCAGACTTTACTCAAAACATGAAGTAATCTTTGTGTTAAAAAATTTTAAGTATTTCATATTTTAAATAAAATGAAATTTCAGATTTACAAGCAAGAAGATCTGAGAGGAATTCGCTTGTTTGAAAACGGAGAGGAAACACCAGAAAAGCAGGATGTGCACACTTTGGACACAGCCCTATTCTTACAAAATGACCTCAAAGTTTGCCTCGAAAGACTGGCCAGAAATTTATTTGGCGAAGGTATGTTAATTTAAAAAAAATTATATAGATGTAATAATAACAAGGAATAATTAATAATTTTTAGAGGTTGATATGCGGTGGGTCGATTCCTTTTTTCCCTTCACACATCCTTCCTTTGAGCTGGAAGTTCACCACAACGGGAAGTGGATAGAGCTCTTGGGTTGCGGAGTGACAAAACAGGAAATTTTGGCCAACTGTAAATATTTAAAGAAAATCACCTTTTCAGTTTTGTTTTAAATCGATTTTTTTTAACAGGTGGAATCACCGACAAAGTTGGGTGGGCTTTTGGTTTGGGGCTCGAGCGTCTGGCCATGTGCCTTTATCAAATTCCAGACATCCGACTGTTTTGGAGCAAAGACTCTGGCTTTGTGAACCAGTTTCGAAACGCTACTCCTACCTCAAAAGTTATTTATAAAGTAAGTTTCTTCTCTATTTCAATTTTTATTCCAACTGAGAAGAATAAGTTATAATTAAAGTGTAAACATAAAGCAAGATTTCAATTAAAACAATTTGCAGACAGTAAGCGTGTACCCTCAGTGTACAAACGATGTGAGCTTTTGGCTCCCAGAGGAGACTGAATTTTCACCTAATGACTTCTACGACCTCGTAAGAGATGTTGGAGGTGATATTATTGAGCAGGTGAGTTTTACAATTACATTATTAAAAAAAAATGAAGAAAATTTGTGCCCTTTTACTGTATTCAAGATTTTTCTTTTCTTTAAATTTTTTTTATGAAGCTATTTTTATGCAAATAAGATTTTTAAATTTTACCCTTCAGATTTTGATCTTCTTCACTTTGAAAATTCAATAATATTAAAGAAAATGCTAACAAAACCATTGATAAAGGTGACCCTGGTCGATGAATTCACAAACCCTAAGACGAAGAGAACAAGCCATTGTTACAGGATCATCTACAGACACATGGAGAAGACCCTGACAAAGACTGAGGTTAACGAGATTCACGAGGAAATCAAGAGTTTAGCCACCCAGAATTTGGGAATCACACTACGTTAAAAGTAAGCTTAACACTAATACTTTTTTATTTCGTAACAAAAGCGGATGTGTAACAAAATATGTGTGTCTCGTTCAGCCATCTGTGGACATGACATTCATTATTAATCTTAGTCGTGGGGATAAAGATACAGGCGATTGAAAGGTCTTGCCTAAGTTATTGTCTGTGTCAAGTTACATAAGATGGGCAGCCAACATGGAGCACCCGGTCGAACAAATCGTACGAGGCAGTCATGTGGTAGCCCATGTTGGTCACAACCACAATGTACTCAAAAAGCGCAAACAAGGTGTACACTGAAATGTTTTTTTTTATCCCAGTTAGAAAAATGTAACTGTTTAAAATAGGAAAACTTTTACCATATGGTTCACAATAGTTATTGTGCCGAACGAAAAAGTAGCCGGCGATCATAAAGGACGTCACGTTTACGATGAGCAGTTTCACTTTCAAACTCAAAGATCTACCTTCGATATTATTTGTGGGTCTGGACCTTCTTCTAGACAAAAGGTAGCTACTGAGAATCATGTAGAGCTCCGAAGTAGCAATGAATGTAATGAAGCATTTTTCATGGATGGCTGAAACAATTAGAAATATAATCATTAATTTTTTTTGAAAAATCGATTAATCTTTTTTCCTCTTGCAGGTTTGAGGACTTACGGTAATGTTCTGCTGAAGTGAAGAACGTCAAGCCCAATAAAGCAACATTTTCGATGAAGTTTAGTAAACAAGTAAGCCCGGCCAGCCAGAGGATATCTCCGTGCAGCACTTTCCAGAAGTACTCTACATACATCCATACGACAAGGAACCTGGTGGGCGCGTGAAGTGCGATAAAAAACATCCAGACATATTTTTGTGGACTTTCATTGCCAATAGCGGCAGATATGGATGGTAGCCAATTTGAAACCTATGCAAATAAATAAAAATATTATTAGATTTTTAATCGAGCAATTAATTAAAATAATTTTTAATTAAAAATTAAGGCGTAACTTATTGGATGCTAGCAAAAAAAAAAAGAAAATTTGACGTTTCACCTTGCAATGTGTGGAAACGGTGGTTTCGAAGTGAAATAAAACTGACCAGACTATACAAAATATAAATGCCAAGAGGGGCAGAGCAACGGTGATTTTGGCCAGACTCTCAAAGGGCACCATGCAGAAAATGATACTCCGTTGCTTTTGGCGGCCGACGTCCTTTTCGTTCAGCGGCAAGTAGCCGATTTTGGAGAACGGAGATCCTCGGCTCGGAACCATGATTCATCGATGCTGGACAAGAACGTCGGCGGCAGAAGTTATTGTCTGGTCATCGTGTGCACTTCATGCATAGAAATGCAGTCGGAGAAAGTCGATGTTTCAGCAATAAACTTGCATTTTTAATGGAATGGAACGAGTTGAGATTTTGATATGATAAAAAAATAAACAAATTCAAATCGAGTAATGAAAAGAAGATGAGGTTGATTTGATACTTTCCAGTGCGAAATGAAGACAGATAGAATAGAATCGATTAATTATTATTAACTTTGTAGTAAAATATAATTTGTTCTAATATTTGTTGCCTTTGTGAGTTAAAATCAACGCAAAAAACAATTCGTTTTGAAAATCGTTAAAATACTTTCCGCACTCTCCTTTTTGGGCTCAGCTGGAAGCGGCGGCAAATTCGAAACTTTCCAAAGTTCTCCCAAGTCCGACCCCCCACGGCATCCGCACTCGTGGTCTCTTCTTCGGCGTCACATTTCCAGAATATTCAGGGAAATTTTCAGTCGCCGACATGAGCCGCAAACCTTCAACATCTGGTTTCACCGCGTACGACAAGGACGACGGTCCTGCGTACGTGGGCATCATCTTCTGCCCCGAGTGCAACAACATGCTGTACCCCAGGGAGGACAAGGAAAACAAGGTTTGAACAAAACTTTATTTTTTCCCTACGACGCACATCTTATAAAATTGTAATTATTTTTCAGGTGCTTCTTTACGCTTGTCGCAACTGCGAGTACAAACAACTGGCCGAGCGCAGCTGCATCTACGTGAACAAGTTGACGCACGACATCGACGAGATCAAGCACATCAACCCGGACGTGGTGTCCGACCCGACCCTGCCGCGTACCGAGGAGCACCCCTGCCCCAAGTGCATGCAGACCGAGGCTGTTTTCTTCCAGGCCCAGACCAGGAGGGCCGAGGATGAGATGAGGCTGTACTACGTGTGCACCAACCGCAAGTGCCTCAACAGGTGGACCGAGTAACGCCCAAGAAGGAAGGTTGATTCTACAGTTTTGTTCTTGTTCTAAGGTCACGGAAAAATATTTTAATTTAAATGACTGGCATCCAACTTAAAACCAATTCTCAATATCGGAATGAGAATCTTCTTCGATTTTAATTCCTAGTTTTTGCCAAAACAATTTTGTGCTTAGTCTGCAGTCTAATCATACGTCGACTAAATCAGCCGCAAAGTTCCTCTTCTAAACATGTGCTATAATAGTTGCGTTGCCGGCTGAACTTTTGTCTGATTTTTACGATTTTGCTTAACAAACAATTGCCAAACGTGATAAGTATTTTAGAATCAAAAAAAAATTTTAATTCGGAACGAATTTCTTGCATTTCTGTGAATGATGATAATAATAGTGTTATCGACTCGTGGCTGTATTTGCGTAAAATAAGAAATAAACCAAACTGAATACGTTTAAATTTTAACCGACGACTTCTTAATAAAAATCCAATTATTGTTAGTAAAAACGCACTGTAAGAAAAATAGATTTATTTTTGAAGCATAAAAATTATTTCGTTGCCACTCCAGCAATGTGGTGCTTGATCAGTTTGAAAACAACCATTTTGTCCGTGTAAATATCCATGCGGGCTAGTTTCACGTCTGCAAAGCCCGCAGCTTTGATTTCAAAGTCGGTTTTTTTGTCAAGTCTGCATCCGTTTCCACATAAGGCAGGCCAAATACTAAAAAAAAGAGTAATCTTAATTATTAACTTTTACAACTTTCATTTTTTCTTACCCTGAGATCGACAGAAACTTTTGAATTGAGCAAAGGGTTGTTCCTTCCTGCGCCATCACATGCTCCAGGAAGTAAAATTTACCACCCTAAAATATAAATACATTTTAGAATGGAGGAGACATTCATAATGCAAAACAAGGTTTTTTTTAAATGAAAACAGCCAGAAGTTGTTTTTGCTAGGGCGAAAAAAAATTGAAGCAAAACCGTTAGAAAATAAGTGTAATAAAAAAGCTGATAATCCTATCAATTTTTTATAAATTTCCTTACTATTTTTTCATATTATAAAAAATTATATATTTATATTATTATTTAAATTGTTTTATTTGTTGAGAATTTTACAAGGACTTCATTTTCACAATTTATTTTTGAAAATTAAATAAATTTTTTAAATCAAATAAGTCTGGAAAATAAAATCATTATTATTTGCTATTGTTTACTATTTAAGAAAAAAAAAATTACCGGTGCCAAGACTCGTTTGACCTCTGTCAGCACCGCTCTGACGTCATCGATGGAGCAGAGGACGATGGTTGAAACGACCACGTCCACACTGTCCGAAGAGATTTGCTTCATATTTTCAGCCGAGCAGTACACCATTTTCTCGAGGTGTAGATGATTGTGCTTTTTTAGATTATCTTTCAAGAGCGGTCCATAAAACTCGTTGCGATCCACCATGACCAGGTGAGCGCCCTTTGGGAAATACTGCAGGTTGGCCCCTGAAGCCAAACCAAAAAGGTGTGAAAATAAACTCTAAATAAATTTTCGCGGTCAAGGTCACCATTGCCGCTTCCGATTTCAAGGATTCGAATGAGTCCCTTGTTTTTCAGGTCCCAGTCCGCTGACTTGATTTCACTCAGGGAAGCGAACAGCTTTTTCTTGACTGGCCCCGCAGGCACGTTGTAAATCTCGGCAAATTGCGATTCCCCTTTTGCGAAAAGTCTTAAATTTAAAATTAATTATTTAATTTTTAGAGATTTAAATTCACTACTTGTCTCGGTATCTTCGGAGGTAGCCGCGCGTCAAGTAGAAGATCAAGAGCAGCAGCAGAAAAATTCCTCCGAATGTCGACACCCATTCTTTCATTCGGACGTCGAGTTGGGACATTGTGTTCAATCGCTCTCTCGCGCGCCACTGGCACTCCGTTAGAATGTTTCGCAATCGTTCGTTCCTATGTGTACTTGAATGAAACGTCGTTGCCGTGATTCATTTTCGCAAAGAGCCATCTCGCGGCCGCTGCATCCCACGTAGTAAAAAATTAAAAAAATAAAAAATACTCTAAATTTGTCTCCAATCGTTAAATATTTGCTTAGGTCCACCTGTTATTCTGCACTTGCTTCACCCGAACCCATTTCGAGTGATAATATTTACTCCTCTTTATCTTATCAGCAAAGTATTAAGGTTTCTGCCTATCTCTACCCTAATTACGAGAGTGCAAATTAAACTTAATATAATAATTTTTAACTGACCGTTCGGCTCGGGCAGACGTTTCTCAGATGCTGTGGTTTAAAATGCGACCATCGAAATGAGCCCAACTGGACAAATAAAGAGCATTTCAACGTGTGGAGCGCATTCGCCGCTGCTATGCCCTTTGACGAATTGATCTCCCGATACCAAGGTCACGACCTTGACTCTCTCTTTTGTTCTCCGTAGCAGCTGGATTATGATAAAACGTGTTTAGGAATTTTTACTTGTGTTTATTTCATTTTTATAAATTTTATATATAAAAATTTTTCATTTGGTGGCGACAAGACACATTTGCTTGGACACGATTCTAAAAACAAAGTGTGCACTTCGCGGCAGATCAAAAGTCGTCGACTCCACTGCTGAAAAGCCAGCTTCTCTGACAGAGCACTCATAATCCCTGGTCAATCGAAAACCGTCAAATAAATAGGGCCAAATCCTAGCACAGAAAATATTAAACTAATTAAAATAGTTAAAAGTAAAAGAAAATTTGGAGTAATTCCACTTTTATTTCTAACAATAATAAAATAAATAATTAAAGATTAGAAAGAAAAAATGTTTAAATTTATACGAGTTTTTTTCCGTTTTACTTATAAAATGAATAAAGTTTAGGAATTTTCCCATTTTTCTATTCTTTCATAATTTATTTTATAATATTGATCTTACTAATAAATAAATTATTAGAGAAATATTTCAAAATTTTCTTCTATGCTATTCTTTTAATAACATCTTCATTTTGGAATAAAAGTTTAATTTTTTTCTTTTTTATATTATGAAAGTTTGACGTCAACTTTTTACTATCATTATTCTATAAAAAGAGTGTTACCCTGAATTTGTGAGTATCCACTGAAGAGCAAAGGTGAAGCTTAACTTGTCCGCAGGCTGCGGTTCGATCATGTAAAACTTTCCTCCCTGAAATCAAGAGCTATTATTTATTGAAAGACGCACTTCTTTGCTTGTGTTTGACTGAAGTTGTCAAAATTGAGAATTACTGGTGCCAACACCCGCAGGATTTCGGCCAGCACTTGCCGCTCGTCGTTTGTGCAGCAGAGGACATTGGTTGACACGACCGCGTCCACACTTTGGTCCGTGATCTCGCACATGTCTTGGGCGCACGAGTAAACAATGCGCTCCAGAAATAGCCGCGGGTACTTTTTCACGTTTTCCAGCAGTCGCTCCTCGAAGCTTGATGAGCAATCGACCATAACGAGACTCGCGCCGTCCGGGTAGTACCTCAAATTCGTGCCTGCAAACCAAAATAGCGGCACCGCGCGAATCAAAACAAAGCGAAACATCACAATCAGAAACATCCAAACAGTTAAATTCACTGCTACGTTTATTTTTTGCAACAGAATTCAGTGGAAAATTATTTTTAATTTAATCACCGCAACAGATTGCTAACTCAGCAAACAAAATACGTTTTTTTCTTAAGGTCATCTCCAGCACTAATAATTATTCCAGCGTCCCATCATTGCCAATGTAATAATTATATTAATTAGGCTGACTTGTAATTAAAACATAATTATTTATAATGACGATTGATAGATATTGTAAGAAGATCAAAATAAGCAATTTTTTCAAGCTTGTAAAATGTTTTAATAATAACTTATAAAAAAATCCAATTTCATCTGCGAAGACGCTATTTAGATTTGGTATTTTTAGTGTTTCTAGAGTTCATAGTTTATACACATTTATAACGTCAGTAATTTTAAAGATTTTCTTAATTATTGGTGTTGAAGCATGAATAGGAATATCATTTACAAGTTTATCTTCATGAAGAAAAATTATAAGTTTTAATCTTTCAACATTTGAAGGCAAAGTTGGGAGATAAACATTTAATTACCCATATTCAATAAAAATTCATTAAAAAATTTTAACAGTAAATAAAAAAAAATATATAAAAATAACAATATGGGTAATTATTTATTCTTTTTATATTAAAAAACTTATATTAAATATAAATAGTTTTAATTGAAAAACCAACATATATTAAATTAAACATGTTTCTTGTTTAATTTAAAATTTAAACTATACAAATTGCAAATATAGATTTAAATTCTCTAATCGGTGGTATAAATTTACTCAAATAATAAAGAGATCGTCAAAATATCAATTTGCTATAATTTGTGATGCTATATAACCTCTTACTACACATAGAGTAACAAATTGAAATTGAAATTTTCGTATTTTATTGAAAATTTTGGGCCAACATAATATATTTCGCTAACAAATAAGATTTTGTTATTAAATGTTCATTAATTCATTAAATAAATACAACGTCGGTTTACAGTTGAATAAGTTACAAAATCTAATAATAGATTTTAATTATGCCTCAAATATTTATGTATATTTTTTTTAATAATTTTATTTTCAGTAATTTCCGTTCGTTCTCATGAATATTATGACTTATGAAATATTTTTCTTGTACGAGTTGTGGACGGTTCAAAACTTCTCTCTTTCTTAAAATCATAAAATTGATGGAGCCAAATTTCTTACCCGCTCCGCATCCGATCTCCAAAATCCTGATCGACTTTTTCAATCTGAGTTGGTCATCGTTAGACACCGCTTCGGCCAGTGGCGCCAAAAACGTCCTCTTCTTCTCGTCCAAAACCGCGTTCCACACAACCCGCAGTTCGCCCACAAACTCCGAGTACCACCTTTAGAGTAAAACATACAATTTTATCTCCCGAGGAGAATTAATAATTAATCACACCTCCGGCGCCACTTGCGCAACTTGTCGCTGAAGACGACGGTGTAGGCGAGCGGCACGAGGACGACGAGCGCCATCAGGCCGTTCAGCAGCGGCCAGTCGTCCATGACTGAGCGTCCGGCGGACTGAGCCACTCTCGGCAGTCTGCACTTTGTCTTTCGAGCGGCCGCGCTGACTAACAGGAAAGGCAAATAATAGTTTGGCCCCATTATGCATTTATGCCGGTGCGCGTCGATCTTCGCGCGACTCTATTATCTTAATGGAACAACTTTATTGCGCGAGAGAACGTTTATAGGAAGCGAAAGCATGTGCGGTTATTTCCACTAATACGAACGACCCTGTCCATCTCAAGTGCTTCTATTTTGACTCGGTTATATCTCATACATGTAGTACGGGTGCCGGAAGGTGGGAGGCACCGCGGAGCTTTCCGCACCTTCCGGCACCCGTCACGTGCAAGGTGCAAAGTGCACTTGCAGGCGAGCACTCTCACTCTCGCAGCTCCCTCGCCGCCTCTGGTCTTGTTCGGCGACGTACAATTTTATTTTAAGGGTGAAGGGAAGGAAAGTGAAATTTAAAAAAAATTATATAAAAAAAGAAATAGATTTTGCAAATAAAAATATGTGTGTAATAAATTCTGCAACATCCTAACTGCCAATTAACCGTTATAATTTTAAGAAAAAAACTTTTCAGTGAGATTAAAGTATTCATTTATTCTTGATTCAAAAGCAAAACAATATGCATTGGATATTTCAAAATGACAAACAAGAGATAATTATTCAGAGAAGCTCGACTGTTTACCAGATACATATAAGTTATAAATAGTACAAAACCATAATTATTATGATGGGCAAAATGAAATGGAATTGTATTTTGAGTTAAAGACTTGAGCTAATTATCAATTTAAATTCAAGTAAACTGGCTATACTTTAAAATGTAACAAGCTGCTTTTCATTTTAAAAATTCAATTAACATAGCAAAACATTGACAATATAATAAAAAAATTTGCTTAAAACATCATATTATGAAGCTATTACTAAAGAACAATTTATCACAAAACATATCACCGCAATACAATTTTTCAAAGACATACTCATATACACGACACACGTTCTACAGAATCCTTTTGTATAGGACGGTTGAGACTTTTGCACTCACATTGGAAAGAGCCTCTAAATGCCCTTCAGGGCTGTCCATCTGGTTCCAGACATCTGCATTCGTGTACTTCGACACGATCCAGGCTAGATTCACATCTTCCTCGACCGATGTGACAACAACTACCGATCGCAAGAAGTTACAGTTGTTGATTCGCAGCTTCAGAGGAAACGTCTGATCACTGTCTGCCGAAGAAAAACACGAAGTGATGAATCCATTTGGGTTCACAATTTCCACCTTCATTAGATTGCCGGCACATCTTGACTGTGACAAAAAAAAATAAAAATAAAATTTGTTTTAAGTTTTAAAGTAAGCAGCTACCTTTGGACATTTGTCCTTTAGATTTGTTGATACACATAGTACACACCTGAATTCTCTTAGAGTCCTGATGGTGAACTTGGCCTTCTCAGCCCCGAGGACCTTCAGAAGTTGTCTGCCGAGCGCAGATTAAAAGCGCAGACACTCTTCTTGAGCGCAAAAGTTGTTGATGGACACAACAGTTAAGGCCTTCCACATCTGCTGCTGTCTGCAGACGGCGGCTGATGGCAGCAGACGGCAGCGGCTCTTTCGAGCTCATGCGAGCAAAGCCGATCGCGGCAGACACACCAGCAATTATGTGGTGGGGGGCCTGGTGCCTTTTTGTTGCGTTGCTTAAAATTTTTAAATTGGCTACCAAATATTCCCCAGAAATAAAATTTATTTAGCAAACAAAAATGCACATGGAAAATATCATTATTGAAAATTTACTTTTATGCAATTACAATGTGTTTTAAGCGGTAAAATTTCAATATCCAGAATAATAATTGTTTAGAGATTTATATTATTATTTTTTTTTTTTATTATTTCAGAGCGTCCAGTATTCAATTATTTTATATATGTATTTATTTTGTAGCGATGCCTGCAAGTTGTGACCTTACAAAGTAGAAGATGCAGACCATTTTGTGGTGAAAAATATCGACAGGTTGCAGATCTAATGTTGTGAAACCAGCGTTCTTCACGAGTTTGTCCAGTTCCTTGTTGAGGATGCAACCGCAAAAGACAGACGGCCAAAGTCTAAAATAAAATTTAAAAGCATGAACTGTAGCTGGAATGTTAGTTTGCAATTTGGGCACAATAGACTACCAGCTTTGACACCCTTCCCTATTAATCTAAATTAATTTCCCAAATTCAACTTTTCTTTTGTAAATGACAATGTGAATATAAGTAAAAATAAATATGGTGATTGGTGATTTGAATTTAAATTCGGTTTTTCCTCGATTTTTTTTTTTTTAGTTTTCATTGTTTCAGAAAAAACAATATACTGCTCTACATGTTTCGGCTGCGAAAAATTTTTTACAACAATTAGTATAAAAATAAATCTTTTTTCAAAAATTATTTTTCTTTCAAATTGACAATTTTCTGTGAAAATAATTTTTGAAAAAAGATTTATTTTTGTACTTATTGTTGTCAAAATGTTTTCACACCTCATGAATTATGGCTGCAGCCCGCAGTCGAAACATGTAGAGCAGGATCTTGTTTTTCCTTAAACAATAAAAACTCACAAAACTCATCGAGGAAGAGCCAAATTTAAATTCAAATCACCATGAATCAACCCTCGATTGTGAACTTCTACTATAAAAATCAACAATTTTAAATTTGGAAGGATAAATATGTTTTAATGGGTTCCTTTTTACTTTCTCTGTTTTTAGAGTCTTGAATGCAAAAAAAAAAAAATGAAGGCAGCTGGGCATTAATGCATCGCATAGCACGTTTATTTTCCTTGGGTTAACTTTCAAGAGCGCGGCAATCTTTCCTAGAATATCAAATAAACTTCAAAGATTCCCAAGTAGCGCGGGCTCGTCCGCGTATTTCGGGGCGGGTGGTCGAAAGTAAGCCCCTGCTTGGTATGTGCGGCGTAGTTTTCAGCCCTCATACTTTAGATCCGCGCGGTGTGTATTATGGAGTTAGTTATACCATATACTACATATAAGCAGAGAACGAGGGAATTAGTTGTCAGGGGTGTCTTTCTCTTTCTCTGGTAAGCGGCGAGTCATAAAATGAAATAAAGCAGCGACTAACGAGAACTTGTAGGACCGCGGGTCGCCAAATGTTGACAAAAAAACTGAGGAATTAATAATTTTAGAAGAATTTTAAACGGGCAATGATGTAATTACCAATTTTTTAGTTACACATTAATATTAATACATTCTGATCAAAATTTATTGTTTGACATTTATTTTGTTATTATTTAATTGTCTAAAATGAATTAAAGTTTCTGAAAGATGCAAAATCGATGAGATTTCATACTATTTTCTAACATTTGCGGATCGTGAAACTTGTTGTTATTAAGTTTCCTTGTCTTTTCTAATTTATAATTTTTCCGACAAAATTTGGTACCCCCGAGTAGGACTTACCGAGACGCGCTCAAAAACCACTGCAGCGCACGTAGCACGCTTCCCCGCTCAGCAGCTACGTGTTCGAGAAAAATGAACTTGCCGCCCTGCGAGCGAGAGGATTGAATTAATTAATTAAAGAGAGATACGAACGAAACTCACGGGCACCAGCACGCGCCGCACCTCGGCCAGGGCGGCGGCCACGTCGTCCACCGAGCACAGCACCAGGGTGCACACGACCGCGTCCACGCTCTCGTCACGCACGCTGCTCATCTCCTCCACTTTGCCCAAGACAAAGCGCTCCAACTTTAAGCTGGGGTGCTTCTGCAGGTTTCGTTCCAACAGTGGGCGGAATGATTCATTCGGGTCCAGCATTATCAGGTGGCTGCCCTTGGGAAGGTGCTCTAAATTTGCACCTTATTAGATTAATTGAATTAATATAATATAATATAATTTGCAACTATAATTTCCTTTCTACGTTTTTAACATTTGATGTTCTTTGAAATACACTGAGGCGCATTTTAAAATTCAAAGTTCAATGTTATTTCGTCGAAAACGTATAATAAAATAAAAGTATAGACCCGGCGTAGACATAAAATTTAAATAATTAAATCAATGAAAATTTATCTATTGGTCCTTTCTGCATACACAAATATTTAAGAAAATGTTTAAAGATAGAAATTGTCCTTGATCAATTTTGTCATAAAACATTAAATGCAATCTCCCATTCAAAGAAATACAAATAAATTTAATGGGGACAAAAAAATTCATATGGATAAATTTTATGATATGATTTATGATTTTTCTGTCATTTTCATTTAAAATTATCTCTACAAATAAAAATTTTGCAAGTATGAGCGATTATTTAAATATAAATTGTCTCATTTTTAGTATAATTCTTACACAATTTTGTTTCAAATATAACAGCAATAATAAAATAAGCTCACCAGACCCACACCCAACTTCCAAAATTCTGAGTTTTCCCTCCTTCTGCAGTTGCGGATCTTTCGATTTGATTTTCCTCAGCTCGGCAAACAAGCGTTCCTTGTGGACTTTTGCCGCTGTGTTGTACAAGGCCATGAACCGGTTGATGAAGTCGGCAAATTTCCTTTCGGGAGACGAATTTAATAATAGACATGATTATTTTCATCGCAAATATAATACTTCTCTTTGTAAACAAATATTTGATTCTTGAATAAGAAGCCCAGCCCAAAGAGCACCACGCAAACTGTGGCGAAAGTAAAGAAGCACATCCTTAGTTTTTGAAAAGTTAAATTTTCTGCTCCGATCCTAACACACTCTTGCTGACAAGCGCAAGAGCACAACAACTATCCAGACGGAGAATGAAAAGAGAGAAATTGGTCCGAGATTGGACCATGAACTTATTTGCATAACAACTTTTAATGCTCTTGATGGAGACTTCGAGATGTTAAACTCTGATTTTTTTTTTATCTCAAACGAGATATTAAATATAATCATCAAACCGACAGAAATTTGAAATTGGAAAACTGAGTTAAGTACATTTAAATATAAAACTTATTTTAGAATAAATGAAATTTTTATCGACCCGAGAATAATTAAGCATAGATTGATCATTTTTTTACTTGAAGTTTAATTTTTTTTTAAATTCCTATACCTTTACTAGAGACGTGTGGCGCAACAAAAACAAAACAAGATAGTAACTAATGTGTACATTTGATTGCCACTGGCAATGCGGCTGGCCTAAAAAGTAAATGTTATTTGTTTATTTTGAGGAATTTTGGTTATTTAGCCGCAGGACAAATATTTTGAATAATTGTATGCCAATTTGAGAGTTTGTCTTTGAAAATATAATTATTTGTGTATCTTCAAAATTGCGTAGTCAATATTACAATGATAGGTGACAAATATTTAAGATCAAATAAAAGTTTAAACTTTAAAAAAAGATACTAAGAAAACAAATCAATAATTTTTTTCAAAAATTGAACGTAGACAATGTATTATTTGTAGCAATGTGGACAAATAAACAGCAATAAAAATAACAAGGGTGCGACTTTAGCAAATAAAAATACTTATTAAAATGTAATAACTAATTTTTATTATTTAAATGAAGTACAAAACAGTACAAAAAAGCTATTTATATAATTGTTTTAGAAACATCAAATAATTTTTATTAAAAAGTTTAAAATAAAAAAATTAAAAATCAATTAAGATTAAATAAAATTTTAAGTGAATTGCATAATACAATAATTTGAAAAAATTCATGATGGCCTTCATAAAACTAACAGTTTTTGTACATTATTATTTTAGTTAAAACTTTCTGCATAAAATTAAATAAAATAATATTAAATTAACAAACTACCCTTTAAGATAAAAGAAAAATATTATTTGTATGGAAGGTTGATGTGAGCAGGATGAGTGGTAGCTTTATTTATAACTTTTCATCTACAGGAAAATAACACAATTTTTTTGCCAAATTTTCAATATTTCAATTAAAATCTCTTAATAGATATTAATTCCATATTAAATGAATGAGGATACATTTAATAATTATTGCGATTGTGTCCAATTAAACACTTGATTCGTGCCGTTTTCCGCATTAAAATAAATTTTCATCGCAGGCCGAGAGACGAGTCGGCAAGTGACGCACGTTGCAGCATAAACAGCTCGCGGGCGGCGGCGGGTTCAACGCAAGGGCAAAAAAGCAGTTCGCTTACCGAGACTGAGCCCGTAATCTCATTTTTCGCGGCGGCGGCGAAAGCCCGAAAGAGCAAAAGCGTCGTTAGCTGCAAAAAAAATACGCGGGGATGATGATTCTGATGCATGGCGCTGTAATTGAGACACGAGAGTGTGTGTGTGTGTGTGTGTGTGTGTGTGCGGCGAGAATAAAGTTGGTGGATAATTCGTATGAATGGGCCCATTCACGTCAGTGACTCTGGCGTGGGCGCTCGAGGTGGCGCCCTGCGCCGAGGGTCCGCCTCCGGGGCGCAAGGGGCCGCCCCCAGCATGAACAGCGTCACCGCGACCCTCGTCTATATCTGCAGCATCCGCACTCTCACCTGACACCAGCATCGCCACCTGACGCACCGCTCGCTCAGCCCAAGCACTCTGACGGTTCTCGTAAGTCCGCCTTTCGCTTCTTAGAAATTCCTCAAAATCCTCCTTTTTTTATTTGATGAAATTTACTTGCATTTACTTGATGCTTGCCTGCAACGAGTCAAATTTTAAACTGCAATTGAACCGAATTAATTTAAAAATTCATTAATTTCATTTTATTGTTAAAATCAGAGAGGTCATTTTTAGCATTATTATAATTTCATTACTTTGCTTATTCAATTTTGAATAGAAAAAAATATATTTAACTTAAAGAAAACTGCTTTTTTTTAGTGGAGGCAAATCTATCCTATATCAATATTGCTATTTTACATTCAATTTTCATAGGACATTTACTAAAGCCCAACAATTAATTTTTCTTAATTATAAGGTAATTCTAACACTTTAAAAAACATTAATTTGCTGTACTTGTTGCTTTAAAAACCATCCAGCAGGTAGCAAATTTCTCCTTGCTTTTCACCTGTAGATCAATTATTGCAATTTTTTAAATCAGTTATTTTACTATTCACCAAACATCCACCATCAAATTGCGTCAGCGAATTATTCCCAATAAATTTTGAGAGTGGGCGAGAAACAATGTGTGAATGAAACCCTCGACCGCAAAGTAAACATTTGCCACCGAAAATTGTCAAGCGGGCGCATTTATCTGCGGTCACCCTTTCTCGGGGAGGGCGATTTTTCAAGCAACGTGAAATTCGGGCGCGGGCAGAAAAATGCAGGCGATTTGTCGCGGCGCTTTTGCGTCACAGGAGGGTAACAAGTGTTTGCCCTGCTTTTCTCCCTCCTTTGAAGTCGCGGGCCGATTCGCCTTAATAGGCCTCGTTTGTCTTGCGGCCAATCTCATTAAGCGTTTTAAATAAATATCCCCTTCTCTGCACGTTTAACGAGCATAAACCTCTTTATTTTCCTCTTTGCGAGAAAGAAAGAGAGACTCCCTTTGTCAGCAGCAAAAGTTTGTTTTCTTTCTCTTTGACGTCGTGTAACTAAGTCGGGCAGGTAAAAGAGCAAACTTCTCTTCGCACTCATCAAGGGTGTGACCGATTTCGCCTAATTGTTTGATTGAATTGCGCGGGAATCGACAAACGTTGCGCTCTGGTGGGAAAAAAATCGGATTCAGGCAACCTGTGCGACGCGCGTGTCCTCGCGGTTGCATAACCACTCGATGCTCTCAATGTCAAATCAATTAGTGCTGATGAAATTTTGCAATTAGCAATTTGGGTTATATAACACGATTGCGTGTTTGGGAGCTTCCAGAGGAACTTTTGTTTTCCTCGTTGAGCCACCTTAATGTATCAAACCATTTTATTAATAATTCAAGATCTGACACCGCTGCGAGCTACGTTTCTCAATATTGAAATTAGAAGTTGATTTTGTGATATTCTGTTGTATTAATAAGAACACAAAATATCAATTAAATTTCATTCCAATTCATATAAATCTTTACCAAGTTCAAATAAATAAATATTAGCCTTTAATTTTGTATGTAATTGTTTAGCAATTAAAAACGTTACAAATTACAAGAAAGTCTTTAAATTAATAAATGTGGATATTTTAGATATTATATTATGAATGTAGAAATAGTATGTGAAAATAGAATGTGGAAATAGTAATATAAAAATACCTTTTTTATTTATATATTTTTTTTATTAAAATAGGTTTTATAAAATATACTAACAAAGAAAATCCTTTGGCTATTTTTCCTACCTTAGCACATGGACCGTGTGTCAGCCTCTGTGGCGGCTTGCTGCGTGCTGTTGGTCTTTCTGGTGCACTCGAGCGAGGCCACGGGACTGAAGGACCAGGCGTGGGAGCGGCCTGGCTGCCACAAAGTTGGTGAGTAAAGTATTTTATTAAAAAGTTCACACCCTCAAATTTTGTTATTGAACAAATTGCAAGATTTTAAGTTTGAATTTGGTTATTTAAATTATTTTGCAAACTTATCAGAACAGTTGATTCTTCAAATTTTTCCATAATAATTTTTATTTTTAGAATAGCAAGAGAAACTTCTTTAAATTCTAGTTTATTTAATTTGTTAAAGAAAATTTATTTAGTCAACATATTTCTCAAATTTATCAACATCAGAAAATTATAAATTCCATCATTTTATTGTGTAGATTAAAAGTTGAAAAAAATTTTTGTTTATTCAACTTTGAAAATTATAAATATAAATGCATTTCCAGAGCCATAAAAGTAAAAATCTTTTCAATAATGCATGATTTCACTCAAAATAAGAAATTTTTTGCCATCAATAAAAATTATTTAATACGTTTCAAACGAAAGAATCTAATTTGTCTTTTTCAAATTAAAAAAAATGATGAACTAAATGTGTGGGTGCGATGACCGTGCGGAATTACTAAAATTGGTCTGGCCAGTTAATGACGCGGGCGGAACAAAAGAACGCGTGCTAATCCGTTGACGACATACCCTTAATAACCGGCCTGTGGTAATGAAATTTTTCCACACATTGAAAGTAACAGAGCGGCGGCGGCGGCGGCTGCAGAGATTAAGCCTGCCGGCTGTGTGAGTTGCATGCTTAACCCTCTGGTCCGTGTTATTATTGTTATGATCATCTTTCTCTCTCTCTCTCGTCGGCGTCGGATGAACAAACAAACAAAAATCAATGCTTCTTCTCGCACACCAGCCGTGCTTTTTTTTAATTTGCATATATGTGTGCATCTGAAAAATGAGCGGGTGAACTGGGGCGTGCACGCCGACTTTCTTTTCTTTCCTTTTTTGACGAAAAGTAATGTGTCTGCCGTTGATTGCAGGCCACACTCGAAAAGTGGCCATCCCTGACTGCGTCGAGTTCTACATCACGACCCACGCCTGTCGCGGATTCTGCGAGTCTTGGTCGGTGCCCTCTGAGATGGATACTGTGGTCGCGAACCCACACCAGGTGGTCACGTCGGTTGGGCAGTGCTGCAACATCATGGAAACTGAAGACGTAAGTGGGAATTTTTTGAACATTCTTATGGCGAAATTTGCTTTTTAAAATAAAATTTACTTGTTTTTATTTTAATTAATCGCTAATGAAATTAATTAAAGTTAATCCAACCTTTAAGTTAACTTGAAATTCCATCTCTCAAGTTACATTTGTATGTTTAATGTGTTGGTTAAAATTATATTCGAAGTAATTATTCGAGGAAAAGGATCAGCAGGACGAAAAATTTGTTTTCAGTATTGAGTTTTAGTTGTATCAAGAAAAAATAAATTTATAGTTTATTGCCACTTTTACATATTTTTGAAAATGTTAACAAGTTTATTCTTATTTATAAACATATGCATGATATTTTAAGAATAAAAGTAATAAAACTGAAATTATTAAAAAATTTATTTTTAATATTACTACGAATAAATTATAAAAACATATAAATATATAATAATATAAATTTTTTAAACAGCATTTTTTAATAAACTGCGTTATTTAGTAAAACTATGCACCCTTTTAAAAAGAAAATAGCAAATAACCACTATTTCAAAACCTTCTAACTTAATTTTTGGAATCTGTCTAATTATTACTTTGTTCATACTGCCCAGAAAACCTAAATCACTTGTAATAAATTTATTAAAGCTACGAATCCTAAGTTTGTGGCCAATCCAAGCAAATTGACGTAAAAATTCATGCAAAGTTTACACAAATCTGGTACAATTTGCTTGTACTTGTGTCTCAATTCAATTATAAATAAAAAGGCCATCTTCCTAAGGAATGACGCAGTTTTGCGCACTAAATCTGTGATTAAATGCTAGAAGTTATGATGAAAATGATAAGTTAATTTTAATATTGAACCTTTTTAATTGATCGTCTGAAAACTATAATGTTTTTTAATTTTGCAAAATTGTTCGTCTTCCTTTTTCTCAGGTGACTGCTGAGGTTTTGTGCAAAGACGGCATCCGGAATCTGGTGTTCAAGTCGGCGAAGAGCTGCTCCTGTTACCACTGCAAAAAGGATTAATTCACACCAATCACCATATCGCTTTCCACATTTTTGGTCTCGATTAACTCATTTCCTTGATCGGCGCTGAATGTCAAAGGCTGGGATTGGTTTTCAGCGCTGCCTCTTAAAAATAATGTTCCTTCCAATTTCAACTATGTGCATTCGGATATTTCTTGATTATCTCCCTACATTTTAGTCAATTATTTTTTAATATGAGAACAACAAAAACAGATCGGAATGAAAAAAAAATAATAAATGAGTTTGAGCGCGATTGGTTTTGTAAAGGCGGAAGGAAAACTTGGTTCTCTGCACTTGGAAGTCGACGAGAATGTTTGACCTGTGTGCCAACTAATGAGGTTGATTTCTCTGGAAAATTGTGTATAAATTTATTAAACTTGTACAATAAAGGCTGACAGAAAAATAAACAAAAAATAATTGCTTTTTATTCTAAATTGTATTCCCTTTTACGAGAGTTTAATATATGAAATATTTGGGGGAAGATTTCAATATTATTTGAAATGTAGCAGGTGGAAATCTTTTTCGTACAGTGTATCTTTGATTCTTTGCACAAGACATTCTGGAAATGAATCTTTAATAATTTATCCACTATGTATATTTTTTTTTAATAAAAACGATTTGGTTGTCTTTAATGTGATTTTTTTCTCATTTGAGGCACCAAATACGAGCTCTTGATTTAACGTGCTTTTTCTCATTGAAAATTCTGTCAGTTCTGTCATAAATTTTGAAAAAAAGTAAGCAATTTATTTTACTTCTATAGAATCTGAAGGGGAAATACTCTCAAAATTAGATTTACGTATTTGTTTTCTTGAAAACGGATTTACCTGTTCTACTAATAAAATTTGAGTCTCAAAAGTCACTTTTATCGGGAAAAAATAACTTTTTCGCAGTTTTAAAGCTTTACACTACAATTATAACTGAAAGAGTTGCGCAATAAAAATGTTGCAACAATAATCTGTATTTCAATATGAAGAAGTTAAATAAAACTGACGTCATAGTGGGGCGATAAATTTTGATGAAAATTTTAAATGATATCATGATGTAATAAAAAATTGTTTTAAAATGCAAGAATTTTGTTTCTTTGCTCAACTTTTGAATGAATAGGATATCGTTCAGTTTTAAAGAAGAATTCAATAATATTCTTCAAATCTGCAATTTTAGCTTCTTTCTGCACGGCTACATTATTATAATTCAGGCGACGTACTATTTTTCATTGGAATAAATTTGCTGTAATTCGATTTCTCCCAAATTGGCCTACATAAAATCTCATCACACCTCCTATTAGGGGGTGTGAGCAAATCAGGCAAAAACACTAGATAAAAAATAACGATTTTTTTCATTAAAAAAAGCACAACATGAAGGTCAAAAGTTTTCAGAGCTTTTAAAGGATAAAGCCTCTTATTTATCCACTAACGCCAAAACGCACTTAGCCTTTCGTGATGGTAAATTTTTGCTTGTGACGGTATAAAATATTTAAAGCAGGAATTTTGTGAATGATCTGGAGAGATTCCACTGGAGAGTAACCTAATTAGTAAAAAAGTAGTGCGTGTCCCGGAAAACTAATTGCAACAGAGCAGAAACCTGATGCCTTTTCCGGGACAAAACAAAAAGCTGCGTGACACGTGACGAGCCAAGGGTGTGACGTGTGAATAAAGCCCCCGAAGAGAGGTTCCCATTCAACTGTCACCGAGTCGCTCTTATTTTCCCTGCCAGCCGTGCAATACCCACTCGCAGCAATTTGCAGCTCTGACGTCACGAAATATTATGTACCTATCACAAGAAGAGTGAAAAGGGGATGATTTGTTTGCGCTTTTCAGCAGGCATCACTCACCCTCTGGTGCGGCCGCAAATCTCACTCGAAATTTAATTTCCTGCAGAGAACAATACACGCCGCGTTTTTTCCGCGTCATTTAATGCAACCTCAGCCTTAAACACGGGCGTGACGTCACTGGTCGGTGCTGCCCATAATAATAAATAAATGGACACGCGCTGGCCGGAAAGGCTGCGGGGCAGCAGAGGTTCACCCCTTTTAGTGCCGCATTTACATGCAAATTCAATTCTGCCGTGTTGTTTAAACACCTAGCTCGGCTTCCGCGAGTCTCTTTTCCAGCGATTATGCAAATTGACGTCGGCGTAAGTAATGGCCGGAGTCAAGAAAGACACTCCGCAAATTGTTACACCGAGTGGTAATGACGCGCACTTTCGAGTGGTGGGTTTTATTTCGTCTCAGGATAGGATGCATTTGGGTCACGACAATTAATTTCTTTTAAGAATATTTGGAAAAATAATTAATTCTCTTTCTAACGCTATGAGTGGGAAATTAAAATTAAATGGTTCAAAACATTATTTTTCTTGCAAGGAAATCGTTTTATAATAAAGTTGTGTATTTATCTATTTATTATTTTGTTCAAAATATCTTTCTATTCTAGCTATGGTCAAGAAAAGTTAGTATTTAAAAAATATTTATGATTATTTGAACAAAATAAAACTCTTTAACTTCTTCTCGGAAGAGATTAAATGATTAAATAGCAAAACAGTAACATTTCCACGTTTTAAATTTCATTAAGTGAAAAACAATTACAATAATAATTAGTATAATTTTTATTTATATCAAATTCTATAACGTATAGGATCCTATTTTATGGAGCTGCTTACATCAGATTGTTAGCAATTCTAGTCACGGACCAATTTCGGTAACGACCTTGCAAACCGAGCTGACTCTTCACAGTTTGCCCCGAACCATCATTTTAGCGAAATCGCACACATTCGACACCAAAAAGTGTTGGCACTTTTTATTCCTCCACTTTGCTGCTCGAGCCGGCAGGTGAAATATGACAAACGCGAGGCCATTACTTATGCACGCCAGCCTCATTACCCGCGGCATTTCACGCGCGTAATCTGCTCAGAATGAAAAACGTCGGCAATAAAAATCCTCGTTCGTTTTGCTGCGATAAAAAGGCGTCGAAATCAGGCAACCCGCGAGGCAGCCGCGACGAGCGGGCGGCCTATCCGGCCAACGTCAGGCGAGATCAAATAATGGATTGGCGTCGCATGACGAGCATGAAATACACTTCTCGCGCGACATCGGAAACTTTCCACACGCAAAACGGCACGGATAATAATTGAGTTAAACACATCCCTTGTTTCTCGTTTAACAAGTTGCTGGGAGACCTTTTGAATAAATTTATCTGATCAATACAAAGAGGAAAACAGGGAAATAAAGTTTTAACATTTGTTTTTTGAAACAACGTCATTTTTTTGTGAGGCTCCAATTTCTTTTACCAGATATTTTTCTCTCTTAATTCAATTAAATGTATCGGTAAAAGTTTTTGCGGGGGCTAAAATCTGATTCTACAATTAATTATTTATCAAATTTCAACTGTTCCTTCCACCTGACCATTGTTTTGACAGCGAAAGAGAGTCTTTGTTCAATAATCCATATCAACAAAAATATTTAGATTATCCTGAAAAAATATTATCAGACGTTTAAATAATTTTGATTATTTAAAAAAAAAATAATCGTTAGACCTCAATATAATAAAATAAAATAAAGTATCATCACAACATGTCCATTGTAAAAATTAATATGGATCTATCGTAAAATTAATTGAATAACTTCAATTTCAATTCACTTTTCTTTTATATGCACACAAGGACTACGTCTGAAAGTGAATATTCTTATAGGATTAGAATAAATATAATTTACGATAATTTAATTTGCTATTGAATTGATTTATTTTTAAGAGAGAAAGTAAGTAGCATTAAGCTTATTAGGCTCACCAAAAAATCAGCAATTTATTAAATTATGTATAAAATTATGTTTTAATATATAAAATAAAAAGTAAAACAATAATAATGTTATAATATAAGTCATTGAACTTCATTGATAAATTTTACGATTCCTTCAATTTAATTGTATTTAGTTGTTAATAAAAAACTGAATATTTGAGCTTAATTAAAATTTAAAAGTTCGATTAGATAAAGTTAATTTGCACCAACCTTTAGAAGCGCAACACGAGTCTACTGAGGTAAGCATAGATTCCGCTCTGAATGATTAATCGCCGTTTCTCCAGTTGTGTGGTCAGTTGCAGGTCACACACAGAGGAGCAGCAGCCGATCAGATTGAGATTCATGGGGCACTTAAAACAGGTGCATTAGCGTTAAAGGGGATATAAAATGACCACAGAACAAGAGGGGGAGCGAGCGCTCGATTGATAATTAACTACGGCGGGCGATCAAGTGCGACAACCACTGAGCGGCCGTGAAGAGATCAATTCCTGAATCGACACCGTGAAAAGGCGATTTTTGTTTCTAATTAAAAACAAAACTCTCGGTTTTCAAACGTCTCGCTGCCCGAAATTCAATTGCAGCTCGTCTGTCCGCAGAAGAGAGGAATTTCAGGCGAAAAAGTTTCGCAAACCTGCCTTATCTTTCTCTCTTTCTGCTTTTAAAAGCTTCCGTTAAGCAAATGTATATAAAACCAACTCTAACCTGGCTCTTAAAATTCACCTTATCCGCCCACCGGCTCTCTCGACGCCGAGGGTAATTAAATTTCTGCATTTGCGTTAAGAGGGATGTGGCGCAGGGGTTGGTTGATCTACCTCTCTTTTATGTTCTCTCGCCGCGTGGCAATGCCCTCGTCCAGCCAACCCACTTAATTATTTTATGGTAACCGTTCTAAAACAATTTTTGGTAAAAGTTCTGCATTGCGGAAAATAATTAAAAAAAAAAATGTTTATTATGTAAAACTGACCTTCAAAATTTTTTAATTGCATAAAAAAATCACCCTTAACATCGCATTTTGACACCAGAATGTAAATATAGCCACCGCCCAGCGTCTAATTTCATAAAAAATTAACTGCCACTCAACGGGAACTGCGAGGATCGAGTTTCATTTCCTTGCTAAATTATGGATTGTCTCTAATTTTTCACATCCTCCAACACACCAAAACTCTCATTTGGAGAGGAAAGTTAAAATTTTTGCTTAATATTATGCAACAAAACATTCTAGATCTCCAGAAAATTTGCAGCTTCAAAATTTGAAGGAAAAACTGGAGAAGATCACATTTATTGAAAAGTTTTATTAGCTTTTTGGGTTTAAAATAAGTTTTTTTAAACTTTCTAAATTTAGTGCAAAAAATAAAGTTTTAATTGATATTCCAAATTAGTTTCCTTGTAATTTTGAAAACAAAAGGGCTTTTAGAATAAAAAATTCACAAAACCAAATTTTTTTCAAAAACAAGCCTATATCACTCTTTGTTGCATTTTTCTTCCAAATGCAGGAAACCATTGTTCAATATTCTTTTTTAAACCATCAAAATTTTTAGATATACCTCTAATAATATTGTAAGTATAAAGTATTGCTTTCAACTCTTTCTTAGGAATTCATGATTATAAAAATGAGCAAAAATTCAGTTTCGTTTTCTGATTTAGCAAATGCTTTGCTGTTTTATTGAATTGGCCACACATGTAACTTAAAAACTATTTAATAATTTGTTTTCACTAGCTACATATTTTTATTTTACAATTTTCACAATATTCAATTTCCTCAAATTCAAGATCAGTTTCTTCCTGAGCGTTGTCCTCTGTAGCGAAGGCCCTCGCAGCTGGCCTCGCTGGACTTGCAGACGGCGCAGCGACAAGACACCGCCTCGTAATAGATGTACCTCTCCGTCCCCTGCTGGGCGCCGGGGTCGCAGTTTTTCAACTCGACGGCCATCGGCTTGCGTTCGTCGTGCATGCAAACTGGGTGGAAGGAACGTTTGTAGGGAAACCGCCAGTCTGAAATCTGCAACAACAAGAAAAAATCGTGAAAATTTTACCGAAATTCCACGCAGCGCCCCGGACAAAATAAAAATCCAACCTGTTGATTTTGCCGGCGGCGCGATCCACCCCCTTTAAGCAATATCTTGCAGCTCGGCATTTCGGAACTAATTAAAAGCGGCTGTACAAAATAATATTCTCGCCCACGGAATGTTTGCTGCTAAGTTTTCAAGACTGACCTCAGCAGCCCAAAATCAATTTTCATTATGTGGCAAAACCGCAGCAAAATTAAAATTGCCGAGAAATAAATCCAAAGAGTCTGAAAGCATTCACAATTTCTTTGCGAACCGATGTAAATTTTTTAATTGGAGCTGAGATTAATTTCCAATTTTGGGAGTGGAAGCTAATTCTGTTTTTCTTATCCTTAATGCCAACAGACAAAATGGAAATTTTCTATTAAAAATCAATTAAAAATCTTTTAAATCATAACAAAAAGTCTGTCAAAATTTCAATTTTATTTAATTGTTATTATTTCAAATCATTTAATTGCATAATATGATTAAAGATTAAAAAAATGAACAATTTCTGGATTTGAATTATAATTATTTGACTTGCAATTAGTGGCAAAACAATAAAAATTAGTTTTCAAAAAAAAAATGGCACTTCTTTAAAGAAAAAAATCAGTCTTTTAAGTTAAGTTTCCAATTTTCTTCATGAAGTGCAATTTATTTTAAATTTGATATAAAATTTGTACTGAAACTCTACTGACCTCGTTGGAATCGCAGCGGCCCCAGCAGGACATGACGTTGACCACGTCCCAGCAAGTGCGTCCAGCAGGGTCGGACTGCATGACCTTGTAACTGTAGAGCCGTCGGTGGCAGCCGAGGGTGTGGGCCATGTCGATTTGCGCCATTTCAGACAGGATGGGGTTCAACTCGAGCTCGGCCAGCCCGCCCGACGCCAACAGCAACCCGCAAAGCAGAGCAGCGATCATGGCAGCGTCTGCCGGAAAATAATGGAGAGTTATTATATAAGTCGGAAAGAGGACAAGAAAGGGGTAAATTGAGAGAAATTGCGTTAGTGGCACCGCAGCGATTTGTTGCGGTCAACCCTTTAAATGCAATTATCTAATAGAGGGGATGGATATAGGCACCACAGGTGATTTCCCTTGTGGTCTCCAGCGAACCCGATTCAGAAATTTTGTACAGGCTGCCGAGAAAAATAGATAAAAAAAATCAAAGATTAAAACAATGGTATTTTTTTCTGTTCCAAAAAAATACCAAAATTTAAGATACATATATTATAATTAATTGGAACTTTCAGAATTTTTTAGTTCGCCTAAATAATCATCAATCTTTTTTGGAGAAAGATGGCAATTTTCAAGAAATATCTTCAATAAAAATATCAAATGTTCACTATAAAAAAGATTGTGCCCAGAGTGAGAAAAACTCTCACAGATTTTCAGTGTTTTCGGGGTTCTCTCTGCAAAAGTCAAAGTGCAAATCGGAGATTATGAGACGCAATAGGGGCTGCGATACTCACCTGGAGTGTGGACGCGGAGATAAGAGAGCGTCGTCGGCGGAAACTCGCCCTTTGGCCCACCTGGTGCTCGCTGATAACATCCTCGGGGGCGGAGACTGAGGGTGGCAGGGCGCGTGCCCTCGCGAGGCGCCGGCACGGGGCGTCACCATCCCTGCTTCATTCATGAATTCGCGCGCTCATTCACGAGAGCACCGCCGGGGGGTGGTTGACCGACGTATTTGTGACGTTGGGGCGGTTTTCGCCCGATTTCTCCCGGGGGCGGCCGACGGTGGGGAGAAAATTTTCACTTTGACGTAACGAAAGGGTTGAATGGAGAAAAAGTAATTTAATTTTTTTATTTACTTTGATGAATGGCCGCGCGCTTTGCCATTCATGCTGGGATTTCGAGACTTGACTCACGGGGATTAGTTGCTGGAAATTTACGTTTCGCAATATTTAAGAGTGCTTTTTTCTGTCAGCTTTGTGATCAAACAAAAGGCAAAGCATTGCAATTGTGATAAAATATATGAGCTCTGAACTCTGTTGCAGGCTTGGGAAAATGCAAAAGATGTAACTTAAAAAAGAGGTTTAAAAATAAACGAGCAATGTTAATCCTGTTTTAGGCTTTTCAGCTGAAAATTAAAATCTACAAAAGAAAGTTGTTTGAAACGAAAATAGTAAGCTTAATAATTGTAAACTAGAAAAAGAATAGAGTAAATTTTATTTCATGTGCATTTTAATTTAATTGATGTCAACAGATCCCACAAGCAATTATCCGCACGCGTAGTAATTTTATTTCTTTTATGTCATCACTATATTTTTTCTGTTTGAAAAAAAATATTATTGATTCTTGTATACTTCACATTTCATACGCTGTTTTATTTTATTTTTTCTTATGCAGATCCATTAGCCAATTCGCCCCTTCCTATTTATGCAACAACTTGAGCTGCCACGATTTGCTTGGCTCCGCATCAAACGAAAGGCCTTGGATGGACAAAGCAAGAATACATATATGTGTGTATATCTGTGTGACCTGTCGAGGTGACCCGTGACCTCTCAACCCGTGCAATGTCCGCGGCACAACGCACGACACTTGATATCGCTCGGCTCGAAAGAGATGATCTGAAAGAAATCATATAATTCTCGGCGCCTGCGATGCTGTGTGCAAAAACATAAAAAGGGCAGATGACAAAACATTTATCTTACGACTTCCTACTTTTTGTGTGCTTTATTATGCATTGAGTTGAGTTGACGAACTAGGAAATGAGAAGAAAAGAAACGTAGTTTAATTTGATTTGGCATTGGGAATTTTTTATTTTAAAATGTCACAAAAATTTACATTTTATTTTACGTAATTTACAAATATATAAAAAAATATCTCGCTTTTTCTGATTTCTGGATTACAAGCAATGTTGGCACTTTGTTTTCTAAAAAAATCACAAATTTTTGAATTCCTCCTATTCTTCTTACAACGGCAAGATGGAAATTTAATTGCCACCTGATTATCTCGTCTGATGCGTAGTTGATAAATTTAGCTGCTACCTCTTTTTATTATATAATTCAAATTACAATCCAAGAAATTAGTTTGCTCTTCTTTTGATTTGCGTCCTATTTATAGCTAGGCAGACGATCAATTGTGTGTCGATACAATTCAATTAAAATGAATTACACATTCTCAATTTCTAGGTCAATTCGCCGTTTTATCACAGTCTTTAGATTTATCATTTATCACTATTACATTAATCCATCTGGATTGTTCATGACTATCCGTGGAAGAAAATAAAAATATTTAATATTTACAATAAAATTAAAACTACACGCGATTCTGAGAGAGAAAATCGCTTGAGCAAAAGACCCGTAACATCAGCTAAACCAATTTTATAATTATTGCTAGACTGGTGAAAAAATAATCAATTAGCTTTTCTTTTTAGTGAGCTAAAAACTCATTGTTACAATGGGTTTTTATTAATTTGTATCACTGTGATCAAAAATTTGAAACTGAAAGCACTCTGTTGCCTTTTGCGCACTTGAACTTTAACTATTTTGAGACTTTTATAATTTGATTGTGCTTTTAGCAATATTTTAATAGAAATTTAAGAATTTTACCAATTTTTTCTCTATTTAAGAGTCTTATTTGATATTTTTATTTCAAAATTTGAGCCTAAAAAGTCTTCTTCACCAGTATTCAATTATTGCTTTTGAAAGTGATTTGGAAGGTTGGCAGACCTTACAGGATGGCGCTCTCGACCTCTCTGATGGTGAGGCGTCCAAGGGTGCCCAGAATCGTGTTGCCGGCGGACATGACGATGTTCCTGGCGACCTCTTCGCCCTCCTCGCCGTTGACCGAAGGCATGTCGCGTTCGGCGCGGGCCAGCCGCAAGTTCATGAAGTGCGACAGGGGCATCGCGGCCGAGGCCGCCGCGCCGAAAGGAATTCTTCGGATCTCCTCGAAGAACTCGGAGGCGGACAAGTGGTCGGAGGCAGGCGCCTCCACCGCCCCCGCTGCACGCATCACCCAAGTGACGGCCGCGAAGGTGGCAGCGTTCGTTGGGAACGAACGGATCATCGTCGAGCTGAGGCCGCGGGACAAAAAACGCAGACCCTCGTCCCGGTAGCTCACTTTGAAACAGTCCACCATGCCCTTGTACCTGAAACAAAAACAAAAATTTTAAATTTAAAACGAAGAAATGATACTAAAAGTTAAATTATTTTATTGCATATTTGATGCAAGTATTATTTGATCTCAAAACATGTCCTAGTTTTTATTTAAATTTTGCTGAAGTTGCTTTTTTTCCAAATATCTTGTGTTTTTGTTTGTTTTTTTATTCTAGACATAGTTAAATAAATTTTGTAAATTTTAATTTTATTTTTGTCAAAAAGTAATGACAGTATTGATTTTAATGGGCATTATTAATAAAGTTATTATTATTTTTTTTTTAATAAAAATAATTTAAATTGTAATGTAAGTTTCTAAGTTTTGTCTGTCAAAGAAAATAATAAAAAAATTAATGTTGCGCTTTATTTTTTGAAATTATGAACTTAAAAGTTTCTTTTATGTTATGATGATTTTTTTTAATACTCATTATTGTAGATTAATAGCCCTTGACATTTTTATTGTGAAAATTAGGTCAAATTAGGATTGGTTCAGTTTTATTAAAATCTGGGTTAAATCGTATAAACCTGAAAAGCTCAATTCTTATCACAATTTTAAACTTGAAAAAGTTCTAAATAGGACTTCCTTTTCCTCCGCAAGTCTGATTGTGGTTTCTAAATTTTTTTTAACTTCTCGCAATCAAGCTTTTTGCTGGTCGAGTTTAAAGACTTTACACAAAATATGAGATTAACTTTACGCAATGTGCTGGTAATCCCATTTTGCTCAAGGCTATACATTTTACATTATTACCGAACACAAGTCCAAAGTTTAAAAATTATTTATATAATTACACGTCATGTAAGACAAGACGGTTGAGACGACTTGAGATATAAGTCTCGAATATATAAAAAAGAACAATGACTAAAAGATGAAAGTTAAAATTCCCCAGCTAGCCCAAGAGGAAAAGTGGCTTTTTGAAAGTCTCAAAGGCTCGTTCTAATCGAGTCTTTCCCTCTCATTCGTCGGAAAAGCGAGTTAAAAGTTTTAATAGAATTTTACTTGTTGTCAGCCTGCAGGCGCGACTTGATGACGTCAAAGGGGTAGCACGCGACCCACGAAATGCAGCCGGCGGTGCCGCCGGCGAAGAGGATGGCCGCTGTGCCGAGCGTGTGCGAACCGTCGTCGCCAGCCATGGCCCTGGCGATCGCCTCGTAGGACAGGAAGTAGGTGCTGAAGCCGGGCACGTCGCGGTAAACCGTGATCAGTTGACCGCGGAACACGCCGCGCCACCCCTCGCGGTGGAACACGTCTCGCAGGCAGTGCAGCGGGTTGCGGTACTTGGGACGGTCGCCCTGCTGAATCTGCAAATTTACGAAGCTCACAATTTTATTTAATGGAGAAGAGAGTTCCGAATTCTTGGCATTTGATGAAATTGTACACATTATTAATCTTCTTAAGTAAAAAATTTACTTCGCTTTAAAGAGAGCAAGCGTAAAGCCAAATAAACGTTCCAATTTTTTTTTTTTTAATCTAGATAGTCACCAAAGTCATAAAAAGAAACCAAAATTTCCTAGCTAAAAATCCAAACCTGTGAAAGGGCTTTTCATTCAGAGTGGCAAAAAAATAAAGTAAAATAGGTAAGGATTAAAATAAATTTCACTAACTCATTTAATTTGTGATATAATTTTTAATTTTTTTTATTTGTTTGAATTAAAATCATTTTTAGCTAATATTTTAATATCTCAGCTCTCGGGTTCAAAATAAATATTTGCATCTAAAATTTTGATAAGAAACTTGCCTGCATTTTGGTTTTGGCCAGTTCGAGCGGACTGGCCACCCAACTCTGCGAAAGTCCGGCCGCGGCGCCCGCGAAGAAATGTGACTTGAGCGAGTCGGGCTCGGAGAGGCGTCGCTGGATGTTGCCCTGCACGCCGAAAATGATGGCGTTGACGAAGGCGACCCCCGCCAGAGGGGATGACATCCCTTTGTAAAGACCTCTTACCTAAAATCATGCATTACCAGGATTTGAAAATTTGTGTTAATAAATTTCCAAAAGTTAATATTATTATTACTTAATATTTATAACATACCATAAAATTTTTTTTCGAAATTTTGTATATACGGATAAGAATAAAAATTGAAAAGAAAATTTTAAGATGCCATTTGGTTTTATTCTTTTTTAATTGCATTTGGCTGGTATTTGGGTTATATCATGCTTTTTTTATAGAAACTTTGATAAGAATGAGCATAGAAAATAGTGGGGGAGAAATGTTACATAATATATTAATTTAAATGTTAAAAGAATTTATATATGTGTGTAGAGTTGAGAATTTATAAGTGAGAATAAGACAACCCGTGGAAAACAAAATCTCAACTGGGAAATAAAAAATTTTACTCGCGTTTCCTTTATCAGAAATGCTAAAGAAATTTTAGAAATTGAAAAGCTGTAATATAGAAAGTATTTATTTGTTATAAGTACAATTAAAAATACTTTTCATTGAAATCTCACGTCCTTCTCAACCAGTAATTTCATTCGATTAATGATAAATTACAGCAACATAACAATTTATTCCGCAATTGGTAGCGGCAACATTGAAGATTAAATTATCGGCTTAGGAGTGTAAAATGTCTGCAGAAATGCACTGCTTGAAATTCATTCCAACCAAACGTTGTGGAATATCCTTAAGACTTTAATTATCGCTCTCTGCATGCAAAGGGCATGGTAATTTATTTGAAATTATGCATCTCGCGAGAGTTAACCCAATCGGAGTTGGAGCAGTTCTGAAACATTAAAACTGGAGAGGCTCGTCGCCTCGGCGGTCACGCCACTCATAAAATTCCACACTCGAAGGCACAAAACAGGTTTGCAGCTCAAATCAAACGTGGACACATCGCAGATTAGGAGAAATCCGGTTTTTGTTTTATAATGTATACAAAACCTTAATGAGAAGCAGAGGGCTCGCAAAAATTGCAAAAAACTGATGTCGAAATCAAAAGATCAAGCGACAAAGTTTTTTATTCACGAAAACATTCCTTATTTGGGTTTGGATTGAACTTTGTCTCTCGCATTTTGATTATTTTGACATTTTTTTAAGCAAATCTAAATAAAAAGTTGTTTTATTTGGTCTCACCGATTCCTTTTCAACGATTGTCTTGAAGCAGTGAAACGTTCCCCTGTAAACAGGATTGCGAAAATCCTGCGTCTGGAGGCGCACCTGGACAATTCAATAGAAAATAAATTGTGAATTAAAATATAAAATCAATAAATCATGGTGAATTGTGAAGCCCACCTTGATTGTGTCCAACGGGTGTCCGACAAGCACACCGGAGCATCCTGTGAATGGCGCAAACAAGGAAAATGTGGTCAAATATCGATTGGATCTCTTATGTGTGATTAAATTTTGTGCGCAGTTTTGCAGTTTAGCCCTGGGGCGCGTAATTTACATGAGTAAACATTGAATGAAAACGTAAGCCAGAGGAAAATTCCCGTGCGTAAAACAATTAGGCAGAGCTGAACTGAGTGCACTTTAATAATTTATGGAGGAAAATTGCTACCAACACACTAAAAGGTTCAAACAAAAAGTAAAACGCAAAAGACCGTGGAATCTTCATCTGGTACAAGATTTAATGTGAAATTTACAACGCAGTTCTGTTGGTTGCAGAAAAAAAATTGAGCAATTTGAAAAACCTTACTAAGAATTTCCCAAGCCAAAATGATTTCCTCGCATTTTTATTTTAATCCCACTTTATTAGATGGGACACGGGGTGCGAATTGCATTTATGTTTTGCATTCATAAATTCTTCAGAAATTCACTCTACGTTGAATTAACATTTATTTAAAAAAAAATCTGAATTTAATTCCTTCTGTAGCAAGACAAGGGGAAGATAAAAAAAATGATATTGATTAATTTTTTCCCGTGCCTTTTTTAAAAGAAATATGTTTTGCAAATTTCAGTCCAACGACAAATTTATGGTCCTGGCCTTTAACAAATGCTAATCTAAAGTGGACTACAATGTCCAAAATTAGAAAGACAACTTCAGAGTTTTATTTCAAGCATAATAAATGGAATTTGACTGTCGAAATTACACTTCAAGGCCTTAATAGTTGTTTTGGTCCGACAAGAATTATTAAATTAGCCAGTCTTGAGAGCTGTAAAAGCAGAAACTCTCCGCATAATTACACAGATTTTTTCATCTTGTCGCACAATTAAGGCAAAAATTCCCTCTCTCGCTTGCCTCGTTTTCATGCAATTACTGGTGAAGAAATCGGCAAAGGAAGCAGCACGAAACTTCATATTATCTCCTTCGGCCCAAGATATTCCTGTTCTGCGTACAAAACGCTTCTCATCCAATATTAAGTTTTGCAAACGGAGAGCGCGCAGATTTCGCCCCGAGGCTTTCCCAAGCTAAAATTACGCCTCAATTTCTATGATGCGCCTCTGCCTGACCAAATTTGGTTCCGGAATCACTACTCTTGCAGTAAAATTAAATTTCGATTTGAATAAAGTCTAAAATAAAAATCAAACTGCGTTTTTATCAATTGATTATTATTATTTTTTTTTTTTTAAATTTTGTGATCTGATTTTTATTAATGGGGGCCGATGGATGATTCATCTTGTTGGGACACTTAAATGCAAGAAGTGGCGTAGTAGGAATGGCATTGAAATAGAAAAAAAAACCCGCGCGATGTGTAGATTTTGAATGACGTACATGCATGGAAAGGTGAAATTTGGCGCTATATTGAATCGGAGTGGTTCGGACTGGTTTTATTTGCATCTTTGGCCATCAAACCATCATTATAAGCCGATTAAATACAGTTGATATAAATATGCAATGACATCTAAAACTCACCTATAGTTTAGATTTGGTTTTAGTCTTAAATTTTGCGTGTAAATAAGGCCAAAAGAATTTGTTAAAGGATCTTAGAACTTGAATACTTAATACTTTCTATGTACCATAAACTGTAAATAATATTTTTAATAAAACTGCGACTCCTTTAACGGGAATAGTTTTAAATTATTATACATTATTTAATTTATTCTTCTCATTCAAATACAAATTTGTAAAAACATTTTGAAAAAATTGAAGTGACCAGCCAGATTTGTTAAACATTTTTGATATCAATATAAACACAGTATCACCATTTTTGATCAGAAACACATTTTTTAATATAAAATCAAAGTTTTTATTTAATTTAAAAAATAAAATTTTTAAATATATCATAGGGTTACCAACTCCCTAATGCCATTATATTTACCTTCAAATTATGTAATCAACTTTAACTAAAATCATAAACAAATTAAAAATAAGTTGTGTGCAATTATCTAAATTAGAATCGAATAGTAAAGGAATCGCCTTGTATAACTTCTAATAGCATTAAAAGAGGTTTTGCTTTATTTTAATGTATTATTAAATTTTTTAATATTTTTAGATTTTTGTAAATTTTTTTTTAAGAAAAAAAATACAAATAGCTGTCATTGCTGATGAAATTGATCTGACTGATTGCCGCAGACCGAATCGCGAGTGCTTACATTTAAATTATCGCCGTGCCCCGCATTGAACCATATATTTATCGCGCGCGGCGCTTTCTTGCCAATGCCGCTGTATTTGTGCCTGCGAGGCTCAGTCAGCGCGTGAAAAAGAGAAGCGGTTGCGATCGCGGGCGCACTTTTAAGGAAACAACGCTACTTTTAGCTTCTTTTATAACAGACATTTCAATCAGATCGATCCAGTTAATTCCATCAAACTAAATTTGAGTAAAAAGTTTATTGAAACTCACCTCCGACACATCCTGCAAAGAAGTCGAGAGCCATTTGTATAATTGGTGCAAAAATATGGAGGACGAGAAAAACCAAATCTCCAGCAGACACGTGATCCGAAACGGGGCAATCTCTTCAGAGAGGCGTGCGAATATCCGTGCAACGTATCCGAAATCCAACCTTCAACAAAAATAACAACGAAAAAATGAATTGAAATTTGCATAAATATTTACAAAAGCTTGTCTCTAAAATGTTTTTAATTTAAAAATTTCTTTTAGATTTATACACTTCAAAAGGTCTTACGATTAAGTCTAAAGGGAAACCGCACAAAGAAAACTCACTTTCATTCTTGTTGGCTAATCGGCTGTGGTTTTTCTGGCGTCTGGCTGAAATTTGCCAAACACACTTGATGTCACTCTGGGTGAGGACCTGCGGCTTCCTCGGACGCAGGATGTGGATTGCTGAGCTCCCAAATGACGACTTTGATGCGACTGCCGCCGAGCCGGTCCACCTCTCAGGGTAATATGTATGAGTCGAGCTGGTCAGCAGCGGTGGAAGGGCGGCGACGCTTCCACTTCTCCACTCGCTCGCGTTTATCTGCAGTCTCTGCAGAGGATCACTTTGGTGCCTGACCTTTTTGCCGCTCCGCAACTCTGCTCTGACGCTGACCTTGGACCCCCGTGCGTCCGACTGCTCCACTCAAATTCGCATCAACCAGAAATCTGATCAGTGAGCACCAGCTATATATATTTTACTTCTAGAATTGTTTCCATGAAAAACATATTCTTTTTTAGTTCAATTCTAAAATAAAAAACGATTTGAGCAATGAACCAATCCATTTGGAAAAATTATAATACAATAATAGCTAATACATTAATTTAAATTTAATCTATAAAAAAATACTGCTAATAGCAGGGAATTTTGTTTGAATGTAAAACCCAATGAAAGAAATTCAATGATTCAAACGAATCTCGTAACATCCCCTAATATATTGCGTTCAATTTATTCAACTTTTAAGAAAGTCTGAGACAAACCTATAATTCAAATTGCTCCCAGGTGTGCAAGTGGCTCTCTTTTTGTATAGCAAGTTTTCCGTGTGCAATTTTGAATAATTATCTCTCTGCGTCTGTTAAATTACGTTGCCCTCAGGGATCACCAAGACATCAAGAGTTCTTTAATATTTTCAGTAATTAAAATTGTAGAAGATTAATGTAATTAATTTATCAAATCTATTGTAAGAAATATGAATGGCACTAACAATATTTTTTAAATTTATTTTGTCACTTAGAGTCGATAATATGTATTTCAAACTTTTTCCATAAATATCAATTTTTTTTTAAGGGAAGTTAAAAATCTTGAGGATTTTAATAAATTCAATTTTAATTTAGCAGGTTATATGCATATTTTATTTATTAATGTAATGCACACCAAGAATCCAAGCTAATCAATTTGCATCTTTTAGTATATAATTCATTGCAATCAAATTTTTATTTAGTGTTTTTTTTTAATTAAGAGGTTTCCTCATAATTTTTGTTTATATTAATTTTGAACAAGCAAATAAGTAGTGTAAAAATCTAAAAACGACTTTAGTTTCTATATTTCAAATAAAACCTGTAACTCTTTGTTATTTCATAATAATACTGGCTGATCATTAATTTTTAATTCAAAAATCCTCATTTCAACTTGAGGCAGGCGCATTAAAATATATATGATTTTCTCTTTGACATTGAGGAAAATGTAATGACTGACAAGCCCCCTACTATAATTTTAGCCAGGTGTTCCCTTTTTATTTTGTGTTTTCCTGGTACTTATATTCATAAACCGAGTGTATTTTGCGTGGCAAAAATTAAAATTGCCATCGGCGATCATGGAATACAAGGATTTAGGGCCAAAATAATTTGCTTTTTCTTCAATGAAGTTACAAAAAAATTGTTAAAGGAAATGATTTTCAAAGTGCTTCAGAATGACAAAATTCGTTTCCAAATTATTTATATTGAGAGCGTTTGTTTTGGTCCATTTGAAACGTAAATAATAAATACGGCACAAAAAGTCAACTTTCCAGTGATTGTCTGCGTTTTGTTTTTTATTAATTCCATTGTGTTTCGTCATTGCTTTTGATGATGCTCATATAAATACACTCTCATCTCACGCGATCAGCAGATGAAAGACGCAATTCAGTCGAATCCGTATTCAGAGCACGTGATTGAACTTCGATCCTAAATATGACTTTTTTTACACACTTCACTCCATTCAGGAGCATGTGTCCTTAACATGTCGCTTAAGTAATGTACATTTCATTCATTTAGTATTTTTTCAATTTATTCGGCTGAATGAATCTCACCGACGGCTGTCTGATAATTTTAAAATTCATTCATGGCCCGCGAATTTCTTCCTCAAGATAAAGGAGTGCCCCTGACCACGTTGATGAAACATCATTAGGACTTTTTTTACTCTGCAGTCCTAAACAAAGTCCCCGATGGTGGATTGTGTCTGGCGGCCTTGTTTTAAATGACACTCACGTTCCAAACCAGTTTCGACCGCATGTGCGGAAATAAATGCCCATAGAAAAGTCGGATTCTGCTGAATTAGTTTATTTCAAGAGTAGAGTTCGTTGTGTTCATAAATCAATTTATCCTTGGGCCACTTGAATTAATTTATTATTAAACTCTTTCCCTCCGATAATAAAAACATTTCAACCTCATTCCTATCATACGTCAAGTTTGGCGAGTGGTTCACGTTTTTCATCTCAAAAAGATAGCGTGAGCGCAAAAGAAGAGTTGACTGTGATGACCCGTGCAACCTCTGATAAATTATTTTCCTTATCAGTTTTATATCCTACACGAAAAGCAGTGATTGACGCAAAAAATTATTTGCTCAACGCTTTGGAGCCAATGGTCAATATGCGATTGTATTTTGGTGTCATCATTTGCGTAACACGCTGTAAAATTTTTTATCTTTTATTAATAATATTTAAAACTAATTATTTATTTTTGTAATCAAATATAATAATCCACATTCTTGGTACTCATTATGTAATTTTAAAAATTTGATAATATTTAATAAAAAAAAAATTGTTTTTTGTTTGTTTATGTTACAAAAATTTTACAAAACGAGGAATGCAATGTTTTGGAGAAAAACATTATATATTATTGAACAAAAGGCAATTTAAAATTTATAGAAATTTAATTGATGCCAGTTCTTTTAGTTGCAAATTTTGAAATTATTATCACGTTGCAAATAAAACATTAGCCACAGTAGTACAATTGCATTAATAATTATCAGATATTGCAGGTATTTAACCAATAAAAATTAAAAATAAACTTCAACTGCAAATAATAAAAAATAGCGGAAGTAGAAATAAAAAAAACTGGTAAGAGTACAGCCAAGGACCGCATTGGCAGCGCTGCTCAAGCCTTCGTGTTCGACGAGGGGTCCGTCCACAGCACGCCGCGGCGCCGCCGACACCATTGTCGGGGCGCATGTGCCAGCGGGACTAAATTTACGCCGGGTCGGGAATATCGACCCGACAACGACAGTCCGTCGCAGCAAAATAAACCCCAGCTGAGAGTCGTTTCGTCACCCGACCCGACTACCATGTTAAATCATAATTGAAATTTGCCTTCGTCCAAAGGATGATGAACGGCTCCGAACTGGTTTCGGCGGTCGAAGCGGCCACCTCGTTGTCCTCACTGGCGCTGCCCACCTCCGATATGGCCAAGTCGCCGTCCAACAGCGAGTTCTTAGGCGATGAGGAGGCCCGGTCTACATGTCCACTTCTCACGCCGTCACCTCCTGCAAGTAATATAAATAATATTAGAATCGCATCAAATTTTGTATTTTATTTAAAAAGTTTTTAGTTTCATTTTTAAGATTTAATATTATTGTTTAGTATAAAATTTCACAATTTATTTTAAATTAAGCAATTTATTTCAATTAAGTTTCAGGATTTAAATTTGCACAGCAAGGTTATTTTCAAATATCTTTATAATATTATGTGTAGCGATGTGTAGTTTCATGTATCATGATTCTTCTAACTGAAACTAGATTTCTGCCGCAGCGTTCACCCTAAAATAAATTTCATTTAACTTCTCATAGGATTATAAATAGTTGTTCTTGAATTGTTGTAATTTATGTATGGGCTAACTCGTAAAACTAATAAACTATAAATTAATGCAATAGCAATCATCTAAGTACGTGCATAATTTTCAATTCATTTGTTTCAGTTGCAAACGAGCAGTACACGCCGGAAAACGAGACCACGTTCTCTCTGATTGATGACGGGAATGACGAAATCACCCACTTTCAGTCACCCCTTGAAGGTAAAATATCCTCATTATCCCCAAAATCTTCTTCACGCCAAAGGAAATACAACGTCTAAGCCCAAGCCCAAAAGGAGTTCATTTTCAAAAATCTACTTGTAAAATGACTTTTTATAATTAAGCAGGCAAAACTTATGTAGGACTGCAATTCGATCAATAAAACAACGTTTTTTTTTTTTGCCATAATATATACCACTTGACAAAGAAAAAAAAATATTTTCAAAGTTGTAGGTGTCCTCAATTTCCTCTTTTTTTAATTTTTAATTAATAATATTTTAACAATTTATCTGTACTAAATTGTTCATTTAGAGTAAAAAAAAATGTACTAAATTGCCATGCCCAACAATACAAGAGTATCAATAATAATTGAACGCATTAGGTATTTATTTACAAAAGTAATTAGTTTAAAGAAAAACTTTCTCTAACTGTAAGCAAATTTTAAAATTCACTAAAAAAATCTCTTCTTTATTTACATCTGCTACAATATTTATTTGAATTTAATTCTATTTTGCGCGATTTGCAGTCAAATGCAAATAAAAATAGTATCTTGTTTTGCAAGAACTGAAGTAAAACTAACGCTAAAAAGCTTGTGTATGCAACATATTGGCACGCGTGTAGTGCAGGTTGCCATCATTTAGTTATACCGTCACTACCAGTTGTCTATTACTCGCTAACAAGTTTCCTAAAAAAAATTCTAATTATTTTTATTTAGTGATAGGTATGATTTAAATAAAAAGAAATGCTAGGTTTATAAATTTCTTATTTTTACCAAACTTTGAATCAAGACAATTTTTAATTATTTTCATAACTTAATAATTCAAATTTATTCAAATTTGAAATTATAGTTGTTTTTAAACATGAACCATTTGAATTTTACCAATTTTCAAGTGTTTCTTTTTGTATTTTGTCAGGTGCCAAATTCAGCGCGCCCCGGCAGAGCGTGCAGAGCGAGGGAAGCACCAGTTCCGGCAGCTCAGGCCGCGAGCCGACCGCGTGCGTCCAACTGCTCGGTCCTCACCACAACTACCAGCACATCTACATGACCAGCGACGGCGACTCGAACGGGCAGCTGCAGGAGAACGGGGCGCCGGTCAACCTGCCGCTCTCCTTCGACCACTACTCGAACGTGGCCGACTACTTTTTCACCACGTGGAACTGGCCGCTCATCAGACAGATCAGTTCCTTCTTCGTCGTCGCGACTCTGATTGCAGCTTTTGGGGTCGCCGTCACCATGGTCGCCACTCTGCAAAAGGACTGCGACCCTGAACACACGTGGTGGAGCTCGGCGACTGTCTACGAAATCTTTCCAGCCTCTTTCAAAGTAAATAATATAAAATTTTAAAACCTAAACGCATGTTTTTAAAGCGTTTCAAAGTTATATAAAATTAATACTGCAAAAATTTATTTAAATTTTATATTGTTTCATATAATTATTTAAAAAAGTTTTAACTACAATTTTAAATTTATAATTCAGTTTTTATTATATTATTTATAATTAAAATTTTTGGAGAGCTATCATTAAATTTTAATGTTTGTTTTTAATTTTTTAAATTAACTATATTCCGCCCAAACTGACTTTTATATTGTTATCATTTGAACAATAAACAATAACTATGTAGACCTGATTGAAGATAGAGCATGATTATTAAATATGTGATCTGATGATTTTTTGACAGCTAATTCAAGATACGAGCAAATGCCTCAAATTACTTGCACTCGAATTGATTCCCTTTAGCAAAATTATTTACAATAAATTTATTTGCTGTAGAAAATAAAATTAATTTATGTGACAGGACTCAAAATATCAAGACGGTGTTGGAGATCTGAACGGCGTTGTGAGTCCTGAGAGCATCAGCTACCTGAAGAGTCTGGGCATCGGTGCCGTCAGACTCAACTCAATTTTCCAATCGCACAACTACCCTGAGGACTACCACAACGCCGAGTCCCTGACTGACGTCAACCAGAAATTGGGCTCACTAGAGGACGTTCGGACGCTTGCCAAGAAATTGCACGCCAACAACATTTCGCTCATCCTTGACTTGCCAGTGCATATCGTCAAGTACAACAGGTAAATTTAGAACACTTTTTATTCTTTCAAAATTTTTGAATTTTAAATTAATCTTACTTATTCAGCTCAGCGGGGCCGGATTATATTGACCCCGTGGTGAACGCTTTGGAGTTCTGGCGCTCCTGCGACGTGGACGGATTTTATCTCGTCGGGCTGGACAACGAGACTGTCCAGCCGCACCTTCGAACACGCTTGCAGCGGTGGCGACGAGCAGTGGAAAAGAAACACCTCTTCATCGCGCCTCCAGTTTTGGGAGTGGAAGATCTTATTGACTTGGTGCACGTTTCCCTTGACCTTAACCACGGAGGATCCCTCAGGTAAAATTTACAAAAAAATTATTTTAAATAAATAATCTAGAGAGTGACTTGAAAGCAGAAATTAAAAATTCGGCAGTCACAAAGATTAATATTATCGATTTATTAATGCTGCTCTATCTTTTCCTTACAATCATGTCAATCATGCATTGGTTGCAATCAACTGTTGAAAAGCTAAATATTTTTTTTCATTTACTCCCTTTTTGCTTATTATTCTGACCAACAATAATTTTTTTTTAATATATTGACTTATATGTTTTTGTTAAATATTAAATGGGAATTTTTTTGTTTCATATTGTTGAAAAATTGCAGGTCCTCGATATCAGGCGCGTTGCAGTTGTGGTCGCAGAAAATCCTATGGAGCGTCGGACACAGCGGCCACCTGCGCCTCGTCGACCGCCTCAAGAACAACAACAACACGGTAGCCGCCTTGCTTCTGCTCATGTCTCTGCCAGGCACTCCGTCCATCCTCTATGGGGACGAAATTGGTCTCCGAGCGTCCCAAGAACTTGACGACGTAAGATTTTTTTCTCATAAATATGCGTTAATCTTAGATAATGAATTATTTTCTACTAGCACGGCGATGAGCTTCAACATCTGCGTCAGTTACCGCCAATGCTGTGGGCCAACTCGAACCAGAACAGGTTCGCCGACCCAAACGTCCTGCCGTGGATGCCCAGTGGAGACGCCCTTCTCAAGAACACGGACGCACAAAGGGCTCAGGCGGCTATTTCCAAAATGGCCATTCTTCGAAAGTACTCGCCTCAGCTCTACATGACCAATCGCACCATTGGAATGCCCAGGGGGGCCAAGAATTTTGTCATCAAGTATTTTATTTATTTTTATTTTTTAATTCTTGAATTGCGATAAAAAGAAAGATTCAATAGAATCAAATTTAAGAAAATGTCACACCTGAATTTTTGTAAAGCAAAAATTGTTGCATGACGTTGTAATGAAATTTGAAAAAAAAATTAAATCAAAAATCTAGAAAAAAAAATATATATAAAAAGGACGTCTTCATAAAAAAAGGTGTAAAAAAGCGTCCAGAAATTAAAATTATCAATGAGACCTTTTTTGTACCTCAGGCCTGCCTCAGGCAAATTCTTTTTACCAATCCCAAATTTATATGGTTAATCAAAGAAATTAAAATAATTAATTTTTGTAGATATGAAAGTAACGTGACTGGCGTGATTGCGGTTCAGCGTTGGTTCCAGCGTCGGCACAAAATTGTGACCATCGCCAATCTCGGCTACTCTGCAGCAGCCCCTGACATGTCCTCGTACTATTACGGAGGAAAAGTGCTCATCGCCTACCCACACACTCACCTGCAAGGTCAGGATATCAAGATGCGCAGACTACCCCTGCAGGCCGGCGAAGTTCTGGTCATGCAAGTCGACAAGTGAAGGTTTTCTCTGTGTATTTTTCGGATCTATATCAAATTTCACAAAAAGGAGAAAAAATGCAGCTTATCTCGCGCAAAACTTCTATTTTTGAAAGCCAATTTTTGCCGAATTTTTGCTCCCATAATAATAATAATAAAAAAAAAAACAGAACTTCTAGGTATTTACTCTATTTAGATCCAGTATTATTACACTTTTGTGATAAGTAAAAAAATTGATCCCGCACAAAATTTTATTTTAATAAATTTAGAATTTCTTCTTATATATCCCTATTGTATTATTTTGTAACGTTTTTGAAATATGTATTGTTTTTGTGACAAAACCAATAAAACCAGAACTGTTCTATGTGTAATATTATATTCTGCATTTATTTTCAAACGATAAAAAAAATATGAGACAATTTCTATATTATTTGCGTATTTTGCATTTTTATTGGCATTTTTTATCATATGCGTACAAAAATTTTGTTCTTACACGGCAATAACTAAAAAGCAACGTTCTAGAACACAGAAATAATTTAATTTTCTTGTCTAAAGGAACTTAAAACCCATTTTTTTTATCTGGCTCTTTAAAAAGCTTGGTAACCACTATTTTTAATGCCCCAATCTTTGTTTACGCCTAAAGGCCTAAACACGTTGAAGGCAGTTAAAACTTAGGATGTATCGCAGAAATAATTTTAATTTTTTTTTGTCCGAATATAATTTTTTTAGCAAAAACAATTTTTTTAATCTGGCTCTGATTAATAGATGCAATAAAGCGGATATCTGCTCACAAATAATGCACTTTTATTTTTTCATTTTTGTTGAGTAAAAAATTTAAATCGCAAAAATGATGATAATTATATAAGAACTTTTTTACAATTGCTAATTCAATTGTTGAATGTTCCAAAAATGATTCAGTCCATTAAAACGAATTTTTATTATTTGCGTATTGTATTAAAATTTTTTATTATGTACAATTTTTTTTACAAAAACACTTACAACACTCCTTTCAGTACAAACAATTTCACAAATTCATTTTGAAATAATAATTAAAAATAGCGAAAAAATCAACAAATGACACGCCAAGTAATTTTTGTTTACCTCTAACAAACAATTTAATTATTGAACTTATTATTCAAGGCTCGGACGCACAAATCTGTTTCAATTTGAAATCCGACCGTGTATGCGAGTCTTGCAGCACAGGTGATTTTTGCGCAATATATTTTGTCTATAGAGTTTAGTGATTTAAGTCATCACACCATTCATGTTAGTAGAGAAATACTTCAATAAAATACAAAAGGCAAAGTAATACACTTGAGCAACAATTAGTGACTTGATTATTATAATTCTTGTGGAAGGAAAAATCCGGAGATAAATCTGAAAGAGGGAAATGGCACCCTGAGAATAAATAAAAGCACGTTTTAGCAAATAATCGTCCCAAATAAACAAATTTTGAAAAAAAAGTACAGACCTCGGTCGTTTTTTTTTTTATACAAGTGTGCTTTTTCAAAGCTTCTTAATTACTGTTCTTTACTTATTCCGTAATATTTTTATTATCACACTTTACGATATGAATATATTATTCGATCAATAACTTTAATTCTCTTTTCATTCCATTATTAAAGTTATATTTACACAATTAAATTTTAATTAATTTTGTCGAAAAATTCCTATTTTTTTGAACACAAAACAATTACCTTTTCTTCTAAAAATGTGTGGCACAAATCTTAAAAAAAAACTCAACATGCACTCGAATTGCGAGATTTCATCTCCTATATAGTTTGTGGTAATTAATAAATACATTATTTATTGATGTGTGCGTGTACTTACTGGATCATTTGTTAAAAAGTGGTTGAAATGTAAAGGATGAAGTGAGCGTAACAATTAGTTTACAAAAAGTGGTTCAGCTTGTGGGAGTGCATCTGGACTCGGTGGGTTGGTACACAAACGCAGAAATATTTATTTATCAATTAATCACTTAACCTTGGTTTGTAACTGGTGAATTGTTATAAAAATTGGCGGTTCGAACTTAACATAGAAAATCATAGCACCATTGCATTCAGCTTATAATTTTTAAATAAAAATATAAAAAAAAATAGAAAGAGTTTTCAGGTCAAAATTTGAACTTGGTTGGGGCTTTTCCTTCTTCCTCGTCATTAGGTAAAATTACGACTTAAATAATTCCTGAAGTTTAAAACTGAAACTCTCCACACTGGCAACAAACAGAAAATGTTTTGAAAATCCATCCGATAACTTTGATTCGTGGTTGGTTGGTAAAGTCGAGTTGAGCAAACGTTGATTTAATTGTAGAGACACTTGAGGCTTAAGTTTGAATTGAAAAGTCCTCACTCAATTCGCCTTCAGGTCGACGGCAACGGCACTCTCGGTCGCACCTTTGGCGCTCTTTTTCGGAGTGGCGATCACTTGTGTGGGGTGTGTGTGGGCCGTTTGCCTTGTCTTGCCGCTGCCACCAGCACCAATTTGACCCCTGGGGTACAACTTGTTTCTCGAAATGGCATGGTGGGCCGTCTTCTTCTTGTTCTCCCCTCTGGTTTGTCGCAACAGAGACCTAAAATCAATAAATAAATAAAATAAAAACAATGAAATAAAATCGTCAAGAAATAGTAAAATATAAATTCCCTGATGTTTTGGTAAATCTATATTTTAATTATGCCATTCAATCAATTGAAAATTAGAATTAAAATTAGTTGCTTTTGTTTTGAAAAAGAATTTTTTTTAAATAATTTATATTTGTTTACTTCAATCATTCATTTTAACTGACCTGTCATTGCAAAGAGCCTGGATGAGAGGCAGATCTAAGTTTTTGCTTTTTTCCCGAAGCGTCCGGATGTCCAGAACACTTCCGGTCTCTTTGGCTTTGAGGATCGGAGTTGAACTCGATGAGGAACCGGTAGCTGTCATTAGGGCAGGGGATGAATTTGAGGTGTGGGGTGGCACTGGGGGTGGAGACGTAGAGACCCTTGGGGTGCTGACTGAGAGTTTCGGGTATATCGAAGGCACTGAAGGCAATGGTGGGGGAGACGCCTGTAATCAAGTATTACATTGAATTAAATTATTGATCGAAATTTATATAAAAGTGTAAACTGAAACTTAAACAAAAAATAATATTATGTGCAGTATTTACAATTGATAAATAAAAATTAAATTCATTCACTCACAGCACTTTGATGAGTTGGCGGGAATCGTGGCGGTCTGGACGGAAGGACCACCCTGGAGGTCATCGGAGGCGGCCTCGGAGGCGGTCGTGGCGGGGCTTGTGGTGAGAGCAGGTTGTCGTCAGACGCTGCTCTGGCTGGAGGAGGAGGATTCTCGAAGTTGGCCCTGGTGAGGCTGTGCGTCGAGAAGCAGCGCAACGCCGCCAAGTTGCTTTGTCCGTACTGGAAGGAAGGTGGCCGCACGGTGGCGCCCAAGGCCTGCACGTTCGGGGCACTTCGGTAGAGGAGGCTGCTCTTCGAGCTGCAGTACGGAGGGGGCAGCAGGCGTGTCAGCAACTTGTGGTCGGCGTACTCTTGTCTGCTGATCGCCGGGTCTCGAACCGGGAAAATTACGTAGTCCACGTCGGAGCACAACTGGCGCTGGAAAAAAAAGAATTAGTAAATTCTCCAGAGTTGAAACCATATAACAATTTATAGAGATGCAAATCATATCAACTATTTTATTCTCTCTCAAGAAGTTAAATAAGTAAAAATGGAGATAACATTAAGCCAACATTTATAAACAACTTACTAAAATTTTGCCTTGAACAAAATCAATAAAAGAAAATTGGCAACTAATTGTAGGACTCAGAGGGCTAAATTAAAAAATAATTATAAATTAAAACCTACTTGCCGAGCTGAAGGCCCAAACAGAAAAGAAAAATTACCAAACAGTCAAATAAACTTTTTTGGAACAGAGATAAATTTGATTTTTGGGATAATTAAAGTCCATAAATTTACCTGGAACTGCTCGATTTGACTTTGGCTGAGCTGCCGGGCGTAGACAGTGGTCATGGCGCCGCTGGCCCGGACGTCCAGATAATTATTCCTGGCCACCACCAGCGGCTGCTGCTTCTTGAGAGAAACATGGGCCAGGTTGGGCACAGCAATGCTCGGCGCGGGAACTGTATGGCCGTTGAGGACGCCAATGGACGGTCTGGTGACAAAGAGCGCCTCCTCCGGACACTCGTCAGACATGGACAGCGGGGGAAGCTGGACGTAGTCACTGTTTGAGTCAAGGGTGAGGCTGACGGAGGGGGCGCGCGAGGGGTAAGCGCCGGCGCTAGCCTGGGCGGAGGTCACCGAGTAGTCCAGCGACTCGGCAGCGGCCGTTTCGGACTGCGAGTTCTGGGCCGTGTGGCTGAATCCCAGTTCGAGGGAGGAGCCGCCCCCGGAGGCCTCCTTGTTGTGTTTGATGGTGGAGCCCGAGCTGGAGCACTGGCTGCTGCCTTCGGTGGCGCCGGGGGTTCCGGGCGGCGGCAAAGCAGCTGGGGCGTCCACCACGTCGTCGATTTCCTCCTCTTCTTGGTCGGTGGGGTCTTCCTGGTCTTGAAGGTGCTCCAAGGCCAGAGACTCCACCGAACTCACAGCGGCTGGCGCTGGAGGCGAGTTGATCATGATTTCCCGCTCCAGGTCATCTAAAATTTAAATCGAATGTTTATAAATCCAGTGAAATTATTTTTCTCCAAGAACACAAATTTAGGAGATTTTTTGGATAAAAATTTATATAAAAACAGAACCCAATGAAATTAAAAATAAAAACTTTAATTTATATTTTTTTCTTTTAATACTATTAAATATAATGTTTTTCTTTATTTAATGATAAAATTGTATATTTAACGTTATATTATTTTATTTTCTCCTGATTTTCTTTATACTTGATTTTAAATAATCACTATTCCAATTATTTATTATATAAATAATCTGCCAGTTCATTTTATTTCTAATTACAATACTTAAACAAGGTATCATTTCTAATGTTAAATTTTAAATTAAATTAATAATTGTTATATGATATATGTAATACAATTTAGTACAAACAATTTTATATTTCAGTTTCTTTAAAATAGCTTGCTGAGTAATTTTATTAATTTGCACTGACCTTCACTTTCATCGAAGCTGAGCACCCTGTCAGAGACGATTCCGGACGTTGTGTTGGAAGAGGCACTGCTGATGACTGATTCTCTTTGTTCACTTCTGAGCGCCTTGCTGCCCAGAAGTAAAAGGTCACTGTCGCGCGTGGTCATTCTCCTCGGCACCAAACTGCAGTCCCGAAGTCTTTTTCTGTCCGCTGTTTTTCCACACAATTAATTAGTCAGAATTAAGCTTGATCAAATCGACTTGCCTTCTTCCTGTTCCCTGCGTAGCTGGGCCAGTCGTGGCCCCAGGGAAATGGTGAACTGGTGCGCAGAACTGCACAAAAGGAGCAGTTGTCGGCTCCTCTCGGCACTTCCCGTGTAAAAAGACCTCTTAACCGCCTTGCCATCCTGCACGGCACGCACCTCGAATTTCTTTTTCTGCAAAGCAAAAGTGCACCAGTTTTAAAACGAGCTCCTTTTTTAATAATAAATATGATATGATTTACTACAAAAAAACATATCCTCTTGTCTCGAGCATGCAAAAGTAATGCACATAAATATTTTGTTATTTAGCAAAAAGTGTGTATCTTGATGCAGATGAAAACTGACTTCTAGCAATTAGCAGGAAGATCATATTTAGAAAAAATGTTAGGCTGGGAAATTTCTTGCCTATCGAATTATCACCCGAGTGTTTAAGCATCTCACAGCACTCCATCTTTCGTGATGGCTGCCTTCTAATGTGCTTTTGATTGCACGGCCGCGTGATGAAGGGTAAAAAATAATTTACTCCTTTTTACACTCTTGGAAAAAAGTAATGGCACCCACAAGAATGCATGATTTATCTCGCGCAGAGATTCATTATTTATGACGGGGTAAGGAATTTTTCGTCCCCCAAGGATAGGACGAACAGAAGTTGAATTCGTTTATGGAGCCTAATTTATTTAGTCTTTGTGCTGACGAGCAGACAAATATGTAATTTGTCTTGGTCGGAAATTCAAAAAATGTCAAGGCTCGAGGCGCAATGGCGTCTTTTTACCACCACACAAAAATAAATTCCTCACAAGAGAGACGACGCTACCAGCAATAATAAATATACTTTATTTTCCCTCTTATCTCTCTGACCAGAGGGGCCAAGAGGGCAAAATAAATCAAAATTCGAATTTCTTCCAACGGTTCAAAAGGACTACAAAAAATTAAAGAATCGTTAAGTCAGCAATTAAACGTCAAACGTGCAGCTGCCGACCACAAAACCATCAACTTCATTCAAAGGTATTATATAAAAGTATTAAAAAACTGTCCTTTTCTAATTTCATTGGCAACTCCGAAAACAATTTCCTTTATAAATAATAAGAATTATAAGAAAAATGGAATTTCCTATCCTTTTATTTATTTAACATGATTTTTGACTTCTTAAAAAAAACTTTAATGGCTTCAAAATGACCAAAATTTTACCATGAAAAGTCTCCTCTTTGTGTATAATGATGAGAATATTTTCACTTCGCATCTGTATTCATGTTTCAAGTTTGAGGAAAAACTGCGAATGTTGCGGGAGCTGGCGGAAAAATGGGCAGCAAAAATAGTGCATTGAATCATGCGGATGAGTGGTATTTAATTTTTATTGGGCGCCGAGTGCTGCTAGGTGTTGGGCGCAATAAAAAGTCTGGCTGAGAGCAGAGAAGAGAGAGGAGCCGGTGGATGGCCCGCGGCCGTGGCGTGATTACGGCAAAAAAGCCGAGTTATAACTCCGCCTGCCTCGGACATCGGAATGCGCGTGGCCCCAGTAGCGGCTGCGAGAGAGCCATCGCATACCTCCACGTATCTCCTCCGTCCACGTTATATTATACATGCCTGCCGCATAACCGCCGCGGCCGAGGAAAAAGGCCAGGTCTCTCTAATCAGCCTCACCGATCAATACCATTCACAGAGAAGAATCGATCGCGCGCGGAGAAATTTTTCTCATTCTTCCTAATTGCTCGCCTCTTGTTGGTGCGGCAGGGAAATTATCAACTTTTACCAAAAAAATCATTTTTGCTTCAATATAAAAAGTCCAAGAGATTATAAAACTAGAAATGGTTTGATGGTTTACAGCTCTTATTGTTTTGAAAAAATTTGCAGTAAAATTTTTACTTGGATAATATTTTGGGAAACTCTCTATAGCTGCCTTATTGTGGTGGAATAAGTGCTCATGGACTCTGCAGAAAGCGAGCCATGGTGTTTCCTTTATAAATAGCTCCTGTTTGTCGCAATTTCTCTTTAGATGCGCAAGTCACATCAGTAAACAAAGAAAAAGGCATCCAAGAAAAACAACTTAAAAACTCTGCGTACAATAGAATATAGGCGACAAAGAAATTTGAATAATGAAAAAAAAAATTCTGAAGGTAATGCACAAGAAGAACCAATAAAAATTTGAAAACTCACATCGAAGCACACCCTGGCTATTTGGACCCACTGGAACGACGCGGTGATTTCCTTGTCAACCCCCTGGTTTTCCTGTAAATAAATCCAATCATGTTCACTTAGAAAAAGCGAGAAAAAGTATGGAGATAAGCTCTGGTAAAATAAAAAAAAATGTTTAGTTAAGTAAACTAATACAGACGTTTTAGTAGTCAACATACAAAAATATTGCTGCAAAATGCACAATTTATTACATAAAATTTGAAAATAGAATCAAATACAATTAAAAAAAAAACGATATTATGCAGTTCCAAGCTTTCACTCTTAAATTTTTCTGTTAACAGAGCTAACTTTTTCAATCTTGTTCAATTTATTGATATAACTATTTTATTGAACTGTAATAAAATTAGAGTAACAAGAAATACATAATATGATAGCACAGGTCAACAATCTACCAATATCAACACGATGTTAATCTATCAACATTTTGTATTTCCTGGACTGTAGAACTAATATAATTATTTTCCACAATATAAAAAAAAAATTCAGAAGCAAAAAATAGCTTTTGTAGAATAAACAATAATAATTAACTTTAATTATTTTATTATAATATATTTAATTGGAATTTATTAGTTTAAAAAGTCGTCAATATTTAAAAGTAATGAAAATTATAAAATTTAAATAATATTTTTCAAAAAGGGTACATTTAATGTTAAATTAAAGTTAGTTATTTATTTCCTATTATCTTAATTTTTAATTCGTCAAAAACTCACCTCAAATATTTCAATGCCTCTGGCGCCCACCCCAATCCAGGCAGATGGGGTGGCCTCCTTCTTGACCCTTTGCAGCCTGTGCAGTTGCAGGTTGAGGGAGGACTGGGCCGAGCAGGCCTCATTGATGAAGCGAACCTGCGCCTCCGAAATCGAGATGCCGCGTAACGAGAGGTGCACTTCGGAGGCGAGGCACACCAGCCGCTCGGCTCCCATGCGTTCCACAGCCTGGATTTAGAAAAAAAATTGTATGACTAAATTGTATATATTGGTTAACAGAGGACGTACATGTGTAGGAACAAAATCAGAGGGGTTGAAGTAGACGTTGCTCTTTGAGACTTTGTAGTCGCCGAGGTCAGCTTGCAGAGCACTGCCCAGCAGCCTCAGCAACTGTTCATCGTGCGGACAAATACGCTCAGCTTGAAGAAGGTTCTGCCGAAGTTGAAGGTAGTAGTGAAGACGAGAAATGGGGTCCCTGAAAAATCAATCAAAATTTAAACAAACGCTAAGAAGTAAATAAATGAACATTTAAAATCAATTAATCTCTCACTTTCTTGGAGGAGAATAAAAAACAAAAATGAAAATTCTGATATAAAAAAAATCTTTTATCTTTCTTAGAAAAAAGCCCAGTTAACCTACAAAGCAATATTGTTCTTACATGATGTTTAATAATGCGAAATAATAAAAGAAAATGGAGTTAAATGGAAGAACTTGATTTTTCATCTTGCACTGTTAAAATTAAGCAATATTAAAATAGCCAAGTTCTAAATGAATTACATTAAGATTTTAGCTAGTTTGAAATTAGCAGCAATTGGCAAAATTCCCAAAATTCATTACCTGAGAAGCAACGGGCATTCAACGTAATATTGCACCCGTAAGGAAAATACTAAAGATGGATTTCCGTCGCCGTCCAAACCCTAGAAAAGAAACAAAAGTAAAAAAACAGAGCTCTAGGAGATTTCAACGCTCGAAATCAGTCGTTTTCTGCACTTTTTTCTAACAAATTGGAGCTCTTGTCAGGAGAAGAGAGAGTTAGTTTTCGCAGACACAATAAATTTAATGGTGTTGTCAGGTCGGATTTTCGCAACTCTATATATTCTGCGGCCATTAAGGCAAATAAATCTAATTGCGTCAGCAGAAGTGCGCGCAGAGGACCTCATTTCGCAGTAGCAATTATATACAAAAGAATACCTCCAGAAATTTCGAGTTTTATTAGAGAAGAATAAGAAAAAAGTCGAGGAAGGTTTATTAAGAAAAAAATTATGGCGTCTGCTGCGGTATATAAGATTGGCCCGCGGCGCAATGCTTAAGAAAATAAGTATCATAGAGAGAGAGGAGTTGCACAGTAGCGCGGCTGGAGGAGCGCGCGGTGTAGGTAGCAGCAATCGAGCGGGGGGCTACTTGACTTGATGATGGAGAACAGAGAAAAATGTATGCTCGCCCAATCGCGTCGCCCTGCCGCGGGCACTTCAGGGTGCGGCGAAAATCGACTCGCACTCGCCAGAAGGTCATATCATTATTTTTGAATAAAATATTCCGATTCCGGCCGTCGGGGTTACTTCTCACTTGTGAGGGGCCACGAGTCCACTGAGGTGTGCGATTTGTCACCATTTCTACTCCTATGCTGTGAATCACCTTTCAAACATCTTGCCATTTTGGCATTGATGCCAAAAAAGATTGAATACAGGTTCGGTCGAAAATGCTGATGCTCTAACAAGATTAGAGACTGTTAAGTGCAAACAGTTTTTTAAATTATCATGAGATAATAATTAAAATCTTCCAGAATTAATAATTATCAGTTTCTGCGAGTAGAAATTATGTAAGGTTCGCAAGATCTCTCTTTGACCTTTCATTTGTGTAAAATGTTTGCTTCAAACAAATCATTTTAACAAAATCTGGAATATTTAAAGGACTTGAAGGATCAATATTCAGTAAAGTAACAAAAATATTGAATATGTTAATTTAAAAAATAGCTTCTAAAGTCAACAATAGGAGAAACGCAACAGAAAATAATAATTAATAAATGATAAATTATTTAACCGTGTTATTATTTTATTTTCAAAATTAAAACGTTACTTACTACTTAAATTCTAGTAAAAATTAAGCTGAAAATTGCTTTGATCGTGAATTGAAAATTATATTTTATTATTTTGTTAGTTTTCTCAATGCAAATCAAATTAATAATATGATCGTTCTGTTCTTAAAAAATTTGAAATGTAAATTAATCCCAAAAATTCTAACAATTTGAATCCCCTCCAGTGAATTATGAATTATTCTATCCGAGGCTGCTGCTTTTTAGCCTCAAGTTTGTGGCAAGCATAAATTAATATTTGTCCGCTCCAGATTTGAGATTAGCCGGCAGCCCACGAAAGAACGAAATCCTTGGCTCGGCAGCGCAGGAATTCAAACCGCTACGGGGCACAAAACATTGGCTGCTATGCTATATAATAAAACTTTGCAGACCGAAAGCGAGACGGATTCCGGACACAATCAAAAACTAACTGACCGCACACTTCCATTTTTTTAAATTCACGTATAGGGACAATCTTGAGAAGAAGAAAAAAATAAGAAAAACGATCCCATAAAACATGATGTGTTTTTAATTACGGTTTAATCTTTTTTATATTTTGTGGTCCAATCGGAGATGCACGCAAGGAACCATTTTTTGTTTTGTTATCCCAACGTACTTAATTCGGTAATAGGTGCGAGCGGCTCAATTAATTTCATTAAGGTCCGGTTTTTGCCTCTCTCTGCGCCTAATTTCGTTTGACGCCCAGTCTCGGCTGCGAACATGACTTTTAATGCTGAATCGCAGAGGAATTTATTTTTCATGCATAATATATACAAGTAATAAAACAAAGGGCGGAGTAGCAGCGCAGAATGCTACAAAACTCGTTAAGCGCGGAATATAAACATGGAGCTGGAATATATAAAAACAAGAATGGCAGCTCAAAAACGACGACTGCTTTTTCATTCATCCGCGCGCATCAGATGGCCGCTTCAGGTTTTCTGAATAAATTTCACCTTTCATTTTTGTTGCGAGCTACAGCGTGGCAAAAACTATTTTATTTCGACATCCGCCTGAAAAACAACGAGCGGCTTTGTTTCAAATAATCTCCTCGTAGAACAGGATTTGTCAAAGGATTGGTGCTCGCGGACGTGACTTTGAGATATTGAAATCCGGTAATGAATTTCATCATTGAATTCGAAAGAATAACACAAAATTCCTGTAAAATCGGAAATAAGTGATCAAAAATTTGCACTATCAAATGATTTTAGCGGGAAAATGTTAAATTTTGATTAATCCTTGTTTTATGTATGAATTAATGAATTGCGATTTTGATTTCAGTCATAAAATTATTTCAAAATTAATAAAAAAAAATTACTGGCGAGGCCCTTGAAAAAAATTACCAAAAAAAATCTTGGAACAGGACTTGCAAAATAATTTACACATGTATATAGATAGTAAAAAAATTAGGATCGCGTTGAGGTGATTAAAGAAGAAGTGCGTCTCTGACTACTCTTATGGAAAAAAGTGATAAATTGTTCCTGAATAAATCGCCCGAATGACGTGAGCTGTCGAGCCAAAATATCCAAGGTGCGGGTTGGCTTTTTAATTCTTGCGCAAGGCCAAAAAGGTAAATATTGCCTGCTCGCGCGAGTTGTGTGTGCCTGGAATGTGAAGGTTAAACGATATTAAAATAGAGAGACAGCTGCGCGCTCTCTCTCGTTCTCCTCAAGATGGAAAAACAATTTCTCGCATGAGAAATGAAAATTATCCGCGCGGCGCCTCCTCGATGGGCACACGCACCATTAGTGCCGGCGAGGATCGCAATAATTGGTTATATCTCGCGATTGATTAAGAAAATGACCGACGCGAATGTTATGATTCAATGTAATATCGCACCCGTGGTGTTGATAATTTATTGGCGTGTTGCCATTAAAGGTGAGAGAAGAACGTCCGAAAGCGTCAGTGTGAGGTGCAAACGATGGAGGAATGCAACGAAGACCATTTTTAATCATTGCCCAAGAGTTTTTTATTAACTGAAGTTGTCCTTCTGAGATGCAGTTGAAGTTTAATAAGTATATGAAAAACAATTCAAATATGTAGCTAATCAAACAGAGAAGAAAGAAATGAATAAAAAATAAATATTTTATTCGGTTAAATGAAATACTTAAAGAATGTTAAAGAACTGACAAAAAAGATATAGTCCTACATGTTGTATCTTATATCTGGATAATTGACTAATCATTATTAATTTGGGTAATTCATTTAGAACTAGAACTTGTATATGAAAAGTGATTTATATGTCTTATTATTATTTTTATATAATAATCCTTAAAGATTGGTTTATGATGTAAAAGAATATTTCTTGTATTGTAATTAATACACCTTATTTAGTTGTATAAAAAATATTGATTTTAACTTTCTATTTTCTTACTTTTAAAATAAACAGATTAATTTAAAAAATAATAGTAAATAAAATAATGAGAAATAAAAAAATAGCTAAGCAAAATGTATAAACAAAATTTTTAATTACAATTTATATATTTTTATTCAATTTTTTTTAATTTGGGGTGTTAATCTAAATTACAATTAAAATTTGGGCGGATATTTTTAGTTCTCTATTAAGCAAAATATTTTTAGTGTAATTTGAATGGAGGATCGCCAATATTTCGAACAGGTTGAAATTTGATGCCGACGGCGCGGTGCGATCGTTGTGTGTGTTTCAGTGCCGCGCCATGGGCAAGAACATGCATGGGAATGCGATACAAACACTGTAGTCATCAACAGCATCGTCAAATCAAGGCAACAACAACACGTTGCTGCTCATTTTTATATCAGAGCCAAAAGAGGAATTTCCAGGGAGTGCCCCTGCGCGCGCGAGTTTCTGCCATATTTTTTTTCAAGTGTTGATTTTTTTATTCTTTTTCTCTTCTCGAGACGAGCAGAGAGTCGAGTGCGAGCTGTTTTGAATTTTTTCATCTGGCGTGAGCGAACATATAATGTTGTTTTTGCGACAGGAACGTGTGCCAAAATGACCCGGCAGACATGCAAATGAAAAATTTATTTTTTGCTCCACAGCTGGACACACCTTGCAAGGGAGACAAGCATATATTTGCATACTTTAATAACGCAAAAGAAAAATGACACGCCGGATTTTTTTTTTGCTGCTCATTTAAAATTTGGTTGAAAAATGCAGAAAACGACTGGTTGAAAAATGCAAGGTAAAATAAAAGTGATGAAAAAGGAAAATACTCACGAAGTTGGTCGGCGACCTCCACTGCTTGGAAGCGTACTTGGCTAATTTGCTTTCAGGATCTACGAAGAGCCATTCACCATCTGCGAAATGAATGAAAGCCATTAGCATAAAGTGGAATGTTTGCAAATTTCACGCTCTCCAGTTAAAATAAAAAGGGAAAGAAATAATGTTCCTTTGTTTTTTTCAAGTGCGTTTGTGTTTGTCTTTAAAGCACTTTTGACAATGAGAATAAAACGAGAGGAAAACCGGCAGTCACGAATTCAATTTAAACAAATTCAAATGGTGGTCATAGAACAGCAATTGGATTAAATTGTTTTGTTATTATGCGTAGGCATTGTTTTTTTTTTTTATAGAAAAACTGAAAATTAAATCAATTGGAAAAATTTACCACAAAATTTATTACATTTCTTTCAATGAGGATTTTGTAAGATCTTAGAGTTTCTATTGATTTGATTTATTGCGGTGGCCTTAGGTATCCTTCATGCTCCAAATCTTATAGGGCGATTGAGGAATGTACCTCCAGGATCCATAATCTATCATACACAAAATTTGTGTGTGGTATGAGTGAAAAAATGTTTGATGGAGGACAATAAACGAATTCCAGCACCCATGAATTATAATTTTTTTTTCATAAATAATAATGCGTTTATTTTTTATAAAAAGAGCGCGTGGAGAAACGTTGGCCGAAGAAGCATCAGCGGGGGCTCCTGACACATTCCTCGGCCAACAATGATCACGACCATAGGAATTCCTTATTCCTTTATATCAACAACAAAATATTAAAGGCTTATTTATCTGCATGCAGTGAATGGCCTAGCTGGCATCGAACGAAGAATGCTTTTCAAAGCGCACCACAATGAAAATGTATAGAGAGAAATGAACGGCACCCGATCAAGAAATTATTATATTTTTTTCCACATCCATCACACACTTTAAAAAATTAAAATATATATAAATTGAAAGCAGAAATCGGAATTTCCTAGATTGGCAACCAGGAAGAAGAGGAAAATTGGAGCATTTATGTTTTTTTTTCTTCTTTGGAAAAAAAGAGCCAATAATTAAGGCGCTTCTTGGCACCTCGATGGCCCCGCCCGTGGTCATTAAACGTGGCCGTTACTCACAAAACAATATCCATCACGTGTGTTTGTAATTTATCGTATTTTACACAACTATTATGGCGCAAGCAGGAATTTCTTATTTCCATTAGAGCTATCTCGAAATTCGTGATGGCATTTTGAGCGTATGAAAATGACAAATGAGGTCCTTACCTTGCATAACTGAGAGTCCGAGGAGTTCAGAGGCGAGCATGCCCATCCCAGCCAGATGTCTTCGCGTCTGGGACAAAAGATCTTTGACTCGCGACTTGGCCTGTAACAATGCAAGAGAAACGACGCTTCAACACACTGTTCCAATCAATCATCCTGTATACATTTTTTTTCAAGGGTCACACCAGCACGCTGATAAAAATAAAAAATACAAAATATTTCACTTGACAAGGTACAAGACGAAGCACACCAAAGCAAACAGCTATAGGGAGACCCTGTCAGGCCACGAAAGGTCAAATTTTTCAGTTCGCACTCCCGCCGCGAGAACAGGTTTGAATACATAAAAAAAAAATAGTTATACATCTATTTTCCAGGCGTCTATTGAGATTTTAAAAATTATACATTCGAATGAATCTCCCTCGCAGAGAGAGGTAGAAAAAATTTGTATTAATAAATTCCAGCAGGCATTACCTCATCGAGCTACTGTTTATTTATGTACTCCACAGTGGAATTCGCAATAAAAATTTATGCGCTACCGAATTGCAATTTGTGCTCCTTTATTATTATTATTATACTTGCATGTGTATAAAAATTCAAGAGAGCAGAGAGAAAGATATCTCTTACTCGCTCGGTTGAGTGTATAAAAAAAATAACATAGCGGTGAATAGTTTTCGCGTGAATCATCTCTTCTTATTTTTCCTTCGCACTTCGCAATGCGATAAAGAAAAAAAAATCGAGTAAACAGACAGCACCGAGAGTGTATGTTTTGCGGTATCTGTTAATAGTCGATTGTGCTTGGCTTATGCAGATAAATGGGAGCAAATGTAAACATACGCATAAGACGCTTAATATCGGCATACCTTGGTGATCGAGGAAAATATGAAAAATACGTGACGTCAAAGGATTTTCGCACAGAAATTCCTCGTTGAAAGTTTTTGCAACATAAGCGACGATTGAGGCGGAGAAGAAGAAAAATGATGTTGAAAGAAAAAGATGCCATCCGCAGTGGCCTTGGGTTTGGCGCATTTTTTGCCACGACCGTTTGCGTTTGTTGTGAGTGAACAGATTTTAGCAACAGACACAGCAAGAATGGAAATAAGTTGAGTTGCAACACAAAATATTAATGTAGCAAAGAATTAAATTTTTTAATACTTTTCCACAATTCTTTGTGATGTAAATGTTCTCCCAAAGGTGTTTAAGAATGTAAATCGGTTAATTGTTATAAATCAACTTTAAATTGAGAATATTATATAGAATTAGAGTAAAATATTTAAAAAAAAAATGTCAACAAATCAACAGAATTTTGAAAACCAAATAAAAGAAATTATTTGTAAGAGATAAATTATGCATTTTAACACGAAATAGCTGAATTCGGATCAACAGTAACGTGCAATGTTGCAATTTAAAAATTGATTTTTCCATTTTTTTCTCTACAGGAAAAGTAAAAGTCTCAAAATAGTAACAGTTAGTGGAGTTGGCTTGACTTTTATAATATTCAAATAAATATATCTTTAAAAAAAGATTGTTTTTAGACTCAAATGTTTTAAATTTGGAATGTAATTATGTAAAATTTTGAAGTGACTAAAATAACTTTACTCTATTTTAAATGCAGATAGAAATTTAAATTTAAAATGGAAATATCGATTTGCATGCAGGCTATAAATTATTTCTTAGAATAACTCTCGATTCGCTAAGCTTATAGAAATAAAACGTTCGCGGCGGTAAAAAGGAATTTTAAACGAGGTGTTGCAAATCGGCCAAGAAGTCTCTCTGCTTTTTGTTCGTTTGCGGAGCGACTCGGGAATTATATTTTATTTGAATAGGACAATGTCAGTGTCTCTCTCACGTATGCACGCAGCAAGAAAGAAAAAAAATGTATAGTCGCACAAAAGACTGCAGACGGACCCCTCATTGCCATTCAGTGGGTACAAAAGAAATTGGCGCTAATTTGTATTCTGGCCACGCAAATTTCGTCAACTCGGCGCGCATGTGAGTGAATGCGTGTTTTCGTGCGTGCAGAGTACAGAGAGAAATGACATTAGACGCGAGAGAGCGGAGTGGAGACCATGTTTGTTTGGCCCCACGGAAACGTTTGGCACCCAACTTGGTATTGTAATTATAAATAAATAAATAAATTTAGATATTCTGCAAGAGTACGACTTTAGTGCGACATGTCGGTATGAACATTGTAATTGAGCACAAACGCAGGGTTCGTAAATTAATTAAATCGGTGTTTTTATCACCTCTGAATATTGAAAATCTTGTTTTAAAAATGTGTGAACATTCCATCTAAACATTTTAATAAAAAATTTGAAACTACTTTTGTGTTTTCTACCTCACTGTTATTACGTATTAGTTATATTTGTGAATATTTAATTTTAAACTAGCCAAATTAAGAACACTTGATAAAATTTGATAAAATTAAATTATTGTTAATTATTTAATTTAATACTAGAATAATTTAAGCTTAAATTTAATATAATATGAAATACCAGAAATATTGCACAGAAATATTTTTTTATAAAATATAGAAAAATATACATGAACAAAACTGTAATGATAAATTAAATTAAAAAGCGTCAAATGCTTTCAATTAATGGATCTTTGCAAATTGTGTCTAACAATGAGAAAGATCAATAAAAAACAAAAATTGTGTAAAATTTCAATAACGCACGCTAACAACAATTTGGAAATTTTAATTTGATTGCAACAGTTTTGATTGTCGCGGCTCAGAAACCTAGATTTCCATACAGAATGGAGGAATATATTATTTTATAATTTGAAGAAAGAATTCCGCCAAGTCATCTTTGTCAGGCCAAGGAAATTCCTGGGCCGCTGCAGCTGTTACGAAACGCGAATCTCTCTCCATTATAGGTTATAGGCGCTGCTGCATTGGCCCGTTTGTTGCACGTCTTTGACCAAGAAAGCAGCAGCATCATTCATACAACAAATCCACACAGCTCGAAATTCAACTTTCTTTACCTGCAGCGATATAAATTAATACACACACAGGCCCTCCTTTGCCGCCACACACGTGATTCATGCGGGAAATATTTTAATTCCTTTATTGCACCTCGCGCAATTCAAGCGTACCGAGGCTAATTCAGTGGATAACAATTTAAACACGGCGATATTTTTATTATTGTTGCCACTGCTTTTACTCGGGCAGAAAAATATAATTGAGAGACCACCCGAAGCAGGAAACCTGCAATAAAAATAACTGCTGCCGAGTGACGAAAGAAGGCCCAATTTGAAAAGTAAAAAAAAAATTGAAATTCTAATGAATGGAAATCGGTGAATCTCTGACATGTTTATCAGGCCTGATTTACATATAGAGCTAATTTGGTGCTGCGCGCGTTGTTATGGTAATAATTTGGTAATTTGGGACACGCTTGGTTTTGCATACAAAGAGAATAAACATGCACGCATTTTAATTTCAAATCCACGGCAGAGACAGATGGGCTGGCCGGCCACGAATGACCTTCGCTTGATTTTTTTTAACCCAGGATGACTTTCCTCATACAGTAGTTTTTCTTTCGGAGAAATGAAAAAAAGTGCAGCCTGTTGGAGATGAAAATATTTCCTGTTACAAACGGTATTATCATTGTCATTTTTTTTAAACTACCAATTTTTGAAGAAAAAACCGTTTTTATCTTACTTTTCTGAATAAATTATATAAGTTAAAAATCTGATACATTTCTTTTAAAGTAAGCGACGGCGCAAACTGACCCGCTAGTGATGCCTCTTACAATAAGCCAGAATAGATTTCATGAAAGAACGTGGGATTTTATTAATATGCCGCGACTGTCTGCTTAAAAAACTTTAATACAATTAATACGGCTAAAGAAAACATAAAATTATGGTATCGGTATCAAACGTTAATTCCAAACTGAACAAAAATTGCAGTTCCAGCACACACAAAAATTTAACAAAAATAAAAGAATAAATTAAAAACCTTTTTTTATTTTTTATTTGCAGCACGAATAAGAATAACCAATAAAAATTTAGCACAAAAATTATGCATTAAATCCAACCTCCCATAAAATATCAAAATCTGACCTTCCCTTACCCCAACCTAATCCACATCCTTTCTTAATCTTTTCTCTCTTTTTTAGTGTTCATCTTTGTTTGACATCATCGCGTGGACCAAAATAAGGATATGCCAGCAAAAAACGATGATTTTGTTAATAAAGTTGGACCAAAATAAAATAAAATAATAATAAAAATAATTAATTGGGCGGTGCCTTCTGCACCACTAATAAAGGGCACAGGTTGACAAGACTTTGTCTTGGCCTGACCCTAAAAAAAAAACAATTACTACTATTTTTTCCCTTAAAAACCGAGTTCAGGGAATTCAAAACGAGATTAATTTGTGAACAATTGTGTTTCCGTGTTGTAGATGCATTCCGATGAAAATCATTTCCACCGCAGAGATAGCACGAAAACTAATATTTTACTGCATTCTTATCACTAAATAGGGCGGACGTGCAATAGAAAGGCACACACGGTATGCTCGTTAACCAAAGTTATTGACCCCTAGTCGCTTTTCATTTCGGTGTTTGCGTGTGCATTAGGTGATTTGCTTTTCACCTGGTCTCGCTAAGGATTTGAAAATCTATCTCTGGACAAAAGCATACGATTTTCCTTTTAATTCCCTTGAATTTGTAAAGAAGTTAAATCGTTCTATAATTTAACAACTTTTTGATAACATTAACCCAAAAAATTTAAAAAAAAAATCAAAATCATGATTATGTAACAAAAACTGATAATTAAGCTGGGTTTTTTTTCAGTTAAAGATCAAATTTGAAAAACTGCCAAACTTACCTCAACGATGAAGTGGAGGGGCTGTCCGGTGAGGAGGTTGACTGCTGCATAGCGCAGCGTAGGGGAGGACAGGGGTGCTCTGCAGTGCTCCACAGGCACCCCTGTCCGATAGGCAGGTGCAGATGTGCCAGCAGCGCTGCTCGCGCGCCGCATCCTTCCGCCACAACTACATCATCCACGGTGCCTGCCCACCAACCTGCAAACACACACGTCACCCAAATCAGAAAAAATTTCATACAAAAGGAAAATTATAAAATTACAGGAGGGGACGAAATTTGAGCAAAACTCTCGATTTTGCAAACAATGCAATAAATAACCAATATCAAGTCGTAAATCGAGATCTTTCTTATCGTCTGGCTGAAATCAACAGGACGATAAAAAAATTCCGCTGAGGTATTTCAGAATTATTGTTTCATTGCCCATTGTTATTGCGGTTTTATTGCCGAAATCAATTAAAAAATAGCTGCGAGCAATAAACCTGCAAAAGTCTTCGATTTCTTAGATATATTCCCTGCTCGCGGTAATTTATTAATGAAATTCGTCGGCGTATCACCGGCTGCGAATCGGAATAAATTTCGACGGCAAAATCGATATGCACTTGCGGTGTTACTCATGCAAAGCGCGCGCGAGAGGCGATAAAGTTGGGAAAAAATCGAACGCGGATGGTGAAGGCATTAATCGCAATGCATATAATTTTCCCAGAAGTGGATTTATGATGATAATACACTTGTTATTATACTACAGCAGCCTGTATTGTAATGGGTTTACAATCTGCCCCGGCAGAGACATCGTGCAACCGCCATTATACAGCCATGCATGCAAATATATATTAATAATATTCAACTTCGGCGATCCATCATCGCGTTCTGCGCTCGAGAGCATAAATTTTACAACATCCGATTCGCGGATGAATTGCTCGGCGCTGAATAATAATTTGACGACGCGTAAATTATTTTTATTTTTCCTCGTCAGTGAGTGTATAGAAATAAATTTAGTGACTTGCGTGTAATTTTTATGTGCTGTGCATAAATAAATAATGATCAGGTAGAAGGCTAGGAAAATAATGGTGGAATTCCAGCGTAAATGGTCCTGACCGCCGCGGATATTTTGCAATGTGGACCTTAGGCTGCAAAATACCGACACACAAAAATGGTTAAAGTTACACAAAGAATAAACTATATTTAAAAAAAAACTAGTTTGTCTGAAGGATAATGAAATCAAAGCTAAATGCAATGAGATAATATTAATATAATTTTATCGGTTTAAATTTACATCATAGAAAGAAAAACAAATTTTGTTTTCAAAGAAAATTTGATATTAGCTGACTGATGATCATATTTAAATTTATTTAAACAGCAGGTTATATTTAAATATGTTTTTAAGTTTTAATTACAGAAAACATTAATATCTGAATTAAATATTTATTATAATAAAAATTTTAGAAATATTTTTAAATTATAATAAATATTATATTAATTTAAACTTGCTTTTTAAAATCCTATTATTTTAAATTTTTTATTTTTAAAACGTTTATTAAAAACTTTCAAATGTTGTTTTTGGCGTTGCAATTTTGCTCAATGTTATTAGAGCGCAGGGAGAAATTATTATTTTGCGGCGTAAAACTATAAAATCAACAATAATAAAGCTTTCCACAAGCTCAATATCAATGATTTCATTTTGCCATTCTGATCTGGATGAGTAATATTTTGGAAGTTTAATAAAAAAAAATAACGTGACAAGACTTTTCAGAATATGCCTCGATTAAAATCTATTGCTTTTTATCTCCCAAATTATGTCGAGGATATGATGAGAGACTCTTGTGACCCATAAATTAGTAGTTTTAAATTCAGAGCGCAAAATTGAGCAAAAAATTGCTTGATGCTTGATTTGATCAAGCACATGAAATATATTTTAAGGACTCCTTGTTGACATAGTCAAATCAAGTCTTTACAACAATATAAGCCATTTTCGGCTATTATTTGAAATTTAACAAACCATTGTTGTAAAGACTTGATTTGACTATGTCAATAAGGAGTCCTTAATAATAACAATAAAAACATAAGAATGAGATCTTTAAATAAACTTTATGATCTGGATGAATTCAAAACTGAAAGGATTCCTTCAAAACATAAAAAAAGTCAAATTATTTATGAGTCAGTTATGCGAATGAAAGCAAAAATTAAACGAGAGATTGAACCTGTACATGCAAAAGTGGAAATCGGCAGCAAACGCACCCGAGCGTGCAGGATTTCAATCGTCGTCCGCCAACAACTATAAGTAGCAAGTAAACGGCGCGTGTAAATTGTTTGCAACACACTATGCAGTTGTTATTGTTGATGTACTGCAGACGTCCTCTCGTCGTGCAGACTTGAGATGGAGTGTGCGCCGGCCGCTCTCGACACAATACACACACATAATCTTATCTTAAAAAGAAAAAAATAATAATAATACGACTGGCGCATTCCTCGGCGTTGTTAATGCGTGAAGGAAAAATGCCTGCGTGCAGCGTTTGTGTGTCACGAAGCGGCCGTGGAAATCGAAATTATCAATGCTTTTTCTCATCAGTGACTTTTTCTCAGACTTTTTTCTTGTGTTTCGTTCACACCTGGCTGCTGAGATTGACTTGTTGATTCGATTTTTCGGGTGGGTCTTATTTCTTTCCAACAAGAACAGCAGGTTTGGAGGAAATTTGACACCGGCAGCAGACAAAGTAAATAAATAAATACGCTCTTGAGAGACTTTGTTGTTGCATCAGAGCAGCAGATATTCCCACAAAAGGAGAAAAATCTTTTGGAATATATTTAAAAATAAAAGGGGCGATAACTTTTGGGCAAGCGTGACCGCAGCAGAGAATATCAAGTTTCTATATCTCGCTTCTATTTCCGAAAGCATAGCATAGGATTTATTATGTAAATTATTTCAGTCTCTCCTTACAAAAAGAACGCGAGATTATATATTCAAATATATAATGGAACGTGTGCTGAATTATTGCAGCCATTAGTTGGGTATTATCACATGAAAGAAAAAGTGGGATAAGAATATATTATTTTTATTTAGAGACACTAATGGTAACTACAATCAGTTAGTTATTGCGATTGTTTGTGGAAAGTTTATTTTTAAATAAATATTGTACGTGGCATCCCCGCCAGATTCCATTAAAAATTATGGTCCAGCTCCATATAATAATCATTACATATTTTCTTGTTTGACCACTTATCCATGTTAAGCTTCCACGCCTTATTTCGATGTAATTTCCGATTGGTGGATGCAAATAAATTTCAATATCAAGTGCACTTGTGCGTGTCCGCGCGACCGCATGTATAATAATATGATTGCAATTACTAAATAAATGGAGAGGGAAAAAGTAGCGATCGGTTAATTTAGTCCGTTTTTTGCGTGCGAATAACAAAAAGCTGCATTAACTCATTCATTACCCGAGCAAGAATTATATATTTATAACAAGACTCGCAAATCAACCGGCAACATGATTGAACCGATCAAACTCCCGTCGACATCCTCATTCCAATAATAAACAGTTTCTTTTTTATGGCAGACGCCGTGAGATCAATTAGAATCGCGCTTCAAACCGAGGAAATAATATTTACCTGGAATTACCATATTATTTATGTTATAGCAGAGTGTGTAAATGTGCTCAATGTGTATATAATATGAGTCGGTCGGTCGCGCGGCCCCCACCTTTCATTTTCCTGCAACTCGACGACGCCGATAAATATGAAGGTAATTACGCGTGTGAATATGCTCAAGATCGGGGCAAAGTGCTGCGGTATTTCTTGTGAAATGACTGTCTTTTGCTCCGAGCTATTCAAACCAATTCAAACTGTTCATTTTTTATATAATTGGGAACTTGTTATATGAACAGATCGTAAATTAAAAATATAACAAGGCAAGTAAATAAACTGTATACTAAATAATAATTGAACAAAAATGCAGCAAAGTAAGAAATTATGAAAAAAATTTGTACTTTAACCCGATAAGAATTGGCAGCAATAAATTTAAATCAATAATAAGTAAATTGTATTAATACCATTAAAATGAGAGCAAAAACTAAACAAACCATGGTTCACATGCGGGGTGTTTTGGTGTTGGAGGCTTTAGCAAAATCATTGCAAATTTATGTCCTGCAACAATTCAATGTTACTCCCCCAAAAATTGTTTCACTCTCATTGTAGCAATTTGGAGAAATAAACAAAAATGATTAATGTACTGACAGATATAATTGAAAAGAAATAAAATCCATTTAAAATAAGGAAAATTTCCACAAGGGCCTCTAACTAAAATAATTTTATGCAAAAAAGGAATTTTGTTGTTGTGATATTCGCATTCTTTGTGGAAAGCTCATAATTTTTTAAAGAAAAAAAGGAAAAGGCCAATTTACTGCGTACTGAAAGTGGTTCGTAGAGCTTTTGGGTGTATAATAAATATTTCGCCACACCAAATTCCGCGCCAAGCCACCAGCTTGTTTTTTTGTGTGGAGCCGCGGCTTGAAAAATGTAAAAATTGCGCCGGCAGGCAAGCAACACGGCTGCTCTCAAGGATTTTGGCATCTCTCAGCAATAAATAAGCCTGCTGTTGCAAATAACGCGCTCTCCTCGCAGACGCTACTTTTTCTTTTTGCACTCGCGCGCTAAACGGCTGCTGGAATGCAAGGTTCTTGAGTGGCGAACTGTGCGGGCATCCGATTTCGTTCTTTTGAGCGCACAATTTATTTGGTACAAATTTCCTGACACGACTGCTCTCTCGAAAAGAAAGAAAGAAAGAACCCGAGGGCCCGAGTGAAACAGATTCGTCCGTCGACCGCGCGCGATCTCGCTGTGGGCGCCAATCGCTTTTCGAGTAAAAAAAAAACAAGGATGCTGCGGGAATTCGTTATGTCCATGTTTATCCAAGTACGACGGTCTTCCCCAGGCCCACGGGCTCGCGCATTCCGTTCGGCAGCCCTGAATTATGTTCTGCCAACCTCTAATTAATATCGTTCCTAAATGACCCGTTTCCGAAAATAAAAATAAAAAATTGGACCGATGATTTTTTTTTTTCGATTTTGTTATTCAAAAACGAAATTGTTCAAAACAGCATGAGTGAAGATTATTTCAAAAATAATATCCAATTTATATGTATTTGTGTCTTATTTTGTACATTTACCATAAGTTTAATATTGTGTTGATTTAATGAAATTTC